CACTGTGATTCAGACCAGTATTTGTGGCGGCGTCTTCTTAGATTTCATTTAGATACGTTCTGAACCCGTTGATTGAGAACATGCGCGAGAAGGTATGCAAAGATCACTTGGAGAATATCGTCATCGACAAATGATTGAAAACCACACATGGACGTTCTTTGATTTCCACGAGAAGCACTAAGCGGGCCTCATAGAATCAAAAAAAAAAACTACCAGATCAACATTTATCTACGGGTAATCGGGCTCTTATACCCCTGGTCAATGTGGGTTCCACTGTCACAAGCCCATATCGGTTGAAGAATTTTGAATCCTTTCAGTAAAACCTCGATAGATGCAAAAGACCAACAACAGTGGCGGTAAAACTGCTTCTACAATGTCGCAGGATCTTGATGTTATTGGATTGACACGAAAGAAAAAGCGACAGCCGGAATCCCGAAGATCCATGTCGCCCCAAAACACTTTGGTGTTAACTGGCTGGTGACCATCCCTTTTGGGTGCACCGTAAAGACCATATACTATGGAACTACCACCGTTGCAATCCCCTCTCCTAACTCCTCCTTCACATTCCTTACTTCCACGAACTCTGTGTGGAGAGACGTGCCACCATCAGGCTTGTCACGTCTGAAAAACCCAACCACTCTCCCACGCACAATGTGCCCGTTCATATTCTTTTCTTCCGTCTTGGGCTCCGTCCAAATATCCGCCACCCTCTTTTCGTTTGGCGGCAAAGGCGCCGTGGGTGAGACCGGGACCGTAGGCCGCCCTGCAAGGTCGAGAGAAATGCCATGTTCCAGCTCAATGACCCTCCGCGCCACGGCAACTAACGTCGCCATCTCCCACAGATTCTCTCGTGGGAGTCCGAGAATGGGCATCAGCCGGAGTAATTCCAGCCGCGTCTCCAGCTGACGACATGTCGTCGTGAAGAAGAACAACATCGGAGTGTACCCTGTTTCAAACATGAACTTCGACGTTTTGGCGTAGACGCCTTCCATTTTCGAGTGTTCTGATATTTGGACAACCATTTCGGCGAGGTTTTTCGCTAGTCGGCTGTAGTTTGACACGTACTTATCGTAGCCAGTCAAGTTGTTGGTAAATGCCATGTTCAGCCAGATACGGCAGCACTCATATCGAGTGGACAGGAAGCCACGCAGCATATTCGGTACGTAGTCCGGTTTTGTCTCGTATGCCTCAGTTGGCGGGGAGGATGAGTATTTGCTCTGGTTATTCAACTGGGTAAAGAGAATACTCCACCGATCGAGCATACTATTGATGTATTCTTGCCGCGCTAGTAATTTCGGAGGAACGCCATTTCCTGTTGGCGACAGGGAACGAAAAGGATATCCTTGCTTCATGAGCTGGAGGGTTTGGCAGTAGAGGTCGTCAATCATCAACTGGGCATCTTGGAACGAGGAAAAGCTGGGGGGCACAGGATGTTCCAGTCCACTCAAGTCCGGAAAGTCGGCCTTTTCGCCGCTGAAGAAGAATGAGTACTCTGTGAGGCGTCGGAAAAGTGGGAGAAGGTGCTCTCTCGTCCAGGGGAACTCGCTGTGGGTATTTCGAAGGAGCGCGACCCCATGCTTGCAGTGCTTAATAGCGGCTTCGCGCCCAGACTGCAGGAACTCAATGCAGATGAACAGGAGACAGACAAGAAGAACCGTGGGGTGCTTGTCCTGCGTCTTCATGCCTATCAGCTCTCGCATCGCCGCATTATAGTGCCGCGCGGCAAAACTGTAGTCCCGCGGGGCAACGATCTCGTCGGTTCCGGTGTGGAACTGCTCATAGAGGTCGCTAATAGCTAGAATCGAGTGCGTTACCGCCGGCTCAAACGTGCTGAACTGCATGACTATGTGCGTCCAGAAGTACGGATCAACGGCCCCAGAGAGGAGCGGGCCCACGGCTTCGGCAAAGTACTGCAGAGCGCGGTTGTCGCTTGGGGAACTGACTCCTGGAGAGACGCGACTTGGCTGAACCATCAGGACCACTGACGGACCCGAACCCGGGGAACTGGATGAGACATCTGTCAAGTCGGCGACGTGTGGATAGCCGTCGCATTTGCGGCCAGTCGCGGTACAGCGCTTGCAGGATGGTCTGCTCTCATCGCACTTGATCTTACGTACTCTAGCGAGCGTTAGACGACGCGCCAACTCATCTTGAAAACCTTACTCTCGGGTTCGCCTCCCGCGATCCAATCGGACGGCAATAGATGGAACTTACTTGCAGGTCAAACATCCAGTCCTCACCTTTCGGCTGCCTTTCCGAGCCATAGTTCCGCTAAAAACGACAAGACAAGCGGTACGAATATCCGTAAAGGCTCGAGTCAGCCTTGTTGTCAGTCTGTTAGTCTCGAGTCCGAACCAGCCACTGACGTGGTGCGCGTGCCGGTCAGGGGCAAATGACCGTGGACGCTCGCGGTGAACGGGTAGCCTGATGAGAAAGAACTTTGGGAGTCCGAGGGCGAGGTGCAGGAATGCGAGCGGAGACAGCCCGAGATAATATCTGTGCCCACCAACCTCGGAAGAGAAATTGTGGAAAACGCCAGGGTGAAACCGAACCCACCAATGTGATGGTGAGATTCCCAAAGAAACCCTGTCGTCAGCATGGGGTAGGATTGAGAGCTCCGCTTTGGACACGGTGTAGCTGTTTATCTAGCCCATTTTGGGACTAACGGTTTTCATAAACAAGCTGCAAACGTTTAGGCAACGGTTTAGAAAGAAAAATGTCTTGGTGTGACGGCTTGATCGTTGAAGCAATTAATGACGGGTGTACCCGTAGCTTGCTAAACCTCATCGGGAAGGTCATGGTGCTGATCGATTGGATCTTATGCTGGGAACCTGCAGATTTGTTCCTGGCTTATTAAGTGGATACAGATACGATGGTCTGGATTTTGTTCCGGTTGGAGGGGATTGATGTCTTGATGTCTGAGGGGAAATGTGAATTGTTGTACGACGGTCTCTGCGAAATCGGGAGGCAACAATTCGATCCAATTGAATGAAGGATGCGAAATCTATTCCCGAAATCTCTATAGCTCCATATCAGCTACATGACCCATGGAAACATCCCACATACTTGGTCTCCGATGCGTTGCTTCTCTCCATGTATCCGTAGATCTGATACGACCCGCGTACGCCACCAAGATGCCGGGTACCAAATCTTGTCTTCTGCAATCTTCAAGACGGGTAATTAGTGGAATCAAGTGAGCGTCTTAGATGGTCGGACCAACAGCTTGGCCAAAAAGCGATTCATCACCTTCATGATAAGTGTCGCTAATCTCGCCAAGAGCCTCTTTTGTCCGAATCTCTGCTAAGAGTACTCGATCATCTTCTAGGGCACTTTCCATGTATTTTCTATGGCTGCACTATCCGTCAACTTCAACAAGATACATTCAAGTCCCCCACCTCGATTGCGACAACTTACAAATCGGCTTTGAACCCCAACGCTCTCCGGTAGTCTTCAGGGATTTCACTGGCTGAACCAAGTTTCTCGGCAGCTGATGCTGTAGATCTTGGCCAGATGTGATTTGATCTGTGTTCCATGTTCCCATGGCAAGAGATGAAGATATTGTTCGCAAAACCAATACGAAATTTCCAAGGAACTGTTCAGCGAGTTTGCCAAACCTTTCCCCGTCAGAGATGGAACCTTTATTGAGTGAATTTTGTGAGAACACATATTTCCGCTGGACCTTGAAGAGAATGACCATTGTGGATCAGACTAACAAAGTGACGGAGTCCTTACTTGGCCTTTGGGGTTGATCGTTAGGAGATAATCCGAAGAGAGGTTCTCATTGCGATGTAGATTAACCAACTTGAGTTGCACCCTCAACTTTTCCTCCTTCAGGCCACTGTGCCCAAGTAAATATGTGAGTCTAGTAATAATGGAGTACAACGAAAAGGGGAAAATGTGAAGGGTAAACTCTGGTGGGCTGCCAACCCCAGCCCCAGCCACCTTGTTGTTGGACATTATGTCGATGAGCTGCGATTGGAGCAGAATTGCTACTTCTATTTGGAGGATGAAGAATTATCGAGCTGTATTCATGTATCATGCAGCCTTCGGTAATTCTGAATCCGGCAGCAGGCATTTGTCTGACACGCATCTTCCAGGCGGGGTAGTGATATCTCAACCCCCGATGATTGGTAATGGTTGCTGAGACACATCTTCACGTCACACCCGTTGGATCCGGACCTGCCAACCAGATCGCATTTTGCGATGTGCTTTCCGTACTTATGCAACCAGAAGAAGATTTTCCAGATGCAGCTTGGCAATAAATTCCTGAGACTGAGAGCTTTTTACATAGAGCCTAGATTTGAGCGCTCGTCTTACTCTCAAGTTTGCGCCCCGAGCACTACGAGCTACCTTAGTATCAACAGCAAAGTCTTCTAAGGTAGTAGAAATCAACACTCCTTGAGAGAGATAACAGAGAAGCAGTGAGTCCTGGTTTTCATTCTTGATACGCATTCTAAGAGGATACCTGTATTTTAACCTTACTCCTCCTAATTCTTATCTCATTCAATGGAATTCGACTTGAATCCATGCCGTTCAATCAACATGCTAAAAGTGTTGCTAGAGTAGAAGAAAGTTCAGAGAGGTGACGGTAAGTTTCTATCGTATTATATCTCTCAGACATCTCCGGTAGAACTAAGACACGTATTAACAGAGGGTAGGGGCGGGCCCAAACTGGCAACGGTTGTTAAGAACTAAGCCAATTTAGTATCCGCGCACAGGTTGAGGTTTGACGCATTTGGAAATTTCAAATTACCTAGTCTTGGTAGTGACGTCTACCATTAAGAAAATTGTCATAAAAGCGGACGAGGCGCTAAGTCACAAGGGAGCTGGCAGCAAAACTGGGTTCGGCTTCAACTTCCAAGAAAGTCCCCGTAAATGCAAGCTGCCTGGATCAAAGTTCAAGACATCAGTATCACTACAAGATGTCAGCGGCAGTGTTGACTGAGAACAAGCCAGCCGGCTCAAGCCTCAGCTCTGTATCGACTACTCATAGTAGTCCAATGACACCTCTCGCATATGATCTCGTCAATACAACAGAAGGCATTTCTACCTTGCTTGATTATCTCAGCGAACTACCCAATGACGCAATCCCATCGCATTACGTTGACCTCGAAGGCGATAACCTCAGTAGGCATGGCACCATTTCAATCCTCCAGCTTTTTGTGGCTCCAAAACAACGCACCTACCTCCTCGATATTCACAGTCTCGGCGAAAAGGCTTTCTCTACCCCGGGCAAGACGACAAGCAAGACGATCAAATGGTTATTGGAAAATCCCAACGTAAAGAAGGTGTTCTTCGATGTTAGAAACGACTCGGACGCTCTGTTCCACCACTTTGGAATCAGTCTGGCCGGGATTCAAGATATCCAGCTCATGGAGTTCGCCTCACGTTACAACAAGGCAGGATTCCTCAGCGGGTTGGCAAGATGCATAGAGAGGGATGCCCCGCTAACGCCGGAGGAAATTTTGAGTTGGAGAGCCGTCAAGACGATAGGACACAACCTGTTCGATCCGCAATCGGGCGGAAGTTATGCGGTCTTTAACCAGCGGCCCTTGTCTCCGGAAATCCTTCGATACTGCATCCAGGATGTTCAATACCTTCCTCGTCTCTGGGCAGTGTATGATCAAAGGATAGGAGAGGATTGGAAGCATGCCGTGGAGAAGGAAACAAAGAGTAGGATACTGCGATCCAAGGCATTTGATTACAACGGCCAGGGCAGGCATATGACGGAGCCACCTGTTGATTGGGTTGTGAGGAATTCAGGTACCGCCGCCAATATCCAACCTGTGCCAACGCTAATCACTCGTTACACGTAGCATCAATTTGAGGGGGGTTGATTGCGGGATTCGCTGATAGAAAAAGAGCTTTGTTTGGCAGTTGTCGACGGGTTCTCCTTCTGCATTGCATGTATATCGGTATCATACTTGAGGCAATGGGATTGCAGACTTTGTGCTAGAGACGTCTATCTTTTAGTTAGGTATCTTACACCAGCCAGTTATAGCATGGCGCAGAACTAGTGAGTCTCGAGACTCGGAATGAAGGAGTACTGTTCTATTCAGCAACACCAAATCTACTGAGAGCCCGTAGCTTTGCTCCATATCTCCAGAGCAACAACGGCGCTGGCACACCAATGACCGCTGCAATGATTGCCAGCAAACTCCCACCCAGGCCATAGCCAAGATTTTTGAACAAGGCGGGGACAAAAAGTGGAAATGCGAAAGCAAACATGGATCTCATGAAGCAACAGGCCGCCGAGGCCGAGGCAGTATGAAGAGAATAGCAGTCGGCAATGTAAGCCGAGATGCATTGGTATGAGACCATGCTGCTGCCAATAGTGATGGCTATGCCCATCTACAGATGATCAATGTTAGTTATGCAAATTGAATGGTTTCAGCGATCGGGGAGGACTTCTTACGTTGGGAAGCATGAAATGCATCTTGTTTTGCGCAGTCCAAGCGAAGAGGATTATCCCACAGGGGGTAAGAAGAGAGGCTGGAACCATTAAGGGTATTCGAAACTCTGGAACTCCCTTCTCATCTTTTTTAATGCCGCTTCTTCGTTTCAGTCTTTGATAAATCAGATCCATTGTTGGAGCGGTGATCAAAACACCAATCAACGCGCCGAGGGCAATAGAGATGTAGTTCAGACTCGCTTGCCCCTTGTGCATTCCGTAGTAATGCTCCCATAACCTCGGAAAGCTAGAAATAATGAGATAGAGAAGCCCAAAGTTGAATGCTTGGTACAGAGCTAGACTTTGGATGATGGGCTGAGTTGCCAGCATGATCCATGGTCGAGATAGACTGGTCCTGAGGACGACGGCAAGTGTGCGATCTTGCTTTTCCCACTCCGTCTGGAAAGATGCATCGTTATAGAGCTTGCGCAGTCGCTTAGCCTTCAGGTACAAGATTCGTGGCGCGTATGTCTCCCTGAGGAAAATAAAGGCGACGATTTGCACCGTGAAGTTCAAGATGACCACGGTCCAAAAGGTCCAGCGCCAGCTAGCATATTGAGAGATGTACCCCCCCGCTACACATCCGAAGATCATTAGAACTGCACTCGATGCCATTGTAGGAAGTGATTTGGTGAATCTTGGGTTATCAACGTACCAATGGGGCCGAGTGCGAGACCCAAGACGGGAGCAAATTGCATGAACGCAATGCCTTTGCCTCGCTCCTCGGGCTTCCAGCAGTCAGCTAGTACGCCACTGCCCATCTAGTAAAGATGTCAGCATAGTTTAACCCATTCAGAATCAGATATAAATACGCCTATAGTCGCGCTTCCGCCTATTCCAGCAAGGAAGCGAAAAGCCAGGATCTGCCCCTTGGAAGCTGCAAACCCGCAAAGGGCAGTAGAGATGATAAAGATCAAGTTCCCAACCCGTACAATTGGTGTTCGGCCCCATATCTCCGAGCAAGGTGATAATACGAAAGGCCCTAGCGCGTACGTGAGGAGGAATATTGAAAGCACCAATTGACGTTCAACGTCGTTGGTGATGTGTAGGTCGTGGCCGATCGGTCCTAAAGCTGGGGCAGCTATCGATGAGGACAGGGGAGATAGGAACGCAAACGAAGATATGATCAAAGATGTCTATGATTGCAATTAGCTAATGCTCAATGTCTTGCAATCTTCCAGGACAATACTCACAGTCCATTTCTGTCTTCGATTCCAGTTCTTGGGGTTTTCTGGGTCTTCCGGTCCATCCCATGTCACCTAAAACAAGCAATCACTGTCAGTTGATGTGATCACTGTCAGATACTCCACAAAGGCTTACAGTGGGATGTACAGAAATGCTTCCATCGCAGCCTTCATTCAGTCCAGATTCCGATGTTGAGGGCGATTCCAGAGTTGGCGTGGCCTTGGCATCGCTGCTATGGTTGAAGTTGGCTTCATTTTCGCACAAGGTCGTCAATGAGTTGAAAGAGAAGAGAGCTGGTCCAAGAATTCGTTCGGCATCCTCATTAAGATCCTGTTGAGGATTCATGGCAAAAGCAGCGAAAAACAGAAAAGGACCATTGAAAATTAGAATAGGATCGCTGTCGAAGAAGATCTAGCCAAGACTTGTATCACCGAGATCAATCTGCCACCTGAGCACCCCAGACTCCTTATACCACCAAAGCACTGGCTTCCGTGGCTTGATGTTCCCCATTGGTCATAGCATGTTTACCATCTTTGACGTGGATTAGTAGTACGGGCCGCAATCCGCAACTTCCCCAACAGCATCTAGGGCTGAGCTAGGCACTTGAATACATCTCAGCTCTATGGAGCCCTTCGTAAAGCTGCCCATTCGGGCCTTTCGGAAGCTCTCGAGGTCAAGCCATCGTACAAAGAAGAAGCTTAGCGTAATGTTCTCGTTCCCCGGAAAGACGGCGCAGGCCGAGCATTAGAGGAATTGCTCCTCTCCCAGACAACCTTCGCCGCGCTACGATCTTAACTGGCGCGAACTATCCCACGCCACGGCCCGAATGGTACAAAACAAAAGCCACAAGCGTACTTCCCCGTGTTTTACCCCTGACCCGGTCTTGGACTATGAATAATCGTATTGTTCAAACCTCGATGCTCATTTTATGCCACGAGATCCATGGAGCGCAAAAAGATTAACCCAGTGCACTTCATCGTCACGAACATCAAAATAAAGGTCCATCCAGGATTCGAACCTGGGCTTACGGAAGGAACTGAATTGGAGATCAGAATCCGACGTCCTAACCAACTAGACTAATAGACCAATGAGGCCCGAGAATGGCTTCTCGTTGGGACGGGCAATCGTTTGCGACGTTCATGTTGAATGTGTTTGGGGCTGAAGCCCTCACTGTGGACACATCGTGAAGTGGATCTCGGAGTTAAAGCAGCACCTGAGATGCAAAGTTGGCGGCTTAGCTCGCAGTGTGGAATCCTCTTCCGTATTCGGAGCGTTCAATACCCATTGGAATGGCATAATACTCAATTGGATCAAAGGTATTGACATTGAGTTGTTCAGTTCCGAGAACCTGGGTTGAGAATGAGGAGCAAATCCTGCACAACGCCGCAATGCAGAAATAAGATATATCTCTCCACATTGCATTCCTGAAGTAGTGAGGCGTTCAGCTGAGGACTCACTATTACTGCGGTGGCGGCGCTGAGCAAAGCATCTTCAGCTCGACGCCACAATGCCGGGGTAACATCAAATCTCAAAGGGGAATCTCGTCACGCGATGCAGCCGTGCTTTTCATGTCTCATGGTGTGAAGTGAAGATGCGAATAATACCATTCTTATAAGATTGTGCATTGAATCTGTTAATTATGCAATTTGCACTGCCTTACCTAGTACACATTACAAGTGCAACTACGACAATGTCGCAATGCCGATTGATTGAGATCAATTGATCCAGTACTAACTGCTTGGTAGCTTTAGCAGCAACTAATATACGGAGCTTGAATTGATGCAACGTAGCAGAAGAATTACGATCCTCGTCCGTCTCAGCTTACGGCGATGCTTTGTTACAACGATGATCGATGTAGGCGCCTTAGGAAGCACAGTGGCCCCGAGTCACTTTCACAAGCTCAATTAAGGTCTAGTGTACATAAGAGGTACACCAGTGTAGCGACTAATTGACAGCGGCGAGGTGATGCGACTTCTTGTAGTGGTTATGGCAGATAAGAATAGTTTGCCATGTCTCTAGCTGGCAGACAAGGGGCAAGAAACGCAGACCAGGTGGAGAAGTACTGAGGGCTGCTCAGCACGGTGATTCTCAACAATGACTGGGCGATTGGTTTAGTGGTATAATGACCGCTTAGCATGCGGTAGGTCCTGGGTTCGATTCCCAGATCGTCCACACATTTTTGCAAATCCCACCATTTTGCTATAGCCATTAGTTGGCCGTCATTTTTGTGCGACAACGAATCTCTTTAACGAGAAAGGAAGCACGGCACAACGGGAAGTAGGGTCATTTCTGGTCATACTCGGAAGGTTAAATGCATTCTGTGGGGTAAATCGGCCGGATGTCGATCACCCTCCCATCCGCGCTTGGAGGCATCTCGAAGGGGACGTGTTCTCATCATCCTCCGAGATTCAAGGGGCAAGGGGCACGGTTCAGGCTAGATTACTTTATTTTCTTATTTAGAAAACAAGCACTTTTGTTTAGCTCACACGACCAGACTTCACCCGGATTGCCGACGCCAAATGGACCTTGAAAGCTTGGCGGGCGACCAGATTCATTAATATGGCGTAATATCCCGGCTACCTTAGATGCTACATCGTTCGAACTTCTGTGCTGCGCCTTTGTCTACCATCGCGTCCCGTCGTTACAGCAACTTGATCTCGACATGGCCGGAACCTTGCTACTCCCTGGCCATTTCAGAGCCAAATCAGGTGGCCGGCGAAAACTCTTCTCGCAGATGCAGGCGACTGTCTAATGCTTTGCGTATATGATCAATTCGAGGTGCACTTGCACCCGCCAAGTGCTGTCCAGATGCTTCTCGTGAGTTGGGCTGGATAACGAGTTACGGACGCAACCCAGCCAACCCAAGAACGAACATGCTTCTCACCCCAGCAATCCTCCTTGGATTCATCTCTCTAGCATCCGCCCACAGCCGAGTGACAAATTTCGTAATCGAGGGTGCATCCTACCAAGGCTTCAACACACGATCCTCAAACCCCAATATCCTCGCAGCATGGAGCACCACAGTCAAGAACGATGGTTGGATCAGCACCGAGAGCTACGGCAAACCTGACATCGTCTGCCATGTCAATGCGACCAACGCTCAGGGGCATGCACCCGTTGCTGCTGGTGACACGGTTGACTTTCAATGGCAAGGCTGGCCCGAGTCACACCATGGCCCGGTCATCACGTACCTCGCTTTCTGCGGCATCGACAGAGGGTCCTGTGAGTCCATCGACAAGACAAAGTTGACCTTTTTCGCGATTGACAAGGTTGGACTGGTTGATCCGAGTCTTAATGCCACGAGTTTCGCAACGGCGTGGGGTATTTGGGCGAGCGACATCCTCATCCGCAATAATGCGACCTGGGTGGTACAGATTCCACCCAAGATCCAGTCGGGTCACTACGTACTTCGACATGAAATTATCGCTCTCCATTTTGCTAGGTATCCAGGGCTAGGCGCGCAGCACTACCCGCAGTGTGTCAACATTGAGGTTACTGGCGGCGGGAGCGACGAGCCCGCTGGAACGTCGGCTGTAGACTTGTATAAGCCGGCGGAGGATGGGTTGATCTATGCTATCTCCCAATCGCCTACTGGGACGTACAAGATCCCGGGGCCGACGATGTACACCGGCGCAGCGGCTTTCGTCTCTCAGACTGGGGTGACGGTCCGTTCATCGGCGACTGCGATACCTGGCCGACCGACTGCGACTTAGACAGGAGATTAAGTACAGGAATTGTCACAATCTTGGGGATAAGTTACTGATGGGGAAGAAGCTCGCTCTACTGCCGTTTTTGGTAGAAATGGGTCTGATGGAGACTTGGAGGCCGGATAGTGTCGGTGTGTCACAATAGGGCGGTAGCTAATTAGTCCGTAGAGATCGGTTGAAATTGACTCAGCTTAGCCAATATCCTCCCTCACCTCAGATCCAGAGAAAATGTCATGAAGGGCGTTCAAGGCGTAGAAATATGACAATTAGTGGGTGTGAACGACGTCTGATTGGCTGACATGCCATAATAGCTGCTGAATGCCTCATCCACGGCTGCGCTTCGCCGGTGCGATACCCCGGTTTCGGGCGCATTTGCCGGAGACAAGGTCCGGGGTCAGGGCCTTTGCCTATCTCTCTTCACCCTCCTACATCAACCCAACTGCGTCTGCCACCATTTACAATTGACAGAGACTCATTGGCTCTCACGAACACGGGATTGCAGTGTGTAGTTGTTATATTGAGTTTCTTAAGGGCATCGTTTTCACCATGATCGCCCGCCTCAGGCCAGTGCTGTGTGTTTCCAGCCAGATGAGGTCACTCTCAACCGCGCGGGGTTCCTTATCTGGACTCAAGATCAATACCGACAGGCTTCAAGAGACGATTCATCATACCTGTCAATGGGGTGCAGAACATCGATATGGAAAGTATGTGTTACCATTTCTCATTTCCTTGAACAGATGAGTCGGTATGAATGCTAACATGTATGATGGCAGGGGTGTGACAGAAACGGGCATGGCCAGACTGGCGCTGTCCGACGATGATGCTCGCGTTAGAAAATGGTTCGCTGATGAGGTAGCAAGCCTTGACTGTGAACTTTCAATTGACGAGATGGGGAACATGTTTGCGAAACGTCAAGGGACGCTCAAGTCCTCCGCCCCGATGACAGCCATGGGGAGCCATCTTGATACCCAGCCCCGCGGTGGCAGATATGACGGTATTCTCGGCGTTCTGGCCGCTGTGGAGGTGATGAGAACACTAAAGGACAACAACTTTAAGACGCAATTCGATGTTGGTATCGTCAACTGGACCAAGTGAGTGCGGTAACTGCTTCGAGAAAATGCATGATGTCTGACAGAAAACAGCGAAGAAGGCGCCCGTTTCCCAAAATCGATGATGTCCTCCGGTGTCTGGGCAGGTGAAATCCCGCGGGAAAAGGCCTGGGACTTAGGCGACATCTTCGACCCTTCTGTGACCGTCAAATCCGAACTGGAACGACACGGCTACATCGGTCCCCTCGCCTGCTCAAGCGACGCATCAGCTGGATACCCTCTGGGCGCGCATTTCGAGTTGCACATCGAGCAGGGCCCCATCCTCGAGGAGAACGGCAGGAAGATCGGCGTCGTGCAGGGCGCGCAGGCGTACCGCTGGTTCACCTTCACCATCACGGGCCGCGACGCGCACACGGGCACCACGCCGTTGAAGTCCCGCAGGGACCCGTTGCTTGCGGCGTCAAAGATGATTGCTTCCTCCAATGCCATCGCGAAAGAGCTCGGGGCCTTGGTGTCGACAGGTGTTCTCAAGATTCCACCAAGCTCGTCGACCAACACTATCATCTCAGAGGTCACATTCACCCTCGATATCCGCCACCCCAAAGACGCAGTGGTCGAAGAGGTGCAGAGGCGATGCATCGAGTCGTTTGAAAAGATCGCCGCGGAAGATGGCCGCGGGGTCGAGATGCAGTGGACGCTGGATACCGATTCGGCGGCGGTCAAGTTTGATAAGGAGTGCATCCAGGCCGTGGAGAGCGCGGCGATTGGTCTTTTTGGGCCGGACGGCTGGCTGCCGTTGACGAGCGGCGCGGGGCATGACAGCGTTTATACGAGCAAACGGTGTCCGACTACGATGATTTTTGTCCCTTGCAAGGACGGTGTGAGCCATCACCCCGAGGAGTATTGCAGCCCGGAAGATTGGTCAGTGGATGCGCCCTTCGTGTTGTGAAAACCGTGAGCTAACTTTGCTGCAGTGCGAATGGCACTCAGACCCTGCTTGAAGCCGTTGTAAGCTACGACCATCTCAGAGCTAGCAGGAAGTGATGGTTATGAGAGGTTTTGAGAAGGAAAAATTCACAACTAGCCGTTGGAATCCTTTTCTACCAGAAACATGTCATTTTGTTCATTCCGAAGACATATCACTCACTGGAGATTTGGGTGACGTGAGTATCTGTGAGTGAACACTCAGTTCGTGAGTGAGGTCAAGCACATGCATTAACTCCTGCACCAAACTAATCGCATGAATGCCCTGGGACGGCCCAAACTCATGCCAAAACGCTCCATTTGTAAGAAATCCTTAATTTATCAGCACGCCCTTCATGTTGATTGTCATTATCGCGCCTTTGCAACACGACGATCGCTCTTCTATGATGTCAGACCCTCCAAGAGTGCGTCTGGGACTTTGGTGCATTTAGCGCTGTGGAAACAACCGTGCTGGACCTCGGAGACCCCTCACGCTCACTCCCGATGCAACAAGACAGCCACACAGCGTGTTAGAGGCACCATAACAGCGAACATGGATTAGTAAGACCGCAGCAAGTTACTTCCACCCAATTGTGACGCCATCAACCGGATCGTCCAAAGAAGGGCGTGTTTGTGGAGCGTCAAGATAAAACATCGTCGGAGGTCCAGCCTGTCCAGACTTATCCAAGCCTCTAACAAAGTACTGACTCAACCCTGTTTTAAGACACTATCTACAGCTGGCGATAGTTCACGCCGCAATCCCGAATTGAAAACCACGAAAAGTCAAGACGTGAGACTATACCATCACCATGACTACCGGAATCAAGCCGTACAAGATCGAGATCCCAGACTCAAAGATCGAAGAGCTCCACGCCAAGCTCGATATTGCCAAATTCCCACCAGAGTCTGCGCTCACTGAAAGCTGGGACTATGGTGCGCCGGTCTCAGAGGTGAAGAGGTTGGCCCAGCGCTGGCGCAACGGCTTCGATTGGCGCGCGGCTGAAGCCAAGCTGAATGAGTTGCCGCAATTCACGACAACCATCTCCGTGGACGGTTTTGGCGACCTCGAGATTCACTTCCTCTACCAGAAGAGCAAACAACCTGGAGCTGTGCCGCTTCTTTTTTCTCACGGCTGTAGGTTTCACCTCATTAGGTACTCTAAGCACGCATGTTGCCCATGACTGACTTGATATCAGGGCCCGGTAGCTTCCTCGAGGTCCTCAAGATTCTTCCGCTATTGACGACGGAGAAGAATGGTCTTTCTTTTGATGTCGTAGCACCATCACTTCCCAACTTTGGGTTTTCGGAGGGTCCGGACAAGCCAGGCTTCCGCCTGCCTCAGTATGCCGAGGTCATGCACAAGGTGATGCTGAAGCTTGGTTACGAGCAGTATGGTTAGTCTTCGCACTTTCGCACCTCTTGAGATGTGAGCTAACGATCGAGTAGTTACTCAAGGAGGCGATTGGGGCTTCGGAATTACCAGGTTCATGGGACTGCTCTACCCAGACCACGTCCTCGCATCCCACATCAACATGGTGTCCGCGAGCCCGCCATCTTTCTTCAAGAACCCGCTACAGTACATCAAGAACCTCTTCCCTTACTCTGAAAAGGAGAAGAAAGGCATCCAGAGAAGCCAATGGTTTCAGAGAGAGGGTCGCGGATATAACCTCGAGCAGAGCACTAAGCCTGCGACCGTGGGCCTCGCGTGGGTTGACTCACCCGTGGCGCTATTATCCTGGATCCTTGAGAAGCTGCACGACTGGACCGATTCGTACCCATGGACAGATGATGAGCTCCTGACTTGGATTTCCATCTACCAGTTCTCGACTGCTGGCCCCGAGGCTAGCGCGCGGATTTACTACGAGGTTACACATCCCAAGCCGCATACTGAGCACATTACATGGGTACCGCGTGTGAAGCTCGGCCTGTCCATCTTCCCCATGGACTTGATTGTTCCGCCGATGACCCATGCTAAGACGCTGGGTCCTGTTGTGTTTGCCGCCACGCATGGTGATGGTGGACATTTTGCTGCTCATGAGAGGCCTGAGATATTGGTCAAGGATCTAAGGGAGATGTTCAGCAAGGGCGGTGGTGCGCATGATGTTGCTGAGTTGTTGTCTAAGCAAAGTATTCGATCAAAACTATAGAGCAGGTTGAAACACAAGTTGTATTGTTACTAGGTTCTCGTAGTATGTGGACTCAAGATTTCGTCTTCCTACAAAGATATCCCTAATGCTATTAACCCTGTGCGCTACCAACCTCATGCTGTTTTCCGTCCTTCATGCCCCAGTGCCATTCCGAAGTCCATATTAACGCCAGACACAGAGAATACGCCAGCCCGACAACACATAATTAACAATTTTACATGAGACGATCATCATTAGACTTCGTGACGATGGGGTATCAAACTATGAGGTAGCCCATGATTTCCCGGGTGAACCGCAGCTAGATCTTTCGGGTCTGCTGGTAAATCCTGGCCAGGATTGGCCTCCTCGTAGTGAGCCCATTTGACGAACCGGTAATACGCAGCTGCCAAAGCGGCTCCCATGCATGGACCGAGCCAGTAGATCCAGTGATAATTAGGGAAGGCTCTACCTGCAACGGCGCATCCAAAGCTGCGGGCGGGGTTCAAGGAACCGCCAGTAACCCAGACACCTACTCGAATGTCAGACTTCTGTCTTGTGAAACTAAGTGAAGAATTCATCTTACCTGGGATGAGAATCATGAACAGAGCCAGGCCAATGCCGATTGGTGCGAGGAACGTATCACGAGACTTCTCGGCGGCCAGCATAAAAACAACGATGACAAGCTGCGCGGTAAAGAACATCTCGAGAAAAAGTCCCTGAGCGACAGATGTCCCAGTTCCAAGCAGCGAGTTTGCCTGAGAGACTTGGCCTGGAAACATGGCTTCGACCAATCCGCCAGCGCACATCGCGGCCAGCATCTGAGCCGGCACGAGGAAAGCGGACCGCATCCACGGCAATTGACCGCCGAGAGAAAGGCCGAGAGTCACCTATCCTCACTCCCATCAGCATGCGGCTCAATGAATGAAGCAAGGGAGCTAACGTGCTCCTGGAGATCAATGAACTTACTGCGGGATTGAAGAGACCGCCGCTGATACGGTAAAATGTCCAGACGTTGACGAGCAGAGAGAGACCGTATGACAGGGCGATGAAAACTACGCCCTCGCTACTGAGTGTGCCATCACCGGCCGAGGCTGTTCCCTGCTTGATCACCATGATGTTGCCGGCGTACGCAAAATACAGGAAGAAAAAAGTGCCAACGAACTCGCCGGAGGCTGCAACAAGATGTCCTCCCATGGTGCTGAGATGGGCTTTGGGAATCTCGTGGTGCTGGCCGTTGGCGTGATCGTGGTGACGGTCCTGGGGTTTCGACATCTTTAAGCTCTCCTCTATCTATCTCCCTGTCTCTCTCTCGTTTCTGATTCAGTTGCTTGCGTCGATGTTGGAGGTGCTATTGCCATCAAGGAACATGGGTGGAAAGGAGAAACATCCGAGTGCAAGGGAGGGGACCCTTTTGAACATGTATGATGGCGACATTGTACCTACTTTAGGTATGGAGGAAAATCTTCCATAGGGGGTAAACACAAAGGAATATCACAAAACGCCGTCCCAGAAATCCTCCGTCAGGGGTTTAGCTCAACGGGTGTGGCTTGGAGTATGTTTAACTCGAAGCGGCTCTAATGACTCTTCGTGATGCGGTGCGCACGTCAGTGGTACCCCCATGGTGAGACATTTAGCCTGGCGCCCCCAATCATCGGTGCATTCTTTGAAGCTGCTCTAAGCCGCAGACGTGCTGGAATCTCCTAATCTGGCGCGCCGCCGTTCACTTTCGAATTCGATACGATGACAAGCGGCCAGGCCGCGCGCCCGCCTCCACTTGCCCAACATCCCGCGTTTGATTTGTTGACAAGGAGTGAAATTCCTACGGCTCACGCCTGGGAGGTCTCTCTTTTCTGCGTGGCTCGCTCCGCGTCTGCGGGACATTCCCCACGCCATCCACTTACGTGTGGTCCAGAGTCCCCCATCTCAGGAAATCTGAAATAGAAAGTCTAGCGTCCGTCCGTCAGTTTGCTAGTGGCTGGAACTAGGAGTCCCAAAAACCTCCGTGCCGTCAACCGGTCAACGGAAACAGGCAGTAGGAAGCAAGGTCCGAGAGATTGTTTTGATGCTCAACAGATTCAGTGTTACGTTTGTGCTTGTACGTGTTGAACAAAGCGCATCAAATTCGTGTGACTCGGTTGGAAATGCCATCTGTGAAGAGAAGCTGCCATATTTCTTATCCGGCCAATAGTGGCCGCGGCGGCTAACAACATGGTATCACTTTCAGATGCCATACATCAATACGAGACAGTCAAGTTTGCGCTAGGAAAGGGGTGCTGAAGTACGGTGAGCCAGTCTCAAATCAGGCATTCTGTTATTTGCATCGCAAAATAACTAACTTCTGAGGAGATCACTCCCGCATCCCAATTATACTCTAGCACCGGGAGTAGAAAGATCAGCTCAATTCTCCAATGTAAGAACTATGATTTCCAATTGGCATACATACTTAATCATTCTGAGCATTATTCTAGAAACAACTAGGCAGAACGCCGCATCAAAGTCCAATATGGTCGACAGTCGTTCATCATCGAATACGAACGTTGCCCAACGTGTCATACCCAAACATGTTGATCAAGTACCTGGAAACCTACAGCAAAACACAGGTACGACTGGTGTAGCAAGTGCGACTTCCATGAGGTGTTCTTAGTCGCACACCTAAGCGAATTATGTCGTTGCCACGTAACTATCCTCTTTGGCTCTCTTCATGGCGATGGATTTGTCGATGAGATCGAAGTTGGATTCAGCAAGATCTTCGATTTGGTCTAACACCGGGATGGAAGTATGGGCTCATACCAAGCTGCGAATTGCCGACAGGGACCATTATCAAGTTGCGGTTCGCAGCCCGCACAAAGGCAACATTGACATCCCGCTGACTACAACTCAACTTGGTGCCAAATGGAATAAATATTTGGGGAGCACTAGACGCTTCATATTTACACTTCCTCCCATTATGCCTCGTGGTGTGACAGTCCAGCACCATGGAGTTGTGTCTCCGCCTCTCTTTGGACTTACAGCCGTCAAGCTGTCTGTTGCAATTCTGTGATTGTTGAGAAGGTTGAGAAGGTGGCTGTCTCATCTCTTTACGAGCTGTTGAATTTCAGATACGATGCGAGAAGTTTCTGCTATGTATCACCCGACCATCGAAAAGGCTATCTCTTGCGATACCTACGCGATACACTGAGTCGAGAGTGAGCAGGCTCAAACTGCTTGAAGTGAGGATGGCGCGACCAACGACAGCCTGGCGAAGGGATCTACCTGAACATTCGGTTGCTCAACGGATGAATAAAGCTCGTGAGCCCCAGTTATGTCATGTTTGGCGAAGTAGCCTTGACTCGAAGCGTAAATACTTGTCATTTCCAAGCGCTTCGGAGGCTTTTGTCAATTCATCATCTCCAAACTCCAGTGGAGTGCTTGCGGTCTTGGAACTCGGCCGCTAGTCTCGTGAAATGGGGCCGGGGCTGGGGCCAGGGTCATGAATCTTCCACCTTCGGCCAGATCCCCACGTGGTTGAGAAGAGGGCCAAAGCATCGTGATCTGGGGTAGTTGTGCGGGGTGAAGCACACGAAGCGGAGCTACGGAATATACCCTGTGGCATGGTTGAACGTGAACGTCTGTACTGAGTTCCAACCTGACAATAGTTCATGATCAACGAATAAGTTGTGATCAGGTATTGAGTGCTAAGCGGAACTGCATCGGCGGTCCTAGTTTCTGTGGATCTTGCAAAAATTTGCGAAATCGCGGCACCTAAAGTCGGCAGTCAAAAAACTCCACCGATTCCGACTTTCGGAACCACTTAGACTTGAAGTTGCCGGTGGAGGCTTTATTATGCATTTTCTATGTTATGACCCAACCTCATGACTTTGTGACGACAACTCTTCGTTTCTCGGTCTATTCAACTTTGACACAATTGGTTTCTTCACAACTACCAATCGAGAGCACGCAAAATGCCATTTCTAAACCCTCAGCCCAAGATCATCATCGCCGGTGCAGGGATTGGTGGCCTCACAACGGCACTGTCCCTCCATGCAGCTGGTTACACCGACATCCACATCTTCGAGGCAGCGTCACAACTCACAACTCTTGGCGTCGGTATCAACGTGCAACCCTCCGCCATTCTTATTCTTCGCAATCTCGGACTCCTGGAAGCTTTCGAGAAGACCGGCGTCAAGACGCAAGAGCTCAACTTTTACAACCGCCACGGCCACCCCATTCTTAGCGAGCCGCGAGGTCTCAAGGCAGGCTATGCGGTGCCTCAATTTAGCGTTCATCGCGGCGAATGTCAGATGCTGCTTCTGAGTGCCGTCAAAGAGCGATTAGGCGAAGGGGCGGTCAACCTCAACCACGCTCTGACAGGGTTCTCACAGGACGAGAAGACCATCACAGCGGAATTTTCGCAGCGCCGAGATGGTGCGCCAGCAGGACAGTCAAACGTCACAGGTCATGTCCTCATAGCCGCCGACGGGATCAACTCGACCGCGAGAAAGGTTCTCTATCCTAACGAAGGCCCGCCGCGATTCTCGGGCCGCATGCTCTGGCGCGGCTGTATTGAGCGTGAGCCGTACCTCACCGGAGCTTCAATGGTATGGGCCGGTCACGCCGATCAAAAGTTCATTGCCTACCCCATCAGCCAACGTTCAGCAGACAAAGGCAAGAGTCTCGTGAACTGGATCGCCGAGCTTAGGATACGAGACAAGGACGACGAGGATCTCACTCCGCCAAAGACGGACTGGACCAAAGCGGTCGACAAGTCTGTGTTTGAGGGTCCGTTCCAAGGATGGCGGTGTGGTGGGCTTGAGATGAAGGATCTCATCGACGCTACCGAGAAGGTCTTCGAGTTTCCCATGAGCGATCGGGACCCTGTTGAGCGTTGGAGTTTCGGCCGTCTCACTTTGCTTGGCGATGCTGCACATGCCATGTACCCGATTGGCTCCAACGGCGCTTCGCAAGCCATTATTGACGCGGAGACTCTTGCGAAGCAACTTGTCGAGAACCCAGATGATGTGGTGGCGGCGCTGAAGGCGTATGAGTCGGAGCGGTTGCCAGCCACGTCCAAGATTATAATGGCAAATCGAGGAAATGGACCAGATCACGTCTTGCAAGTTTGCGAGGAAAGAGCGCCTGATGGGTTTGACAACGTTTATGATGTCGTCCCGAAGGACGAATTAGAAGACATTGGTCGAGTTTACAAGAAGGTGGCTGGCTTTGAGATGGAGAGCGTGAACAAGAAAGCACAAGAAACAGAGGGTGTTAGCGAGAAGTTAGGATTGAAGAGTCCGGCTGAGTGGATTTAGGTCTTAACTATGTACCAGAAGATTGACACTTGGTACCCGGCTTTCTGAGTAATCCTAGTTGACTGTAGCAGGGATATCAGAGCATCAATATGTCACTGGGTACTCTAGTACCTAGGTATTCCAGCCTAGAGCTTCGTAAAGCGAATTGCGTTTCACAAGCAGCTTGGGCTCGAAACATGAAGTCATGTGGGTTTTGTTTTGGCGCCTCTCAGAACGATAAGTCTTGTGCAACTGGCCTGTTCTAGAAAACTTGGAACCAATAACTCCGGTAATAAGCTGAGCTGGGAGCAAGTTGTCAGAGGCTGAATATGACTTGTCAATGTCTCTGGTGCACGGCGTACTTCCTGCGACCGTTATGGTATGATGGCGCGAGTCCAGACTCCTGCACCTGAAGTCAACGTGATGCTGCGGGTTGTCTTAGACCCCTGGCTGAGATGTACATACGCCACAGGATCGTTAGGTTCGGCCTAGCATCTCCCTGCGCGGCAGCTACATCCAATCCTCTTTCGGTACCAAAGACATTGACAATCCATAGCATCTTGGCCGTTGTCGCAGCAGCTTGAGCCACAGGCAAGGGGTCCGGCAGTCAAGTGAGTCTGAACCCCGGCTTGTGCCACCATATGGCCTGCGCACCTCCTGTTGCGGCATTTCACGCGGTCAAGTCGATTCAGTGGCCCTGGACAGGCCACTGAGTGGTGCATTGAAACCAAACCGCGGAAGGCTTACCTCTTTCTTCTTATCCTACAGTGTCTGTCTCATCAAGAGCGAGGTGAATACACCGCAACTACGACGTGCTCCATCTATCGATTGATGTCATCACTTCGAAAATATGTACATAAGAAGAACTCCAAACTTCGTCTATCAAAGCTTGAAAAGAAAGGGGTTGCGATAGAGTAGATATTTAACCTTTAAACTTTCTGCCCAGGCTTGAAACTTCAAGACACCCAATATCACATGTATCAATCCGCGTCAAAAGTGCTAAGAGCCACCGAAGGGGTACAAAGGATCAAGCCGACTACCGGTAATCCACTGTTGTTGGGCATAGTCACCGCTCATAATCCACTGGCCAAAAAAATACAAGAGATAAATGTAGGATTCTATCATCTGCAACATTTTGCTTTTTCCGCTTCCTCCCTTCTGGACCGAACCACACCAGTGACGAAATGGTCCAAGCTTGGGAGGTTGGCCCCCTCCGGTGGCCCGTGACTGAATATCTTTCTTTTCCGTTCTCGCCGTCTTCCCGGAATCCCGACCTACCGTCCTTGGTGTTTCATCTTTCTCAACGTCCCATGATATTACCACGGCTATTACCTCGCTGCCAGAATGGCGTCGTGAAAGGACACCATGGATAATACGTTACCGTCGACAACCTTACGAGCAATCGTGTCCTTGGTTGTCCTCTTTGTCCTGGCAACGACCTTTCTCGCTCTCAGGATTTACGCGAGAGTCGTCGCGCTGAGAAGCTGGCGACTAGGGACGGACGACTATGTCATACTTACTGCGTGGGTTAGTATGCGCCTCCACGCAATTCGTCTTCAAGTTCTCTGTTGCTCTTCTAATACGATATCTAGATTCTCTTCACTTCTATGATATGGCTCCGTGTCGCGCTTCTAAGTGCGTCCACGTTTGCGGGGATATTAACCGTCCCCAAGTACAGCAAGATCAGTGGGGCAGCCGGGATAATGTCAAACATAGCGTGGGCGCTAAGCAAGACATCATTCGCCTTCACGCTCATGCGTTTAATGACGGGGAAGCTTCGGTGGATGCTGTGGTTTATCATCTTCTCCATGAACCTCTTCATTGCGCTGTGGCTGCCGTTATTTCTCAATCCATGTGGCCCTGGCGGACCGGAGCCGTGCTGGCCACGCGAAGTATCCGTTCCGTTTGGGATATTTGTTAACGGTAATGTCATTGCTTCTATCTATGTCACCCAGGGTTCATTCGAGGTTTGGAATCGCTGACTACATGTATCTCACGCGCAGCATATTCGGCTTTTTTGGACATTTACCTTTCCTTGCTACCGTGGAAAATTATATGGCCCCTTCATCTTAGCACACGAGAACGGGTCGGCATCTGCGTTGCGATGAGTATGGGTATCGTGTAAGTTTCGATTTCGCACCCGTTGTATCAACACTCGAGTTTGGGGTTCGTCTGTTGACGTCATTCGCAGCGCTGGAGCTACTGGGATAGTTAAAGTTTTATATCTCTTCGGACCACAGTCACGTAGTATATTCGACTCCGGAAGTATTTGTAAGTTTTAATGCACCTGGTCGCGATCGAGAAGTCATTAAAGGCGATGGACTCATTTCAGGCTGATACTTCCTCCTTAGACACATTAAGCACCCTCTTCATTTGGGAAAGCGCTGAGATATCAGCCACAATCATGGCCACGTCGATCCCCATGCTACGGAAACTAGCCGTGAACGTCACAACAAGGCATTCCTCGCGCGGAAGTAGCGAAAACACTATGCTATCCGTATTCCAGCGCCAGCTACGTATAGCTGGACTGAGCAACGGTGCCGATGGCCAACACGCAGATCAGCCCACGAATTATACTGGCGCTTCTTCTACGAATTATTCTCGGGCTTAAGAGAGACTAAGGAGACAAACTCTCGAGCCTTATTACAACATGAGTCAAGCGCAGGCTACCCTATTCGGATGTCACCAACTTGGCGAAGAGGATGGACAGTGCCCTCATATTGGCCTATGAACCAACACACAATACTCAAATCTTTCTCGCATGGTCTCACCATGAGAGATTAGCTTACTCGCTCCTTGAGTCAGCTTGTCCATTTTGATCGGTCCCCGATAAAAGTACTAGTACCACATAGAATATTAATGAATTGTCAAACTGTCAAAAGTAACCCCCTGCTCTACTTGATAATCAATACATGCAGGGATTAGGTCCCAATTATTCCAGGGTCCCTGCTTCTGGTTTCATGCCAGTGCATACTGCAACCAACCAAGACGACTGTATCTCACGACACATGTCTTTCATCGTGATCTCATGCACGTAGTTACGATAAAGCGACCGATAGAAGTGTATAATGTATTGCGGAATCAAGGATGAATCAAATCTCTGCGTTAGCTTCAGATATCAAAGCATCTCAAGGTCAAAACGCGATCGAGGACACCAGCTTAGCAAGACCTCAGTCTCCCAAAGGCGCAACAATCGCACATCAGTGATGCTGGAGTCTTTCATGGACAAAATTTCACGTTGGTAATTCCCTTGCCCAGACCAAGTGACCGTCTTGCGCCGGCACGTTGAGGACTATGACTCGGAGGCCCCGGATATCCGGGCAACACAGAAGTAACATTAGTTATCCGCAGTGGTATGAACACTGGTTGACCGGAGACTCCGTCGCCAAGGCGCCCAAAGACTGTATCCACTGTAGTAATCTGGTCCGGGCGGTGAGATGGCCCTACGAGATGGAGAAGATCTGATGACACAGCCTCGCCAGTATTTGTAGGGCATTCATGGGTCAATATCGTATTGCCTTCGACTACTGTCGTTCGTCGAGTCATGCTCAAGCTGCATCGGATGGGTCGGTAGTGAGCCACCACGCCTCGATCATCAGGAAACTCACCCGTACAACGGAACCGGGGTTCGGTTTCGGGATCGGGATGTAAAAGTTTGAGAAATGCGCGTGGATACTCATAGCTCAGGCTAGTTACGAATATGAATAGTACCGGAAGATTGCATGACTTAGTCGATGCATCCCACCGGTCGACGTTGCAATCCCCCTTTTGGGGGCGATTGTTCCATTCTGTGTTATTCGCAAATGAATCAGCCGCTGGTCATGAACATGTTGAAGTGCTTTATCAATATAGTTGAAGTCTATACTTATATGCATAGAGTTAAAGCTCGGCTACTATGGCCCAAAGAGACATCTTTTGCACCGTACCACACCATACCGCCAGGTTATATGACACAACAGACTTGGGTTCCTGGCAACTAGCCCCATAAGCCAACAAAATAAACTTTGATTTACCAGATCAATCTAATAAGCTTTCATAGCTAAGCGCAACTGTGTAAGGTAGTACGATCTGAAGGAACGGAACTAAGAATCTTCGGGCCCCGACAGCCGACACTTTACAAGAGTCTGAGAAATAAACACTGGTACTATTGATTGTGTGACTGCATGCGGCATGCGGCATGCTCTGAATTCCACTATAAGATGACCGTGATATCCACGACCAACAGCTTTATTTTTCCCCTATCGGAGCCCACATCCTCTACTAGTCTCCGTTACACAAACAACAGAATGAAGTTCCTCACCCTCGTCATCGCCCTCACAGCGCCTCTGGCCGCACACGCCTGGACGGGACACGTCTACGGCACGCAGTCTGACTGCATCAGCGGTTGCCCGGCCAAGGTAAACCTCACGTGAACTCCATCATTGGCTCTCAGATACTGATCATTAGAAACAGTGCAAAGAGCAGTCTGGCACCTATGATGGTTGCTCAGGGGGAGGCGGCGCTACTGCGCAAGATTTGTAAGTCCTTGCCTCAGAGACGTCTCTATGACTTGCTAACATTCAATGTCAGTGTCTACTGCAACTGCCGATAATTATTGGATCCGGCTGTAACTCGACGTAAGGTAGCATCGCGTACTCGAGCCACCTAAGACTTCAACTATGATATACTCTCTATACACAAGTCACTGTACATACAAATAAGCGTTGCTCCATGCCGATTGGCCATGCCGATTGGCCCGCATGACGTTTATTCCACGCTCTAGACCTGGTGCTCAGGGACTGAACTATCTATCGAACTTGTTGTCTATCTTGTCTTGAATTCGGGTTTGCCGGAAGGACCATGGAGGTCACAGGTTCCCCTGCGGCTGTGGCATCTTCAGTTATTGTTGACGAGTCAGCACTCCTCAAGCATCTAATACTTCGGCCGTCTCGCCAATGCTCTCCTAAGCAGTCATTCAGCTGGTCATCACCTCACTTTCTGGCTCCAGATATGAAGTGTTATGAGTCCACATGATGTATGGGGAAATAAGCAAGGTAAGGTGGTAGATGGCCATTAAGTCGAGGGCCGTGGCAATCGGGGTTTCATGTCTTGCAATTGCCGAAGAAAGGCCAACACTAGGACCCTTTGAACTTCCAGTTCCAGTTGGAGTAAGTATGAACGAAATTCGTGACTGCTTCGAACACTAGGTACTTACTCTCCAACACGTTCAACATGTTGTGAGATACTTGTACCTCTCGGTTGCGTGTTCGGATCCAGTCATCACCATCGGCAGGTGTATAGTGAACAGTTGCTCATCTTGAAGCAGACTCTTTCTAGAAGCAGTTGCAAAGTGGAAACTGACAACGAAACGCAGGAGCATGTCTTTTTCTCCGCCAACGGCTGTGTAAGGCTTTCTGTTCAAGCTAATTGATGTATCCTAAGCCTCTCATCCGGGTTCGATGCATCCATGATGCAAGGTTTTGAGTCTACAGAGTGAAAAGTTTAGCCCCACCTTTTGTTATCAACATCGGCCCTAAGTGTAGAGTTTACGATAATCTTCTAAAACACATAGAGGTCTCTTGAAGGTTCACAGAAAGAAATGCCCCCAAACACATGATATTATCAAGGATCAAGTCCAGCAGCCATGCTTTTGCGGTTCCCTCCATCGGGATCGTACATTATGCAATGACGTTTCTCGCGAATACATTACTGAGAAACCCCACTTCGACACTCAAGAGGAATGTCATTGGAAGTGAGAGGAGGCCTCATCTCCCCTTCTGTTGTGTTGTTCGAAGGATGCTTGGGTGATCCCACTACTGGAAACAATCACAGGCGGATTTGTTTGGCATCTCCTCTCTGGACAAGCCTGAAATGCATCCTGCCGGTCGCAATTGCATTCTCGGACATCTCAGCAGCCTCCGCGGAAAACGGTGATGAAGAATGGTGACTTGCGAGCCGCGCCCCTTTCAAGGGTGGCATAAGACTCCAGGCCAAGATTTCTGAGTTTTCGAGGTCGATCGATTACAGGGGCCACGCTACAAGACAGCTTGAGCCGACAGGTATGGACAAAAGAGTTCAGGTCAAGATTGAGATGTGAATCGACTCAAGTCCCTCCTATTCCAAATCCCTGCCTACGGACATACACTGTTTACTGACTAGTACATTACACTGACCAAAAGACCATCACTCCCAAGTTCTTCAAAGACGTAGGTGAACTACCTCCCGCTGATGCTCCCGCCACGCAGCGACAGGATCCCAGTCCCCATCAGCTGCAGCACTCACACTCTTGTCCTTGACACCATACAGATACGGCTTCTCGTTGGCGTAGCACGCCGTCTCTGCTTCCTCAGGCAACGTCCCCTCAAGGATATACCGCTTCGCGATCCCATCCGTACAATCTGACGTATCCCTCGACGCATGCCCATACCCATGATGCGCAATCAACCTCGCGTTCCGCCCCATCTCGTTCAGCAACCTACGCCCGTTACGCAGCGGCGTAGCCGGGTCATACGTCTCCGCAATCAACAGGATCGGGTTCTTGAGCGTGTGGTTCAGGTCCCCGCGGTACACGTCCACCGGCTCAGGCCAATACTTGTGGACCTGCTGACAGGGGAAGACGTCAAAGAAGCGCGAGTTGCCCGCGACCCAGGACTGGGACGACATGTTGGCCCAGAGCGATTCCCACCAGACGAGTCCGTCGACTGGCAGCGGCGCGTCGTAGGCATCTGCGCAGATGACGATGAAGGCGAGTTCCTCCGACGTCGGCCGCTTGTTAGGCGTCGCGGGGATGGTTGGGTCGTATTGCCACGCCCGGTCTTCCAGGTAGGCGGCGGCAAGGGTCGAGTTGCCCTGTTCGAGCTCATATAGCATCTGGGCGAGGGCCGGCCAGCTCTGGGCGTTGTAGAGGGCCGAGTAGATTGCGGCGACGAGAACAGAGTACGTTACGAGGGACGGACCGCTATCCTCCGTGTACCCGATGGCAGGGCGGTCGATGAGGGATGTAATGAGGGACATCATGCGCTTGTCCAGATCCTTAAGTGCAACGGGTTCGCCGCTGCTGCTCTTGAGCTTTGCTAGCGCGCAGTGGTCCGGCCCGGCGTTGATGCATTCCCCGAGGAACCCGTCGTACCAGGCGTGAGTGCCGTTGTCAAGCGCAGTCCATCCGAAGCCGCCCAGTTCGCGATGGTCGCGAACGTATTCCGTCCCGTCAAGGATCACCCGGCCGACGCTGTCCGGGAACATGTTTGCGTACGTCTGTCCGATACCCGTGCCGTAACTGACGAGGTATCCCGTCAGCTCATTCTCACCCAAAGCCTTGCGGATCTCCTCCAAGTCGCGCGAGACGATGGCGGTGCCCATGAAGCGGCCGAGGTCGCCGTGGACTTCCCAGCAGGCCTTGAAGGTAGCGTCGTTCATGGCATCGGCGATTTGCAGTTGGTGCTTCGGGTCGGCGGCGACCTCAATGTATTGGCCCGTCAGGATGGACCAGTGGTCTCTGTCGACGTCGTAGGGGAAGCAGGATATGGAGGGGCGGGTGATGTTGACGCCTCGCGGGTCCCAGGCCAGCACGTCGAATTTGCCATCGCTGAGACGCTTAGTGACTTGCTCCGCGACTCTCCATCCGTACGAGGTTCCGCTGCCGCCTGGGCCGCCGGGTTCGAGGACGATGGTGCGCTCGCTTCTACCGCCCGGTGGTGGGTTTCTGGTGCCGTTGTCGGGTTCGCCTACGCGAGCCAGGCCCGAGACCTGATATTTGATGATGGCGAGCCGGACGATCCGGTCGTCGGACTTGTTGGTGTAATCCAGCGGTACTTCCAGATACCCGCAGAGGTAGATGCCTCGGCTGGTGAAGGAGTCACTATCGTCGCGATCAACTGAGACGGTCTTGTTCCCCCAGCTCCAATTGAATGGGTCAGGGTCGAAAGTACTCGCCCACGTCTGCTCGGGATGAGTGTCATCGAGGGCCGGCGGGACTGAAGCGTTCGTGCAAGGGATGAGTTTGAAGGGATCTTTGGGCAAAGGGAACCGTCCAAACGGGGATTCTTGCACTGGGACCGGGTGTGGCACAAGATCCAATCCGTGGTTCTGGTCTAACCGGAGTTTTCTTGTGAGGTAAATGTTGAACAGACCAACTGCCAAGACGACGCCGGCGAATATGAGCCGTTGAGGTAGTCCAGTCTTTCGGGACGGAGGCGGGGGTGCCGGCCGCGGCTGGATCTCTGTGACCTGCTTCTTCTCCATGTTTGCTTTCGTTGTGTGGAACGCAGTTAAGCACAAACAATTCCAGGAAGATGCATTGGGGGATGTATAGCAGGATTGAAGGATTGGAAAGAAATTACCTGATGGCAATGATGACGAAGAGCACGCGTTCGCGACGACGCTGCCCTATGAGGGGTCCCGATCCTTCAGGTGACGATTGCCTTCTCACCTTCCCGTCTTGGCGGGTGTGCCTATCGGCCGAACAGACCCATGATTGCCGATTTCGGCCCCGAACACTCGGCCGGGTGGCCCGGCGGAAGAAACTCAGCTTCAATTGAGAGCCCAACAAGGCGAGCACACAGACAGTGAAGATGAATTTGTACAATTGGTATCGAGTGGTTATTAAAAGAAACGTACAGACTCATGAATATGAACTAAGAAAGCATCCCGGCCCCAACTCAGACATCCGTCTTCCGGTCATGCGGAAACGGGGCTTCTTTTGATTCCTTGCCCGAGGAGTCGCCTCTGCCAAAGGGCTTCGTCTCGCTCGAATCCAAATCCACGCTCGCTCTCCATCCCATCCACCACCGGCCGCTGAACAGCTCTTCCATCCTCTCCATGGGGATGCCCTTGGTCTCCGGCGCCCAGAGGCCGAGGACGACGAGGCCGACGCCGCAGATGCACGCCCAGAAGACGTATGCGCCCCATACGTCGAGGCTGACAAACATGTTGGGCGTCACGCGCACCACGGCGAACTGGAAGAACCAGTGCAGGGCCATGTTACTCGCGTAGCAGACGCTGCGGATGCGGGTCGGGTAAATTTCCGTGCCGTAGAGGTATTGCACCGTGCACAAGCCGATGGACCAGCCGACGGCGTAGATGAAGACCGAGGCGATTGCGGCGTCGGAGGCGGACTTGTTCGTGCCGTCTATCCAGATGGCCATGTAGATGGCCATGTATATGTGCGTGATGCATTGCAGGAACAGGCCTGTCATGAAGCACCGGCGGCGACCAAAGACGTCGACGAGACCCCACGTGAAGACCATGGTGAAGACAAGCTTCACAGCACCGTACGCGCCGCTGGTAATGAGAGACGTGTTATCGCCAACCACACCGGCGTACCGAAAGATCTCAGGTATGTAGTAAGTAATGCCGTTTCCGCCGGACCATTGCGCGACTGTCTGCATGACGGCACCGAGGAGGAAGCGCGTGCGGTAAGTAGGGATCGTAGCAATGTCCTTGATGATGGCCCAAGTGGACGAGTCGGCGAGGATCTGGTCCCGCATGCGAATCTGTTCGTGAATCTCGTCGTATTCGAGAGCAAGGGCCTGGTCGCTCGGGTCGGCGTGCCGGAGCTTCGCGAGGACGGCAAGGGCTTCGTCGCCGCGGTCTCGGGAGGCGAGCCAGCGGGGGGTGTCGTCGAGGAAGAAGGACGTGACGAAGGCTATGCCTACGGGGATGAGGGGGATGGCGATGACGAGGCGGTACTGCATCCTCGTCGCGGCGAGGGTCGCGTTCGCGGCGTAGTTGATGAAGAAGCCTAGATTATGATAGGTCAGTACGTGGGAATAACGGGATCGTGATACCAGGGTTTACTCCGGGAAGGGTGCCTTACCAATGGTGAGGAATGACAGTAACACAACCATGTAGATACTAACGACCATGCCGCGCGACCTCGCGGGCGCAATCTCGGAGAGGTACAGCGGCGCAACGACCGTGAGTCCTCCGGCGCCGAGCCCGCCCCATATACGGGCAAACAGCATCAAGCCTAGGATGCCGGACGAGAAGACCTGCATCAAGGCCCCGGTCATCCAAACGGCGATGAAGAGCTGCCATGCCCTCAATCGTCCAAGGCGGTCATTTACGGCGAGGGCGATGATTGAACCGAAGGCGGCGCCGAGTACTCCAAAGGACGAGATATTGGCCTTGCGATCAGCCAGACCGGACTCGTTGCCCTTCCAGAGACTCGACACGAGACCAAAATCCTCCTTGAAGGACGCAAGGCCCGTTGACGCGCTGAACCCGCCCTCATCGTAGCCTACGGGAAGCTAGTTAGCGCACCGCTGGTTTGTATCTTTTTTTTGGTGTGTGTGGACGGTGGAGTAAAAAAAAGGGACGGATTGCCTGTCAAGGTCGGACGGATGTTGACCGCAAGATCTAACGGGAACTGACTACTTACCCTTGGGAATAGACCCGCACGAGATAACGATGATGGTAAGGAGATAATAAGTGTTGAATTGGACCATCTTAGAAACCCCCGCGACGCACTTCTTTACGTCGATATCGAACGAAGGGTTCTGACGGATTGGGCGAGAGGTTTGTTTGCGGGCGCAAACCAAGAAAAAGAGTGCCAGCGGTTTGAAATGCAAAAAGAAGAATTTTCAAGCTCTTTTGTTCCAGTCGTAATTTTTGCCCCTTATTTTCCGATACGCAATCTCAGACGGGACGAGCTCGCACCAACACCCACCTCCGATCCTTCGCCTCACTTTATGTTCTTCGAATTCGCCTTATGGTCTTCGTACGGATAGAGAGTCTGTGTCACCGAATCTCGTTTCCCGTTGGACGGAAAACCGTCGTCGTTTGCTTCAAGACAGAAAACGCGGGGTGTGTGGGTGAGGGGAACTCGATCGTATCCCACGGGGTAAGACGGCTGCAGTGCGCGGCCTGGGCCTCGCCCTCGATGGGAAACGGCTCAACGGGTAACCTCTCACGACGTTCTCCGGATTTTTGGATGGGCCCTGGTGTGCCGCCCTGGTTCGACTGGTTTCGAACCCCACGATTTCGTTCGGTGGGCGATCGCGCGGGCAAGGAGAGGAGACGCGAGAGGAGATCTCGTGCAGAAAAGAGAGTGGGGGTAGATTGTATGGGCTTAGAGAACTTCAGACCTCTTCGCAGAAGGACATCGGACGTTGACCGAACGAAAAGGTCGCAGGAGGGGAGGCCGGGAGGGTGAAAGAAGAGCCTGGAAGAGACTACAGATGATGGAGGGGGGAACAATCTTAGTAATGTCACCCCACAATCGGCCGGGAGTTGCGTTCATCCAGTTCCCAAACTCTCTCCAAGACTCTCCAAGATTCCAATAGTCCAATCCCATCACATTCACAGCCCTTCCCTCCCGCTGCGCCGCCCAAGTGCCGGACTTGGGCTAAGGCAAGGGACCAATGTATCCCCCAACGTCAAGTTCGCAGTAGAGCTACATGACTTGGCCTATTCTGTACATTGGCGTCGAAACGGTATTCCCGGGGGGCTTCCGGCCGGGTTCCAGGCCACTCATCCGTCCCATCTCTCTTTTACTGTGTAGACTCTTGCGACCAGCCTACCGCTGATCTCTCTCTGCTACCGGCTCTTCTTTGTGGCTCTCTCCCTCTCAGTCTCTCTCAACTCTCGGTCAACTTCCGACGGCCCTCGCAGCCGTACGTCGGTGGTCCGCGCCCTGACTCGTGGCGAACAGCGAGCAAAGTGACGCTGCCACTGCTTGCTTTGCTCTCTTTTCTACTACCTAGCACAACCAAGGGCAACTAGCTACGGCAAGTATCCGTAGTATCTGCAGTCTCTCTCCACGTCCGTGGTAAGTTTAAGGGCCGCTGTCCAATAACCCGAGGGCTTGGAGGCCAATCATCCCTCCACTCCGTGACTTGACACCGCTGCATGGTCGTCGGTCAGGTTCCATGGTGTGTGCCGAAAATAGGTGAAATAATGTATGTGTAAAGGTAGTTTGGGCTCTTGGCTGTACACGGTAACACGGTACACATCCCGTAGTTGGGGAAACACCGCGCCCATCGCCGTCCGCAACTACACTCGCAAAGCCGCATCTGCGCTACCTTGTGGTATCGGTCATCCTCCGAGCCCAACGCACCACCAAAAACTCAACCACCAAAACACCACACAGCAAAGTCTGCCATCTTTTCTGGTCTTTTTTTTTTCCCACTCCGGTCTCCTCTTCCTCAAACTCTCCATCTACGGGTCACATCTCCACTATCGTTCCTACTACTTGCTACTCCGTACCTCTTGCATGCTTCCTGCTGGAGACCGGAGGCGGGCGACTGGAGAACCACATCTCTTCTTGTATTATACGGCCGGTCATCTTCCTGAGGATGCTGCAACTCAATGATCCACACATCAACGAGCCGGGCCTTCGGCGGAATCTCACCAAGCGCAATGGGCCGACGTCCATATGTGCAGGCGCACCGCCGCCGTCATCGCACACCTACACCTGCTGCAACTCCTCCTCCCATGCCGCTGCCGCTCCCCGTCGTCGTAACAGTTGCGGATGACAGAAACCCCGTGTTGTCGGTCCTGTCGCCAGTTTGTTCACGCGAGGAGAAGGATTCATCCCTTCCATACCACTCTCAGCCCTCAACCACCCCTTGTCCTCTAGAGTCTCGTCAACTTCTCCTCAGCAGCAGCAGCAGCAGCAGGAGCAGCGCCCGCAGTATCAGCAGCCTCTCTCACCTCCTCGCCTCCACCCGGGCCTTCTCATCTCTTACACATAGGGTCGCCCTCACCATGCTACAAACCAAGCCCATCCTCCAGGCCCGTTCCACTCTCCTCCATCATATCAAATCCATCATGGCCCTCCTTCAGCCCATCATGGCACCAACTACACGGCACAATGACGAAAAGTTGATACCCAGAGTTGTCGCCGCGGCTACCGCCACCGCACGGCGGAGGCTGACTCTCCCGGAGCGGATCCCCCGCGGTGCGTGGGACTCACACATGCACGTCGTCGACCCGGCCGCCTACCCCTTGGCAAAGGATGCCGTGTACTGCCCCAAGACGCACCGCCTCGACCACGCCCTCGCTTTCGAGTCCTCCGTCGGCATCGACAACATCGTCCTCGTGCAGCCCTCCATCTACGGCAACGACAACACCTGCCTCCTCGACGCTTTGCGTGCCCTCGGTCCCCGCCGCGGCAGGGCGGTGGTGGCTTTCGAACCCGGCAGCCTGTCTCAGAGCACACTGGCAGAGTGGCACAGGCTTGGTGTAAGAGGCGTCCGGATCAACCTCTCCTCGGCGGGCAAATCTCTCAACGCCATGGAGCTCGACTCCTTACTCCGCCGGTATGCCCACGACTGCAAGCCTCTGGACTGGGTGATTCAGGTATACATGCCCATGTCCATGATCGAGCTTCTCGAGCCCATCGTCCCGACACTCGGCGTGCGCGTCTGCATCGATCACCTCGGACATCCCAGCATCAAGGACATGCCGTCACACAATCCATACGACATGAAGGGATTCAAGTCCCTGGCCAAGCTGCTCCGAGCCGGAAACACGTATGTCAAGTTATCGGCGCCGTACCGGTTGAGTTCCAAGGCCGACCATAGTGATTTGGAACCGATTGCGCGAGAGGTGCTTCACCTCCGGGGCAAGGACAGAGTCATCTTTGCGACGGACTGGCCCCATACTCGGTTCGAGGGTTTAGATATCCGGCCCTGGATGGAGACGGTGCTCGACTGGTGCGCGAAGGACGATGTTCTGGTTGACAGGCTGTTCAGGGGTAACGCGGAGGATCTATGGAGTGCCCGTCGCAGCAGATGATGCATTACATCAGCGATATGTTTTTGCTTGGCTTACACCCTTTGAATAGCCTGCATTTTCTTTTACTAGCATAGCGTTGCTGCATGGCGGTTGTGTGGTTTTTTGAGCGGTTCATTCACCAAGCAACAATTACGTCGGCTTCCGACGCGACACGATTTTATGATCATGAAGAGATACAGAATTTGTAATGATGGCTTTAGCTACGACTCAACTTTTTTGCACTGTTCTGGTGATGTGGTATTTACTTGGTACAGGGGCGATTACGGTGCTGTCTCTTGGGCTCGTGTAAGTGCGTGTTTACGATAGTCTCGACTAATGCGGCTACCACCGCAACTCTGGAATAAGGTTTCCTACGTATTGGTAACTCTTTACCCCTGTAAGTCTACTAGGTACAGCAACATGTGTAAACTTGGCCCATGATACCCTGAGGCAATGAGCCGGTAGTCTTTTTCCTACCACTTGGAGGCTAAAATGCCGACCCTTGCGATTTACCACCAGCAGCCCCAGTCTCTCAAGATGAATGATAACATGAGGGGACGTGGCAGCGCCGCCAAACCTTGAATTTGGAAAGAGACGGCCCGATAGTTCGGTGTTGTGTCCGCACCCCTCGGACGCGGGGCAGGTGGGGCCGCATTTTGGAAATTCTGGAGGACGGCGTGGAAGAAGTATTGTTCAAGACACTGATCAGAGAATCTCGACATTGCCCATATATATTAGTCATCCGATGACATACCGTCTACCAAGTTTGCGATAGGGACAATCCAACGTGAGTATCGAGGTGCTCAAGTCGATAGGCAACCCTCAACTCGCATCCCGGCAACTGGCGGCCTTGTGATTGCCTCCAAAGACCGAGATTTGACATTGCATGCCCGCTTGCCCGTCACCGCCGGCGGAGAAGAAAACGCCACTTCGGCGGACGCATCTTTCGGACTGCAAGGTCAACAAAGCAGCCCGTCTTGGAGGGTTCTGGGTCGGTGACGACTGACAGTGTCAGTGACAAGTAGGGTCCGGGGGCGGCTCCACTCGCGGACGTGGGACCGATTTTGGTGCAAGTCCGATACTCGAGCCTACTAGAGTTGAAATGGCATGGTGTCTGGAACTTTTGCGGGTGGTCCTTCTCAAAGCACGTCTTTCGTGGCAAAGATCTTATCATGGATAATGGGCCAGCGGGATTACGGATACGCACCGCTTAACAGAGGTTGTGTGGGCTACCGACCTGAGTTGTTTTGTGACATCTAGGCGGGATGATTTAGACCGAGGACGTGTAGCTACGGATAGCACGGCTCGCGGTGGGCGGGTGGGATCAGATAGTATCTTCAGACATATTTGAGATAAGCTAGCTTGATCTTGATTGTACATGTATCCTCATCGTCTACTTGTTGCGGAACCGAGCTTGTCCAGGCAGTGCAGAATTCTTGCCCGCGGGGTCTTACATATCCGGCACCTCCCAAGCAGCTTATCAACCACAGTAATATACGCCCAATTGTAGAATTGTATAGAGACGAAGGAAAAACTGCGGATAAACAAAATCGAACTTCCTCTCTAAACCCCACACAATGCCCATGGGGGACTTTCCAAAAGGGCAAAGGAACCCCGGATTCCCAAGCAGCCGGTCAAAATTGCCGGATATGTACGGATTTCAGCATGGTGAATCCTACTGCAACGTCCCCCAGCTTTCAGCCAGCGTAGCCCGCCACCAAGCCCGACCTCCGCAGAATGTCTGTCTGACAAGGACTCTCCGAGTTCCGGTCTCTTGGGAAGAGGACCTGGAAGAGACCATAAGGCATTTATTATCCAAGGTGGTCGAATCAGGCAACAATAGCCTCTGGGATACAAGTGCAACACTCTAATGTGCTTTCCCCAGGAAGAAAGGCTTGTTCTTGGCCGTTTTGACTCGTGTGTCTTGATAACCCACCACATAACCCCTGGGGTAGTATGAGCTTTGCGGGGATAGCGTCGTTTCAAAGTCGAATCTGGAGAAGGCGACGAAAAACTCCTCGACCCCTATCAAGTACTCCGTATTCATCGTGCTTACTGGCAACCCGCAACAGTGATACAAGGGAAATGTTCTTCCTGGATTCACGTCCGATAACGAATATCAAAACACCGCGGTTGAATTTTCACCCTCTACTACTTGAAGCCTCCACTACAAATTAAAGATACCCCTCCTCCTCCGGATCCCACAACTACTTGCCAAGGGGTCCCATAAGACGTTTCCCCTCCTCTCCACAACCCTTTTGTAGATCCCCTCCATCCGAGGCACGAACGAATCGTTGATGCATCATACCCCAGGCCTTGCAGCTGCCCATCGCCGAGAGGTCACCTGCAAGTGCGGGCTGGGACTGCACTTGGGCACAGGCTCAAAGCATCGGGTTTCCCGTTGATCACAGCATCTAGGAGGGCCGTGCGAACGAAGGAATCTTGGCATGGTTACCTCAGGGTGTTGGTTGCCGATGGCCTCTCAATCTGTGGCCTCAGCGAGACTTGCAGCAAGCTATGCTGACAGCCTGCTCTAGAAACTCTATGGTGATATTTAATAACAATACTCCGTATAGAGTTTGGCAAAGAGACTCAAGAGACTGGCAGCATGCCTGCCAGTACGCTTGGTCTGTGCCTCTGGATAGTTGATTGTCAGCTCTCACATAGGGTTTTACCCACGGACGTATGAGTTCCCTACTGCAAGGAAACAAACCCGCGCGGAACATTTCCTACATGTTGAAAACTCAAAAATTGAAAATGCAGATCGCTTGTATATTGATGTATCTGTCTTACGGCCAAAAGCCAAAAGGTCATGCCCCCTCACGGGATTGAACCGTGGACCTTCGCATGAAGTTCCGAAGTACGAGTGCGACGCTCTACCACTGAGCCAAAGGGGCTTTTTCAAGCTGATACAATGGAGCTTCAGGCGCGATTATTTCGGCAACAATTTCCAGCTGGCCGGCTATGCTCAGTCGGGTCCAATGCAAGCAGTTTCAAGAGTCATTCAACGTCGCGTTTGCAACGAAAAGACACGACCACCAAAGCAAGCAACCGGCCTCACCGTCTCCTCGGTGAACTTCCATCCATCCCGGCCCCGGACCATCACCGACATTAACCCCCCCGAAACTTACACAGGAAGAACAAGCTTTTGTTATTTCATCGGCTACATGCGCACGAATACCCTCAATCCCTCGGTCCATGTCCGCGATAACAACCTCGGCCATCCCCCGTTGGCGTTGCCGGTAAACCGGAGGGTCTCCACCACAGATCCTCAGCACCATCGAACACATGGCGCGCAAATCAGATATCCATAATCTCCATCCGTCCACGGGCGTCTCGGCCAGAAAGAAAAGAAGTTGCGCAGAAAAGTGTCCACTTTGCGGTTCTGTTTCTGGAAATGTTACTCACCGTCCAACCTCATACAAAGTTACGATGGACTCGCTCTTGAGACTTTACAGCGAGACTAACAGCGAGCATTTCCTGAAAATCTGCTACTCTTCGGGCCCTTTCTCTTTATTCCATGGAACTATCCGTAAACGGCGCCGTAGTCACGTGCGCAAAATCTTGTTTCCTACCCTTGACGAATCTTAGCCAAACTAGGACGCGGAATGGGAGAAAAAAAAAGATTTCCATTTTTATCCTGTCATCGCAACCTACGAAACTTGGCAAACTCACTCATACTTCCAAATGTTCAAACCGGCCGGGACCCCGAAACACCGCCCTCGGTAAACGTCCCGTAAAGCCCCATCTTCCCCTCCATAAAGTATCAAACTCCCATAACGTCGGAACGTCCTTCCGACTTATTCAACCTCGGACCCTGGCCGTGTGTCCTACGGCTTACGGGAACCATCTGATCCATTCACCCAGAGGACACCGCACCACAGTTTCGGTACCGCTGGTTCTCTTCTCAACCTCCCTACCCAGATTCAAACGCGTCAGACTATTTCCTAAAAATGGAATCCGACTCATTGCTAGGAGCGAGTGAGTGAGAACGAGAGTGAGATACAGGGGCGCAAGAAACAGCACATGCGCACAGCGTCACACCCGTCTCCAAGCCTAGGACCCCGGCACTTCGGCCCTCCGGCTCTGATGATACCCCGAACGACATCCGCTCGCCCAATGAGTCCCAAGATCCCATACCGCTATGCCGCAAATGCCACATGCCAAATCTCTCTCTCTCTTCCCTTGGTCCCTAGGCTGCTCGGTTCACAGGCTGGGCTGGCCTCCCCATGTAACCTCCGGACGCATCTTGCATATACGCGCTAGTCCCCCCAGATTTTCCCATGAACGGAAATCCAGAACCCAATCCATAACCCTTTGCCTTCCTCCTCTATCCCACTTACTCCGCTCATTCACTCTCCTGGGCTCCCGCACCCCTATGAGAAACTCTGAACTGCAGTCCGTCATCATAAGAACCTCCGTACACGATTCTCTATGGTTACACAGCTCGGAAGTTGACCGAGAGCATTTGCAATCGCGAACCTTGAGAACCATCATGGGGGAAGATCTGGACTCCATATGCATATCATCAGATCACCGCCCTTGTCGCCCCCCGTCTAACCCGCCGAGCCTAACCTCACCGATGATCAAACGCCAGTGATCATCGTCGACGTGGCGGAGGACGCGCAGGGCTGGGCCCAGCTTACACAGCCTTCCCGACTCCAGTTCCTCCCCCCAGTCGCCGTGCAGTCACCAGTGCTTCAGGACAAAAACCACGCAAGTCGTGCTCACGGAAAAGTGAACCCATCTCCACGGATGCGGTCTCTTGGTCTCTTTGCTTACCCACGAAACCCTCGATAAGACCAACCAAGAAAACAAGATTGTCCAAGATGTCAAACACTGGCACTCTTTACCTTAGCTCGAGACGGACGATGCCCGAGAACCTCAGACACTGAAGCCGAAAAAGCATCGCCGTCGCAATCAGACGATAAGCCTCCACGTACGGAGTACCTTACACGGCAATCGCTCTCCGGCTGCCCAAAAAACTGCACAGCTCGGAACATGCCCGAGTGGAGCCCCCTCAACGCCATCCCCCAGGCCCAGGGCCCGGTGACCGTGCAGGCTCTCAACCACTTTTTCCAACGGTCACTCTCCGGGCCTTCGGGGGAAAGAATGGGGTACTGCGCGCAGGAAATGGGCCGATGAGGACCGGTATGCCAAAAATCGGGGCTTTCTTTTGGCTGCGAATGATGGGGGGTGAAGCGAAAGAGGGACGGTCATTGCTCGTTATATCATGACGGCATTCCGGGCTAAGGAAAGGAAAATGGAGTGACGACACGGCACGCTGACGCGAATGAGATTGCCGACATTCACCGAGGCTTTCGTTCGGTATTGAGGGAAGACTCAGCTCCGACTAGACTACATCAGAACTGATCAGATCATTGCCCACAATATGGAGCACTCTGGCGTCTTGACCAAGATCGTGGCGGGTGGTGTTGCGGGGGTTTCAGAAACGCTTGTTACTGTGAGTCGACGGTCTCATCACCCATGTTCCCCGGCGACCTGCGTCTACACACTCACTCACTCACTCACTTTTCACCTTCCCACTCAATGTATCTTACCAAGAAATCGGTCATGCGTGAATGATACGAACATGAGATGAACACACATACAGAAAACTCTCTAACACCAAATCTCTTGACCCAATGTAGTACCCAGCCGAATTCGTAAAGACACGCCGCCAACTACACTTCAAAGCAACCGCCAACAATGCAGCATCCGCGACAGTAACAACTCACCCACCGCCCAGCTCCCTCGCCATCATCCGCGACACGGTCCGCACCTCGGGTGTGAAGGGAATCTACTCCGGCGTCCAGGCCCTCGCAGCCTCTAACGCCGCAAAATCAGGCATCCGATTCCTCGCCTTTGAAACGACGCGCTCAAAGCTCGACGCGTTGGCCGGCACCTCGGGATCAGGACCGGGCAGAAAGCCCCGCGCGGCGTGGATCAACATCGTAAGCGGTCTCAGCGCCGGCGTAGCAGAGTCCATCGCCGTCGTGACGCCAGGCGAAGCCATAAAGACCAAGATGATCCACGCCGCCGCCGCCACCTCTTCCTCGTCCCTATCCTCCACTGAAGCCGCAGGCAGCCGACTCGCGAACCGCGGCCTCGTCAGCGCCGTCAGGGTCCTCGTCCGAGAAGAAGGCATCCGAGGCCTGTGGAGCGGGTTGACGCCGGTGCTGTGCAAACAGGGTACCAACAGCGCAGTCCGCTTCACGACGTTTGCGATGCTCCAGGAGCGCGTTGCGGCGCGGTGGCCTCAGCTGGAAGGCGGCGTCGGGAGTACGCTTGTCTTGGGCGGGATTAGCGGTGTCTTTACGGTGTATGCGTCGATGCCGTTTGATAATATCAAGACGAGGATGCAGAGCGTGCAGAGTGTTGACGCACGGTATACTGGTATGATGGACTGCGCTGCGCGGATTTGGAAGAGTGATGGGGTGACTGCTTTTTGGAGGGGCACGTCGCCGAGGTTGGTGAGATTGACTGTAAGTTGCTATTGCTGTGCGGAAAAGGGGATGATGACGGGACTGGGGTTTTTGGCTAACATGGATGTGTATAGCTCTCGAGCGGCATCACGTTCACGGTCTATGATCAAGTGGTGCGTCTGATGAAGCCGTCGCAGACAAGTCAGAAAGCCAACGACTTGCAACGCCTATAAGAAAAGCCAGAAATGTCGCGGACCCAATGTGGCGGAATCTTTCTTTCTTTTCATTTTTCGGTCATTTTGGTAAGTGACTCTTTGATGTATAATTGATGCATAATTGGATGCGATTTTACTTGTTTTGCTATTCATCTATCGCGCCAACTCTGACGCTCAACGGTTCTATAGAAGACATGGTCTGGAAGACCTGCGGATCAATGGCAAAGGCCTCGGGGCCGAGGGTGTCGACAAAGGGGAAGTTGTAAATCTGCTCGGGGGAGCTGGTGGCCTCGGGGCCGGGCGGCACGGAAGCGGGGGGCATGTTGTTCTCGGCGCCGGCGCCGTGTCGGCTCTGCTGCGGGATGCCGTAGGTTGCCATCGGCGGCGTCGCGGCCGTCTTGGGGAGGCCGAGGGCGCCGATGTCGATGCCTAGGCCGACGAGCTCGCGGGTGATAAGGTTGAGGGCGCTGCTAATGACTAGGGGCGGGGTGAGGTCAGTCAGAGTTCGGAGTTGGATCTGGCCCCCCCTTTCCGTCTGGAATATGTCGGAGGGAAGGAGAAATGCGTTGATGTCTGTACTTACCTGGGTTGATACGCTTCACGGATGCCAGGATACGGACACAGTACTCCAGCCTGCGCAGCGCTTGCGTGTCCTCGACGCTGGACTGCACCTGGAGCAGGAAGATGGACGCCGCAATGTACACGCTATACGAAAGGGAGAGCACGCAGTGGCTGATGCCGAAGGAGCGGCAGAAGAGGTCAAAGATGGCGATGATGCCCGTCGCCGAGGTCACGCACTCGCCAAGGTACCGCTGCACCGGCTGCAAGTTGTCCCCCACACTTCCTCGCTGGGACAGCATGGGGCGGTAGAGGAGAATCTTGAAGGTGCGATAAAGCACGCTAGGGTCCCGTTGTCAGCATTTCAACTTCAAACTGGGGTGGACGGCAGGGCTGAACCGGACTTACTTCAACGTGATGATGTGCGATGGCGGCGCCAGGGCTGGGAGGGCCGTAGGCTCGATCTTGAGGTGCGGAGGAAGCTCGTCCCACCATTGCCGTAAGGCGACTTCTTGCTTGGCGAGACAATCCTGCATCTCGGCCTGGCTGTTGGGCCGCACGGGGTCGTACATGTGGACGAGGATCTCGTTGAAGGTTATCGAGAGTCGGCACATTTGCATGAAGCACGAAGTGGAGTGCGCCGCTGCGGGGGGATACTTCCAGCCTCCTTCCGGTACGACGCCAAACGGCGTCCACGACTCATTCTCAGCCGAGTCGTCAACTATCATCATCATCATGTCAGTCAGCACACGCAGAACTTTCTAGGCCAAGAGAGGGACGACATACACATAATCTGCGGTGGCGACACAGACGTCTGCTGCAACGAAGGCGAACGCCCAAGGTACAGACTAATCATCTTGTCCCAGAAATAACAACTCCAAAACAGCCGGTGACGGATCTCGACGTCCTCGTCAGCGAGCTGCACGGAACCGGGGTACCGCTGCCCATCAACGCAGATACCGAGGTGGTCAATGATGCGGAACGCGAGGCCGCTGTACGTCCACGCCTGGGCGCTGTTGCCGACGCTGCACTCCTGCGCGCTGAGGAGTAGGAGAGTCTGGACGGTGGGGATGGAGCAGACGCCCTGGCTGAGCTCCTCAAAGACCATGCTGCGCGCGTGCTTGCCGAAGAGGGCGCCGCCGTCGTAGAACTCGTCGAGTTTTTCTTTTGTTGCTGGGTCGCTTCGGCCCCAGCGGATGGAGTGAGAGAGGACTGCGTTCATGAGGGTGTGGGAGTAGTATGGTCCTAATGTCTGCATGTCACCTGGAAGAGATGGTTAGTTTGGGGATGCTGGGAGGAGGAATGTGGGCGTCCTAACGGGTAAAAGCAGGTCTGTAGATGAAGTTGAAGAGAGGTTGGATCCAGCACCAGTGGACGTTCAGCAGATATTGGAACGGTTCCTAGACGAGTATCAGCTCGGCTCACAAATCGCCTTTCCGCAGCCAGTTGACCGGGATCTAAAGGGAAGAACCATACCGGTATATCGGACATGTTCTCGAGCGCCCTCTGCTGCCAGGCATTGGCCACAAGCCTTTCACGCCTCTGCATAGCCTGATCCGATGTCGACTGCTGGTCCCTCGAGCCAGACGGCCTATCACTCGGCAGCTGAAAGAAGCTCGTCGAGCCATGATAGGTAATGGCGCCCTTGTCGTCGACCTTGAGGCCCTTGAAGCTCTCGCTCACGGACTCTTCATCCTGCGACTCAAAGTGGTGAGGATCCGTCATGGGCGACTGACCTGCCGACGGCCCGATGCTGGGCGATGATGTTCGAGAGGGCTCTGATGGTCCGGCTCCGGCTCCCGCCCCGGATGGCGCGTGAGCCCTCGCTGCGGCGAGCTGTGCCTCTAGTTCCTTTATACGATGCTCCAGCCGTGACGTGTATGACAACGTCGGGTTACTTTATGTCCGACATGGTCAGCACGTCTCTCATGTTACACAGAGGTGGGCATGGAAGGTGAGGGGAGGAGCGCATGATGAATTCAGGCTGCATGAGATTGGGGAAAACTCACAGTTTGTAGACGCACTCATCCGCGCGGGCAGCACACCGATTACATGTCGGCTGCTCTCCGCCGCATTTCACCTGTCGTCACAAGTCCGGGTCAGCATCAGCTCATACAGTCGTACTCCGATCCGTTCGCGATGCCGCCGTGCCGGAAGTTGTGATGTCCGTCACCCCGATTCGCTCCCCCGCTCTTCCGTGCCGTGATGCCGTCCCCCCATTGCTCACCCAGCTCCCCGCCGTTCTCCTGGGAGTCGATCCCCCGCCATGTAGTGTATCCCAAGCCTGGTTACCTCAGGCAGGATCATCAAACATTGACCGAGCCTCCGCTGTCCTCCACGGACCCGGGTGGTGGCAGGGGTACGGGTTGTGGCGCGGAATGCGGGAAATGAGGCGCACCACGGCGGAGGGGTGGTGCCGAAGAGAGACAAGGTGGGGGACGGAAAGGACTCAAAATGCGCGCGAGAAAGACATAGAGACACAAGAGAGAAAGAAACAGAACAAACGTACCTTGCGACGACGACATGGTTCGCACGAAAAGGCGCTCTTCTTGATGGCCCTCGTGGAGGACATGGTGATGTTCCATGGGCTAATTTTCTGCCTTGCCCTCTGCTTGCGCCTTGGTCTGGGTCCCCGTAGTTGATGCGGGACGGAAGAAAGTTGAACTTGCGCGCCCTGGGGGCTAGTGGAGAAGGAGAATAGCGAGATCGGGCTGGGCCTCTTCTCTATCTGTCCGTGAGGTGGTCTGCTTGAGCCTTGTTGAGGTCCTATGGCTGGGATGCGGCGCTTGCAATTGACCATTCCAATGGTGAGGTGACTTAGGCTGCGCAGGCGCTGCGCCTGGAACGGCTTCGGCCGGGTCGGGAAAGTCGGGAATCGCGGGACCGGACCCCACTCTTCAGCACCTTCTCTGCTAATTTTCCGCCCTAAGGCCAACTGTGACGCGCCTGAGACGTCCCATGAGCGAATTTGGATCCACTCTAAAGGTCTTCTAACCAATCGTCGGCCTCAGCATTGATTTTAGATCCACTACTTTCTCTTGGTCAGCGGCTTTCCCCGATACGTCTCTCCGATAATCGCCCCGCCACGGTGAGTGGATCCCTTCACCGAGATTCGGCCCTACGCTCTCCACCGATCGAGGTGTAGGTGTCACTCACCGAGACGCCAAGACTACATAGAACCTCAAACACACCTCACGGTATTACTCGCCTTCCCAATCTCTAGATTCATTTCCCACTTCACTTTCTAAGCCTCGCGAAGTGCGCTTGGAATCCAAGTGAGGCCTTTCGTCTTCCCAGGCATGGCGAAGGCCAGGGCCAGACAACCGGGCACGCCAAGCCTTTACTGCGCCGTAAGATTGCAGTAGAGATCTCAAAGGGGACTGGTCTCCGGGCCTCTCTCCTTCTTGATCGAGACTCGACTGAAAACCGAGTGCCTTATATACAAATCTCACAGCCCACAATCAAGATGAACTGGATTGGATTTTCGTGTTACTAAGGGAAGAGTTCCAGCCGCTAGATCAAGCCAGTAGAGATCGCGCCGACGCCAAATCTTGCGCCTTCAGCTTCAATCGCACGCGCCTCTACTCTCACGATGTCATCATCCTCTACGACAACCTCGTCTCCCACGCGCACGAGCTACACATCATGGTCGGACACTCCGCCTCCAGAATGTCGCACCCCCAAAGAGACACTCACCATGGACATCCACTGCGGCGGGCACTATGCGGTCTCCAGGGGCGGATGCCCTTCCGGCTACTGGTCGGCCTGCGGCTCCGAGGGGGATACCGCCAGTCCGGTCTTCTCAACGCTCGCGACCACCAACGGAAAGAAGACATCCTTGACTTCTGTGAGATATATGGAGAGTCACTCCGTAGTAATATGCTGTCCAGGGTGAGAGACCGACCCGTTGCCACAAAAAGAGAAAAGAAAAAGAATTAGCCCACCGCGTCGCATCCAAGATCTAACTTTAACGCGAAATTCCTGAATAGCGCGTTGCCCTGGTCATGCTCAACAGACAGACCCAGGCCGACCGAAACCAATTGCATCCTGACCACGAAAGCCGGCTACCTCGCCTTCAACCCGGCCGAAACGCAACTCTCGCCAATCTACGCCTACGGCGTAACCGTCTCCCTAGCTGTACGCGACGCTGTAGCATACACCAGTATATCACCGGAATACAAGACAACTTACATTGGAGAGGGGAAGCCTACTACCGTGTGGTGCGATAACGAATACTGCATGGGCGCGTTCGATACGCCGATGACGTCCACCTATTCCTACCCATACGCAACAGCCACGAGCGGAGAAACGGCCACATCAGCGGGGCCGTCCGTCCCGCAGCCGCCGGAGAAGATGGGACAGCTCGGCCCGCTGGCCATCGTTGCGATTACGGGGTTGGCGGGGGCCTTACTATTAACGCTCGCACTTCTGTCTCCATTCATGGGCGAGTATCGGCGGCGCAAGAAGGGACAGAGTCCACCAGGGGAAGTCAATACTCAGTGAGCGCGGGATTTTGCTTTAGAGGTGATGAACAAGGTGAAGGCGGGGCATTCCGTGTAAAGTGGTTGTGAAATTCTTGATTAATGGTATCTTCTTTTCCGCTGGTGGGTATCTCTTCATGTGGTTTTTCTCAAGCAAAATGCAATGGGCGCCAGAAGTCAGTACCTCTCTACCCTGTCCCCGAAATGCAATCCAGTAATCTAGTCCCTGTGCTCTTAACGCCTCGCCAAATAGACTGCTCAAAAGCGTACAAAAAAATTCGCTGGACAATGTTTTGATGCATTACGCCTGCATCATCTCGCTTTCATGTCGTGTCCTGTCGTTGGTGAATTCGAACCAGGCTCGCGAAAGCAGACCAAACTCAGCCATCCTAGCGGGATAAATGTTAGTATCGATGAGCGATAAGATGAGTAGGAGTAAGATGAAGTGAGAGTGAGGGTGAGGATATGAGTTGTAGTGAGATTGGGAGTGAGGGTGAGAGCAAAGGTATTGCATCAAACAAGGTAGCTCGACTTACATGATAAGTCCCATCAGGAACGCCAGAGCGGCCTCGTACTGGATGTATGGATACGCATAGTACCCGTTGGACTTCTTCGACTCAATCTGAATGACAAGCAGGATCCAGCAGATGGTGGTGCCGAGCGTGAAACACAACTCCATGCCAAAATGAAAATGCTTCGGAATGCCGCCTCGGTAGGCATCTCTCTTGCGCCAGATGACCGTGATGAGTGACCAGATGAGAAGAATACACGACTGCAAAATGGTTAGCCAATCGCCTCAGAAACCCATCTCAGATAACCGGCATATCATATACCGGCATCTCTCTCAAGACATGCTTGAAGGCAAATACTAACAATTGGTACAGACAACCACAGGCTGTAAAAAACAGGATCCGCAGGGCTCGTCGAGTTGTTGAGGTACTTGCCCCTCCGCGAGCAATAGATATTGATATTCAGAAAGATAACGACCAAAGGCACGATGATGGCGAGCTGGCGCAGGACGTAGTACATGTACGTGCACTGCCTCCTCTTGCGGTTGAAACGCTCATTCTCGGGTGATTTTGCGCTGCCACTGGATCGACAGCTTCGGCCGCCGCCGGGTTGTTGACCGTACCAGTACTGCTGACGCGAGATGCTTCGCGATGATATTGATGCGGCGTCGTCGTTGTTGTAGTAGTATACTTGCGTGACCTGCTCGTCGTTGGCGTACATTTGACCTCCTGGTGGTTGATTGTATCCCTGGCTGTAGGGCGGCGCGGAGTAGCCTTGGTGGGTGTAGGCGCCGTTTTGGAGTGACATGGCGGGCGACAATGTAGCGGTTGTTTAGCTCTGTAGCTTCTTCCCCTTTTCCTATAATCCTTTCTTTTACTCCGTCTCGAATTCCTTCAGTCGTGCAAGTCGTTCTTTGATATCTTTCTTCAGTGTGAACCTCCAAGTCAACACCATATGCAATAGGTTGCAGGCACGAGAGAACTTCAATATGGGGACGTGAGTGAGTGAGTGAGTGAGTGAGTGGTGCGAGGGTGAGCGAAGTGAGTGGACGTCTGAAAAGGCTCCGAGTGGGCACGGAGGAAAGGCGAATAGGCTGAGGAAACGGATACTGAAAAGAAGGCTCATAAGACGGCAATATGTACGGCGGGCTTCAGCGGCCCTTTTAGTCCTCCAGGGGCGCGGGGTGGGAGATGGTAATGAAGTGATGAAAAAGCCCAGAGACCGCCGAGATGCTCTAATTGCGCCTGACCCTCTCCCAAGAAACGACCGAGAAAAACTCAAAACGGGAGGGCGAAAAAAACAGTCAAGACTTCAAGGAGGGAAATGGGGGGGCAGCAGAAAAGGAAAAGGTGCCTGTGCCCTGTGGCCTGGCAAAGTCTGGGCATTCGGCCTGGGCAGAGAGGAACAAGGAGAAATAGAATTCACTTCTGTACGAGAGAGAAAAATACATACACCAAGCACACATGAGGTCTTGGCATTGCACTCTGTGAGAGACTGGAGAGGTCTCAAATGTGCTGCCCGCCAAGTCGCGCTATCAGCTCACTGACTCCAGAATTGGCCACAGAGGCCGTCTTAGCCCGCCTAGGCTCGTAGGGGGTGATGCCCATTCACAATTCACGATGATGTTGTCTTGGCAGGCTTGGCCCTGAGCAACACTGTTCCTTGGGGGCCTTGGGGGGGGCGTGTCCAGTTTGACTTCGTCCAGTTCATCCCTTGGCACATCCGCGGCAGCAAAAGGGTTTTGCCAAGAAACCGCCAGCAGAACAGAGCGCGGCGAGCCACATGTTGGGGCAATTTGGGGGGCACGGGGGGAAAGTAGCAACGCCTGTCAGTCTGTCAAACGCTGTTTATTCGGTTATAACTATCGGAATAAGGGGGCTGTTCTGACGCTTGGAAGATGTTACAGCCAAACCCGCCAAGAAGGCTGCGGCCTGCCGCCCTCCCACCAAGCAGAACCCTCAGACTCCAGGTCCGCAGGCGCCGAGAGGGAACGGTGAAGGAGTGGCATGCGCTGGCCTAGCCACCTAGCCTCCTGGGCAGCTCGCTGAGCCGGCGCTATTGGCCTTGTGGTGTCTTGGGAGTTGAGGTTATCGTGCAGTAAGTAGGTAGCACAGCAGCACAGTACCCAGCGCCACAGCACGAACTTGATAATACCTAGTGTCTGGTGCTGCTGAACACTGCAGGGCCGCAGGCAGAGAGAGAGAGAAAACGCTCGCTGCCAAGAGCCTTGGAAATTCTTGTCTCGGACGCGATAGTTCGACTTGTCGTACAGTGATAAGGTGGCAGTCGACTGGTGAGATTCGCCATGCCTTGTGGCGCGCTTGTCCGACTCGGCATACCTCAGCAGTGCCGTGACCGGTCCAATTTCCCATCCCGCCGTGCCAATTGCCATATGTCTCCTGTCCTCCTCCAAGCTTATGGGCAGCGTGGAAAGCTTCAAGAACATAAATTCGTCACTTCGTGATGTGGGATATTGGCGTTTAGTCATGGATCGCAAGGGTTGGTGGTACAGAAAGGATCATCAAAGTTCTGGGCGGGCACTTTTGGCGGCGCAAACGGCTGGGCCCTGGGGGATGGCAACCCATCCACCTCATCCCATGGGGGTTCGTTTCTTTCTGTCTCTCATCCTGTTGGCCGCCATCGATGGACAATGCGCCCTGCAACCGTCGTGCAGCTTGCTCCATCTCAGCGCGTACGAGTACCGAGACATTGGCTTCTTTCGCCTGTTTGCAGTAACGGCTCACTCAACGACGCGGGCGTTCGAGACTTAGCTGTCAGAGTGAGACCGAGACCGAATGCTCGTTGCCATGTCTCTCCCGCTTCTCATCTTTCTTGCTGGAATGGCAGAAAAGCGGGCAATACTCAAACTCTCACGGTGAAGAGGGAAAAGAAATCATCACGCAGGTGAGTTTGCAACCATTGATACCAAGCCGTCGCCGAGTGGGAAAAGTAAAAAGATGAAATCAACAAAAAAGCAATGGGCGAAGGTTCCCCAGAAACTCTCGTCTAGATTTCCAGGGTCCATTCAGGGGGTTTTGGAGGATGATTGGCACTGGACATCCGCGCAATCACTCATTTCCTTTCCCCAAACCTTGCAAAGTTGCGCCGAATTGCTGCTCAAAAGGTTGCTCTATCACGCCAGTCAACAGTGACTGTGCACGCCCAGACACCAAGGGAACATGAGGTACGGCATTCTTGGCGTGCCAAGACATCACGGCAGCGCGCGACTCAGGTCAACTCACTCGCTCAGTGAGTCTGTCTGAGTCCTCATTCACTCACTCAGATCTGTCCGCCTCATTCAAAAGTCCAGGTCACCTTTGCGCGTGCCAGCGCTGATCTTCTTGACCGCTTGGCACGGCACGGCAAGCAGGCCATGCCAGAAAATGACGAGCTTGAAGCCATCCCCCAGAAGGTGGTATGAGATTGGGGATCATCTCGATAGACTTCGACCGCCATGCCGCGTGCTCGCTCACCTGATCATTTTCATAGTCTACGATGCCTCAAGAGTAAGACACATTGACTCAGCTTTTCTTTAGGTGCTCCGGGGGATCATCGTCGGTCGTCCAAAGGACCAATACTGAGAGCGATCAGCGGCTGGGCCCGTACAACGGTGCCCAGTAGCTCCGACAACCTTCAAAGCGTGAGTACGGATACGGGTATGCCTATTCAATGCCACGGCTGGGCTTCTTCTTGACCGGACCACAATCAGTCATACAAAGTTCTTGACGCTCTCATCAATGGCGCGGGCGGCCTGCCTTGGTGTTTTCTTGGAGCAAACCCCCCTCGGGATCGCATGGTACCGGTTACGCAGCGCTACGTCGTTTGCCTTGCCCAGAGCATTGGCGGTGCTTCGGCCAAGGCTGCTCGTCCCACGCAAGGGAAGCGAAAAAAGGACAATTGAACACCTGGAAATACTTACCAAATGCTGGGCGCAGACCCACGCACTCACGCGCAGTAATCGTCGCGGCCGAGTCGGCCACATTGGCGGCTTGGCATCTTGTGGAGGGGCCCGGGGGCAGCCCTTTTTTCACTTTTCACTTTTTCGATTTTATTTGTTCACTTGGCGGTGCTGATTTCTTGGCATCGAGTGAACGTGCCGAGTCGGAGATTTCCGTACCTCATTGCCGGTAATTCCCCAGGTCTAATATCATTATCATCCGGCGTTTTTTTCATGAAGTGTACTGCGGCTCAATTGCCGATGGCATGAGGCTTGGAAACGGCATGAAGATCCGGTTTGCGAACTCACTTCTGGTATGCCCATCGGCACGGGGTATGAGTGGAATTTTCCATCATGACAACAATTCCCCCAGAATCTGCATGTTGCACAATCCTAGTGGTTCGTTCGTCGCACGGCTAATCACGGCATTGGCAGCAGACTATGTGCTTTCTGACTCCTTCAACAAATGAGTTGACAGGCAAAAAACAGTGAGCCATGATACGGCACAGATGGTGACGCTTTCTCTATAATTACTGAGCCAAAACAGCATTCTCAGGCCTGTATGCATCTTTCGGAAAGAACCTTCTGAGAAAATAAACAACAAATCCTCGATTGATGATTTTACGGGGTTCTCGATGAATGATGGTACGTAGAAATCTTATCGTAGACCATCGTCCAGATGCTTTTGTTCACCTGCATCTACAATGTTGCTTAGGGAACCTCCTCAACGGTGCCTCTAGAAGCCCTGCCAGGGCTGGAGTCCGAGTGCAAGCTGGCTCTTCCATCACGTCGTCTTAAAATGAAGATTCTGAAGAACTGTCGAATGCTGGGCGTGCAGGCCGTAAAAATACCTACGCCTATCTCGATTACCGACCATGTAGCGACTGGTAGCGAGTTCACTAGCAGTCGGCCGCGTAAGTAAGGGTCTGGAATCCAGATGATAGACTTGTTAGGGGGCTTACCCGTAAAGTTGTCGGTTCCTTGATGGTAGTCGGTGAGGAGTTTCAGTCGGACTGAGCTGGTAGCTGTAAGACTACGATAAGGGAAACAATCGTTAGATGATTCCAAAAGAACTGTTACCGTTCCAATCATATAGAACTCACAAGAGACCTAGGCTGAACATTACCACCAGGCTAGACTTTTTCTCCCACTTTAGATTCAGGCTTTGAACCTGCAGCAGAGGTAGCGCGATCATCCAGATATCCAGTCCAACTTGGATGGCCCCATGGGCTATCCCGATGTTGACGATACTCATGCACGTTCCCTGACTTCTGGAGTCATGTTTCCATACTGTCCAAGCAAGGTGGACAGGATTACACTGGAAGATACCGAGGAGAAGGAACAACACACCGATTACCAGATTGAAGACTTGCGTTCCCCATAGTGCGATTCTAAACCATTCGAAAGGGAAGAGTCGCAGATATAGGAAGAGGATAGATGCCTTTATCAGAGTGATCGTGCAGTGGTAGAGAGCTTGCATAACGTAGTATCCCTGGGGATAGACTTGTCAGACACCACTGTAGACGACTGAATCAAACATCAAGTTGCTCACTTTGAAGTAGTTGGTGATTGATCAGCACTCAAACTCCACATATTTTGACCGGCGCCGTTCCTGCCCTCTGAGCAAAATATCAGCCATTCGCAATACTAAGGATACTTGAAAAGTGTTCTCCTATCATGCGTATATCATTGTACTTACCATACACGTTAATCGGTACAAAAGCTATGAGAAACCCCTGTCTTCCGTAAGTCACATGAGGTTCAAATAGCGGGATCAAGTGCATACTCACGTATGCTGCGAGGATCATCCAGTCGTCAGCTCCCCACGAAGAGACGCCTGCAGCCTTGACTGCCACCCGCATGAAGATCGACAGAGAAGCCAACACGAAGAGCCCTGTCAATGTAGGGACTTGTGTTGAGACATAATCATTAACTGCTGGAAATCCGCATACAGTCCAAGTGTTGTTCTGAGTAGCTATTGAAACCAGGTTAACTTTCAGCTTATACCACCTCAGAGGACATGGAGTCTTTGTTACTTACCCAGGGCGTCGATTGGCAAGCAATTATTGGCAACACAGTCACTCATGAAGCTCCTGTAGTTCGTGTCATGACATAGACATGGGTCATTCGCCGTGCGACAGGATGATCTGCTCAAGCCTTCAGCGAGGCATGATTGCTGTCGTTGGGTGTCCTGTTAGTCCAAGGGGAAGGGGCTTCGAAGTCAGATGGCCCGGCATACAGCACATGTTGGAAGGTCGTTGATCGACGGTGTCTGGGCTGTCACGACTCCGGAAAGAAGGAGGAGACACCACAGCATAATGCGTAGTGAGTGCATTGTGATTAATGAAACGGTCCCATAGGGCTGAAGCTCCGACTTGATCAACGAAATCCGCCAGCCAAGCAGGATACAAGACAGATTCAACCCACCAAGAATCTGTTTGTTTTTGTCGGGTTGAGATGCGGCTTGGAGTATTATCAGTGTCATTGAGGGGTGACGTGGCTTGGAGTTGATGACCATGGCCGCTTCGTCGCGACTAGTGGCTTGCTTCACGCGTCGATCGCTCACAGGTTCTGGCCAGAGCTGTGCCATGTCTCAGAACGCTGACATGTGCGGCGGCTTACGGTCACACCATTCTTTGAAGGAATTCAAAGTTGGGAAATCGGAGAGGGTCTAGCGTCGTCGATTTAGAGCGTAGTGCCGTGATTTCTGTTTTCAGCCAGCATGTTCATTGTGCTTTAAGCACATGGACTTGTCCGGATTAGCCATGAGCTGATGGCCTTGATAAGGCACCCTGTTGTCTTGATTTCCTTGATCAAAGAGTACCCGAAAGTCCGGAACGCAGCAAGAAATCCAACTACGGAGTCACGGCTATCATGATAGTTACCGGGTTGCAGACAGTCCTTGCCGTCTCGAAAGTTCCGTCTCGGGTAGGTCCGGACGGTGACCCACTTTCCCCGAGTTTGTACATCGGACCCGGTCCCCAATCTCCGGTCTGTTCAGACTTAAAATCGGTTTCCCGGCTACCGCTATTGAAGTTTCTTGGTTCATCCCTCTTAGAGCCAAGTCTCCCACTCTTTTTATAGGAGGCGGCTTACTTCTTCCCAGGTTCTATGGCAAGAGACAAACAAGGCCATTGCCAAGGCTCCCGTTGCCTTTGTGCTCCCAATTCGCACTGGCCATCTGGGAACATTGTTGACCAAATCTCTATCTCAGTTGACTTCCCAACGGAAGCCCAGCTCATCTTCAACCGTTGTAATGACGAAGTCAACATCTTCCTGTCTCCTTCTTCATGTCTCAAATTGTTGGCCAACTTTCTTCGTCACCTCAACATCGCCGAGGAACAGGCCCCAGAGAAACATTGACGTCAGCCAACCGGCCCAGTTGCCGTAAAGCCTTGGTAGGGACCAGAGCTGACGCACACAGTGGAGTCAACCGATCCAGCACTGCCGCAAGGCGCAACCTTGGACCCCTGAGCGTCGTCTTGTCAGCAACTGACAACAAACTCCGGGGCCCTGATTTCTCCAACTTTAACGCTTCCCGCCCCGTCCGTTGTGCTAAAGACGCGCCGTCTCCAACTACCCCTCACACCATCTCATCTCATCCCATCTCGTCGGCTGATAGATTCTTAATTCCCATCATCGAGGCTTCTCAACGTTTTGCTAGGGCTAGAGATCTCAAAGCAGGCCATTCACTCGCCCTCATGGGATCCTGCTGCTCGACATCGGACGACTCGTCACAGCACGAACTCCAACAAGCACGCCCCGCCCCGTCAACGCAAAACCAGAACAACATGCCGCCGCCACGTGACCACATCGTCACCCTCGAGAAGAAATGGGGTTACCACGCCATTGACGGATATGAACTGAACAACAACACTTGGGGCCTCGAGAGCGCGACATCGGGCTCGCAACGCACGCACTGTGACGGACCCAGCCCGCCCGGCGCGTCGGGCGCCCAGGGCATCTCGTGGTCAACGGACTGGGAGTGGCAGGGCGGCGAGCACAACGTCAAGTCGTATGTCTACGGCGCGAGGCAGTTTCAGCGCCGACTTTTGAGTGAGATCCGGGCGCTGCCGACGGAGGCGGAGTGGCATTACAGCACGTGGGATGTGAGGGCCAATGTGGCGTATGACATCTTTACGGACCCGGATAAAGACCACGCCAACAGCAGTGGAGAATTTGAGGTTATGATCTGGTAAGTTTGGTGAGTGACATGTCAGTGTAGTCAGCCAGCTTACAATCATTCCGTGTAGGCTGGCCAAGCTGGGCGGTGTGTGGCCCATTAGCGAGTCAAAGGCGCCCATCGCGCATGTCGAGATCTGTGGGCATCAGTGGGAGGTTCACTTTGGTTACAACCATGGCGGCGCGATGAAGGTGTACAGCTTCTTGCCCGTCAACGGCCCTATTCAGCACTTCAACGCCGATGTGAAGCAATTCTTCAACTTCTTGAGTCACCAGTTCCAGTTCCCTCAACACAACCAGTACATGCTCGGTAAGCCTCTCCCAAATTAGCATGTTTGACCGCGAGAACTCTCAGCTAACGGAATCCACAGTCTATCAGCTCGGTACCGAGGCCTTCACCGGAGGCCCTGCGGAGTTTGTTGTGCCCAAATTCATTGCCGATGTCATCTAGACCTAGGTACGGCTTATGATTTCTGCTGCTTCATGGTACCAAAGAGAGTCCGTGAACAGACGAGTATCCCTCAAAAGAAGGCACTCTCTTGCTTCTATAGTCTATAGTAGTAATACACGTATAATACATCCTGAGGGAGGATGGTTCAGTACCGCCTTCGTGGGTATCACACAGCACAGTGGTCAACACCAGCAGTCACCAACAACTTGGCGTACTGCTGATGCAAGAAGATTCCAGGTCCAACAAGTGGGACACCTTTACCGTTGCTCGTGCCATCGACCAATATCGACTTGAGCTTGAAGTTGACGACTCGAGCCTGATGGTCGAGCTCTGCATCGAGCGTGATGATGCTGTCCAGCTCGCGAGGCCCATCAGGGGCTACTCTGGGGGAGAGTCCGCCCCGCAGCAAGATGCTGCTTGGTGACTTTTCAATGACGATGAAGTCATCAGCAAAGATTGTGCCTGTTTGAGTCAGTAAGGGCAACGTTGAATCATGAGTGAGCGACAAGTGCCACTATTGGGAATGAGACATACCGGCCTGGTAGGTGCTTTTCAACAGGTCCTCATTCTCCCAAAGGTCTCCGGCATTAGACTCATCCTTACGAGCCATCTCCATGATTTTCCTTTGAATGTTGAAGGCTTGAATATCAAAGTAAGTTTCTCATTTCCCCCCCATCAAAGCAGACTCATGCTCACCATATCGTCCCCAAACACCGGCAGAATACGACTCTACAAGTTTTGAGCCCCCACCGAGAGCGTCCTCTACCAGTTCCGGCCGCAGCTTGTCAAATGAGACCGTGCGGAAGCAACAGTCGTGGAAGTCGGGGTTGTTTTTCGGATTAACTTTTTTGAGAAGAGGATGTTTGAAGAGAGGATCGTTGGCTGGAGTGAAGTTGTCGTCAAACGCGCACTGACGCGTCCAGAGGTGAAAGCTAGCGGCGCCTGCGATGGCGGTACCTGCAGCGAACTTGGAGAAGGTCGCTAACCTGGCCCGTGAAAAGAAAGAAGCCATCACGATGCGAATCTGACAGGTACTGGAATGGACGAAGGTGATTGGACAATGGGAAACATGCACGATGAGTAAGATGGATGGAAGGGTGCTACAAAACGGGGATCGTGGCATAGAAGTCAATTCCTACGATACAAGTACGCGGTGCAAATCCAGAACCATTTCTCCGGGTCGATCCGTCCCATAATTCCGGAGAACAGTTTTCTTCGAGTTCAAATGGGACTTCATACCTCATTTTCAAGGGGTCTCGCGCCTTCGGCTTTCGGAATTGAGAGATGTGGATGGTGGGCATTTTCCGGGGATTGTTCACTAAACTCGAACAAGGGCGCCAGTTTGCCGACGGGAGGCCCACTCGGGCTCCGAGTCCGCCGGGGTTTCCGAGGACGCCGAATGTCACCGGCGGATGTCAAATGGCACCGAACGAACGGATCCGTGAAATAATCAGATTTGCGGCTTTATCTTGCGGAATTGGCTCAATAGAAGAGCCGCAGCCTCTGTATTTCAAAGTTGTCAAACGTGGGACCCTGGCTTTGACCATTGCAACTCCTCCACAGTCGTACAGTCATCCTCGCGAGTGAGAGGCAACCATACAGCGTGCTTGAAGGTTCATAGTGACTTTGAAAAGCGACTCACACTTTGGTGGAAACTTACCTTGCCGATTTTACATACACACAATGATTTTTATGACTTGCCTACGATCATGACAGTCGCGTCGTTGTTCTCCACTCATGTGTCTAAGTCCGATTTCCAGCGCTGTTTGCAATTCGATTATTAACCAGTCATGGTTATTTGTCTGGCTCACAACTCAGTCTAAGATTCGGAATCTCATCAATATCTCTCTCTGTGTGTATATGTAAAATTGAAAGTTCCTGTAAAACGATGAAAATATCTATTTGAACAAGAACCATCAATATGTTCACAGCTTCTGAATCTGTCGAATTCATACTAAGAGGCAATTTCAACTACCATCAGACCAAAAAGGAACTTTCACAACATAATCCAAAACACCAAGACTTCGCACATTCTCAAAGACCCCTAAGAAAATAATTTGCTCAGAATGCCTGGCTATAAGACAGATTGCCCGCGCTGGGGCAGCCCCTCTTTCAAGCGAGGCATCTGCGAGCATTGCGGCAAGACTGGACCACCAGTCAACTCACCAGGCAGCGAAGGTTCATGTCCCTGGTTTTTTTGATCCATCACTTCCTTCTCACTAGAAGTTAAGAAGTCACGGGACTAGAATGGACGTGATCGCGCCGGCGAGTAAGTGGCCACTGTGGTCTAGCTGCAGTAAGTACCCATTATGAAAAGGGAAAGGGAACTCATTGTAAACTAGCCCGGTCGCCTTGGCCATCGCACCTAAATACTAGTAGGTGCAATGAAACAAATTGTTTCTCATAGACTGTGTTGATTCGCTGTGGCATTTTGTTTTCTAAGAGAACATCATGAGATATTCTCACCACATCTGCAGGGTGCTTATTCGGGTGCGTGAATCTGCATGTCAGCATGCAAAGCTGCCTGGCACTAGCGGGGAAGCACCACGTCACACGTGCATCGTCACGAGACACTCAGCTATGCGAGAGACTGTTCGACTCACCAGAATCAGGTTGAAAGTGTCGGAAAGCATAGTTGTCACAAGAAACTTTACATCCAGTACATCCGGTCTTGAGAGTCAAGGTCACCATAGGGCTTCGATACGGTGGACCAACCCTCCTGCCCGACTCAACATGGAGACGGAGCAGCTAGCCGTCAGCCTCGATGGGCTGAGGGCCATTGCCGATGCCACGTTTCGATTAACCTTCAGCTTCGCCAAAAGTGAGAGCAGATTGAAGTCTGAGATCCGGAGCGTCGCCGACGAGATACAGGACATTGCGGGCTCGTTGCACCGACTATCGCTACTGCTATCAGGACTGGGAGAAAATAAGGACCAAAGTTCGGACGCAAACACCGCCCCGACCCCGCTGATCTCATGCCGCCGCACTTTGGAACGACTAGAGGGATCGCTGAGGAAACGAGCACATGGATCAGACGGCGACGGACATGAAAAAGAAAGGCGCACCGATCTCAAGTGGCCATTCACGACTGCTTGGACGGCAGATCTCTTGAATGAGCTGGGCGAGCACAAGCAGACAATTTCGAGAGGATTGCATGCAGAGTCAATCGAAGATCTGCTACAATTGCTATCAAAAGGGAAATCTGCGGTTGTCATAAGTAACGAAGACTGGATATCCGAAGTTTTTACCGACTTTCTCCAATCTGCTGGTCATTACCATGGCATCTACGCGGTTCTCGACGACTTTCTCAAAGTTTGTGAAGAAGGGTACATCAAGATACTCAATCGATACAAGCACTTGACTATACAGGCCGAACTTTTCCAGGGTCATGAGTTCGAGACTTGGCTTGGTCAGGGAGGGTCACATCTTTTGCTCACGGCTTCTCCAGGCAGTGGGAAAACCGCATTCACTGGCGCACTAGTACGGGAAACCTTCCAGCGACGCCGTTCAGGAACAATCGTTGTGCCTATCTACTCAGAGCTTCTAGGTACATGGTCTGAGAACACCAACCTACTTGCTACGATCGTTGCTCAGGTTGCGCGCCAGAGTCAGGGGGCATTCGAAATTCTTAGCCGATATCATCGCGATCTGGATGTCAAATGGACGAAAGACAACGGGCCAACGATGGAAGAAATGGAAGAGGTTCTTTGGAAAATGTCAAGTTTCTTTGCACATGTGCTGGTCATAGTAGACTGTGCAAGGAATAGAGAAACTGGCATCATGCCGGTAGTTGCGTCTTTGATCAAGACCTCCAAGGAGCGTGCAGCAAATTTGAGCCTGGCAGTGGTTTCTCAAGACCTCAAGGCCGTCAGAGATTCTTTAGGTGATTCGGTCACCCATTGCGATATTACGCCATCCGCTACTAGCTTAAAAGCTTTTGTTGCCAATGAGACAGAAAGGCGAGTTAGGACTGGTGCTCTCCGGCTCGAAAGGCCAGCGATGAAGGATGATGTGATCCGCAAACTCAGCGTTGGGGCTGATCATGTGTAAGTCTACGAAACTCTGCGGCAATTCTCCAGACTAATAATTGAGGTAGTTTCTGGAAGATCGCTTACCAACTTGACCATCTCTGCGCTTTGCAGTCCCACTCTCAGCAGATTGAGTTCCTCAAGAGGTTCCCATGCTCCCTGCAAGACACCTACCGCTTTACGTTGGAAGAATTCAAAACGCGGACGCCGGCATCTCGAAGCTTGATTCAGAGGACACTACGACTGATGGCATGTTCGCATCCCGAGCTTACCGCCCAAGAGCTCTGCCAGGCGCTCTCAGTGTCAGGCATTTTCGGATTAGATCCTGAGATGTTGGAATATCCAGAGGTGGACGAAACAGAGATCCTCCAACAATGCAGTCCTATGATCAAGAAGTCGCTGGACGGCAACAGCTTTGTGTTTAGTCACGACTCCATCGAACAATTCCTTAGAGGTATTGACAAATCCAGCGATTTTGCCGCGTATCGCATCACGACACCTGGATCGAACCGGCTTCTAACTACCTGCGCGTTGAAATTCCTTACCTTGAGTCATTTTGCTCGACTTCCAAGCCTATCGTTGTCCGAGGCGGATTTCATTCGAACCCGGAACAAGAGGTACCCCTTTTATAGGTTCGCCGCACTGACTTGGTACAAAGCCGCTGCCAGACATTGGCGGGACCCGAAGTTACTCTTGGAAGCCATGACGCTTTTCGATCCCAAACAGACAACGAATTTCAAGGCTTGGTGTCTCGAAATTTGCCGGCAGTACAGGTTCAGCCAGCCATGGTGCCAGTGGAAAGGTCAAGGTGACAGCAGTCAGCCAAATAAGCCGGAATCTGCCTGCTCGGAAACGACAGTAATCAACTCTTCCGCCGCAGCATGGTCAAACAACGAGTCTGGTGATGATACTCGTGGGCGAAGGCTCCCCCCAAGCCACCTTTTTCCGCCTGGAATGAGCCGCCCTCGGGGAATAAAGAAGAATACCAATCGATCTTGGGTAGCAGGTCAAACAAGGCGTCTCGCACGTGTTGTAAGGCGGGGCGATTACACTCCGTTACACATGGCTGCTCTTCTCAGCATTGATGCCGTATGTCAGGAGTTGATCAAGCTGGGAGAAAATGTCAATTGCCTGAGTAAGATAGGTACTCCTTTACAATGTGCTATTGGAGGTTTTCTGCTCATCGGTCACCACGAACCTCTAATGAGGCCATTCCCGCCGGGCTGGTATGACGGGTCACGCAGAAGCACGGTTGAGTTGCTGATCAATGCGGGAGCGGATTGCACGCGAGATTTGCCTAGTCAGGCCTACCCCTGGAGCACCATGGGTGCCTTGGCACTCAAAAGCTCAGAATGGGCTGATGATTTCCAGAGCTTTGCGGCCGTCATCAGAGGAGGCACCCGGATGCACGACGACGATACAGCAGTGTTCCGGTCGATTTGCCGCAAATGGTCTAAGCACAGAGACCCGAAAGCTAAGCGCAACGTCCAGACTATCGTGAAGATTCTGGATGACATGGTGTTAAAGAAAGAGGGCGAGTCGCTGGCATACCTGAAAGCTTTCCAGAAGGCCGTCTCGGAAACCACCGACATCGACATACCGCTGCCCATTTCGGAAGGTATCTCGGATGACATGCTCGTCCAACAGATGTGGAAGTCAATCAAAGAAGACAATATGAAAACCTTCAAGGATCAATCTCAAAGCAACACAAGAACCAAGGACCTATTGAAGGGTGACGTCTTGACGAAACTACTCGACTTTGCTGTTACGTGCTCAGCTGTCACCTGCTTGGACCACTTGCTCGCAAATTACCCCGTACCAAACAGCCCACATGATTGGAAAAGCAAGGCTGTCCTTTATTATTGTGTTGAAGACAAGAAGGAAGATGTCCTCTTACGATTATTGAAGAACGGCGCCGAGACTAAGAGGACCGATGGAAGAGGAAGCACCATCTGGCATCTCGCAGCTTCCAAGGCTACCTCATCAAGGGCTCTTCGAGTCTTACTTAAGAAAACCGATCAGACCGAACGAGAGTATGCCTTGAGAACGGTGAACAAAAGTGGTCGTACTCCGCTTGCCGAAGCGCTTGTCAATAAGCGTTATCGGAATGCGTCTATGCTCGTCAAATACTGTGGAAAGGATCACGCATACCTGCAGAGCAACCTGCCATCGATATCTGAATTGATAGCAGGAATCCAGGATAGCCATTTGCTTAAGGAGTTGCATGACTCCGAAATATTCCAAACCTCAGCTAAAGACTCACCTTTAAATCATCTCGAGGATTCCGCAAATTTAGAAGCGGTTCGCCAACTCCTCGAGATATTCCCCTACCCTTGTTCAAATGAGCATGGAACACCCTTGAGATCATACTTGTCCAGAGACGACTTGAATGCCTGCAACAAAGAAATCATAACGCTTCTTGCCCAGAAAGAGCTGGTCACCGCACCCAGCGACAAGAGCAGCCACATCTGGCAGTTCTTCTGCGAAAAACTGCAGAATCATTTCACAAAGTCGGCAGAGGCAGAGGCCTGCGAAGTCGTCGAATTGGTTAAGCTCATGATTGATCTCGGGTGTGTAGGTGATTATGAGAAGGCCAAACAGACATCCGGACTGAAAGAGATGCTTTCTTTCTTTGATGTCGTGTCGACGCCTACCCCACTTACACTTGACCACGATGCTGTGCTTGCGACAGAAGAGATATTCAGCATGGTTCATGATATCACGACTTTACCACAGTATTACAAAAGCAGTAGTATGGACATCAAAGTCATCAAATGGACCATTGCTCATAACTCTTGGCCACTGTTTCGTCGTCTCATTCAGATAGACGTTGACGTGCACAAGAGGGACAAAAAAGTGAACTTGTTACAATATGTTTGCTCTCACGGCACTGGACTCATTGGCCATAGGATGCTTGTGAGCCTTTTGGAACGAGCTGAAAGAGGTCGTCTGCTGAGCGAGCTGAATCCCGAAGAGCACCTTAGTCTTCTACACGTACTTGGAATGCCCTACGCTCAGGTAGGCCTAATCGTTAAGAGTCCCGTGTTCCGCCCTACCATGGTCCCGATGAGTACTTTCAGTCAACCGCCGCATCTACCTTCATCCGTTCAATTAGGACCGGGAGGATTTGCAGCATTGAGGATGCCATGCGACAACCCAAAGTTCAGCCTACTTCAACGACTACTCGACGAACAAATCGACTGCGCTTTACTCAGTAAGAAGGGCAAATTCTCAGCTCTCAGTACCCATATAAGATATGGATATCTTGATACGGCCCTGCTCTTGCTTCGACGTGGATCACCAGATACGCTATCCGCCGCTGATACTTTTGGGTGGACTCCAGTAGCATGGGCGTGCGCGCATGGCTACAATGAGTTCATTGACCAAATGGTTGAATCCTCCTGCTCCAAACCTATTTGGAACTTCGAGGTCGAGGTGACCTTGAGTGTCAAAGCAGCTCCTTCATTCATCAAGCCCTACCGCGGTCTCAGGGCTCTGCACCTCGCGGTAATTGCTTCAGTACAGACAGTCACCTTTTTGCTGAATCGTGCCTATGTCTCGGACCTCGAAATTACTGACGCACAGTTGCGAACACCTTTACACTTTGCAACATTCCTTGGTCAGGTTGACACTATTCGAGAGCTTGTTTCTCGGGGATCGAACATCAACGCCAAAGACAAAGACGGATGGACCCCCTTGCACTTTGCAATCCACTTTGAGAACGAACAAATTACTGATCTTCTGCTGGAACTGGGCGCATGTCATGTGAAAACAAAGAAAGGAGAAACACCGCTTGACTTGGCAATACCCAAGATCAACCGATATTTTGCTCAACGAGTGGAAATGTCGATTCGTGAAAGTTTGGAGACAGTCGCAGAAAGTAGTTTCGACAGACATTGGCTGTCTGCTCTCTCTCAAGCCATGGAAAGGGCCATCGATGACGGTGATACCCAAACTTGCGTTACATTACTTAAAAGCGGTTGCCCGGCGGATATCAAGATGAGGTCTTGCCATATGTGCACAGCCCTCATTTTCGCTTTGTCGCGAACCGACCTGTCTGCGGATATAGTCGATGCTCTCGTCGAACACGGAGCAAGTTTCCGAGGAACTACCTGCGCCCGACATAAGTGTGGAAATTTTAGACGATACGGGATTCGCCATTTCGGGGATAACACTACGGACAACTTCACCTCATCCTCCTCGTCCGGTAGCGATGATGACGAGACGTCCAAGCAACATTCATGGCCATCATTCGGATCTACCAGTCTCGAAATGCTCATGTGGGAGGACAATCTATCAGAGAAGATTTCGGCATGGCTAAGCTCTATCCCCGACGAGGACATGATCTGGCTGCTGGACAACTCCATAGCCGTACATGTAGCTGTGGATCGCGAGTGCCCCAAGGCATTGAAAGTACTCCTCTCTCACGCCGCTGGGATCAGGAATGCCACGCATAGAAATCTGGTTCATGAACTTGTGAATAGAACTGGATGGTCTTCACAAGCCCGCGCCATCTCACCCCTCCATATCGCAGTCGGTTCTGGCAACATGGAGCTTGTGCGTCTTCTACTTGAGTACGGCGCAGAGATCAACAAACAAACTGTTATGAACGGAACTGCACTACACGTAGCTGTTGAAGAGTACGAACTCGACATTGCACGCCTTCTTTTGGAGCATGGGGCCTCACTTGCAACCAGAGATTATCATCGCGGGTGCACCCCTCTCGAAGCAGCGATTCAGCTACCCTTTGAAAGAATGGTAGACCTCCTTTTAGAGCATGGGGCACGTGTCAAATGCTCTCAATACGCTGACACGTCTCTGGTGTGCAGGTCGACAGAAGTGGCAGTTCTGATGCTAAGATCAGGCATACCACTTCAGACTGTGGGGAAATTTGGCGTACCCCTCTGGGCACCTGCGTGTTTCGAAAGCCGGCTTGCGACTTTCATCTTCAATTCTGATTTTGGTCATTCAATAGCATCCGGGATGACTGCATCAGATCTTTGGAAGACTCTCTCTTTCGTCCACGGTACAGCCGTCAAAGATCGGGTTCACTCCCGGGGTCCTCTCCGTCTACTGTACCGGCGAAGTGGACACGCGTCCATACGAGACATGACGGAATCCGACGGGAAAGAAAGCGTAAGATCGTTCGGCGTGATGTGCTTCCTAGCTGAGCTCGGACTCGTTGATGAGGTCAAGTTGTTGCTGGACCTGGGTTGCAACATTGAGTTTGAGGGCGGTCTGACTGGCACTGCGCTCATGGCAGCAGCTCACGGGGGTCGGCTGGACGTTGTCAAAATGCTCGTCCATGCAGGAGCAAGAATATGGTATGAGACAGATGGGTCGTGCAGGAGTGCGGTCACTGCAGCTCAGGATTTCCCGGAAATCGTAAGCTGGCTGTTGGTTGGAAGATTTACGGAGCAAGCCAAGATCGAGGCGGCCCCGCCCAAGTGGATGACGGACCAACAAAGCGAGATTCGCACCTGGAGCGGTTTTCGTCTTGGCAAGTTCCCGTTGTCAGGCAAGTATGCTCGGCACAGGGGAGATTCGACGTTGAGGTGGTTGTCGTGTTTAGAAAATGCGAAACGGAATTTGCGAGGGAAGGTTGTCGTGTCAAGGTCATGGGACAGAGAAGAATGTTAGCAAACGAGCAACTCAGGTTCATTTGAAATGATTTTGTCGAGAATTAAAACAGTCACATGCTAGAACTCTTCTGCATTGCATCACGCAGTGTTCCCAACTCAATGTGGTAAGAGGATCAACAATGGAAATGTACCTCACCCGGAGTAAAGGGCTCCAACGGACTGGTAGATACGACACTGGCGGCGAGTGCGCTTATAGTTGGCGAACCAAAAGCAACAAGACCGTAAGTCCGGGCCACCGGACTGTAAGTCCAGACTTCCAACGGCTGTCATGCATGTCCGGAAGAAGGAAGCGACCCTGCCCGCTCGATCCTTGTAAAATTTCCAACTGTAGTAAATATGAGCGTGATTTCCGCCCTGGTCGGACCACTTTCGAAATCTGACTATGTCTTTCAATCTTGAGTTCGTTGATAGTCGTCAAGATGGGCAGCATATTCTCGAAAGCTAAGCCTGTGGCACCAGCAACAGTAGCTACGGACACAATCATTCCCTTAAACCCCAATGATGACTGTGCCTTGAATAGAGGCATTGTCATGGGCTTCATGATGCGCTTCGACGATGTGTTGGACCCAGAAAGGCTGCGCTCGTCGCTTACGAAGCTATTAGGCCATGAGGGATGGCGAAAGCTCGGTGCCAGACTAAGGCTGAACGTAAGCCCCAGTCTTAGGTGTTTGCTCATGTGCTGGAACAGCTACTTACAAATGTGACAGTCTCAGAACAAGCTTGAGTACCATATTCCTGAGCTATACGACCCGGAAAGGCCAGCTATTGCGTACTCTCACTTCGAATACGGGCACAGCATCCAGAATCATCCGATTGCCTCACAGCTGCCGAAAGCAACTTCAAAGCCAACAGTGATAGGGACTCCACCGGAAAGGTTCCAGGACTTAATGCGAAGGCCGGACGGCCCCAAGTCGATGCAAGACTTCATCTATCGCGATGAACCTCAGCTTAGTCTGCATATCGAGTCCTTCAATGACGCGACGCTTGTCAGTCTGACATGGTTGCACACATTATTCGATGGGATGGGAAGGCAGGAGCTTCTGATCGCGTGGACTGCCACCCTCGAGGGCCGTGACAACGATGTCAAACCCTTCCATGGGTTTGACACAGATCCCTTGACAGAGCTGGGCAAGAACCCTACAGAGCCTTTCGTTTTGGCTGACCAGCAACTCTCAGTTTGGGGACTAATCCGATTCATTTTGAGGTATCTTTGGGACATCATTCGTCATCCTTCCGAAGAAAACCGCATTGCTTGTATACCGGCAGCGCACATCAAAGCACTCAAGGAACAGGTCAAAGAAGAGTTGAGCGCACAAAATGCCGGCCCAGACAAGTTATTCGCCAGCGAGGGAGACATCGTTACCGCCTTCATCGGCCGCCTATGGTCGCAGCATCTCCCTGCAAACTCCAGCAAACCAGTTATCCTCGGAAACGTCATCAATATACGTCCTGCGCTTGCTCGGGATATTCTCCCAGAGAAGACCGCGTTTTTATCAAACGCCACATCCCTGATCATAACCCGCATCACCGCAAAGGACCTCCGGACAAAGCCACTGAGCTACACGGCTGCCGCGGTTCGACGATCAATCCAAGAGCAAGGGACCAGAGAGCAGATTGAAGCTCGCAAAGCACTAGAAGAGAAGCATTCTGCAATAATGTTCGGTGACAAGAACATGCATCAGATTCTCCTTTCAAACTGGGGCAAAGCTAAGTTCTTCGAAACAGACTTCTCTGCCGCCGTAGTCAAACCTGGGTGGACCTCTCTTGCTCAACCGCACAAACTTGGGAAACCCTCGCTCATTCTCAATGCGAACTATGTGCGCGGCTTCTCACTTAGATTTGCGGGCCCGATAATCGGCAAGGACTTAGATGGCAATATTTGGTGGGGCGGCAACTTGCGTGAAGGTCTTTGGGACAAAATTGCGCAAACTTTGGAGGGTCAGGCAACTGTATAAATGCCAGATATTCTGCTTGATTCTGTGTACACTACACAAAGGTCTAAGATCTATCTATCCTTTTCTATGTCTGTCTGGATAGCTGGCCTGTTGATCTCTCGTCTTGTCCGCTCGGTGGTTCGTATTCGTTTCGTACTCAAGTCACATCATTATTTTCCCAGTAGTAGTTTCAAGCCCTTCAAGGCTTGCTCGTTAGCTGTGAACAGAATGCCACCAGCCAAAACCGTTCGACCAAGCCGCATGACTGTCCCTCTCCAAAGACCCCTGACTCCATCCTCGGCCATGATCGCCCGGAACGACTCCATCGTGCCCACGGCCTTGGCTTGTTGCGCCTTCGTCTTGATCGTATCAAAAGGTTGCGTTGCTACAGTCGTGACTGTGCCGGCTAGCGCGCCGTTTGCGAAGCTCATAATCGGGCCCTCAGGGCTGATCCCCTTGCTACGCTCAAAGTCCTTGATGATACTGTAGCTACCCAGGCGGAATCCCGTGGTACCGATCTGTTTCAGTGTCGTTGTGATATAGCCGCGCCAAAGGGCTTTCAAAACTCCCTGCTCTCGCGTCAAAGTCGCGATGCAGTCTATCGCGCCCTTGAACCGTCGCGTCGTCTTAGCATCGTCGATGAGTGCTGTCTTGATGCGCTCGCTGGGTGTGACAATGATCGTGCTGCTGACGATCCCAGCTACCATTCCTGACGCAATACTTTGCAAGGGTCCCAGGGTATGAATCTTCTTGTCCTCAAATACGGAGCGAATGCTGTCGAACGCGACGAACCGCACCGCGTCTTTTCCGATAGACCCCACGATCAGGGTGCTGCATCCCTTGTACAATGACGACAACCCCTCCTCGCGGGCAACGCGCAGAACGATTGCAAATGGATTTCTCGTCCCTTTCTGGTGTCCGTAGAGTTGCACTCGCGTCTTGGCGAACTCGAATGGATACGTACAGGCGGCTTCCACACCGCCGGCGATGCCTCCTGCGGTGAGTGAGAGCAATGGCGATGTCTTGCCGTCCGCCGGTGCGACCATCGTGAACCCAAAATCTGCCCCTAGGGCGTGTTCGTCCTGGATTTGTCGTTGGAATCTGTGCTCTTACCCCCCGGAAAGTATCCAAGACAGTAGAAGATTGGCTGATCGTGATCTTTGGACTCGACGCCGTGCAAATATGCCAAGGTGATTTATGCTTCTAGCGATCGGCCTGGCCCGGTGTTCGCCTCGGCTAATTGTCGGCCCCGTGGAGATGCTTATCGCCGGATGCTCCCCAAGTTACCTAGCAGCAACCCAACCACACTGGACACTGAAGCCTTCACCAGATGCAACTTACACACCGCGGACTCCCGTGTACCTAACATTCTCGTAACTTTCAACGGAGGTATGGTTGTTTTGAAGAGGTAATAGCGGGGAATAATGACCCCAAGTGGCCTCATTCGTAGTGAAGTGTACCAGAGTTCAGGGTACGTCACCGTTGTTCCTTAGCTAAGAAAGACCAGATAAGTGATGGCAATTCTTAAGTAACCACACGATCACCAATATCTTCTTCTCTACCCCTCAAACCATGATGACTCATTCGACTTGAGAAAAGCACAATGCGAAAGAAACGGACGGAGATGATTCTATGAACACAAGCCGGTAAACCAGTTCGCCCACTTCTTCTGACACCTGTTCGCTTCTGAGACCAAGAAAATACAAAGGGTCTTCCTGTCTGTGGGTGTCGGCGTCAAGAAACAGGTATCCAACCCGTTCGTCCTTGTAATTGAGCCATCTATCCCCGTTAAAATCTCTACCATGACTGCCTGCAGCTCTGGTCGCCAAAGATGGGCCTGAAATTGTCAGAGATCCCGAACTAACTCTTCCAAAAGGATTCTGAGGTGATTTTAACGCGATTTCGGCACCAACGATAGTTATGAGGGGGCGGCTCCTCCCATTTCTTGCGACAAAGTGAACCGATCCCTGCACGGATGCGATGCCCATGACCATGAGGGTGCTACCCACTCCTGTGGCCGGGACTTCTGAGATTTGGGCAAGAAAATATCCATTACTCCCTCTTGCCACCAGGGCAAACTTTTCTCCAGCTGCTTCTCCCATAGACCTGCCAAATAGCGACCTTGCCCAGCAATTAGTAGCGTGCCAAAAGCCCTAGCCATTCCTTATATTGCAGAGAGTTTGTCGGCCGGGTTGGTGAGACTTCGGGATGTATAATTCTGCATAGGGCCGTCCCAATACGACTCTGTAATGTTTTCTCTTTGTATCCAAGGTTCGTAAATGCGAAAAAGGGGTCATCTTGCCTCTGTCAAGAAGTGAATGAGAGCAGATGTAATGAATAGTGGATGAAGTGAAAACCAGCCGCCGGGGAGCCAACTCCCATTCTTGAAGATTCCAGGCACGGCGATTGATAGGCTCATTCTTGAAACTAACGCCAGTATCTAGGACAGTGACTGTATTTCGGAGATCCTCATGCGGAGGTTCGACGGGAAGCTGGCATTGATACGCAGCTATAGAAAAGAAGCCGTCGCCGCAGTCTGAGGCGTTCGCTGCAACTATTGTGACGAAAGAATTATTGAAGATGCTGGCCATTCTAGCAGACTCGTGCAACCAATCTTCTTCGGAGTCTTGAAGGATGCAAAGCGCATCGATCCATATGTACCGGACCTGAAGTTCTTGCCCTATTCGAAAAGCATCCTGCAGACTACGAGGTAATTTCGAAGGAGAGAACCCTTGCCCTCGGTCGGCTAATGTCGCCGAAGTGGTTGTGAATGTATTTGATTAACCCCAACAGTAAGATAAAGCGACGTATCTACTCTTCTTATTGGTTTCGGTCATCGTTTTGATCATACCTAAGTTGTTAGCGTAGTTACGAATGTCTATGAGCCGGGTTGGAAGTTATATCTCACCGACGGGGAAGCAAGCATGGTCTGTTTGGCCTTGGAGCATCTCTCGTTGAGCCATTTGCCAATGGCTAAAGACTGCTTGGTCTTTAACAAGTTGGGAATGTTGCTCATAGCCATTGCAGTTGCATGTGACCTACCGCTGCCATTCAGAAGCTCGCAACTCATACTCTGTGGTTCTTCAATTCGCGACTCTTGTCCCGCTGCATCATTGCCCGGTGTGTGCTCCAGCAGCGAGATGGGGTTTGCATCCACTTTGTCACTCTGTCAAAAAGCAACAAATACTTCTTGTAACCATTCAGGATCACTTTCCTTGGTGGTTTGTCGTGGGATCTTATCTTCGCAGGCTTAGGCCGTTTTACGAGTTTGATCATGACGCTTCCCCAGCACTCTTCGCCCCCAATGACAGTATTGGGACAGAAGGCTCTATGTATTATCATACAAAGGCTACAGGCTCCTCTCGAGGCTGAGATATAAGTTATATTGCCCACTAGGCGAGATCATTCAGGGTCCTCCAGACCCGTAGGTAGCATGATACTTTGGCATCGAGCACACAGCCGTTGAGTGCCGGTCAACGCCGCCAATCTTGGACTGAACAGAAACACCAGATATCGAATAGTATCAGATGTCTGGTTATCTGGACTTCATGCAAAAATCGATTAAATGTTTGAAATGCAGATGAAATTAAAAGAAGAGCAATTGAAGAGGCTCAGGTGTACGTGTAGTCGGTGTGATCAAACCTTGTTAACCACATGGAGCCTCACACACCCATACCCCTCACCCCTCGTTTAGGCATCAGTTCTTCTGTGTTGTCTCCGCTCTCAATTTGCTGACATTTTGTCGGACCAACAACCTATGCTATGTCCGGAAACATCCTTCCCAGGGCCTCTACGCTTAGGTTCCCGTTGACTTCAGAAGCATGCGTACTTCTTGGCAACTTCTTCCTGGTGATGATTGGGTTTTGGTTCACCTAACACGGACCATAATTGCACTTGCCTATTGATGCAATGTAATTTCCGAGTTTATCACAGCCTCAACTGTGGACTTCTATTTGTTGACTCGCCATGCGTCTGAACAGGTCAGGTGATCAACACTATTTCATGATGCATGACTTCAGAATGAGTTGCACACCCATAGCCACCGCGCCTGGCTCTGCACCTTCTTCCACATGGGTATCCTACATATTAACCCACTTGAGCCTCGGGGTATGCGATCGCCCCCCAAGACACACTAATGGCACTTTGGGACGACCCTCATATCCGTCCTTGTCGGCATCGTAACCGGCAGGCGGCTCTCAGTCGGCGTTAGAAGCCCAGACCTAAAGACCAACTGAGGTAGCTCGTTGATGTGAGTTGAGCTCTTCACTTGGCAGCAGGTCGACGTGGGCGCATTTCGAGCCAATGATGATCAAAGTAGTTTCGAGAGTGCCGCGCCATCTTCGCTTAGTGTTCCCACGGAGTCCTTGAAGTGCATATAGATGTGAGCGGACAAGAGACATGGGAGATGTTGCTGGAAGCTTGAGTTAGAACTCGCTCTCTGGTATTGTGTAAGTCACCGTCTCCAAAATCGACGTTCCCAATTTAAACGCAAGACTAGAATTACAAGACGCTCTCCTCCGTGCTGTGTATGCACGGATCTGGGACCAGCGGTCTCGAAGATGACCTGACCTGTGAACAGCTCTGGATAGAAAAGCTCGTCGAAGCCTTCGAGGCGTTCAAAGGCATTTTATTATCCTTCTCTACGAACGCGCTTCATGACCTAGGCAGATCTTCAAGAGACGAAGCCACCGTTGCATTCGCCCTCGGAAATATCGGTCATCCGAATGGGTGGCTTCCGGGAGCCCCTTTGCTAGACAGTGTACAGAGTCTTGCGCTCCAGCCTCCAGAATCATGGCATATCTTTCAGGTCGCTTCTCTATTAACCAAGTCTAGTAATTGTGTTGATTTTGACTTTGCAATTTCGGGAGTCCCGTTGACGCCGTTCCAGTAAAACACTCGAACGTGTGAACCGGTGGGATTCGGCACGGGACCTCCGATAACCCACAAGCTTGCCTTAACTATTCATTCAAAGCTTCTCTACCGGTCTTGAGCTCAAGATCTCGGCCGCAGTAAGCCTTGGTGGAGCTGGTGGAACTAGACGTATTTTGGTTGCGGCACGGCCATCTATGACGGCTAGGCAGCAGCATTACTGAGACTTCCACTCTAGCATCGAAAAGGGATGTCCCCGGTGCTGAAGCGGCGGCCTCTGGAAAAAAGTCATGTTACCAGATTCATCGTAATTAACCTGGTGATTTCTCCATGAGATCAAGGTTAAGTTACACCGATGAAGCGAAGGCTGTCAAGTGAAAACGTCGCGAGCGCTTGGACCCCTGAGCGTGGGCGAAGTTGTGTTGTTGGCTCTAAAAAACCAGTCAAGTAATACTGCCCGCTTCATGCATACTTGCAAGTACCAAATCTTATCTTATGGATTCCTCGGAAGAACCATACATTGGGGCTTAGTGGGTAGGCTGTCCAATACTTCAGGTAGAACAAGTCTATTCCTCACCACCTCAATGGTTATTGATACTCATCCAGTGCACACTCTTGCCGAAAAATAAAAACAAGTGAACCAGGATACTTTGAGGAAAAACTTGTTGCTGTCGTGCTATCTGGAAAATCTGTCTTTTGATCTGAACAACCGAGTGATTTCTTGGAGTTTCTTCTAATATTCGACGTATTCTGGGTGCTTGTCCTGACTCCTGGACCAGGAGTCCTGGTGTATTAGCTTCCAATGACTAACTCGTTTTGAATATCATGTCCACTTCGTGAGGTTCTGGCAATAAAAGCTAAAAGAACTTCTCAAGTCATCCCAATCTTCAGGCGACGCGTCATCGCCCAATTGCGTTTTCCTGGTGCCTGGGTTTGTTTCCCTGCGCTGTCTTGGCAACGCCTAGTTCCCGAGATCGTCAGCCCAAACCCATCTGCAGACAACGTATCCGCAGCAGGAGAATTTCCATCATAAACGTTAATACGGAAAGCTGCATGACTTTTAGCACAGCCTCTGTCTAGTTGATCAGGGAAATTGAGCCTTATGGACGCCATAGGGACAGCCAGAAAATTTCCGGAGCTTGACAGCCCAATGAATAGGTTACTGACTTGTAACCACGAGCTCGGGGCGTGATGTGGAGTGTACGAATTACCTGTTTAGGCATTTTCAAGACAGCGCGCACTTTCCTTTGACCGAAAGTGGTACTTACCCCTAAAGCATGCATCTGGGTCGTTGGGCAGAATGCCTCTCCGGTGTGATGAAGATTCAAGAGGTAGCCCATAGATCAAGGGAGGCTTCATGGGCGGTGGTCCTCAAGGTACGATGGAAGCGACTATATATCCATGGAAGCATCCGGCCGGATGGCTATAATATTATTCCATCCAACATCACAATCATCACCGCATCAGGCCTGAAGCATCGCTATGTTCCCATTCAGTTTCAACAGTTCCCTCTCAGGGTCTGACCTGATACGTCGGATTACGCTTTGCGTTCTTCACTTTGTCTTCGGAACAATATTCTTCGATGTTATACACTGGCTTGCCCACCAGTCCAACCGATCGCGTTTTCGAGTACTACGGCTACTTGCCAAAGCTCACTCAATTCATCACCAGTACTTTGATCGTAACCTCAATTTCAACGAGCGATTCCGCTATCGAAATATCATTTGGCATCTGTCACTCGAAGTGTCTTGTCAGATGGTCGGCAGCGCGATGAGCTGGCTTCTCAGCCTTTTGGTCATGCGCAAGTTTTCACCTGTGATACTTCAGGACCTGATCATCATACTCGCCATCCAAGCCGGCAGAGCAGCCGTCGTGGCATGGAATGCTGGGAATGATTCAAATCACGTCCCTTATCCGCGGCTACCGAAAGACCCCTACACCTTTATCGTTGGGCCTGAGTACCATGTCCTTCACCACATAGAGCCTCTGGCCTACTTTGGGTCGATGGTGCGCCTGCTAGACTGGCTTCTCGGTACCGGGGTCTCACTGAAGGGTCGGCGCGTAACAATGACGGGGTCCAGAGGGGCGCTCGGCCAGGCCCTTGCGAAGCAGCTTCACCTTCAGGGTGTTCGATGCATTCATACCCCCAAATTTGGAGTCGACTGGAAGTATGATGACTACTCCCACCTTGAGTCTATCCTTGCAGACACCGACATACTCATCCTCGCCCACGGATCCAAGGATGATGAGAACGCCTACGAGGCAAATTGCAAGTCCCCTATCGCCATCATAGAGATATTCAAGAAATTTTGCGAACGACGAAAACTTGGATTACTTCCGGAAGTCTGGTACATCGGCAGTGAGGCCGAGCTCCACGGAGCTTGGTCCAAAGATATGGAGAATTACACACAGTCAAAACGCGCTTTCGTACCACACGCCCGAAGGCATTATGGAGAAGATTACTACAACTATCGGCACATCGTCCCGGCAGCATTTACCTCGAGAATGGGACGCGGCTTTATGTCTGCTGATTCGGCCGCCAAGGTGGCTCTTTGGTGGATTCGAACTGGAGCACGATACGTTCCAGTCACGTACACCGGGTTCGCGTATTTCAATTTCTTCAGGTTTAGACTAGGAGGCCTCGCTACTAGTTCGCCAAAGGGCACAACTGGAGGAGCTTCTAAGATTTTACGCATTGATGGGGGACAGGCGAAACTACGGTCTTGAGATCTTCATCTGGAAAATCGTACATGTATCTCTCGGAGCTGTTAAACTTCACTTTCGTGTTCACATCAGTTATTCATAGCTTCAGCACATATTCCAACATACGGTTCATCTTCTATGTATCTTCCGAGGCAATTGCCCTAGATTTTCCAGAGTTGTTTCGTACCTTGTACCCACATCTAAGGGGTAGAGATATCAGTTGCGGGTCGTGGACGACCAATGTTTGCGTCTAGTATCCACACGAGGGCTTCACCCGCCTACCTTGAACCCACATGGTCATCTTGTCGCCGCCAAGGTGTGAAGGAAGCAATACCAGTTATATTGGTCTATTAGTCTAGTTGGTTAGGACGTCGGATTCTGATTCCTCCAATCAGTCCCTTCCGTAAGCCCAGGTTCGAATCCTGGATGGACCTTTACATTTTGATTATCATGATGACAGCGTTTGGAAGAGCCATGCTTTCCGATTTTTGACCCTTATATTGCCATTTATGGCAGAAGAGTAGGGGTCCGTCCGGCTTACTATCTTCATCTAAAATATGGCGGTAATTGCATCGTCTAACATTTTCATGATCATGTGGATACAAAGGTCGCGAGCATCGTGTCAAATACCTCACCTACAACTTGGTTGTGTTTTGAGCAACCGCCGCATTTACCCCGGAGCTCCGACTAGTAAGCCGGCCGAAATGCGGATGTCCGTGACCTATGACGCGGAGAAGTTTTGAGCCAAATTCGGGCTGGTGTTCCGTGGCATAGGCACCCCAGACGAAACAGAATACGCTGGCTGCGAGCTTCAGCTGAGACTTCTGTGTGACATGTCGATGCTACAATGCGTTACTTGATGCTTCTCTTACATCCTCCAGCTTGAGTCGGCCATGTCATTCGCAGGCAGGCTTTAAGTTTCCGCAAGGATGGGGAAGTACGGCGGGAAGTACGGCATCCTGCCAGGTTAAGGGTATCGATGGTCATTAAAATCAGATGAATCTTGCAATGCTTTTGAACCAAGATACGCCATGACCAACTCACAACTTGCCCACATCTCCAAGGTTTCAGTAAGTTTAGTCAAGATCAACACAGAGGGCAAACTAATCAAAGTGATTGCAAAATGTACGCAAGCGATGTTCTTCAATCTCCAGAAGCCCGCGGGCTCTCCTTTCTCGCCGGAGTCACACTCCATCTTTCCATCTTCCGATTCGGCGAATGGGATCTCTCGGCACAACACATCCTCGCGAACTTCATGATCGCTTATGCAGCGACCGTCGGAGCAACCATGGCTTTGCCGTTCCTCGCGCCCATAGTTTCTATTTCCCCGATGGAAGCAACAAGCTTGGCACAAGTTGCAAAAGCAGGGGCTATACTATTCTCATCGCTCACAGCAGGCATCTACACGAGCATCCTAGTATACCGAGGTATTTTTCACCGCCTGCGTCAGTTTCCCGGTCCATTCTTCGCCAAGTTTTCGAACCTCTACGTCACGTTCAAGATCTGGAACCAGATGCACCTCCATGAGGATGTGCGGAAGCTGCACGAGAAGTACGGCGATGTGGTGAGGGTCGGCCCGACTGAGCTCTCTATCAATAAGCCTGGTGCCATCGATGCCGTTTTCCTGGATACGGATTGTATGAAGGGACCGTGGTACAATCTGCTTCATCCTATGGTCTCAATGCAGATGGTTCGCGATAAGGAGGCGCATTCTAGACGCCGAAAGGCTTGGGAATATGGCTTCACCTCGAAATGTGAGTAATCCTCGGGATCTCTGTAGAATTATTGAGGTTTTTGCCTTAGAGACTGATCAACAACGCGACGCAGCACTTCGTGACTACGAACCCCGCGTCCTCAAGTACACAGACCAACTTCTCGCCGGCATCGAAGCCAGCGCCGGCACCAAGTTCAACGTATCCCTCTGGTTCAACTTTTACAGCTTCGACGTCATGGGCGAGTTTTCCCTTGGCCACGGGTTCCGCATGCTCGAGGACGGCGTCGCGCATTTCTACATGAACTCGCTGCACGATGAGACCAAGGCCGTGGGGCGCTTCACGCACGCCATGTGGGCTCTGCCGCTGTACCGCAAGATGGCTATCTGGAACGCCGGCGTGAAGAAGTTCAAGACGTGGATTTCGGGCCAGGTGCAGCAGCGGATCCAGAATAAGCCTGAGAGTCCAGATATCTTTACCTGGGTGTTGGAGGATTATGAGGGCAAGGAGGAGCACTCCTTCCAGGACATGCTTAACTTGTACGGGGACTGTATCTTGATTACAGTTGCTGGAAGGTAAAGTCCTGGCCGTGGTCAATTTTGTTTGCTTGGCGACAAGTCATTGACTCGATATAACAACATCTAGCGACACCGTAGCAGCTGTCCTGTCATGTCTATTCATGGAGCTGGCCCGGCATCCGAAAGAGTACATGAAGCTTCAAGACGAAGTCGATGAGTACTTTAGAGAACACGAAAAGCCTGAGCATGCCGCTCTTTCAAAGCTGCGATATCTCCAGGCCTGTATCGACGAATCGTTACGTCTCCATCCACCTGTGCCATCGGGCGTTCAGCGGATGACGCCGCCCGAGGGGCTTCAGGTAGACGACGTCTGGCTTCCTGGGGACACCATTGTCTTTGTACCATCGTATACGCAGTACAGAGGTGAGTCTAATTTGATGACAGGAGTTGGCAAGCGAAAGTCGTAGTCTCGGATGGATTACTGATATGATCTTCCCCGCCATAGACGCCAGGTTCTTTGAGAGACCAGATGACTTCATCCCAGAACGATGGATCCACCGACCAGAACTCGTCAAGAACGCCGCAGTCTACGTACCATTCTCGACAGGTGAGTTACTGACTGCCTCTTTGCCATCAAGTAAGATTTATCTGAACGACTTTGCTCATTTCATTTGGAAGGACACGACGTATGTATCGGGAAACAGCTCGGCCTCCTGGAGACGCGATTTGTGACCAGCGCAATCGTGCACAAGTACAACTTGCGATTTGCACAGGGGCAGACAGGGGAAACATTTCTAAAGGGCAACAAGGACACTGGTACGCTGACCGTGGCACCGCTCAATGTGGTATTCTCGCCGAGGAAAGCGTAAGCGTAGGGGTAGTTCGGCGAAGTTGTCTCATCTGCCATCTTTATATGCAGCTTGCAGAAATTTCCCGGTCACTCTAGGGGGGTTGGTTATCAGGGTGTCCAGAATCCGCAAGCGTGCCAATGTTGGACGCATGGCTGGTGAAATGTAGTATGTACGAAATAAGAGTGTGCTATTTTTCTCGTATACGTCCCATGGCGTACTTACCTCCTTACACTAACTGGTGCTACCTAAAGTATGTACAGATATTTGCAGACTCGACTACCGAGCGAGAGGTTCAAACTTGGAATAATATGATGTGTCGAAAGAAAATGCTCGCTGTCATGCCGTGCTTACCAACGACGCTGATGAATCCAACGAAAATGCGAATCAAACCTTGCCGTACGTCGCCCGTATCCGCCGCTTCAAATGCTCCAGACTGGTAACAGGCTCGGCACTCTCATACCCCTTTCTCCTCAGAACCTCCAAGAACTCGGCGTCCGCACCGCCGCCATCTTTTCGATCCTCCTTGATCGGCGCCAACACGACATGGCGGTCAGGCTGTATAAAAACGGGTATACTCAACCTCGCGACATTCTCGCTCGCGGACCTGGGGAACGCGACCCTGTGCACCGTGGACCGCAGCCTCCCTGCGGTCCAGAACTCGAGGGCGTCGCCTATGTTGACGACAACGGCGTCGGGGATGCAGGGAACGTCGGCCCACGCAACGGCGTTGTTGTCTCCTCCTCCTCCTCGCAGGACCTGGAGCCCGCCCTGGTCCGAGGGCTGGCGGAAAAGCAGGGTGAGTGAGCCGTAATCGGAGTGGGCACCCGCTCGGATATCCTCCGAGTGGGAGGTCGGGGCGTCGTCTGGGGAGGTGGAGGAAGAAGTTGTGGACGATGCGACGTGAGATACCGGGGGGTAATTTATGAGACGCATACGACAACTTTCGCCAGTATGGGCTTTTGATAGAAAATCCCTTGGCATCTGAAGGGAAGAGTTTAGTTAGTTCCACCCCCTCGCTTTGATGGTGTCTTTGCAACCAGATCCCATGTAAAGGAGTTATGATGGCAGCACTCACGCCTAATCCAACTGCGAGCGCTTCCAAAAGAGTCTTTGAGAGGCTATCGCAACCCGCAAAGAAGGCTGCCATTGTTTTCCGGCGGGATTCCAACTCGGTTGGAAGTAGCTGCGTCGTTTTGCCGGGGTCTGATAGGTAAAAGGATTCTTTAACGTCGCCCGGCCCTGCTCCAGAAAGCCTGTTCCACACCACAAGCATTAACTTCTTGTTGGGATCTCACGACTTCACGAAAGAGGAAAACGAGTCAGCAAGGTAAATTGGGCTGGGCACAACGTACGTTTCTTCTCTCATACCGGTGTAACCCTAAGCGAGATCAAACCACGTAGTCAGCACCGCAAAAGATCGCTGATCACCTTCGTCCAACAACATGTACATGTATTACCCATACTCCCCACGCCCTCCTGGTTTCCGTTGGTGAAATACAGCAAGGGAGACAAACGGGAAAGAGGCAAGACACTTCGAGCGAGATGCAGGAAACACAAAATAAAAAAGGAAACTCACCAGATCGCCGCTGCCGTTGGCGTATGCCAATTTCTCTTCAAGGGGTGAGCTGAAGAAAGTCTCGGCGAGAGCAAACATGTCGGCTGCAACGTCGTCGCGCAGGTCGTGTCCAACAACGTAGAAGAAACCGGGGTCCTTGCCGACGCGCATGAGGTCGGCCGCCAGATCCTCGACCGAGTCGAAGGACCGCAGGTCAACGACTGGTAGCGCCGCCGCCGCCGACGATGCTGCCGCTGCGGCCGCGGTCATGGTTGGCTCGTTGGTTCCGGCACACCGCGCAGACGCGCAAACCGGGGTTGAAAGACGGGGGAATGGGATTCTTACAACCCCCTTCTCGTTCTAGAACAAAGAGTAAAGATTACGCAGGGGGTTCAGATGTGGATATTTGATTTCAATATCCGTACAAGCAAGCAAGCGAATGTGGTTTCTTGTAATATCGCGCGTAATAAGGCTGCCAGATTTTCGTCTGATCCGAGTTGCGCGCCGACAGGAGGCAAAGAAGCGCGGGTATAAAAGTATGCAGAATGGAATGAATGATGCATGCGGTACTGGGCGAACGCCACATTCACAGCAGATAGCGATAAAGTGTCCAAGCTCCTCGAGTTAAGTAGCAACTCATGGAACGATTATCTTTCTCTCTAGCAAAATGAACCCCTCTTCCGACGGACCGACCTCGAGATAACCTCGTGGGGAACCGGGTCCCGCGGTCTCGCAGGCGGTTAAAGCTGTAGAATCAAAGAAACAGCGGCAGATTCTCCATCTCAGAGCCCGCGCATTTTGCCTTTTCGTCTCTGCTTTTTTGCCCATCTCAAGGGAGCCCCGCCAAGGAATCACACGTGGCCTCGTCAGGTTTCGGGGTCCTCGAGGCGTTCGACGGGCCAAAGAGAAGGGGAGAGTGACCGCTGAACAGACGCCAGACGCAACCCTAAACCGGGTTAATTGATCTCTTTTGGAGAATGTACGGCGGGAGGAGAGGGGCCGGGGGGGTTCATGGCCGCGGTTGACAATCAATAGGTGTGACGAAGAAACGGCAGTGCCCGCGCGAGTGGCCCCATGACCGGTTCCAGCTCCCATGCAAAAAGTCTCCGCAGAAACGACGAAACAGAATGCGGAGATAGGCGCAATCGTGATCTCGATTCTTGACTGAAGCCATCGAAAGTCTTGTCTCAAAAGAGGGGTTCAAAGTGATGGAGCGGGCGATGGTCTTGCTTCGAGCCAATCGCGACTCGCTGCCGATTCCCGAGCCACATGAATTTGCGGCCGAGACAGCGAGACAGTGGCTGTTGAGCTGTTGAGCTGTAGAATGCCAAAGTGCCAGAATGTGACAGTTCCCTCAACTTTCCTGTTTCCTGCTATGTGGGATAAGTGCCATGATGGTGATGAAGCCTGATTGGTATCTGTACGTAGGCGATATCTAGCAATGTGATTGCGGATTTGAGGCAATGGTGTGGGGGAAAACATGCAGCCTAGTAGACTCAGTCAAAGACTAGAATCTGAAAGAGAATCAGGTCAATGACCCTGTCTTCATCGTCTCGTATGGTTGGTCGGCGTCAACCCGCCCTGCTCCAACACGCCAAGCGAAATTGAAGAGCAAACAAAATCCCATTCCCCCTTCCCCGTCCAGATCCATCATCCAACACGTAATAATACTTACTGTATGGATACCCGTAAGCAGGAGGAAAAAAAAAAAAAAAGAGAAACACCCCTGGCGTGAACTAGAACCCGAAAAGACCCTTGCGCCATTCTCTGTTCCCCTCCCTACCGAGTGCCTGGTCCGCACCCCTTCTGCCCTATCCACATTCCCACACTCTGGGCCAGGGATCATCGTCACCGCTGCAGGTTCTGCATGGCAGTGGAGGGGCGGGCACGTCGTGGATCGTGAAATTGACCGCGAATCCCATGAGGGAAAGGGTCCGAAAGGGATGGCGGGGGTGTTCATTGTGTTTCTGTCTAGGTTCTCTTCCAACTGCATGATATCAAACATGATATTTGCCGTAAACCTGGAAGTTCAGCTTACGAAGTATTACATGGCGCCTCCTCTTGCTTCATACGAACCTTGCCTCTAGAACCCCCCCCCCCCCCCCCTTCCCAAGTTCTCAACCCCCAACCACATTCTCCCTTTTCGCCATGGATGTTCCCGTAGCCTCCGTCAGCTTTCAAGTCCCGCTATTCGTAGACCGACGTGCTGATATCTTGTTTCAAACGACTGGAGCAAGCCCGGCCACCATCTACACTATTGCCCTGGGGTCATTGGAAACCCCTGAGGTGGTCTCATCGGTGGAGGCTGACCCTGCACTTGGTCAGCCAGGGCTCGCAGGCGCACCCTCCATCATGTATGAGAATCCATACACAGTAAGACCGCTTCCCTCATCCTCTTTACTTTTCCCTCCCCTGTCAGCCTGTCGGTGGCCCGTTGGGCAATCGCTAACCACATTTCTGGGATTCCTGTCTCGCCCGCTTTGCCCAGTCCTTTGCCCGGGACAAGTTCCGCGTCCAGCATCCAGCTCCTTCAGACCCAGAGTCCCGGTACTATCGAATCCCGTACGTAGGCATTGAAATCGAATGAGAACGCTCGAGAGATACAAATATCAGCCGAGGAGAACATCCCAAATTCCAATCACACTGTGTCTCTTCAACTTCAACATTGCCCTGCCCCCTTCTTTCTCTCCGGTCCAGTCCCCTCATGGCCTCCAACTTTTAGCCTTTTGCCCGCTTCCCGCGACGCGTTACAAGTAACTGAACACTCCACGATCTGTGCGACGTAACTAAGCTTTTCGTACGAAACTCTGACAAGCTAAACGCTAAAGAAGAGAACCAAAGGAAAAAAAAAGAGCCCGCCTCAGAATCGTCCGGTCCGCTTACGGTCTGGTCTAGCGCCCACCCCGTCGAGCCCCGTCTCCCCTTTCCAGATCTCTCCCGCACCGCCTCATCCCCAAAGGTCCAGTCCGTCTCATATCTCATTGAAGAGGGCCGGACACACTCACTATTGTATCCATACTGCCCCCAACCCATCCCGTTTCCTCCTGCGCGGACCCCCATCTACCCGCCCTCCACATTCATCCGCCCTGGTGTCCGTCCCTTTTGCTAAACGGGTGGGCATACATCGCAGTAGTTCGCAGAGCCGGCGTCGCGGCGTACATCACACATTCCTCAAGCTGAACACCACCTACACCTCTCACAGCAACAGCTTCACCAGCGTAATCCCAGCATCGAGAAGTTGAACTAGAGGAACTAGCAAAGAAGACGTGGTCTGAATTATCGACGGCGTCCACGGTGCCTTCTCGGGCTAATACCCCCGGCGCGGATCTATCCCGCCAACAGCCAAGATGACGTCCGCATCGGCCCTCCTCCGCCGCGTCCAAGTCCCCCGCGAGACGGACGTGGCAACGACGGCCTACATGAACCGCGACACTCGGCCCCTCCCGCCCTCACGCCGCACCTACGGACCATGGCAATTCGTCGGCCTCTGGGTCGTCACCGGCTCCTTCAACATCGGCGGCTGGACAACAGGCTCCTCCCTCATCGCCCTCGGCCTCAACGTCTGGCAGGCCATGTTGACCGTCATCATCGGCCACTGCCTCGTCGGCCTCATCTGCGTCCTCGCCGGCGGGCCGGGAGCAAAGTGGCATATCGGCTTCTCCATCCTCCAAAAGGCCTCCTGGGGTATGCGCGGCGCTCTTTTTCCGCTCGTCCAGCGCATCGTCTTGTCGTTTATATGGTATTCTACTCAAGTCTACTGGGGCGGACAATGCGTACGCACCTTCATCGCCTCCATGGCGCCCTCCTTCAACAACCTTGATACACCCCTTGCAAACGGCACAATGACCGTCGCAGACTTCATCGGCTTCATCATCTTCTCCCTCCTCTGCCTGCCCCTAATCTACATCCGCCCAGAACGCTACCACATCCCCTTCGCCATCGCCGCCTGCACCGTCATCCCCACCGTCTTCGTCCTCTTGATCTGGTGTCTTGCCACAGCCCGCGGCGCAGGCCCCATGCTCCACGACATCACCTCCACCGCCGGCGTCCAGCAAGCAACGGGCTCCCACCTGGGCTGGATGCTCGCCCTCGGCATCTGCACAAACATCGGCGGCATCAGCACCCACATCTTCTCCCAGTCTGACTTCACGCGTTTCGCCCGCCGTCCCCGCGACCAGCTCGCCTCCCAGCTCGTCTTCGTGCCCGTCAACACCATCCTCGTCGCCTTCGTCGGCATCGTCTGCACCTCCTGCGCCGCCCAGCTGTTCCCAAAGACACAGGGCACACTGGTCTGGGAACCCTACCGCTTCCTCGATGCCCTCCAATCTCACTACGACAACAGCGCCGGCGCCCGCGCCGCCGTCTTCTTCGCGGCCCTCGCCTTTATCTTTGCCCAATTCGGCATCGCCGTCGCTGAAAACGCCCTCTCCAACGGCATCGACCTCTCCGCCCTACTACCGCGCTACTTCAACCTCCGTCGCGGCGGGTACCTAACCGCAGCCGTAGCCTTCATAATGCAGCCGTGGCAGCTCCTCAACGGCGCAAGCAAGATCCTCACAGTCATGGGCGGCTACGGCGTCTTCCTGGGGTCCATGACGGGCGTCATGTTTGCAGATTACTACCTCGTCCGCGCGCGGCGGCTAAAGCTGACGGACCTGTACGAGGCGAGTAGCCGGAGCGTGTACTGGTACCGCGGGGGCGTGAACTGGCGGGCCGGCGTGTCGTGGACGGTGGGCACGTTCTCGCTGCTGCCCGGGTTCGTGCAGCGGGTGCAGGATCCGACGGTTGAGAAGGCGGGGTGGTCGCACTTGTATTACCTCGCTTGGCCGTTGGGTTGTACCCTGGCCGTGGTGTCGTATTGTCTACTGCATGTTGCGTTCCCGATTCGAGACACTCATGCGGTTGACGACGCGGACTATTTTGGTACGTTTGGACCGGCGGAGAGGCCGGTGCTGGACGGGGAGCAGCTTCCGTCGTCGTCTTCCAAGGCGTCTGAAGGTGATGATTCGACTACCAAGATTCGTGCGGAGGCTAATGAGAAGAGGGTGTGAGGGGATAGGTCGGTGAGGTGGTGTGTTATGATAACGAGCCTACTGTTGTCTTTTCCTTACAGCGCGCGGGATACCTTTTGTTGTGCGGTCTCTACTCGACTAGAATATGCCATGATGGCCCTAATCACTTAACATTACTTCTATTGTGCGTTCAAGTGTGAGGAAATTGAGATGTGACGTGTCGGAAGAGGTGATGAAGCGGTAGCGTACCATTGACCCAATCTGCAGTTCACCTTTGGCCCATCAAGAATTGATACACCCAAGAACAAGGTGCGAAATGTGACAGTTCATCTGCATGTCTTCCTAGTGTCGCTGGTATTGGTTGCAACTCATACTAGAAGGGTGCATATTTCACACCACCAGAATGGTGATAAGAGAAGGTCCAAGATGTCACAAGGCAGAGAGTGGGTGGCCATCTTGTAGCCTTATTGGAGTCAACCACCAGCTCAATCAATACCCTGGTGCCTACTCCCATAGAGCCCCAGTAAAACCACCAATCCACAATGCGCCAATTCATCATCTCGTCTCGTGAACCGTGACATCCACCTCCACCATCCCGCGCCATCATCCACTTCAAAGAACCATCCCCTGCTCAATCCCATTCTTTGGGATAGCACAAAGAGGGCAAAATGACCCAAACGAGCTCCAGAGGGTCCACATCGTACGAGCCCTGCATGGAAGATCGTCCCCAAGTGCCGATGCGGGAGGGAACAAGAAGCAAAAGACGTGGTGTTCCACGCGCAAAGGCGGGGTTGAGGGCGGGTGAGCTGCTGAATTCAGACCGTGGGAGATCAATTGACTCGGAACCCGGCGGATTGGGCCAGGGCACCTTAACCGCCCATCCACTTCAATCACCGCTGAAAACGGCATATCCACAGAAACGAAAGTCGTCCACGATCGTCTGTTGATAGACAATATCAAGGATCGGGTTGGTAACAGCCAGAAATCATCCCGTTTATGCGCGTCGCTATAAAACCTAGACCCTGCTGCAACATTACGACCCGTGTGTCCCCTTTGTTCTTCCAGACGGACAAACAACATGGCGCCGTCAACAGACCAGCCAGTGAGGCTCCTATGCATCATCCCAATTTCAACAACAGGCATGACAGACGATCTCACACGTATATATCCTTCCACCCCAACCCTCCAAGTCACTTTCATAGACGGCCGCGATCTCGACGACTGCCCCCCGTGTATCGAGAACCACGCACAGGCCATATCCTCAACCAACGCCGTTCTCCCTCGGGCTGTAGAGTACACTTCCACCCACCGCCCGCATGCTGTCCTCGTATGCTGCTTCTCGGACCACCCGCTAGTATACGCCCTTCGCGAGCAGCTCAGGGACAAGATTCCCGTCACGGGAATATTCCAAGCCGCGCTACAGGAAGCAACAGCGGAAGGAGGCAAGTTCGGCATTGTGACGACGGGGACCTCGTGGGAGAAGCCACTGACAGATTCTGTTGGTGACCTCGGTTTTGACGGGTATTCTACTGGCATTGCGGCGACTGGGCTGAGTCCACTTGAGTTGGAGAGTTTGGATCGGGGGGTGGTCGTCGACCGTATTGCTACATTTTCGAAGCCTTTGATCGACGCCGGCGCCAAAAGCATCATCCTTGGCTGCGCAGGTATGGCGGCATTGGAAGAGGATATACTCTTGGCTCTTCCGCCTTCTATCAGGACAATTGACGGTGTTCGTTCAGGGATGATGCTTTTGTCGCGGCAGGTTGAGGAGGAGGCCTCTACCAAATCAGGACTTTCTCTCCCTGACATTGCTACCAAGCCCAAAATTGCTGTGAGATGCACGGAATTGACAAGGGACGAGCAACAGTTAGTATGAGCTTGGAAGTATCCGGGATGTAAGATCAAGGGCTGGTAACCACGATAAATGATGTTGATATATTTGTATGGTGATAAGGTAAGTAGGGATCAACACAAAATCAGGTCGTCCCCCAGCTCTCAATTGCGCCAGCCCAGTCGATCTCCGCCCCATCGTTAAATGCATTGTTCCACATGTTCCCGATAAAATCTGCTTGAAAATTATAAAAGGAAGTATTCGGTAACGCATATTGCTCGAGAAACCCTGGGTGCTGCTGCTGTGGCGGCGGTTGAGGCATCAAGTCCATGACCCGCGGGTCATTTGTCATCTCCGGCTGATGATGCATGATCGGCGCTACCGATACTGCCGGTACTGCTGTCACTGTTGGTATTGCTTGACTCTGCCGAAGAAGTATTTCTTCTAGTTTGTGAATATACTGAAAAATTCGTGCGCCTGCTTGACTTGCTGAAGGAAGAGACGGTGCAAGGCTCTGGAGGAATGTAGCCATGGAAGTCCTGAACAGTCAGCATGCATGCAAGATAGGGGACGTACTGATCACAACTTACATGACTTCGCGAAGTTTGTAGTACTGCCAGTCGACCAACTGGCGGGCAATGAAGCTGCTAAGCAAGTGAGCGACTCCTGCCAACTCTTGCAACTGTGTAGCAATATCAGCACATGGTCGTGTCGAGAAAAAGAGAAGCATACCATGGGATATCCGATTGCCCGCAAGTACTCTACCGGCACTAGAGTAATCTCTTGTACGAGTTCAAGCGCGGCACCGCAAGCATCTTCAAATTTGTTGTGGCATGCGAATGCCGCCATCCGCAGTAGCTATGAGTTGAAAGTTAGTTAATGGAGCACTGGGCATGCAATGAAGTGAACGCACCTGGAAGGTACAAGCAATATTGGCTACTTGGAACCCACATAGGTTCGCTTCTACATCTTTTGACGCTGGATAAGCGCTTGTGGCATATGGTGGAAGATTGCTCTTCTTCCCAAGAACCAGGTGCAGCATGTCGTCAATGTTGGGCATAAGAGGTTCGTGTTGAATCGGCCCTCTGTCGAGGGTCTTCAGTCGATCTTTGCGCATTCGGACAATGACGTGTTCCAGAACGCGGTATAAGTCGGTAATGTAGTTCCAGCCGGTAAGCCAGCTGCCATGGCTGAAACGAGTCTTCTCGGTTTGCCCTGACGCGTCGACAATGCCGGCGAGGCCGTCAACTTGCTGCGGATATGCAACGGCGCACTGCAGTTCGGGGCACCGTACCACGTGGCCGTCGATCAGCGCAGCGTGAACCTCCAAGCGGTACATTGACCAGAAGAACTGCCGCCTTACGTGCTTCTCGGGGTATGTTAGGTGCGAGGGCCAGCGCGCTTCGAAATGGAAGGTATGTTGAGCTACCAGTGTATGATAACGGCCCATACACTCATGGAAGAGGGGGTCGTCTTTGAGCTGTGTGGCGGCCAGCGATAAAGTGCCGAGGACCTGTAAATACTCAAAAGCTTCGGAACTGCTAATGTCGCGATTTCTTTCTGGAATCGCCCTTTCTGCATCCTGCATGTAGGCTTCATGATGCTCGGGGAGAAGAGGAGTGGGCGTATCCGGGTTGAACAAGGCGCCATCTCTGACGTGACACGAACTTAATGCGCAAATAGCCATCAGCCGGGCAAATGAAGCCCTGCTGGATGACAGGCTGGTGGCCTCCCATTCCTTGTGTAAGGACACCTCATCGAAAAATGGAAATCTTCAGCCAAGATTAGCTTATCTAATGTAGCGCAGAAGACGTAAACCAAAAGGGGTGAGGGTGGGATGAACGCACACTGGGTATACAGTGTCAAAAAAGATGACGATGAGTCGATAGATGAGGGCCCGGCTCCCGTGGCGGCTCTCGTCGTAGAACCACCTATCGCCATCGGCATCATCGAAGGAGTGAGACTTGTTATTGTTCACCGATGAGGAAGGCGACGTCCTTGATTTGACACCCCGCTTGGCGGCAACACGGTTCCATGTGCAGGTCGCGCCGTGTTCGATGCAGGTCAGACAGCTTGGGGTGCCGCCAGGGCTGGCGACGGAGGCGACCCCGCCTCCGTCGGGCACGGGCTTGCATTTCCGCCCTCGACGATGGCAGAAATCGCAGGCCTTTGTGATGCGGCGACGTTTGATGCTGGGCTCGCTGTGCCGTCTGCTATCACCGTTTGGCAAGTCGTCGTCCTCCTGTTTCTGGCCCATGATTCGAGCGAGCGTCGGACGCGTCGAATCGGGTCACGGGAGTCCCATCCGGCTGCGCGATGATGGCGAGGGACAATGGGCAATCGGGGAGTTTGGCGGTGGATACAATATCCGTACGGATATCTTTCTCACACGAGGGAAAACAGGCCAGGGAAAACCGGGTAAGTTTTCCTACTGTCTGAGCCACGGTGAGGGGCCGCGCACCCCAAGGAATCCTCCTCTCTCTTCCCTGGTACGGTTGACGGATGTGCAGATCCACCGTCTGGCTACACGTGTGCTAATTGCCGATGGAATGGATAGATTTGCTGAAGAAATGCAGGCCCGATCTCCTATACGTAGATGAATGCGGTCCGGATGGGTACAACCGGCGGGAGGATGCCGTCTCTGTGCAACCTCGAAATGGGGGCGGTTTTTCTGACCGGGCTGAAATTTGCTGGAGGAGGGGTTCTCTTTCTAGGCGTCCGAGGAGGGATCGGAAACATCAAACATGGAATGAGATGAGGAGAACACACGGGCAGATCGAGGTTGAAATTGACACGGCCGGAAGAGTGGTGGAGGTGGAGGGGGGGAGGGGACGTCGGGTGGACGTGGACTGGAGCCGCGCCCCGAGACAGCAAACGATCAGCCTGACTAAGCCGGTACGTATTTATTCCTTGTGGCACACGCAGGGACGGGAAAGAAGGAAAGAACGATGCGATGTGAGAGGGAAGGCCCGCGGTGTGTTGTTTCCTCCTTCGCGCGATAAGGTAACATCCACCCGCGCCTGCCCCGGTGGTTCTGCACTCCCAAATCGGCCAAGATCACGGGATTTTAACGTACCGCACGATGGCATATCGGTACGTACTCGCCGTCGGCGCAGCCAGAGGTGGCTGTGCCGCAGCCACTGATCGCATGGCACCCTCGTCACAGTGCCATTTCTTTGTTCCTCAATTTACATGTCTCCAACACGTTGCGCTGTTGGTTCTACACCGCATTTCCCAATCAACCGGATCTGGCCTGGAAATAAGCCTGAACTACCTCTAGTTCTGCAAGTGGACAGATACAGCCGTGGGGGTGGTTCAGCTTACCTCGCATCTTGTTTCTTCCTTGCCATTGTCCTCAAAACTGTCAAGCCAACCTGAATTTTTGACCCTTGTGATGTCGTACCGACTCTGGAGTCTGCGGCTACTGAGACACACCATCGTCATGAGATCTGTGGCAACCCTGAAATATCCAACTTTTGTCACATCGTCAATGTCCGGGCTGATGTGCGCTGCCACACTCCTTTCGAACAAGCTCACTCAAGACCGCCTATCAATCAGGTGTAGAATCATCTAGACGCCTTGGAGACAAACCAACGCCAAGTTTCATCTTGAGACCAGCATTTGGGGTGCCGATCACTTCTTAGCACAGACATAGGCATAGGCACAGACAATTGAAATGTTTGTGGGGTGAGGTAAGACGGCAGGTCCAGCCTGAATTTAGGTTGACGACTGCCCCCCACAAGCTTGCACCGCCTGATCGGCTCACCTATTGGCTGGAACGACAACTCACAACCAACGCCATTTTTCAGCTAGAAGATACCGGTGAGAATTGCACACAGTCTGTTGGGCTGAGAAGTCGTTGTCGATCTTGGATGCCATGTGGTTACGGAGACTTAGCTCATTTTCTTTCATGCACTTGATGGTTACGTAGCATACCCCTCACACTTTCTTCTTGGCAGCAAGTGTTCTTCAACCAACCGGATTAGCAGAAAAAGAAGATGAGTATGTGTATCATTCTTCTTGTACTAATTTTACAGGGCAATACATGCAAACCTCATCCAACAGCAAGAAGCGGTCAGGCGCTTTCCCTAGCTCTGTCATGACGTGTAGGCGGGATTCACTTCGTGCAGTATGCTGATTAAAGATGAGCGGGGGAAAGAAAATATTAGCAGGTTCTTTGAGCTCTGCTCAGATCGTATACGCCTTCGATAAGTTGTATGGACCTGAGCACAGCAACTTTCCACAATCGAAATAGCTAGACTTGTTCAAGGCCGAATCCCCCTTTTGCTCTATTGGAAAAAAGAAAGCTCTCTCGAAGAAAGTACTATCGGCGTCCAGCATACTTATTCCTATGCAACGTTACGCCTCGTTTCATCATGCATACCTTTAGGTACCTACGTTAAAAGTTCACGACGAGTATTGCTCTGACACGACTTCAAGGTGATTATGTATATAGCGTAGGCTACATTTCAAGCTCTTTTCTCTAGCGTCAGGCGTCATTGAAATCGAGACAGGGTGACTATGAAGGTGCGCAAAATTCTAACCCCCATACCACGTTTGAAATTGTCGACGTATTGAAGCATGTTGCACACTCTTTCTTTTCAGAAATCAGCCTTTGTTGATTTATGTTGAGGTTTGGGGAGTCAGGATAATGAGTGACACAATGGGATACGTCTTTGTTTTACGATGTACCCGAATTCACATCTAAATTTAGCATAGAGAAAATAAGCAAGCCTGAATACACAGGCAAAGGAGGAGAGAAACGTATGAACTAGGGCGTAGGGGAAGCCACGACATCCGATTATGTCCATATTTCCGAGAGCTTTCACTCGTATGTCCGCATCGGGCAATCGCTTCAGTCTAATCATTGATCTGTCTGGTTATATGGCCTGGACAGAATGGCCTTTAGCAACCTTCTATCTTGGTTGTATGGTCGCATCGAAACTACATATCATGAACCCGAGCAGTGTTGATATACGCGCCCGGAGCGCATCCTCTCGGCCGGTAAGAAGCTCAACAATCTGGGATTGAATTACGCAGTAGTATGTGAAATGAGGGGGAAAAGGGCGAAGCTCATCGCTTCCTCCGACAGAAGGGTCATTTGCACGGCCCAAACATGATACCGCCTTCCACATTGACCCTTTCCCGCCGATATTTCAATAACTACCATACGTGAACTGCTGAGGTTAGGATCTGACTCGGTCCAATTGGCTGCTATGAGAGTTGCAACTATTGCCTACTCCGTAGGCCAGCCTTCCACGGCCTGGCAGATTTTCAAGCTTTGGTCTTTCGCTAATCCCTTCTAATCCTTCAGTTGGAATCCGTGTGTGACTTTTCTCACAATATGATGGCCCTGGACTCAAAAGAAAAAATTTCGGATGACAGTAAGGTGCAGAAGTAAATGCATTCACGCACATGCTGTCTGTGAATTGGGTAGTAAACTCGTCAGACATGAAGTTGTCTCGGAGAATCGTTAGATTGCGGACGCGGGACTTGGCCTTCAAGAAAGCACCCTGCCCGCTTCGTATCTCCTATTATATTTCCGAGCTCTAGACATAAACTTTGCCTGTCACATCATTATCACATTAGTAACTTTGATCCTGTCACATGAACGGTCGTCTATATAGCCGCCAGATACTCCGAAGCGCCGGGCTGGTGGGCAAAGCCCGGCTCGAATCGACAACTACCCCTCTTCGTCGGCTAATCAAAAGGGCCTAGAGTATCCCGCTGGCAGATTTGCGTTTTCTTCTCAAAAGTGAAGCGGTTTTAGATCTTCTCGACTGTTCAAGTCACCCAGGCGGAATAAAGAGGGGTTCAGGTTATCTGGCAGCGAACTTATGAGGTGTTCACATTACCAGTCGCTTTGCTACATAATTGCTTGGGTCAATGGAAGCTAACCATCTTTGAATGCAACACAAAAATCAAAGCTGCGAAGTATAGATGTACATGCAATAATGATATTCTAGTTCTTCCCGATTTGAAATAACATGCAAGCTTCCGACTGAGTAGGTACATAAATGTGGAAATCGGCAGGCTTTTCAGGTCGGGACCGTCGGGCCAAAGAAGCTTAACCCGCCGGGAGGCTTGTGTGCGTAATGGCGATCCCCCTTTCTTTTTCGGACGATGAATGGCAGACCAGACTACAGCAGAATCTTGAGCTTCGATTTAAACCTCCCGAAAAACAAAGTTACGTTTCAGGCTGGTATAGGAGGAGAGGAAGACCGAAGACCAGCCCGGCACTTGGTTTTTCGATTTACTTGTTTGTCTCAACATGGGTTGCCTACTTGTACGCTGCTACCTAGTTAACTCAACAATCACTTACGGGATAGCATTTGAATAAAGGTACAAGTATGCAGGGTTGCGGTTTAGCAGCTTTCAAAAAGTACACTGTCCTTCTGATTCTCATTGTTTTGCTTTATCTCAAAGACCAGACACACGTGTAATCTGTGACCTCAAATGCTCAGGTACGGACTTCATCCAGGCATTGTTTCGGTATCTCTGAGGTCCACACATGTTCAGCTGCTTTGTGAAAAGGTATCCCTAAGCCTTTCGATTGCATCTGAATGCGCTGCGTTGCCTCGGCCAAGAGTTCAACATCACGAAGCTCACGAAGGAACATAAACTTCAACGAAATGCGCCATCTCTCTCAAACAGTTGTAGGCTATGCTCGCATGTAGACTGAAGCCGTTGTGTGTCTCATGTGTTCAAATCGAAAATTATCTGCTCTCTAAGGGGTTTCGAACAATTTCTGTACTAGGCTATATTGATTATTGAATCGCGCCGACTCCTAGTCTGTTGATTACAACGCCCTGGGTGGCAAAAGCAATGTGAGAAAAGGTGGCTTAGACTGCAACTGTCACTGGTCACTTCGGAAACTTCTTTACAATGTATGACTCTTGATCAAGTTTGGCAACTACCGGGAGTAATTTGAACGTTGCTGACAAAAGTCAAGCGTGCCATGAACTTTGTAGCTTTACGACTACCTTGAAGTACATCCTTTCAGGCGAAAGTGACTAAGCTTAGGTGTTTCTCGGGGACTGAAGTGTCTGCGGTAATGAAATTCAGTCATGAGGTACCTCAGACTCCGCGACATCCTCGCTATGCTCCGTTGAATCGAGGAGGAACTCCGGACCAACACTTGACCATGGCCACTTCTTCGATTCAAGAAAGGAAACTTCCGGTCAAGATTTCAAAGTTGAATCAGGGCCTCCGTGAAACATCGCCGGCCACAATGTGTGTTCTCGACACATTCTACTCGGGCTCGTCGACTAATAAACCCCGAGGCATCAAAGCTCGGCGCCCATTTTGCAGAGCTCGGCCACGCGTACGCCCTACTAAAGCCGGCAAGAAAAATCTCCGTGCGTCTTTCGCCCACCGCGGATCCCACTCGACTCGGCACCTCGAAGCACATCTTGGGTTTAAAGTTCCTCGTGTCATCTGTGCTCCTCGAGAAATAGTTGCCCGCTCGAAGCCGGACGTGACAAGGTGTTCCCAGCTGCCGGCCGTCTATCCAGCGATCATACTGTCCGTCTCTCGGTATCTTCGACCTGTCTGCTCGCCAAGACTGTCGTTCTGCCTCGCAAATTTGCTGGGTCTCGCTCCTTGTCGTGTTTCATGGCATTGCACAACGCGTAATGATGGGATTGATTGCGCGCCCGTCATGGACTTGGCATAATGCGTGCCGTGCGCTCTTTCTCTTGTTTGTGAGGAGTAAGCGGAGTTTGTTTCTAGCAATGGTTCACCTATAGGCCTCTGGGCTTCTTGGCCTCCCATGTTTCCTGGCGACAACAGTTTGTTGGCATGCGTACTCGGACAGAATCCAAAGTATTGGACTATGGTGCCAATAGCTGGGATTCTAACACGGTCTCTTCTGTGCTAGGCCAACTTGAGCCTTGTGTCCTTCGGACCATTTGGGGCGCAGGTTGTAGAGTTCAATGGTGCGGCCGTCTGAACAGCACGAAGAATTCAAGCTTGTCCAGTCCCTTGAACTCTGACCTTAAGTTGGCAGCCAAGACAGATGGTGCGACGACCTGCATGTAACTTAATGCCTCTGTTACGGTGCGACGATCCCATAGAACTGGTTGAGGCTAAAAACTCTCATTGAGTAAAGTTGGTACCTTGCAGCCATTGAAGCAAACCTGATGCTTGTTCAACTACCTCCACGACTTTATCAAGTTCATACAGCAAAAGTGACTGCAATATATCGGATTCGTATTATAGCTTAGGATGGGATTCAAGGAGAGGAGGGGTATTCGGACTCATGTTGACACAGACGCTGTCGGTGTATCGGCGCCGTAGATCGGCAGGGAGCTCACAGATCATGGACTCCTGGCTCTCAACTTGGCATCTCAAGTGCCATGACTAGGAAGAGATGACACTGGCGCACCGTCAACAAGATGCTCTCATATGAGCAAGTTTCGGAAGTGCTTCTCATCGACCCAGATGGCGGGCGTGGGGGCCCTACGTAGCCGGAGAGAAGGATGTCAACGGACAGTGGACTGGTCACAGCGCTATGAAGTAGTTCCTCCTTTCGGTCAGACCTCGCAATGACAGAACGATTGGACCGATGAGGCGAGACCGAGATTCTCCAATGTGGACTTGTGCAGAAGCTGGGCAGAACTGGCCGGCGAGTTCTATCCCAAAGATGACATGAGGCGCAGATTAAGGTTGTGCCGAAAGGTTGTTGGGTACCACGACAAAGCGCACACGCAAGGTGACCCCTCGTCCGGACACTTATCGACTGAGGGGGTTTGCAGATCAGCCGAGCGATCACTCGCACAGGCGTGAAAGAAACACGAGTCATCGGCTCGGCGTGCCGAGAGTGCTCCTCGCTTTACTCACTTACGCCGAGTGTAAGTGGTCTTTCCGAGTAAACTGTCCATGTTAACATTTAGAGTTCTTCGTTTCACGAAAACCGTTTTGTTCAATGGAACTTGGCTCTGGACCTCACTACAACACTATTTTAACCTTAACAACTAGTCGCAACACAAATGCGGTAGTCTAACAGCCTCAAAGCTTAAGTCAATAACCGCGTCATCTAATGATGGCTGTCTGTTTGCTTTGTGCGAGGCTGTTGATCGAGGAGTGGGGGTATCGTCCGACTGAGGATGTAGCATGGGAACCCTCATGAGTCGGCAAATCTTGGACTATTCCTCGCGTCAGTCTTTAGAGACCAGGTATTACTGCGGGATGAACTATGGCTGACTTCCAGATATAAAAGGTTGAAGCCATTCCCTTCTTCAACAGGTCCTTCTTCTCCATCAGCACACTTGACTATCATCTCTAGTATCAGACTTCAGCCTTTCCAGACTGCCTAAACACTCTGTCGGTTCTTCTACCACAAATACCACTTCCATCTTCTTATTCAAACCAATAAACCGCCAAAATGCGCTTCTTCAGCGCTCTCTTCCTTGCCACCTTGACCGCCACCGGCGTCGTCACTGCCATGCCTGTCGCCCAGCCCCACGACCTGACCGCTCTCGCTGGAGAAGGACTCCAAGACGGTGCCCCAGTTGAGGCTCTCGACATTGAGACCAACATCGAGACCAGAGAGGCCAGGGGCCCCAACACCCCAGCTGATGTCAAGAAGCACGACGACAACCACAAGAAGCAGGATGTTGGAAACTGTGGACAGGGCTGCAAGGACTCGCTTGCCTCGTACCACTCGCAAGCCTCCAAGGATTCTAAGAACTCCAAGGCTTCTAAGAATTCAAAGAACGGAAAGAACGGTCCTCGCGCGGTCGAGAATGTTGAGAATGCTGAGGAGGCTGAAGTCGAGGAGGAAGTTGAGGCTTAGGCAAATCAGGATAATGTGGACACCAAGATATTCTTCTTCTCGTGCTGGGGGCGGTGAAATTGGAGTTTTGGATACAAGGGTTATACAGTACAAGCTGTAGTTAGAGCTATAAATAAATGTCTACTTTCTTATCTCAATCAAGTGCCCACATCATTAATAGTACGCAGCAAGAGATGCAACGCGGGTGGTGGTCGGAACAGGTGCAGCCCGGTGAGCGAGGAACCCGCCCCAGGCCGCCTTTTTTTTTTTTTTTTTTACGGAAACGAGTCTTGTACTTAGGTAAGGGGTGGATTTTTGCTTCGAGCTTTTGGTTCTTATTCCTTACTTCCGCTGAATCTTCTCCACTTCTTCGGCTCTCGCCATCTCCAGCCTATTCGGGCCACAGTCACTCCGAGATGGTGACGTTGGCCGCCAGCCAGTGACCGATCTCATTGATGATGCTGACCGTGTCGTAAAAAAGGGTGGTCATCTTGGCTCGTTAGCAGATGTTCCTGAACGGTACTTGCGTCCAACACTTACGAAATCCATCCCAGGGATGAGCGGGAGAACATCGCGACGCTCGCCAAGTCGCTCGTAGCCGAGATTGGCCTGCTGCGCAACTGCAATGACGACGAAGTCCGTGAGAAGGAATCGTCTGGTCTTCATTTTGATGATTTGAGTCTCTGAATCTTCGATGGTTGGATTGAACGGGGTTGTTGTAAAAAATATTCGACGATTTTGAGGGGGCTGGATCTGGTCGCGTCTACCTCATGTGAAATTAATTTGCTGTTTGGCAAGCCTAGTCCTCGAGGCTGGAAACAAATGAACCAGAATTTTACGATTGGTCAAATGTTTTCCCACCTTTTGACAGTGAATCACTGTTCATTAAGCGCAAAGCTTGCAAAGGACACGATCCAGGCCTTTCACGGCACGGGGCAGCTATCCAGAGGGCTGCTGCCTGACACTCATGGCTATACCAGAATATTGAGGGGTCTTCATCGACCTACTCATTGTACGCGGCATCCAATTGTAGTCGTCCACCTTAACGAAAAGGGGAGGTATAGATCTTGATACTGTGGGCCGACTCTGGATACGGTATACCAAATGGCACAGGTTGGTTACGATGAGAATGAGGCTCTTTGACTCGGAAATGCTCAACGAGAGATATGAAGAAGCAGCGATTCCAAACTAGGAACTAAGATGAGATGGGTTCCACCGATAGCCAATCGCACTTCCATGTTGCCACCGAAAAGCTGACAGGTTGCCTCGATTTGCCTGTCGAACGTGCCAGAGACACAGCATCCAGGCATCCTTCTGCACCTAGAGGTTTTGGGCCTAGTCAACCTGCACCCTGTCTTACACCAGCTTACACCACACCAATTCAGGCCGCCGATGGGCTTTTTCCAGATTAAATTTGCACGAAACACAGCCTCGACGCCATGAGGCAGCCATAGGCTTCCTGCCATTCAGAAAGGGCGCACCAGGCAGATTTAGCATTGAGATGTAGAGACGTGACATATATGGCCTTGAAAAGACTCGGGCCTGAGTGCATAAGTGCCCTGATTGCCGACGCTCCGCTCTGTACATGTACGATTCGAGAATTGCGGGCAATAACTTAAACACGAAGAGCTGTAGTGTGACGCTAATACGCCGAGATGCATCTCAAAAGCTTCACGTCGTTTAAATCGATCAAAGAAATTGTTCGAACCAAACGCGGCAACCAAAAAGCCAAGCGTGAACAGAAGAAGCTGAAGCGCAGCAAACCAAGGAAGAACAAAAGAAATAAGTTTGTGTTGCCCAGTCCCTACATGCGCTCCCCTTCCATGTTCACTTGACAAAGACTTTGTTCGGATCAACATTCGGGCTAACACTCGGCACTTTAGGGAGAAAAAGTTTGAGCCCAAAAACCAACATGAGGCCCAACATCAATCGTTGGATGAGGATTCGGAGGGGCAAGTATCAGAAGAATACTTGGCTTGGAGCTTTACGAGCATTGCTCCGCAGACCTTCGCACAGCCACTCCCGTGGCAAAGGCCAAGTCATCTAGACGACGCGTTCTATGCCGACTCAGCTGCATCCTGTTATCGAGGTTCGGGAATACCGCCTTCAAGCCACGCATCGCCAAACCCGACTCGGTCATCTACTTTGAATTCAATCTTGAGCAGTAGTGGAACCTCTTTGAGCTCTGCCACATCCATAATCAGATTTCTCTTCCACCGTCGGCATTCGGACACCGAAATATCTAGATCATCACCTCTTTCACGGCAGCCGGAAAAGCGGAACTCTGTACCAGGTCTATCGCCTACCTTCCCCAGGCACATCACGGAAGAAAGCCGCCAAGAGGTTGTGCCTCCTCGATCCGAAGGGGTAATAACAAGATCCGTTGCCTCGAACCTAGAAGCGTCGAGGTCTGTTCGTGCTATGGCGAAACCGCCTATGGACATGAAGGCGCTCTTCGCGAGTGCCGAAAGATGGGAGCCATCATCGGCTGCCTTCCGAGAGACTTATGAATCGAAAGTGCGGCCGCAGTTGCTGGATATTCTTAAGCACAACGGCCCTGATGACAACTACAGCCTCACGGTTGACCGTGACATCGAAAGCATGACTAGGTTTGTAGTGGTTACGACACCCGAGGAGCTTCCTAAAGAAGTCAGCGACAAGATGCGGAGCCACGTCTCGTCGTGCTTTCCAGATTCCCAAGAGCTCCGAGTCGAAGTCCAATTCCTTCGGGGCCATGTCAAATATGCTGCAGGCACAGTGGCTTCGAGACAGGATGAACACGACGAGTCAAAGGGGCCTCGAAACTCTGGCAGGCACAATGAGAGAATGCTTGGGGACTCTGTCAGCTTTGAACAGAGCGACTGTGCCGCAACCCTGGGCCCAGCGATCAATCTCGGTGGATACGATGGCTGGATTGTTAACTGGCACCTGTTCCATGGCATATCAAATTGGGAGAATCTTGACAATCCATCCGAAGTCCCTCGTCACAGACTGTTCCACCCAGCATATATAGACTGTCGCGAGAACGAGAGCCCTTTGCGGATCGGAAAGTTGCAAGCCTACTCAGGAAGGATGTACAGAACAACTCGTCCATCGAGATCTCTGGAGCATTACGCGCCAGGTACGCCAGGAGAGGTAGTCACAGATTGGGCTTTCTGCAAAGCCTACAGCGACGAAGCTCAGAATTGTCTGCGCTATGCGCCGCCGGGAATCGAGGTCGATGATTTCTCGGACCCTATTCAAGGAGTATTTGAGCAACACCCCCGATTGCAAATCGTCCAGACAACTGGCCGAAGCAGTGGGCTCCGGTATGCTATGGTATGCGAAACACCTGCCGACGTCCGCCAGTACCCAAATATGCCCACCAGGGAATGGTATTTGGAAAACATCAAAGGTGCATTGACGTCCGAAGAGTGGAATTCCCAGGGGCCTGGTGTGTGTGGTGACTCTGGTGCGGCCATAGTGCAGTTCAAGACAGGAAAACTTCTGGGGCAGATATGGGGTCGGGACGTGTACGACGATGACCGGCAAATTCCTAGGGTGACATACTTCACACATCACTGGGACATTTTTGACGACATCAGGGAGCGGTACCCATCCATGGAAGGCCCGCGTCTCGTACTCAGGCCAAACTGCCACTCCTTGAGTAACGCGAATTCAGGAGACGACGCCCACGGCCCTTCGAGACTTGAAGCCGACGAGAATACTCTGTATCCATCGCGACCTCGGAGCCGGGCATGTTCGTCCATGGGCGGTGCTGATGGCGTAACGGAATCCCTCTCCCAGTCCACCCTGGCACAGAGTATGGCTAACTCAGTAGTTCCGGGGGAAGGAAAGGCAAAAGACACTCTTCTCGAAAACACTTTGGGAGGCGGACTGGAATGTCGACGAGACTCTCAATCTCGCAGCGCGGCTAGAATCTCGGCTGATGACGGTGTATTGATGATGCGACGCAGCTCAGCCATGCTGACCGTTTAATTTCTGGGGTGTGCAGCTTTCCATCCGCAGGGTAGATCACAAGGGGGGTTTTTTTTTTTTTTATGGAGATTCAGCAAGCTTTATGTCCTTGCGCATTTAATCAAGTTATTTGGATTCTTTGCTCCATGCAGAAGTACTAAGTCTCTTACGATCCAGTTCGAATCCGTTGGTGCAGTATCGATACTTCTACCTTGACAATCCTGGATTGCGCTTCTGGATGTCTAGCGTGGTGCGTAATCGGACCCGGAGAACTCGACTGATGCCCGAGTCCCCGAGCCGGAGTGGAGCGCACGACGTTCCCGGAGGAAATTCTCGCCTGAAAGCGATGCTTTCGGGAATCTCGGCACGGATTCATTTGTGGAACTAAATCTTTGCAGAGATTGTGCTAGTTGACACGAAATACCCCAGGGTGAGACGTCTCTAACTAGATACCTAGGAAGGTAACCCGATCAGTATAGTGGGAGTCACATCCGCTGCAATGTTTATGGGCTGCTGGTTTGAGACATTGTTCAAAAAGTATCTGAGCTCCAACTTGATGAAGGTTCTATCCGTATATGTGTCCCATATACAGCATCATCTGAGAGATTTGAAAGATCTCGTGTATTCCTGGGAACGAGGAGCAAGTGGAGGAGGGATCATCCGCGAAGCCGCAATTTTAGCTCGGTGCTCCCCTAATACGAAGGCGGTACCGAAATTGCAGCATGCGCTAAGAGGGGTTAACCCGAGCAACACGAGAACATGAACATGTTATTTAGATACTTGTAGGTTGACTACCGAAACCGATTGTTGCCAACTCTTTACACCGTACTCCAATCCAGTTCTTCAGGACCTCGTCATCATGAAAGGTTTCACTAATAGCGCCGGATGTCTCGCGTTCTTGGCCGCATTTATCAGCGAGACTGTAGCTCTGCCGGTCCAAGACGCGCCGCTGAGAGTTGAGTGGCGATCCCTGTCAAGTGCCGCCAAAGCAGACTACATCAGCGCAGTAAAGTGCTTGGATGGCTTGCCGTCAAAGATTGGTCTTGAGACGTCGCGTTACAATGACTTTCCCTATGTCCACGCTCAGCTCAACAACGAAAGTTCGTACGTTCATACCGGGCATCAATCTGTGCAGCCATGCTGACAAGACTATACAGTTCACTTTGTCGCTCAATTTCTCCCCTGGCATCGGTACTTCGTACATATCTATGAGACAGCACTGAGAGATGAGTGCAAGTACACAGGCCCGATGACCTACTGGGACTGGACCCTCGACTCAGAGGACATGTCCAAGAGTCCCGTCTTCTCCAACGACACGACCACCGGATTTGGAGGAAACGGCCTGAACGGCGGCTGGGTGCCGCCGACGCGACCGAACCCGTTGACCATGTGCGTAATTGACGGCGCTTTCGCCAACTTTGCTGTCTCGTACTACACAACGACAGCGCTCTCGCATTGTCTGAACCGCGGTTTCAACGACGGCATCGGGGTCAATGCCGGCCCCTACGAAGGCGGCTTATACTCACTCGAAAAGATCTCGGGAATTATCGAGACTTCTGGCAACTTTTCAACGTTCGCGACTGCGCTGGAAAACGGGCCCCATGGTGCGATTCACTCAGCTGTAGGAGGAGACTTGTTCCCTTCGACATCTCCAAACGGTAAGCTTCACCAACCACGTAATTGAGCCACCCAAGGACTTACAGACATGGCAGATCCCTTATTCTTCCTGCACCATGTGCAAATTGACAGACTTTGGTGGCTCTGGCAGCAGGCTGATCTAACAAGCCGAGCTTTGGATTTTTCGGGACAGAGGAACCTGCCCTCCGGCGAAGCTGACACCCGGCCAGCGTCTCTGAACGACACGCTACCAACCCTTGGCTTGGCGGTCGATATTCCCATTCAACAAGTCATGTCAACAACGACAGACTTGCTGTATTACAAGTACTGAATCAAACATGCACCTAACTTGCCACCTTAGAGATAGATAGTCGCTCCAGCTGAACTTGTTCCGGCATCGATTAGCGCCTGTGGGATTCCTAGCTCTTCTCCAAGCGCCTACGCAGGATTCTTTGCCAACGTAATATGCAAGCATGGGGGTTCTCATTCTCCGAGAAAAAAAATAGAAGAAGACAAATTCACCAGATGCCTGTTCCTTCTGCATTGCCTAAATGCCATGTCAGCAGTCTGACTCGCTCAAGTTTGTCTGCGCGTCGCTCCCAGCTCTAGCGCGGCAGGTCACTTGATCGCAAGGCAGAAGCAAAGCAACTTGGCCGCGTAGGAGAGAACCCACCCATAAATTAGAAAATTAGAACTGAAGCACTCGCCGTCTAGACTTTCACACACTAGATAAACAACTCGACGGCTTTGTGGATTGCATTACTTTAGCCATTCTCATTGAATGTCAAACTATTCAATCCCACCCTGGGGGGCTACAAGTACAAAGTCTTAGAAGCTCAAGATGATTTGCGCTTGTTGTCGTTTTGTCCTTGGGACACAGCAAGACTATGGGCTGATTACTGGCAATCGAGGCTGGAAAGACCCCGAAGAGCCACATCATCGCGACTGCAAGAGTTTGACCGCCTCCGTGGACGCCGGGTGTTACATTTGCAACCGACTTTGGGCTGCTCTTGACATGGATGCGCGACAAGACATCAGGCAACTGAGCGCTGAGTCGACGAAACGAGAATCTACAGAAGAAACCGAGCCACCCCTCACGTCCGGGTTCTTAACCAATGGAGCACAGTTTGCTTATCCCTCCGCCTATATACTACACGTCGCTCTCGACTACAGTAAGGCATCTCCAGTGAAGAAAAGCCCGCCGAAAGGGTTCGCTCGAGCTGAGATCCTTCTTCTTCCGCAAGAATGTATGTTTACCTGATAACGAAGCCGGGTAAATGTTTCGAGAACATGACCGCTAATAGAACTCACAAAGTCTACGCATCCCAGCATAAAGTCGGATCCCACTCCCGTAGTACTAGATCCGACTATACTTTCCTCGTCGCGCAGAGATGGATTTCGGAATGCTTAGCTGAACACTCAAACTGCGGTGCCAAACCGCACTTAACCACGACAGCGCAGTGGTATCCTACTCGCCTCCTTGATACCGGACCGCTGGAGGAGGAAAGCTCTGGTTGTCGACTCACCCTCCCGAACATCACGCCTGTCAAAGGTCCCTATGCGACACTGAGTCATTGTTGGGGTGTTGCTAAATCCTTCAGTCTGACGACAGACAACTACACTCAACTGCTTCAAGACATACCGCTCGACACGTTGCCCCAGTTATATCAGGATGCTATTGAGGCTACTCGGCGTCTTAATCTCCGATATCTATGGATAGACTCGCTCTGCATCATTCAACAAGGCGACAAGTTTGTCGATTGGAGAAAGGAGTCAGCGGATATGAATAAGATATACTCGGGGTCCTTTGTTAATATATCAGCGGCCGATGCGCCAGACGCAAATCACCCCCTTTTCCATGGTCGCAATCCGGATGCATTTTGTTCACATACCATAGACCTTCCCGTCGACTCCAAGGATACACGATTTCTGGTCCAGGATTACGGCTTTTGGAGAACAGAAGTCTCCAATGCAGTCATAAATACGAGAGCCTGGGTTCTTCAGGAAAGACTGCTATCGCCGAGAGTGCTGTACTTTGGCCAACGTCAAATCCTGTGGGAGTGCCAGCAGAAGGAGGATGCCGAGATCTATCCTGAAGGCTTGCTAATCGACCTATCCAGATTTCCCAGTAGAATCAAGGGTTTTGGCAACAGCCTGGTCGGTTGGAGGCCTCGGGATCATGGCCAAGTCTCGAAGTATCATTACTGGTGCAACATCGTGAAAGCCTACACCAGAGCTAAACTTACCTTTCCTGGCGACAAGCTGGTGGCTCTTTCAGCTGTTGCGAAGACGGTCAGGGAATTGCTTGAAGATCGTTACGTTGCAGGGATGTGGCGCCGCTATCTAGAGCGGGAACTGCTGTGGACTGTTGTTCCTAACGAGGCACAAGCTAGGCCGTCAGCCTATCGGGCCCCAAGTTGGTCTTGGGCGGCGGTAGATGGACAGATCACTCCAGCTATTATGGACCCCGAAGCGGTAGAGGTGTTGATCGAGGTGCAGGATCTACATCTTGACTATGTTACGAGCGATACAACGGGCCTGATCAGCGCGGGGTGGCTACGGCTCTGGGGAGTCCTCAAGAAGGTCGAGCTCCTGCCCGATGCCACACTCGGCATTCATGGCAACATTCATCGTTCCTTGATGATGGTCGTCAACGACGTTCCAGTCAGTGTTCGTGCAGACTCGGCTATGATGGAGTATCAGCCCCATGTCTACTTTGATGACAGCCAGGAGTGGGCCAGCATTCAGAATCATCGGCCGAAACTGTTTTGTGTGCCAGCTGGAAGAAGAACAGGCAATGATGGGAGTATCTACGTCTTGTTATTGCAGCTTCAAGATAGGAAAGAGGGCATCTTTCGGCGCATTGGGATTGCCCGCGGTTGGGGCAAGGAGTTGAGGGAGAGCTTGCTGGTGCGTAATGCAAAAGAGAGAACTTTGCCATGCGTCAAATACGAAGAAGGCCGACACCTAGTTCAGATTGTTTAGTTGGGCTAAGGTAGTCTGCTGAGGCAACTAGACAGTGCACTGGGAACAAGACGAGATGAGCAAGCACTTTCGCAGTCAAGTACAACATGAAGGCTTCACAGGCATCTACAAATAGAGAATTGAGGAAATAGGCATTTCACCACCTCGAGCGAGAAAGCAGGAGATATTTGCGCTTTTCGGTCCAACTTCCATTTAGAGAATGTTGGTGGATGTCGTCCAAGGCGGCTCTAGTTGTCTGAAGTCTAGAGTTTCGGTAACTAAGACCTACTTGTTGTTGCCTTCGAGCCGATTGACACAAGATGTGTCGGAAGTTTACCTGCTACGGTACAGTCATACTGCTTCAGTACTTACACAGTGGAGTCTGCTTTTTTACAAAAATCCACAGACCAGGAAAGAAGACTTCACGACGAAGGTAACACCAGGAGGGAGCATGGATGTAACTTACTCAAGTCGGTTGATAGAAATAAGGCACTTATTTAGAGTTGATCTTAGCTGGGGCAGACGCTGCACATCAGCGGGTATTCGAGGTTTTAGCGCACGAAACAAAAAGACAGCCCGTCGGCACGTCTCGGTCCAACAACTGTCGCCATCCCACCCCAGTGAGCACGACATCAACAAAATTCCTTTGGCTTTCCTCTTCCTCATCACCGCTTCACTTGGCACTGCAACGGCGCCGCACGGCAGGGCAAACGACCAGCCCCCCGTGCCCCCCTTGATTCACTTCACTGATGTCTTAGTTGGGGTCCCCGGGCCTCTCAGCCAACTCCAGAGGACCGCCAAGCAACTTCCATATGGGCCGTGTGCAAAGGCCCCAAGCGACCTTCCGTAACTGGAAGGCCTTTGAACTGAAGTCACTAAACCTCTGGTTGCCTTCGCCGCTGCCCAGACAGCCCAGCCTGCTGACGCCCTCTTGGCGGCGATGCTCATCTCACTTGACCTGACCACTCCAGGGCAAATACTCATTCTCAAGGCGTAGAACAGCACTGATAACTGGTTGAAGCTATCCTCGCGAGCTTGCCGGCATTTATGACGATTCAGCCTCAAGAGGCAACTCGCGCAGCTCGAGAGGCTATAATCGCGCCCGTCACCTCGTATGAGTGTCAGCCACGGCGGTACATACCCCCGACATCACACCCATGCTTGTTTTCTTCTGGAAGCACGCAAAGTTTTTAAGATTTGGCTTGGTGGAGTGGAGTAGCGGATGTTGGCTCACGAGGTTATTTTGTGGTTTCCGCAACGCCTAGTTCGTCAAAGCTACCGTGACCCTCCAAGGCTCATCACTATTCGAATCTCAATAGGTCGCTCTCACCCACCTCAAGTGCTCTTTTCCTCGCTCTTTCACTCCTTGGTATCCCGCCGTGCCGCCCTCGTGGTACCACGCAGCGAGGCGGTTCGCAGGTCGAACCTTGCGTGACGTTACAGTGCCATGACGTGCGGGGATCTCTCAGCAGCAAGGCCTGGGATGATCACTTTCACCGTTTGTCTTGGGTTGCGACGCAGCAACGCTATCTTCAAGGCAGGGGGACACATATAAAGCTGCCGTGGGCCTCTCGAAGAACCACCCGCTTGCCGATCTGCCTGTGTTAGCTTCGAGCTCTACACACTCTCTCGTTGGAACTCTCCCGGCAGTGCTTTCTAGCACGTGAACGCCGTGTACATCTTAGGAACTCCGGCTCGGCCGATTCTTGCTTCTCGCGCCGACAGCAAGCTATGAGTTCACCACTCAAATACGATCACCATGTTGGGGAGGACAGACACGTGGTGCGGGACGATGCCTCGACGGAAGAAGTAGGAGTGGTGAAACAGCAGGAAGTTTACGCCTTCGATGAGTCGCGCAAGATTGGTGTCACCGGCGCTGTCTTCCTAATCCTCAACAAGATGATCGGTACCGGTAGTAAGTACAAACGGCCCATCACGATGTATACCAGACTCACACCCCATTTCCCAGTCTTCTCAACTCCCTCCGGTATTTTCCAATCGACCGGCTCCGTCGGCGTCGCCCTCATGCTATGGGTCATCGGCGGTGTTCTGACCTTTTGCGGTATGAGCGTATTCCTCGAATTCGGCCTCGCCATCCCCCGATCCGGCGGCGAGAAGAACTACCTCGAGCGTGCTTACAAGCACCCCAAATACCTCGCGACATGCGTTCTCGCCTCGCAGATGATTCTCCTCGGCTTCTCGTCCGGAAACTCCCTCGCCTTCGGCCGATACATCCTTTTCGCATCGGGATCCGAATCACCGGATGGTTGGACCGCCCGCGGCATCGGTATCGCCGGCGCCACGTTCGCTGTTGGCATCCACGCCATTACACCCAAATGGGGTATCCGGTTATTCAATGTCCTCGGAGTATTCAAGGTCATCGTACTGCTCTTCATTGTCTTTTCCGGGTTTGCTGCACTAGCCGGTCGACGTCGCGTGCCGAACCCCCACAACTTTGACAACGCTTTCCGCATCGAAGAGGGAGAGGGCTACGGCAACGGTGGTGTATATGGATACGCGACTGCTCTTCTTCGCATCATCTACAGTTACAAGGGCTGGGAGAACGCCAACTATGTTGTGGGCGAGCTGAAGAACCCGCGCAAGACTCTGGCTATCGCTGCACCCCTGGCTATCGGCGGTGTGACTATTCTCTACGTCCTTGCCAATGGTGAGCTTAATGACTTCAACAGTCATAACCTGGGTCTTGCTCACTGGTCAACTAACCAACAATTCTAGTTGCGTACTTTGCCGCCATCCCCAAAACCGAGCTCGCCACCTCAGAAGTCATCGTCGCAGGTGTCTTCTTCCGCAACGTCTTTGGCAACAGTGCCGGTGCCAGAGCTCTTCCGGCGTTTGTCGCCATCAGCAACTTGGGAAATGTGCTTGCTGTCAGCTTCGCCCATGCTCGTCTCAACCAAGAGTTGGCAAAGGAAGGCCTCCTGCCATTCAGCACATTCTGGGCATCCAACAAGCCGTTCAATGCCCCGGCCGCAGCCGTACGTGCCTCGAATCAAGAACTCATCTTCTCAAGCTAATGTTCTCGTAGCTTTTCCTCCACTGGACTGTTACGGTGATTGTTCTCGTTGCGCCTCCCGCGGGACCTGCTTATAACTTCATCACAGACCTTTACACGTACGCCTTCTCACCCATATCGAAGAACTACAGTTTGCTAACACACGAGCAGATATCCCGGCGCATGGATCAACGCATTTGTTGGAATGTATGTTGACTTGAAAGATCTACTTCACTTTTCTGGACACCAGCTGACATTACAACTAGTGGCCTTCTTTACCTCCAATGGAACAAGAGGGAGAACTGGACATCACCTTGGCACACCTACTTCCCTATCACCGTCCTCTACGTCTTGGCCAATGTGTTTCTCTGCATCGTTCCCTTCATCCCACCCACAGGATCTTGGACCGCAGAAGGCTACCCGTACTACGTCTTCCCCATTGTTGGCGTCGGTGTGCTCCTTCTTGGTGGTGTGTACTGGGGATTCTGGACCAAGATCTTCCCCGCCATCGGTGGCTATAAGATCGTGGCTGAAAGGACGTACGACCAGGAAGGTCACGAGGTTATCCGATACCGCAAGGTCAGCACGAAGCATGGTCACTCGGGGCCGATCGATTAAGTCCTTGACCATTTAGGTTATGCCGAGTGCCATGACTGCACATAGCAGTGGCTGTCCACAAGATTAGAACTATTTAACTTACCAGCATATACCCAAATTTACAAATGAACCTCTCATTCGTCAACTAGAAATTCGGTCGATTGTGTTACCATCGGTCATATACCCTATGAGACATAGACATAAGAGGTCATATTACAAAGACCAAGGGGACTCTATTTAGCCTATGAAAGCTATGCAAGTTGGTAATGAAGGTTTGCAGATTTGGTGGCGCAAAATGTACCCTTGGTGATATGATTAAACAAAATTTTCGCGGCATTTGGATCATGTTGATTCAATTGATCTTAAAACGGGAACACTATTCATACAACTTCTAACCCAACGCCTTGCCGCTCAAATATTCATAACACAGATCTGCCTGGCCCTTACTCGAGACGCTTGTCCTCCAGTCCCTCGGTATCGCCAGGCTCACGATACTCGCCAGTGGGCTTAGCACCACGGGTGCGACCTTCCACGATGTTGCTCTTGTCGATAGCTTCCTTGTCGTCACGCTCTGGACATACGTCACATCAGGACTGTTCGAAGTTCATTATAATAGGTACTCACCTAGCTGAGCATCTGAGTCGGCAGTCTCAGCATCAATGGGGTCCTCGACCTTGGCATCGTCGCCGAGAACGCCAATGGGTTCACGGTCACCCTGTCGGGACACGTACTCGTTGTCCTGAACATCTCCGGTGGGGGCTTCGGAAGACATTGTGATGTTGGTGAAGTATGAAATTATCTGAGTTAATGTACTTTGATGTGGTGTGCAAGAAGCCTGGTGATTTTGTGTATTGTTCTTGTTAATGGGCTAGATGGTACGACTGCGACCAGCGGCATTCACCCAGTTCATATACGAACTCATCTTCACTGTCAACGCTCATCATTGCACTCTAAGCCGGAAATACCATAGTCACAAAAGTCGATATCATTGTCGAGTTCACAGGTTGTGTATAAGTCTATGACGCTGTCATTTACGCGTAGAAACGCGCATCAAAGGGGCCCTGACCTCTCTGGCGCATAACCACCGTGCAGAAATCAATTAAATCGACCTGCACGCGACATGGAGCAAAGTGTCCGATGGCCCCCTTGAGCTAAAGACGCCACGTTTGATTGCAGCAAGCATCTCAAAGCGATGGTCCAGCCGCCCGGCGCGCGTTGATAGATTTAGTCTCCCAGAGCCCATGGCAACCAATGCCAGCTATCTCAGTAAAGTGCCTTAGCATGGAGATTTGACTAAAGAAGACTACGTTACTATCCACAGTCCCCGTAGTCCCCTCCCCTTCAGCCTCATTCCCGGCTCTCCAACCCCAGCGATCGTCCCTGATCGATCGCGTGGAACCCGATTGGACAATGGACGAGAGTCATGATGCCTTCTGGGTTCGGTAGAATGCCCAGCCCCTGGCTATATTTTCGGTGAGAGCGGGGACTAGATTCGCAGGGCTGATACCACACTATCAATGCCCCAAATCTTGAACCCTTCAAGTCAGGTTCAGCAACGAGAACTTTCTACATCAAAGAGACTACGACTATAAGCCACTTATTAGAAGGAAATTGTGCTACGTGCAGACTCTTTCAAGTAAACAAGAGTTGGCTATTGGCATAACCAGAAGCTCTACGCATAGGTGATGATCAAGGCCAAATCTGCTCACCGTGACTCTCAAAGGCCTAGAACCAACCGTAGACCTCACCGAGATAAACTCCCCTGCGCACGATCGGTCTGACATCATGTCGTGTTTCGCTCACCCTAAGTGGGCAACAGAAACGGGTGCGCGGGCCGCATCATATTGACGTCTCCCGTCGCCCCAACACGCCTCAGCTCCGCACCGAAACAGCAATGATCCTCGTCTGTCTCAAACTCTTACATCACCCCCCTTCACCAAAAAGCAACCGAGAAACTCTGGAGCAAGCCTTGAAGCAAGATTCAGCCTGCCGAGTCGGGTAGCAAGTGCCAGCAGAGCGAGTGCCCAGTGATACAAGGTTCCCCCGGTGGTGTGAATTCCAGCGCTCAAGAGCAATCAAATTTGCTATCTCATAATCAGATAACTCCCCACTGGCAATGCTGCATTTACTTCCGTGCTTTGATTTCTTCCTTATTCACACAAAACATTTGGATGATCCACGACAATAATACCAAGAAATCTGACGTTCCACAACCGTCCTGTTCTTCCCCACCCTGGCTCTTCCAGCGCTTCTATCGATCTGATCGTGCATTTCCAGCTCCCGGGCGCAACAAAGTCAACTCGTCACTATACGGACTAGAGAGGGACCAAAGCGAACGGCCTCATCGGTAGCCTGCGTCTCCGCAACGCCCCCGTGTGACTAGCCTTTCCGTTTCCGGCACTTGTCAAAGGAAATCCAGGCACATCCCACGTGGTGATCGTGATCTCAATCAGATTTCGCCCATCATGCCACGCCAGGAACGTCACCACAAAGAGCGCGTCGTCTACGACGATGATCCATACTATGACGACTATGAGCGACCAAAGGCCTCGCGCCGTGTCTCTCGCAGCGCCCATGAGCACGAAGCCAGCGGTGGTCACCGGCGCAGCACTCGCCGCCACGAATCTTACAGCCCCGCCGGTCCCGTCCGCGCCCGTTCCGAAAGCTATGGTCGGCCCCCTGCCCGAAGGCACGACACATACCCTGAGTACTCTGACAGCGGGGACGACAGGCCTCGTCGACGAAGCCATGGACAGAGCAGCAGCAGCCGTCGGAAGGATAGCAAGACGTCTCGGTCCTCAAGGGTACCAGAGCGTAATGACTCTGACAAGGCCGCGATCATACAAGCTGCTGCTACTGCAGCCGTCGTAGCGGGCGCAAGTGAGGCATGGAGGATGAGGAAGGAAAAGACATCCTGGTCTCAGAAGGGAACGAGGATGGCGACGGCTGCGGCGGGTGCTGCTGCCATCGCGGCTTTCAACAATAATACCAACGGGCAGCATGGCTCGAAAGACGGCGGTGGGAGCAAGAAGGATACTATCCAGGCTACGTTGGGAGGCTTGCTGGTGAACCGACTGGCAAACGGGGTTGGGAAGAAATGAAGAAACAAATATACCAGGCGGACATAGGCACCAGTGGAAAGCGCGATAACACCGAAAAGCCCCCTCGTTGCCGACATATGAAGGGCTACGAGATTTATGATTATTTAGAGACGTCTTACGACAGGTAATGGATACCAGGAGTTCTGGATTTGTTTTCGTTCTTTCTGACCTACCATGTTGTGCGATAAATCTGCATGTTTGGCTGGAAGAGATGCATCTCGCTGCCGTGACGATGTTTGTCGGCTTATCGTGCACTGGGTTCCACTTGACCACGTCGACCTTCAGATTTGCTCAAGTGTGTGTCCACGATCAAAATTTTCGTCTTAATTTGGGACATCCATGTGAAGTGAACTATGTCCAAGGATTTGATCTCCACGCCTCGTCAATTCGCCAGGATGACGCTGCTCAGCAAGTCGAACTCAGGATCGCCGGGTACGGAGCCGCTGAGAGTCTATCAGGCAAACGCTGCACTCGATTGGCCGCACAGGGATAATGAGGGTAGTAGACATGCCCTCCAGATCACCTTGACAAGGATGTACATCAGTTTCGGTAAACAAGATCGGTATACAGAAACCAGTCTTGTTCCAGGAAGCCAGAATGGTCCAGACGCCATATCCGTTGCCCATGGAAATTATCACGGGAATGTAGTCTTGGCCAGATGACCCACATCAGCACGAACCATAACTCGAACTATATTCGAAAGGTTGTATTGGCTTGATCTGGGGGTCGATCACCTTGTCTTTCCTGGTCCCTGAGGCGACGATATTGCATGTTGGCCTCTTTAATAGGTAACACTGGTTCAACTGTTGAACAGGAAACTGAAAAGCACGAAGTCACACATATCACATATTACACCTCTTGGGAAATAAAAGGGAATGTGAGATCTACTAAGCCAGTGACTGAGAAATGAGAGGCCAGTGATCGATCAGGTGCAAAAAGAAGTCTTAGTTACTTAGATTCTTAAGTATGACTACATGAAGGCTTCTCTTCCAAGTTCTGAGGTGTTTCACCAATGCCTTTAAGGACATGGAGTCCTAGTCCAGCCCGTAGGGTACGCTGTCATAGACACCTCACCCGCACTTGATTCACCCTCGCCATTCCATCCGATATCGACTGATCCCCTCTTGGTGAGAACATAATTAGCCGCCTGGCAGCGGAGCCATCCGTTGATAGCGGGGTGATTGCACTCGGCGTGGTCCATTAGAGCGTTCTTGAGGTTCATGACCTGATCCAGGATTTGCGAGTGCTCTCGGTGAAGTTCTCGATTGCGCGCCTCGGCGGTATCTTTGGCTGATTCGAGGTCGGCGCTCTGTTGCTTCTGCTTCTGCCAATTGCGGGCCGACGCTCGTCTATGGCGTTCCCGGCCTACTAAAGGTGACTGCGTTTCTGAGACGTTGCTATGGCGTCTCTGCAAAGCTGGCTTTCTGGGTGTTTGGTGAGCACTGACGGCGTTATCCTTGCTAGACTTCCTCTTTCTGTGCGGAGGTGCTTGCTCTTGGTTTACTTCTGGTCCGTCATCACTCGAAGTGATGCTATGGCGACAAAGAGTCTCTTCACTCATAGAAGATGTTGATCCAAAGGAAGATTCGACGTTCGTCGGAGACGGTGTGGCAGATAGAATAGAATAGCTTATGGGGAAGTTTGACTGCACCACAGAGGCATCGGGGTAGTTCCAGGTAGTCGAAGCTATGGCAGGCTGTGTAGAGAAGTATGGCGTTGTAGGTTGGAGGTGGGTTGAAGCCCACCAGTCGACTGGTCCGAACTCTAGGGTGGGTTGAGTACTGTTGGGGTATCCGCAAAGTGCGTTTGTATTTAAAGTCGTCGCATTGCTGCCGATGCCCTTAGATCGTGGAGTAGTAGAGCTGGAAGCTGGTTCATCGCAGTAAGACATATTCCTTGGCGATACCGGCATATCAAACATATTTGCGGGATATCGTCGTACCGTTGATTCGTATGGTTGTGATTCATGCCACAAAGTAGCCTGGCAAGCTACGGATGCCTGGTCGTGTGTGTCTTCTACTGTCTCGAAAAGTGAAGTGGCAAAGTGGCTGAGCTCGGTATCCAGTGGGATATTCGGTAGAATCTGATGTGAAAACGTGAAAGGGTTGTATTTTGCACCGAGGTATTGTTCGATTTCCAAAACATCCGAGGGTATTGAGACGTCGCGGAAGTCAGCAGAGACCTCCAGCACAGCGCCAGGTCGATTTTCAACGGCTCTTGGCTCTTGAAGTCGGACTTCAAGCTTAGGATTCGGCTCACACCGTCGAGTCCCGTGTTCGCAATGTTCTCCGCAGGAGATGCATCTTGAGCAAGTGCTTCCACCATCACACTGTATTCTAGTCAGGCTACGTCTGATACGACGAGAAGGAAAGCAAAGCTTGCCTCTATATAAACCTTAGCCTTCTCGTGTCGGTCAACCTCGCAAGCTCCTCCTTCAGAGGTTCTAGATTTACTGTAGCGTCTGCTCTTTGGTATTTGGTTCGGTTGAATGGTGCTGGCCATAGCCTAATTGGACAGGTTAGAGACGTTTGCTTTGGTCAACTTCTGAGCGAAGGATAACTTGCAACAGCAGATAGGTCTTTCCTTTCGCCAGGATTCGGCGTGTAATTGTGATTTGTAAACCCGTTGTCAAGGAGTCCGTACTGTGTGCAATGTTTCTTGGCGCAAGATTCTGATAGCTAGCGTTGTGCTACCAAATCTTATATAGTCCGAAAGTCATCACGATCGTGTTAGTCGAGCGAGACTGTGTCCCGTGGCGCGCCTGTATCAACTCTGAGTGGTTTTGAGATCCAATGCAGGCATTGAGAGCTACTTAACTTGGAGTCGACTCCTTGCCGGCTTAGGGGTCTGCTCAGGCAGCCGCTGCTTGATATGTATTGTTCTTTTGGACTCAGAAGCTTTCTCGGCAGATAACCTTTCGGGAGACCCTTGGCCCCAACTCGGATGCTGCAGCAGGTGGGCATCCATGAGGACATGCAGTGAGACCCTGCTCTTGCTGCTGTACAGTGACTTATAAGCCGCCTACTGTACTTATAGAGCTACTCTCACCCAGGGTCTCCATCAGTATTGACTATTAGGTGTCGCAAGAGAGAGATACAACCAGACCTTGTAGCCTTCCAGATAAGCCGGGCTGGACCTCCCTGAAAGAACAGTTCGCGGGGGCAGATCAGCTTCAGCGTATCACGGGTACGCATTCCGGTACTCAACCACCGGCGCAAACTACCCTTGCGCTAGTATTGCCACTTTTTCAGGTTGCATGGGGGAGCAGCTCGGTGTGCCACCGGTACCTTGGATGGCTTGAGGGATGGCATGGTGCTTGGTCAACGAAGAAGAAATGGCGACTTTGAGCGAGAATAAAGCCTAATCAGAAGGTCGACAGAGCGATCTTGGTCGCATACCGCATTTCCAATGCGATCGCTATCACTTTGAGAGAAATTCGAACCTCGGAAAGGTCTAGGCCTTGCCCAAGAATCGTTGGCAGAGATCTCGAGGCTAGCAAGTTAGTCTCATTGACGCGAGCGTGCAAGGGACTTCGTTGCTGTCTATGTGGTACTGGGAGGTACTCTAACACTATCAGTGACAACGCTGCTCTGGGTCATCGTCTCACATCGAGAAGAAAGTCTAGCCACATTCTAGGCCTTTCATGGGTATATCCCCGAGGACGATCTGCAAGAGCATTGAGTCCGGAACAGCCTCCGGCGCTGGTCATTGGTCAACTCTTGCCGGGGTAACGGCAGTGACATGCCTGGACGTTGAATAGAAATGATGATCTCCTTGACTGAGAGGGATAGATAAGCAAATCTCCCCCCCCCCCCCCCCCCACCAAATCTGCAAGTCTTTCCTCTCGGTCAAGCAGTCGGGTCGCACGAAATGTTGGGGATATATTGTACAGTTACCTTCAGCAGGTAAGATGAGGGGTCAACGCACCACTCGTCTCGTTGCAATGAACGCTTTGTCAGGCTTGTCAGCATTGGTCCCCCAACCGGTCAACGCCTCAATATCAGGAGCAATGATGTTCACTACTTTACCAATCCCCGAGTTATTCCAACCAAGAAGTCAATGAAGCACATACACGGGCAGCAGTTCAGCAATGAATCAACTTAGCCGAGCCTTGTCTCTATGTGTATATGTGACCAGTTGCAGGGTGCGGCGATGATCGTTGCACCAAAAACATCGATGGTTAGTACTCAGCGTGTAAGCTAGCATTATTTTATATTCTTCCTACTCGGAATCTTAGGTCCTTCCTCCCTGGTAAAGGCAGACGAAAGTTTTCTGGCCACCCTGAAGATCCCTCTCGATCCGCGCCAACGGCATCAAGCTCCTCCTACTGTCTCAGCCACACCTCTTGCCGGTGGTCGTTAGTGTATGCATGCAATCTTTACCGCTCCTTATAAAAGCGCTGTAACATACCTGAGTGGTCTTCGTGAACAACGTGGCCAGCGGTCGGTGGCTGGCTGGAACTTCATCAGCTCTTCCCCTTGTCTCACTGTCTCACAGGGCTTAATGTGGCTGGAACATGGACTGATATAAGCTTCGGTAGGTACATTCACTAATGGAGCGTCGGCAGTTGAAGTTAGCATGCTGGTGTATGGCATGCAGATTCTGATATTAGTCACTAAACTGGCGATGTCTTCCGTTTCCTCAAACGAGGGCTCGGTATGAGACACGATCTATCCCGTTTCAGCAGGCTGGAATCAAGATAAAGGGAGGTTGCAGCCCTTTTCTGCTCAGATATCAGAGCGTCCGAAGCTGAGGCCATAGCCTGGGTGCCATCATGCTAGAGAGAACAGTTTCTTTTTGAGAAAGGATACACAGGTTCTGAGGTTGCGGCACGTGGTGAAGCGGATGGCTCTTGCGTCAGCCTATTTGCACATAGGATCGTGCTTGCTTCGCGCAGAGCATCCTTGGCCCCAAGACGCATCGACACTAGTATATGTTAAGATGATGGGAGCTAACCCTGGACCTATAGGAGCACATTGTAGGATACCCTCCCTCAGACGGAGTGGTCAGTTGCTACTGTGCTACATTGACATCCCTCTCCGCACCATCCTGGTGTCACTCGACATCAGCCTTCAAGGCTAGGGGTGTCAACTCCGATGATGATCCCTCATTTCATCGTCTTCCAGTATGTCTATGTTACTCAGACAGCCATAAAGCCTAGTTTCATGTCGATCGCAGTTTCTATTGCTCAGTCACTCCGGATCCCCATGCATCCCCATGTACAAGGAATGCGAACCGCCCGGCCGGCGTCGGGTCCAGGCCGGTCCAAAAGATTCACTTGCTGCCGCCATTTCAAGTCCGGAGTTCTTATAACCACAGGTTAAGAAGGGGAATATTGCCCCAAAAACTTTGGGCGGTTCAAATGGTGGCGACCCATAATGGCTCGCAACGAAAATTTCCGAGTCGCACATGTACATACGCAGCGCAAGATCTGGTTCATCTCCTTGAAGTAAAACAATAGTTGAACTGATCAAAATCTAGGTCTTCGTCTAGCAGGCTTGACAACGACCTCCAGCCCACTTTCAGTCAAGACTCCACGGTAACGTATAGCTGCACTACCCAGAACTCGAGAGAGTGTGCTTTCGAAAGACCTTTCTTCTTTTACTTCAGGCAGTCTCTCATGAGTTGTCTAACCAGATTGCTTGAAGTGTCCAACATCTCGAGTTGTTCTTTAGGAATAATTCACTTACATCAGAAGCGGCTATTTGAGCGAGGTCAAGGCGAGACAATTACATAACAATTGGACAAAGGCACGAAGTATCTTTTCTACCACAATATGTACATTGAATTATTTACTCATTTAGAAAGTTTCCATAAGTTCATCAACTCGCTCAAAACTTCAAATCATTTCCCCGGTCACCCCAAGCCTTTTAGTCACGCTTTACCTGCCAAACAGGTGGAAACATCTAGACAGGCACAGCGGTAAGACCGCAGGCAGCAGCCGCAGCAGTGACGGAGTTTCCGTAGTACTGCCAGACGTTCTGAGCGTTGGCACACTGCAGGCAAGCATCGTAGCGGGCGATCCACTGGTAGTTGGTGCAGTAGCCCTCCTCGCGGGAAAGGGTGATGGATGTACCTGGATATCGACATTATCAGCATTCTGAAGATCACCTTACAAACAGTTTGTAGCGCTATCTTACCGCAGTTCTCGTGGCAGAGGTAGGCGGGCGTGCCGGGTTCAGGGACATCCTGACGGGTGACGAGAGGCATCGACTCGGGGAACTCCCAGCCGCCCTGGTTGCGGTTGATGAGAGGGCTGGCGGAGGCCAGGGAGGCGACGAAGGCCACGGTGCAGGCGACGGAGAAGCGCATCTTGATATTTGAGAGGTGGGTTCGAGGTTTTGAAGAGTTTGGTGAGACTTGAAGTTGATGTGAGACGACTGGGTATCAAGAGGGGTTCATACTCGATCCAGGATATCTACGAGTCTTTATATCCAACTTCACAGCTTGGCAATGCTACCTTTCTTCTCAGTCTGTCCAAAGCTCCTCTCCAGTCTCCAGTTCTCCTCCATCTCCCCTCCCGTCCCTCGGAATGCCCAGACTCTTCATCCGAAAGCAGATGCCAACGGCATCCCACGCTGTAACGGCGCACCGATATCGCCGGCGCTATTGGAAGGATCAGATCTTGGCGAGCGATTTCCAAACAGTCAGTTAACCTTCCGTCCCAATGATGCCCGGAAAGAAGCGGGTTCCTCCGAGCGTATTCAGCGGGGCAGCCGACAGCCGACCGAACCTTTTGAAAGCGGAGTCCTCCTAGCCCCCTGCATCATGCTGCCGTGCTTCATGCCATCTAATCTAATCAGATCATCTGATAATGATCAGCATCCCTGTTGGGAGCCGGGACGAGACTGCTCAATGGGGCTCTTCATATCCGAGAACCCACCACACGAATGCGACCCACAAAGTTTGATATACGAGGTTGTTACTCCGTATGTAAATGGTGAGTTTGGGTCTTGGCTTTCGGAACTGCCCCAGCTAAGGTCAGCTCATATGTCAAACGGGTTTTCAAGGTTCTCATGACACAAGGTTATGGTTAAGCTTGGTTTTCCCTGCAGGGCAGATCGAAGAGGGTGATAATATGCAGCATGAAGTTGGGCCTCACAATGGAAATGTGTCAGAAAATGAAGGTTCAATAGCAGGCTGATTACCAGATTACGTCTATGAGATATCGAGGGGATGGATCTAGTGTGGGCGCCCGAAGACACAACTATTAACTATCTAGGCCCTCTCGCCAGTGAAAGCGTTGAAATTGACCGTCCTCAAGCGCGGGTTCTTCTCAAACTCGAGCGTCCGTTGGTCATACAACACCAAGGTTCCATTGGACAGTTGAACATCCAGCAAGTAAACCACACTCAGTGTCCACTGGTCGCGGTTACCTTGGATGTTGCCCATCGTAAACCGAAGAACATCATCGCCTGTTAATGTCTCATTGTACATTGCCCTGAAGTTCTTGACATTACAAACCTCCGTAGCCGAGGCCGTGACGTCAGTGAAACTCTCAATGCGGTTTTCGGCGTCAAGGGTTTCTCCAATCACCACGCTAGAGTTGGCGCAGACGAATCCGTCGGAATCAGCCGAGTGAGACGTCGTCAGACGAACAAAGTCCCAAGGTCCCAAGGAGGCAGGAACTTCTACCTCGGCAGTGTACAACGATGTTCCGTCGTATGGAGCGGTAGAAAGCCGTTCATATACCACAGAACGGTCGACGGCGGTGTAGTATACGGGTGCTTCCCAGACCTTGCCGACGGTAGGGAACTGCACGACGTAGGTTCCCTGCTTCATGGAAGCGGCAAACTCGGGCGTGAAACGGCACATGAGGAAGAAATCGCCGACCATGTTCTTGTTCCAGGTTGTCCAATCTCCTAGCGCGATTGTGTACAGCCGAGTCACCGGGTCGAAGGATGTATCGCCGGCCTGGGCGCCGGACGCCGAGAGTTGGACTCCATCTGCGATGTCGGTGATCTCGGCTGGAACGGCGAATGTCAGAACGGAGTCAGCCGCAACAGGAGATGGCATCGAGATTTGGATGTGGAGTTCCATCCATGCTGCCGGATCAATAACGAAGGCGGTATCTTCTTTCAGCCTTTGGAGCTTGAGGGAGGTAAAGGCACCTTCGAGACCGGTGGGCGTGGCGGTGGCTGTGAGCGTCGTAGTTGTGCCTGGCACGGAAATAGGGGATGTCGTTGTCGGGGGAGCCGTTGTGGTTGTCACAGTGGTAGTAGCGGTAGTCACGGCAGCTGTTGACGATGGGAGACTGGAGGTCCATGTGGCGTTCTGGCCCGGTATAGGATCGCTACCGAGTTGGATAGAGAACGGATAAGAGAGGAACAGCTGCCAGTCCTCCGACTTAGAAGCATCGCCAAACATGCGCAGAGCACGGGTGAAGATGCGGTATCGTCCAGATGGAATAGCAGTGCCGTTTGCAAAAGAGCGGAAAGTAATGTAGCTACCCAGGTTGAAGCGTACAATCTCTCTCATGGGGAAGTCAAAGTAACCTCCATCAGTGAGGGGCTGGGATCTGACCGAGCCAAGCCACGCTTGCGAGCCTGAACTGTGCTGCGGCGGATACGCGAACTGCTCCGTCTTCCAGTCAGTGCCGACCAAGTCGACGGAGAACTCGTAAGTGCCGTAGCGGAAGGCGAAGTATGTCTCAGGCGAGTCACCATCAGCAGGGTGGTATGCTTTGCCTTGGTAGTCGATTGGGTACAGGATGCCATCAGTATCGTCATAACGATACGACTCTGGCCCGTGATGCAGTGCAGTCCAGTTGTAAGTTGAAGCCTCGATGCCGATGTAGGGCACGGCCAGCAAGTCATCATTGGAACCGGCGAGAAGAATCTTTCCACTCCACAGAGCACCGCTGTCGGGGGCGACATCGGGAGCGTAGAGGGTGACCTCAATGTCCTGAGTTGCACCAGAGGCAACTGTGATAGTCTTGCCATCGGCCAAGGATCCGGCAGCGGACACCAAAGGCGGGTAGTAGGTGTTGGGGTACAAGAGGCTGTTCCTGGATGATACAGTCGAAGCGGCGATGTGAGTGATGTTGTAAGTCACTTCCTCTGAACCGGTGTTCTGGATGCGGATAGTGTGAGTGCTGACTCGGTTGTCCGTATCATTCAGGGACAGACTTGGCTCGGAAAGCAGCACAGTGGTCAAGTCGAACAACTTCGCAGCATCAACAAGACCGGCGCCCTGTTGAGCAAGCGACGCAACCTGGCTGAGGACCTTGCCGTCGATGGATTCGAAAGCAGGCAGGGCCAGAGCGGTGGATGTCAGTCTGCGCACAAATTCGGCCCGGTCCTTCTTTGCATACGCAAACCACAGAGCAGCAACACCTGAGATGTAAGGTGTAGCGAACGATGTTCCGGAGGAAATGGCAAATTTGCCGTCAGGGAAGGCGCCGTAGACCACACCACCGGGCGCGGAGATGATGGGGGAGAAGTCGTTCTCGTAAGTCGGACCCCACGATGTGAAGGTTGAGAGCTGACCAGCGCTGGGGACTTCAGCGGCAAAGGCGGCCGGTTGAGCATCAGCTTCAATCTTCAAGTGAAGGGTGTAGTTCTTCGCAGTTTGCGCGGCTGCCCAGTCTCCGACTGAAGCTGTAGTTACAGCCATGAGCTTGAGGGTATCAGACCAAGCAACGACTTCATCCATGTAGTAAGCGCCCTGGTTGTAAGAGTCGTACAGGATCCCGTAACCGAATCCGGCGCCGGCAATGGAGGAGTAAGATCCAGCTGGCTCGCAGACACCACGTTTCGCGAGAACAGCGGTGGAGTCAGGGCCAGAGCCGGCGATGTTGCACGAGTCACCGCTGTCGAGAACGATGGGCACATCGATTGTGCTGTTGAACTTGCTGCCATCAGATGTGACGTACGAGATGTTAAGGGACTGGCCACCAGATGAGACGATCGTTGCAGGCCATCCCAAGGTCTGCGCTGCCTCGACCGAGCCAACGCAGACGACACCACGGCCGGCAGCGGGGGAACTTGCGAAATAAGGTCCCATCGCACCCGAGTTGCCAGCAGCAATGACAATGAGTCTGTCCTGGGCAATTTCACTGGCAACACGAGAAAGCACTGAGTTGACGTAGCCAGTGTTGCTGCCAATCGAAACGGAGATGATATCGCAGTCATCCGAGTCGGCAGCGAGCATACCCTTGAGAACCATGTCATTGGATGTCGCATCCTCACAGCCAAAGACCTTGTACATGTAGATCTCCGAGCCGGGTGCGACTCCGGTAAAGTCCTGGTTAGAAGCGGCGATGATGGACGAGACGAAGGTGCCGTGGCCAGCGCAGTCCGTGAGGGCGGTCGAGTTCTCTTCGAAGAGGTTCTTTCCGCCAGCGATCTTGCCAACCAGAGCTGGGTGCGACACATCTACACCGCTGTCCACTACGCAGACGCGCTGGCTGGTGCCGGTAATGTTGCGGTCGTGGAGCTCGCTGACGCGAGTAGCGATGTGAGGGTTCCATTTCTTCGTGCCGGTTGTGACTTCAAAAGAGACATCTAAGGTAATGGGCTGCACCGGCCAGGCGTTGGCGACGCCCGGGAGGCTCTTGATGTCATCGACGATACCAGAGGAATCATCGTTTGCAATCTCGATGGAGACGCCCTTGAAGCGACCAGAGATGGTCGAGAAGTCCTCCTTGACGGTGGCCTCGTAGCCAAGAGATGAGATCTGACCGACGATGGAGTCGCCGACGGAAGAGTCCTGGCGGGTGCTGGGACCCGTCGAGTTTTCGAGCTCGACGATGTAACGGCCCGATGCAGCGTCGGAGGCCGGGCTTGTGAGGCGGGTGCGGCCGCTGGCGAAGCCACCCTCGGCTGCCGTGGCCGGCGAGACGGCGGCGGCTGCGGCGAGGGCCGCTTGGAGGATTCCGGAAAGCCGAGCCATTGTAGCGAGCTCGACTAAGATCGGCAAGTTGACAATCGATCTCGGAGTCTAACGAGGGACAAGCAGATGGGGACTGTTGCTTAAACTCCCTTTCCACATCTAAGCTCCCAAGGGCCCATTCCCTTCTATTTATGCTGTTCAGCATCGTTCACGATCTCGCAATACGGGATGGGGCTTCAAAGCAGCAGCAGGGTCCCTCGATACGAGTTGGAACCGCACCCATCAGATTCAAGACGACAGTGATCATCCAAATTGCCTCTTAATTACAGTTTTATGGGCCAGTCAACCGATAACCGGAACGCAACGGGATGACTTCAGGGTCGTAAAGGCGGATGTAACTCCGAGGACTTGACAGGCACCGTGTTTTCGTTGGCTTCTGCCCGTATTCCCGGAAGCGGCAGGTCGTTGAAAAAGACTCACTCGTTTGGTGGCCGGGGTCGCGAACTTTATCAGCTCATCTAATCAATCTTTGTGGAGCTCGGCATGCAGGCACCATGCATTGCAGCCATTGCTAAGAGCTTTGTGAGATGGAAACTTTCGTGTTTCTGTATGTTGCGGTGGGATGGGTGGGAGGCCGTGGAGATTTTGCCTGGATTCGCTTAGCCCTGTGGTAAAATAAGCTCAACTCGGAGGGCCGATGTGACTTTAGTTGGCCATTATCGGCGATGCTCCGAGCTCCGAGAGTGGACTCTGACTGAGGAGTCTGAGGTGGATGTAGGGTCCAGACTCTAGGCCTCATTCAATTGCTTCTCTAAATGAGGGGTATCAATTCATTTGAGTCTGGATTTCGAGTTTCGGAGGAAGCAGAGTCGAGCCATGCGAGTCTCTATCGAATGGCGTAGTGAAGGTTTAGCTTCAACGTCGAGCATCCAGAGATAATTGAAGTCGGGCTTATTCCAGCCTCCAATGATCTTGCTTAGCAAACAACCAAACGATTTTGAGTTGTGATCTCTAATCATAAGACTGTAAGCTGGCATGGGTTCGGAGGGACTCGAGGGATGTCCAGGGACCAGTGGGCCCCATGTTTACACATGACCAAGTCATCTCACATATTAGTGTGGAGCGCTCAGATCAAGAAGCTAGTCAGGATGTCTCGCAGTGAAGTCAAGCTTGCATTGGATCCATGGAATCACAGAGAAATAAAGGTAAGGTAATCACCTGGCTCACATGAGAGTTGATGGACGAAGATGAGCATGAGTGAAACTGAGAACATGAGGATCTCGGAGACTAGCTAGTTCATACGAAATCATCTCATGCAGAACTCGTGTGTAAATCCACTATTCATCGTCTCTATAAGACTGTGCACTTGATCGTTCGAATATGATCATACTCGATGAGCAAGCCAATCCATGTGCTTGTTAGGTGGGGGATCGGATGAAGCAGAAGACCCGATGAGACCCAAGCCAAGCGCGTATTACTCGAGTAAACCCACGGCATCTTATACTTCTTGAATCCTCTATGAAAGCCATTCAAAATTCAGAAGGAATACGGTCTGCGTTTCTGAGATCGTTGCCTCTTCTCAACCCGTTTCCCGGCGCCTTGTAGGTTCGGGTTAAAAGTGAGACTTAGCAAGAAACTAAACCAGCATTGACAAGATGAGGCTATATGAGGCAGATGTAGATTCCAAGACTTTTTCAAATGAAAAAGAAGTAAAACTCCCTTTTGACTTGTCTGGCGATAAGTATGATGAATCTGTTACTTCTCGACGTTCTCCAGTGACGATGAGTGGTTCGCCATCTTCATGAAAGAGAGGGGTGATCTGATCCATATAGTGCTGAAGATTTTGAACACTGTATCTTGTGCCAGATCCACTACCATGAAACAGTGCCAATAACGATGCGTCGGACGGTGGTCGGATCAGGCAACCAGACTAAGAGCTGTGCCGCACCCGCCTGCCGCCGCCGCCTCTTGGAGGCCGCTTCCCTCCCCCATGCCACCTTCTTACTACTGCCGTTTGATTCTTCTGCCTCAAAACCATCTTCAACGCCAAATGTCTACGAATTGATTTCCGTTGAGACCATCCCTAGTGGTTCCCGTATCGTTTCCAAGATCCGCTGGCTCGGCCACCGGTGTAAGCCAGCCATAGACGACACACCAAAGTCACCCCTCACCATGCGGACGACTCCTCAAGATACCTTCAACTCGCCGCCACCGAGACGGATCCGCCGGCGGTCACCTACCCATCATGGAGCTTTGTTCGCTACAGCCGTCGCCCCATCGGATGCTGACAGCTTTGCCTCAGTTCCGCCCTACTGGACGCCTGCCGAGGACGCCTCCTTTGCGGACGTCTACCGTGAACCATCCATCTATAGCGAGAGCTCCTGGCTCCAAAGCCATGGTATCAGTCAGGTAGACCAGCGATCTGGAAAGCCTTTACCCATTAGCGATCCATTTCGGTTCAACATCTTTCAGCCTACCTCGTCGCTTGCGCAGGCCCCTCCTCCCCCAGCCCTGAGCACAGTGTCCAGTATCACCCACTCGTCGCCTTCAATTGTCTCCCAGCCGTCGTCTGCTGGCTCTGGGGTATCACCCACACAAACTGATTTTCCGTATGAATGGCCGACAACAAAGACTGCTTCGACAATCTGGTCCACCCCGGGTGCCACGAAAAGGTCTACCGACTTGAATGGCTTTACCGGCAGGGCTCAAAGCCGCTTTATCTGCTTGGGTCGTCAATGCGACGAAACCTTTGACCAAGAAAAAGACTTGGCTTACCATTTCAAGACGGTCCACACTTACACCTGCAACTGGGCAGGCTGCGAACAACCCAGCTTTTCTTCAAAAGACGGTCTCACATGGCACGTCAAGCTGGAGCACCTCCTCATCTGCCCAGCCCCCGGATGTACCGAGAGCTCATTCCAGACCAAGCAGATACTTGAGAGTCATATAAGATGTGCTCATCCAGATGCCGAGGTCAACGACAAGGGGAAAGCTAAGGAGCCACTTTCGAAGTCGAAACCTCTCGCCCAAATCATGACTACGCCATCCTCGTCTCACGAGACCAGCAGTGTCCCAGCATCATCCCAGAAAAAAAACCTGGAGGAACGAGCCATAAAGCAGATACTATCCGTAACGGTATCCAAGAAGAAGTGCCGAGAGAAGTTGAGGGATGTCGTGGAGAAAAAGTATAGAAGACAGAGGGGAGACAAAGGTAACTACTACCAAGGCCGATTCGTAGAGCCCGCATGCTGACTTGGCCAGGTCAAACTCCTCTCGCAGCCGACAGCCCAAGTGATTTGCCCAGACCTCACACATCACATTTGATCAACAATGCGAATTTTGCTATAGTGTGGGAGCATGCAGTTCTACCGTTCCTCTCCGAGTTCATCCCAAAATGGTGCGGCCCCAGGCACATCCTCGCCGCCACTCGCAATAAATCACTAGGCACGTGGCAAATCCGCATCACGGTTGGAGACGAGTTGCCCTCGCGAGCTCGCAAAATCATCATTGCAGCACATGTCAGAGACCTATTACCCGAGAGCCATCGGGCCGGCGTCAAGTTTCTGTTCGTCAAGGGCTCTATTGACCGTCTTGTCTGGGCGAGAGGGTTGAGCAAGGAGATGCCTGACGAAATCTGCATGGCCAAGAACCCATACTACTTCAAAGACCCGTGCATGGGCGATAGCATTGGTATCGAAGGCGATGCAGATTTCGAAGAGAGTACATCGACATTAGGACCCTGCCTAGTAATTGGTGGCGGCAGCTACTGGCTTGCCAACTTCCATCCCTTCGTGGAAGCATACCAGCGCTTAGCATCAGTCAGCGTCCAACACCCGTCACCAAGCGACCGAGGCCGTTGCATAGAAGAAAGGCACGACACATTACCCGATACAGACTTTGCTCTAGGTAGCCTCACCGCCACCTCGGGAATTGACCTGAAGACGACTCGCATATCTCATCATCCGTATTGGGAAGACTGCGACAAGGAGCCCCCTCTTGTCGCGACTGATTGGGTTCTCATCGCCTCCAAGACCCGTCAGGCCAACATCCTCCGTCGCTTCCCCTCGGAGAGCATGCCTCTTCTCAAGGAGACCCCAGTCAAGACGACCAGCGCCGTCGTGCCAGGGGCCACTGTGTTCTCGACGGGCCGAACATCTGGCCAGCAAAGAGGTGAGGTCTGCGAGATCCCAGACTACGTTAGCGCCGAGATGAACGGCACTGGCAAGGCTACACGCGAGTGGTTCATCGAAGAGCCGTGCCCTTACGACGACGAAGAAGGGTGGATCCGCGGAGGCATTGGCGTGGAGGGCGACAGCGGCGCCGCCATTGTTGACGCCGAGACCAACACCTTGGTCGGCCAGCTTTGGGGCCGCAACAGATACTGGGGCAGCGGTTCCCGCATAACCTATTTCACCCCTATCGGCGATCTGTTTGATGATATTCAGGAGAGATGTGACCAGCAAGCTCGACCCCAGCTCCCGCAGTATCGGGATGAATCAGAATGTTACCCGGTATACCCCACTTGTCGACAATGCTACGACCTGCGGACGTACCTCGATAGCCGGCGGAGTTCCCGAGAGTCACTTCGATCCATGATCGGGCGCAACGAAAGCGATCACGGAGACATGACCTCAATCGGTGGAACATCAGAGCTGGCGACACCAAATGACCACGCATTTTGGACTCGGGCCTCCGGCGTCGAGGAAGTCGGCACCTCATTCACCAGCATAATGTCACCGTCCGCCGCTCACCCGTTCTGCTTCACTCCACAGCCCGGCACTCCAGGCATCGTTGACGTCAAAAGCCCATACGCCCTGACCCTAAGCGCAGAGGATCTTTACGACGACGCCGCCTTCACACGCACGACCGAAAGCGGCCCCAGCAAGCGAGCAGCCGCAGTCCCACTAATGCGCAGTTCAAGTCAAAATGCCAAGAGGCAAAGGTTGCATTGAATATGCTATTCCTAGGCTGAGTGAGATATCCGATATCAGCCAGGGAATCCACCTCTCGCCATCTTCTTGGCTCTCTGGTCGCGGCGATTGTGGTTCGCCCGGGAGCTCTTGCTAGCTTCCTTTCTCCTCCGCGCAGCCTCCGTCTCCTTTTCACCAGTCGGACCGGCCACATTTCCACCCCCCCGGCCTCCACCTCCTCTTCCACCACGTCCGCGACCTCCTCGTCCACGATCGCCTCCGCCGCCTCGTGAGGAGCTGCCACCGCCGGTCTCAGAATCCTCGGCACCTGAGCCAGCCGGACTGGCTCGCCACGCCGTTGACAGAATCTCGGTCTGGGTGCCAGTAAACGCAGCGGCTCCGCTGTATTTGGCGTCGAGTCGTCGCTTCTGGCCCGGGTTCCTCACAAGCATCAGCGCCCAGCCCTCGATAGCCTCGTCGGTCATGCCCGTCTCTTGCCTCAACTTTCCTCTTGCCGAGCCTCTCCTCGTCGTAGCCTGCCTGTCGAATACACTAGGATCGGCCTGGAACGCCTTGTACAGCGTCTCCTCGCTAGCATCCTTTGAACCATCTGCCTCCTCGTTGGCGTTGTCGACCGTGCCTCCAACATCGTCTGCATCGTAGGTGTCGTCACGCTCGTCGTCATCCGAGTCGAATGCGGCGAGTGCAGACAAGATGGCCGCCTTATTCGGCGCAGTGGATCTGTCTTTGAGTACATCGTCGGCCGTCTTTTCAGGTCCTTTCTTTCCAAAGTGGAGCCTAGAAACATCCAGCTCCAACCTGTCGAGTTCATCGTCGTCAAACACATTGTGGCGTTCGGGTAATTGCGGGGGCGTTGGTCTTGGTTCGAGCTGGCTTTTCCTTCTTTCCACCGTGGGGGATCTAAGATATTGTTAGCCTTTACATGGTTCCAAGATGATAATGAGAAAACATACAACGGAGCAGAGCGGTCCATCGCCGCCAGGTGCGGAGGCAACGAATCCTCCAGTAAATGAGCCGTGACAATTTCCATATTGTCGCCATACTCATCAAACAGCTTCGAGATGAAACCTGACCCCAGATCCGGGAACAGATCTTGTATGAGTGAAATCTGACTCTGCCGGTGCATGTGCATCTCCGCTTGAACCTGTCCCTCCCCCGCGACATCTCTCCCTTTGCCCTTGTCAACCTTTCGCTTGACGAGCCTCTTTGGCCGCATCATCCCGCCACCAGGCTTCTTGAATCCCTCCAGCGCCGAAATACGTGACTTTAATGCCGTCGACGCCGCGCCCTTCTCCTCGGCCCTCTTTGATAACTGCTTCAGCACCGGCGTGACGGTGACTAACTCCGCCACAAGCGAATCATTCACATTCAACGGACCAGCCCTATGGGTCTCAGCAGCAGACTTTAGCGAAAACAGCACGTCGGCCAGCATCCCGAAACGAGGCTGCTCTCCTTCCGTAAGGCCAATGAGACACAGGTACATCGTCGCGACGAGGACCTTGCGCAGCGGCGGGTTCATAATCTTGAATGCCGTCACCAGGCCGTCGAAGAAATCTGAGCCGGCGAGAAAGAAGGCTGCTGCGTGCGGGGAGGCGTGGAGGAGATAGTTCAGGTTCGCGAGGCGGGCCTCGAGGGATTTGAGATCTGCTTTGAGACCTGCTTCCATTGACTGCGCGAGGGACTTTTTGAGGCCTGCTAGTGGGTGCTCGAGGACGCTGGCGTGGAGGGTGAAGGCTTTTGAGAGTGTGAGCGGCGCATTTCTGCGGTAGAGTTTTGAAAAGGCGCAGAGGAAGGGGGCTGTTGTTAGGGGTGTTGGCGGTGGTGCTGTGGAATTTGTGAGGAGGCGGGATGTGAGTGTGAATGTCGACCTCAGTAAAGCCTTTGATGTCGTGGATGAGGACGGTCCGAGGATTGGTGAGGGTCCTGCTTCGGCGACTTGTATTGTGAAGGAGGAGAGGAAGGCTGGGATGGAGGCGTCTTCTTTGGCGGCGGCGCGGGCGAGGTCTGTATCTGGGACGGCGAGGTAGGCTTGCGTTAGGGTCGTCCAGGCTTCGAGGAGGGTTTCCCATTCTGGAGGTGCGAGTTTTGCGCGCCATGATGGCGTGGGGAAGGGGGCTAGAGGTGGGAGTGAGGCTGCCATTGTTGCTGGAGCTCTGGGGTGAGTGAGGTGAAGTGAGTGAGATGTGAGATGAGCGCTGGAACTGGCGGGGTAAGATGTGCCCAGATGTGAGGGTTTCTATTGCGGGATGCAAGAATTGGATGGTGTGCTCTTAGGGAGAACTCGTCGTCGGGTTGTTCTTGCGCATCCAGAGGATTTTGGCAATGGATTTGAGGTGGCGATGAGGTGAAGTGAGGCTGCTCTCAAAGAAGACGTCGTTGTCTCTCGCCGGATGATTCATTCATTGACGTCGGTGCCTCTCCCCAGCCGGCCCATGGAGTGAGCTTTCGGCGGAGCTTCGAATGCGGAAGTGGGCCATGTACCTCTATTGGATGGTGGGGTTCTTTGCTCTTTGCTTCCTGCCGCCGCAAATGGCCTGCTCGAAAAGATACGTATCTTTTTTTCGCAATTCCGCTTTTGCGCTAAACTTACCTAGGCTTAGTCACACCACTCGGTAAAGCCCTACTTTCCAAACCCCACGAAAAAAAGTTCGCGATCGCAATTCCCTCCGACTACAAGCTCACCAGCCGACAAGATCATCAGCCTTCATCACTTTGCCGCAACCAAGCCGTTCGAGTCGTGAAGGAAACTCAATCTCTCCCTAACCCATCACCAAAACCCAACAACCGGACCTCTTCGTTCAACAACAATCAAAATGTCTTACAACAAGGACAAGGACTTCGGCGAGGCGCCCAAGACGCACAAGATCCGCATCACCCTCTCCTCCCGCAAGGTCCAGTCCCTCGAGAAGGTCAGCGCCGAGCTCATTGAGCGCGCCAAGTCAAAGGACCTCCGCGTCTCCGGCCCCGTCCGCCTCCCCACCAAGACCCTCAAGGTCACCACCCGCAAGACCCCTTGCGGTGAGGGTTCCAAGACCTGGGATTGCTTCGAGATGCGCATCCACAAGCGTCTCATTGAGTAAGTACTCCTTCTGCCCCCCAGCTATCAGCGCAGTTATTGCGCAATTGAGCGCGCCCACGATGAATCGAGATTTTTGAGTAAATTTACTTACAATGAAAACAGCCTCAACGCCCCCACCGAGATCGTCAAGCAGATCATCATCAACATCGAGGCCGGTGTCGAGGTCGAGGTCACCATTGCCGCATAAGCGAATTGGAAAACCATGCCCGAAAAAATGTTGTAAAGACGAGTTGTTGTTGTAGGAGGGACGAAACGGTATGGGCTTCGGACTTGGAAATGCTGCGTCGCTGAAGCTCGCGATGAGGGAGGGCCGAAAGGTTTTGACCACGGCGCGTAGCTGTGCGAAGGCGGCGGGACGAGTGAGGCGGTCTAGATACCACCCGAATCAACTGATGACCCCCACCCATGTGATTTCCCATGCTGGTGATGTGTTGTGCGGACGTGCTATGACTTAACGCCCCAACTGAAGTCACGATTGTGATCCAGGTCATGGCGGGTGTCAAGTGAAAGGCCATAGTCACATGTAATCGATGTAACCAACTCTTGAGAGATCTTGAATGTTTGGGCACTTGGCGCCCACTCTGAGTGCAGTACTTAGCACCATAATATCACATGCCCCAATTTGCTACCATCCAGATACCAAACCCCCGGTCACAAACGGAACCCTTTTGGAAACAACGCCGTGCAATGCCAGCCCCCTTGACACAAGTACAAATAGACCACTGTTGGTCCTCGCCTCGTCTCTCCTCTCCCCTGTCCCCCGTTTTACAGATCCCAAAGGCAAAACTCCCTCTTGGGAGGCAACTCGGGCATGAGGCCCTCAAACCTGCCCGTCTGCGTAAACGCCTGCCACTGCTGCTTCGACTTGTCGTCATATAACTCGTCGGGTAGTTCAGTGTCCTTGTAGTAGTTTGGCGGGCCATCCGGGAACCAGATCCTCGACCACGCGCCGTTGAAGGCCCGGATGCCGGGCAAGTTGTTCTGGTAGGTGACGGGCTTGCCCTTCCAGTTGGACAGCCGCCCATTCATGTCCTTGGAGCTGTAGCTCGACACGGGTGGATGCTGCCTCGAGCTGCCCGGCGGGTACGGTCCGTTCCCAGGCGCCGCCGCTTGTTGCGCGGCGGGCGTAGCTGGAGCAGCGGTCTGACCTCCGAAAGGGTTTGGTGCTGACCCACCCGCTCCGATACCACCAGCCGGTTGACTGAACGGAGACGCATTGGTCTGTCCGAAAGGGTTCGTCTTTTGGCCGAGCTGAGCTGGTTGTCCGAATCCGCTGGCGGGCTGCGTTGGCTGTGCTGGCTGAGCATTCGCCGCCGGCTGACCGAAGGCGCTGGGCTGCGCATCGGGTTTCGATCCAAAGGGGTTGCTGGTCGCCGGTTGCGCTTGAGAAGGTTGTCCGAAGGGATTCGAAGATGCAGGTTGAGCCGGTTGTCCAAACGCGCTTGTTGTCGCAGGCTGTGCTGGCTGACCAAACGGACTTGGTTTCGCCTGGGCTGGAGCCCCGAAAGGGTTGGCGTTTTGTGTCGTAGTTTGCGCGGGCTGTCCAAAGGGACTGGGACTGGCAGTGTTCTGCGAAGCCTGACCAAAAGGACTAGGTGAATTGCCGCTGCCTCCGGCGCTGGCAAACGGGCTGGCACCGCTCGTCGCGCCACCAAAGGGATTCGGCTTTTGTCCCAGAGCACTTGCTTGGCCAAACGCGCTGCCGCCTCCGCCGAGTTGAGATGCTTGACCGAAAGCACTGCCGCCTACTGCCGCTGCTGGTTGTGCTGGCTGCCCAAACGCAGGCGCGCCAAAAGGATTTGGCTTCTGGCCCAGTGCTGAAGCCTGGCCAAATGCTGATGTTCCACCTCCCAGCGCGCTGGGTTGTCCAAAAGCAGATGTAGGTTGCGATGTCTGGCCAAAGGCCGGTGCTGAGCTGCTTGCGACACCAAACGCAGATGTGGGCTGTGATGGTTGGCCGAATGCTGAAGTCTGCTGCGACGGTTGCGAAGTCTGACCAAAAGCTGGCGTGCCAAAGGGATTCGCACGTTGCCCCAAGGCCGCTGGCTGGCCAAAGGCGCTCCCTGTTGAAGCTCCACCGCCGCCACCAAAGGCAGAAGCCGTGTTGGTGTTGTTGGAGGAGAATGGGTTCGATGATGCTGCGTTTGAGTTTGACGAAAAAGGGTTCTGTTGTGAAGAAGCGGCCCGTTTTCCAACTGCAAACTCCCCTGTGGTCCCACCTGACAACGTGCCTTGCTTGCAGATATCTATCCTGTTGGGGTGCGTCTGTTCGGCTGAGATGACAAATTGTATAGCTCCGTCAAGGTTGCCCACTGCCGTCTTCATTTGTTGCTGCGCTTGCTGGTATAGCTCTTGTGCTTGATTGAGCTTTGGGGGTCCGTCAGCTGATGGATCTGCAGGCCTAGACAAGGTGACTTACGGCTTGCTGAGGATTTCCAGAGGCTGTCGCCATCATGTGAACGAGTCTCATCTCTTCAAAACTCTGCTCGCGCAGGTTACCACCGAAGAGCTGTTCCGGAGCATCCCTCCCGGGGCCGTAAGCGGACAAGATCCATTGCGGCGCTTCTGATGTCAGATCCTTCTCAATGGCTTCCTTTGATAGTGAATATGGTAGGCCTGATGATCGGTGAGTAAAATGAGTCGTTGAAGACTACTAGGAGCCGCAGTTGCTGGACGAACCATCGTTGTTGTTGCCGCCTCGATTGAATCCTCCTCCAGTGTTTTGGCCAAAGGCTGCGAAGCGATTGTTTGATTGCGACCGTGGGTGCTCGAATCGGCAGTTCTCTGGATATAACGTGTCAGCCCTTTGAGTCCGAGTATGCGATTGAGGCCCCTCGAGGGAGGGGTGGTGGGCGCACAGCGAGTGACGTACGTCCATACCTGCAGTTCCCCTGCTCGTAGAACTTGCAGACTACCATTCTGGTTGATGTTCGGGCGATTTCGCAATGAAAATGGCGTAGTGACAGCGACTATGTCATTTCGTAACCGTTGGAAGCTCGAGATATGCCAGGGATTCGAGGCTGAACAAAGGGTCAAGCTGTTGAACTCCAAAAAGAGCGCGGAGATTGGGTGTCGAGAAAGAAATCGTTGACAGCCTTTCTCAGCCTTGCCGGCGCATGGCTCTAGCGCGCTGTGGTGAGCCAATAGGAAATCTGTACCGTGCGCTGACAGTGTGTCGGTCGCAAGCACTGTCCCTGCGTCTTCTTGCCCAAATAGTTGCACTTACACCTCCAACAAACACTCAACATCATCCATCTCTTAGTTCTCCAGCTGATCAATCAAACCAATCAAGTCTACCAAAGAAAAATCACTATCATCTTGATTTTGGCTTTACCAAGTTTGGGGGATGTAGAAATATCCCGCCTCGGGGTCTCAATAATGTTCTCCAAGGATTGACCAAACCGGCACCATGAATTGAGAATAACGCTTCTTACTATGGCTTTCGCACATACACAGAGTCATCTTAGCTTATCGACGCCATGGTTCTCTTTCTCAAAATCACCTGTTCGATGGCTAATCAAGGATTGAGTTCATGATTTCATTACTCCAAATCAGCTACGACTACTCTATGGAATTCATCTATCCAATAACACCAGCAACCATGGGCGTCAGCTGCTCGCTAACATAGTTGGGGTTCCTCCACTCAGACCAGTCCGCATTCAACAGACCCCACGACTCCTCAAAGTTCTGCGTTCCCTGGCGGATATAGTAGCTACCCACCAGAACCCAGATGAAGAAGCTGCCCTGAATCTGGGGCAAGTACGATGCCAGGCACGTTGAGTAAGTGTTGAGGTATGTGTTGTCGTTCATGTTGAAGCCAAACTCGGTCAGCGCCACAGGGAACACATTGACCGTCGCAGGATCCGAGGCATTCATGGCCTGGAAGCCCTTGGTGTACAGGTTGTTGCTCAAGCTGGCGCAGCTGCCGATGGAGCCCTCGTAGTTGTGGATCTCAAGAACGAGCTTGTTGGTGTATCCCTCAAAGTCAGAGAGCTGGAAAGTGCCGTTACCGGGCGTCAACGCCGTGCCAGCGAAGGCAGGCACGACGGTCGTGTCGTAGTTGAGGCCTGACAGGAAGATGAGCAGGTCAGGGTTGGCGCCGTTGATGGCGTTGGTGCCATCCTGGATGTACTTGTACCAATCCTGCCAGTTGTACGAAGCAGCGACCAGCTCGTCGTTATCCGTGGCCTGGCGAAGCTCGTTGCGAAGGGACATGGCGACAAGGGCAGTCCAAGATTTTCCCTGACGATGGTTATCAGCATGGATTCTACAGCATCCTCCCTTCTTTCGATTCACTTACATGGTTGGCCATGTAGGTCAGGCCCCGCACCCAGTTGGCGAGATCGAACTCGCGGTCTCCCCACCAAGTGTTGCCGTCATTTCCAGAGCAGCACCACTTGCCGGTGGACATGTGGTTATCGAGGAGGATGTAAACTTCCTGCTTGGCGCACTCAGCAGCAATCGCATCGTAAACCTATGGGCTCGTATGTTAGCGGGTGTCGAGCTACGCGAATGGGCGGGAGAGCAAATGACGTACCTCGAGACGAGTGGTCGCCTCCGTGAAGGAAGGGTTGTTGGCCAGGACCTGCGCAAGGACGGCAGTACCGTTGGTCTCACCAAGGCCGTTGATGAAAGCCGTCTTAATGTCAATGTCCTTGCCGTCATTGGCGTAGATCTGGTCGACGAGCTCAATGGCGTAGGTTAGGCGGATGGCGTTCATGCCGATGCTCTTGATCTTGGACACGACGCCCTCGACGGAGAGGAACTGCAGGCCCTCAGGAACCATAACCTCGCCGTGACCGGGCCAATTGGTGCCGGCGAACTGGATGTGGTTGCCAGCGGCATCGACTGCCCAGCGACCGTCCGTCACAAGCGGGCCATTGGGCCAGCTGGTCTGTCTGGTCTGAGGAAGGGCGGCGCAAAGTGGCGCGACGGAGCTGGCGACGGCCAGGAGGGAGGTGAAGAACTTCATTGTGTCGGGCAGTTTTGATTGAGAAACCGACGCGTCCGAGATGGGGGCTATCACTACAGAGAAGGTCGCAATGGCACCATCTTGCGGGAGCCTGTGGGCTCTTATACGACCCGAAGAGTTCAAAGAGTTCATAGAGCATGCAGTTCGGAAGCATTCCCGCTCCAATTGAGCACTCGCCGTTGCTACCTCATCCCACGGACCGAGAGCGGGACCTGCAGCTGGACCAGGAACGCGAAACTGACATCACGAGCATTGGCAGAAGTAGCGGTGCTCTGGAGGGTGCAACGTTCCTTGAATCAACAGCCGCCATTTTCATAACTAGTGTAGTCGTCGACCATGTCCTCCAGCCCGCAGCGGGGCATCTCTCGGGTCCTCCCTCAGGTCATGATCCCAAGTTGCCAGGGTAGCGACGAACCTCGGGGGCGGCTTTCGCCCGAGAAGACGAGCACAGCCGGGACCCGCGTCCTCTTGGGGATGGAAGCCAAGGGTCCAAGATTGACCATTGAGTGGATGCTAGGGAGTCAGGCGATGATTGTCGCCAGGAACAGCAAGGTTGTGCCGTACGGCGTGAGATCGGCTCCCGCAAAGTCTCGAGACAAGCTGGAGTCTATGGAGAGATTCTTGCGTCCCGCCCCCGCATCGCTTGTCGAATATGCCGATGGGGAAACCGACGGATCCCGGCTCCCGAGCTCTGATTTCTTTAGTGTTGGTGTTCCCCACACTCCGATCCCCTCCTCTTCATCGAACCGTTCAACGGCCCAAGCATCCCCAAATTGGCCGGTTCTGCGCGATCACAAGATACTAGTCTGGATGGTTGACGTTGCATGGGAGTGGAGAAGATAGCTTTCACAACGACCCGGCTCCGTGATCCCCGCAAGCCGAACGAAAGAACGTTTGGAAAGATACGAAAGAAAACGGACAATAGCGGAGACGACGTGCCTGACAGGGAAATGCCCGCTGCCGATCAAGAGCCGAACCACAGAGACTTAAATGTAGCAGTTGGGGAAACGGACAAGCGGGGAGAGCTTTCGAACGATCTGAATGGCGCGCAAGTTCGGACGGACGAGTTCTCGCGACGAGCTTTCACCAGCATTTGGCTCCACCGCTGTACCTTGGAACGAGGAGTTGGGTTCTCTGCCATTATTGGCTCTCATGAAGCATATGTATCAATTGGCACGTGCTAACAAGTTCTCTCGACGCTCGATGACGACAACTTCACACGGATCCGAATCCGCGGCACCGAAGGTGAAGCAGGGGGTCTCTAACCCCAGCTTCAGCCCAGCCCAGCTCGGTAGAAACATCACCAACAACCTTTCCAGCACCACCACCCTCATGCCCTCGCTCTGAATTCCAATAATGGTCCGTCCTTCATACTCGTAAACGTGTCGTACAACTGCATCTCCGAGACCCGCCTCCGGCCCTCATCCAAATCTGCGCGTCCCTCAGCCGGATCAACCACGCCCACCGCCTTGCGCATATCGTATAAGAAGAGCGTCCTCGCCAACGCGGTCGACATTTCAGCATACGCAAGACCCTTGCCAATACACCCTCTGGCTCCAATCGAAAACGGACAAAACGCGCTCTGCGCTCTCGCCGTGTCTGCCTCGGTCGTCTCCCTGCCCTCGAACAACGGGTTCGCCGCGCCGACGATCCACCGCTCGGGAACGTAGTCGTACGCTGAGGGGAAGTAGTCCTCGTTGTGGTGGATCGTGTAGTGCGGCGTGCCGACGACGGTTCCGGCGGGAATATGCGCGCCGTCGATGGTCATGCCGCCCGTGAGGACCTCGCGGGGGAGCAGACCGCCGACAGAGGGGGACAGGCGCATCGCTTCGTCAATGCAGGCGCGGAGGTAGGTGCATGTGTTGATTGTTGCGCCTTGGCGGATCTCCTCGACTTCGGAGAACTTGCTGCGGACCTCGGCGGTCGCGCGCTGGAGGGCTGCGGGGTTACGGGAGAGGTAGAAGAGGGTTGCTGCCATGGCTGTTGACGTGGTGTCGGCGCCGGCGATGATGCTGATTTGCGTGTTAGTCTTGGTTTACATCTCTGTCGTGTGTCGAAGCTGGACAAGGAAAGGATGAACTTACAGTAGGTTCGACTCGCCCCAGAGCTCGGGCGTCGAAAAGCCCATTCCCGTCTCTGGGTCGCGCGCCTTGAGGAGATAGTAGAAGAAGTCGCGTCGGTCCGTGTCTTCACCGAGCTTCGTCCGCTCCGTCAGCTGCGCCTTGCTGTATGACATGTACCGCGCGCGTCCGGCAGCGATAGTGGGGAAGAGGAGTTTGTCGAGCTTGAGCTTGTCGACGATGGGCATGGTGCCGCACTGGGGGCCCGTCAGTCCACGTTTCTCTACAATCACCCTCTCAAGGGCCGCATCCCAAGACTTTGTCAACTCACAAGAAGGTGCCTTTTTGTCGCCGCAGCAATCAAATCCAACGCAAACCGGTTATCCGGCGCCTCCAGCATATGAAACGCTTTCCCGAACGACAAGTCTCCCAAGATATCCATGGCGAGGTAGTTACACCAGTCCGTCATGTTCTTGGGCGTCGACCAGCCCTTGGTATCGGCGGACGCGCCCCGGCCAATCTCTGCGGTGAAGGAGCGCACGTTGCCGATGATGTAGCGTTCCATCTCCTTCATGGCCGAGTCGGAGAAGCCATGGGCGAGGACGCGGCGCTTGCGGGCATGGACGTCCTTGTCGCGGGCGTTGTGGGTGTTGGGCGCTGGGTGGACGAAGGCGTTGTAGAATTCTGCTTTGCCGACGTTGGAGCGGAAGCCGTAGATTTCTTTGAGGGCTGTGGCGGAGTTGAAGGAGACTGAGTTGGGGCCGAAGCGGACGATTTTGCCTTGAGGTTTGTTAGTGGTGATATTGCCGTGGCTCTCTCTCTCTCTCTCTCTCTCTCTCTCTCTCTCTCTCTCAGAGAGAGTATCTTCCCCCCTCTCTGGCAATGCCTCCTTGCCGATCTCACAGAGAATGAAGGATGCGTTGGCACAAGTGCCGAAGATGAGTAGGTAACATACCGTATTGCCTGTGAAGCTTGTAAAAGTCGAGATGTCTATCGCCGTTCCAGGCGTGGTAGAGCTGGTATCCGTCCGTGAACTTTGCGATGAGCGGTCCTGGGTACTTTGCCAGGGGGTGGAAGAAGATGCGGTATACGACGATACCAGCGACCTATTTCGTTGGCTGTCAGACCAGCTTCCTCTTATTTCCCACCAACATTGATCGGCTTCATCAAGCCCTCATTGTTGGCAATGTTGAGGACTGGGACTTACGTAGAGCACGCCTCCCACGGCGGCGAGGCCAAGCCAGGCCCAGAGGTGACTCGTCTCCATTTTCACTTGTTCTGCCTCGTTTTCAACGATGTCGTGAGTTCAGAGGTGTCGTCTCTCTTCGTTTCGAATGGTTGTCACACAACAGTATGTCTCGACACGCGAAGCCGAGGATATAGTCCGGTGTAAGTGGTAACCAAACACCACTTTTCACCCTTTCTTGTTTTTTGTTTTTTTTCCCCCCAAATACGAAGTTCTCAAGTGGTAAGGTCTTTTTCGCAGCAATCTCACCTCGTCCTATCCGTGTTTCCCGGCGAGAAGGAGGGCGCACCTCTCTTCTTATTTGTCTTACACGTTCCTCTTTCTTTCTTGTCCCTTTCCCGGTGGCCCATCGGCTTTCCACGGTCCAAGACGGGAATGACGGGGCGCTGGCGGTGCGCTTTACCCCACGCCGCAAGGACCGGGCGGGCAATCCATGGACACACCTTTGGACACCAAAATTTGGAGAAGTGCAATACCTAGCAGGATGTGCCAAAATATCAGCTGTAACAAGTGACACAGTCCCCATGCGCAACAAGGTCTTAATAGTGGGAATGCTGTAAGAAGAAAGAGGGCGGCGGGCAAGCCGCAAAAAGGCGCAGATCCGTCTTATCACGCTTGCGCAAGCCCGCCCAACCTTCCTGTTTCGGGAGTGACCTTTGAAGGGGGGACACTGGAACGTCGCGGCTACTCGCGGGGAGAGAGGTGGTTGAGAACGGACGCGGACTTGGGGATCTCTGTCCTCTAGTGACGCCGCAATACCTGCTTACCTTACCCCAGACTTTTTGTTCCCAATTTCTTTTTCCTCGGCTCGTTCAGCCCGTAGATAGCCATGGACGATACTTGCTACGGTGCTACCCCAAGATCTCGCATCTTTGATACCCACACCGGCAAGCTTCCCCCGCCCCAATCCACGCCCACGAATGCAAGATGCGTGGATGGCGTCCTCCAAAGTCCACCGCCCCCCCCCCCCCCCCCCCCCCCCGGCAGCAAGGTTTCGCAAGTGTGCATGTGAGCCAACCAGAGGCATTGCGATTACAAACTCCATGCGCGGTGAGTAAGGGTCAACCCCCTTTGGTCGCAGTGCCCTCCTGCTGTTCTTGTCTCTTTGCCGAGCCCTGGCACCAAGTGCTTCTTTTCCGTCCGCATCTTTCCCGATATTTAGAAACCTTGTCTTACATCTTTCCCGAATAGATCCATTCCCGAAACTCGATTTTCTTTCCCGAGGATTTGAGATATTTGGTCAAAGAATAAACGGGATCGGCTTTCGGCGGTGGAGTTCCCTTCTTCCCCCGCTTTACACCGTGCACCGTTGCGGGTCCTGCGGAGAAGACGGGGGAAGAGAAACGTGGATAGCGGGGAGGAATTCCGCTCCAGGTCCGCGGTTTGTGAACTCGTTTGGCGACGGCTCGAAGGTCTCGAGGGCTTCGAATAGTTCAAGTTGTTGTGGGCTCGTTTGTGGAGACGTACACGAGGGTTTGGAATTGCCAGGCAGGTAGGTACCTGGTCATTGAGCAGCTATGAAGCTACGCCACTATTAGCCACACCTCAGTACGTGCACACACGACAAGACCAGGGCGCTCAATTTACCTAGATAGCAATTCTTTGAATACCTTCCATCTCCATAGCTATACGCTCTAGAGTCATCGCAACAGTGCACGGGACGAGCGGCGAGTACGGAATCCAGCGTTTCTGGGTGTCGAAGAGTGACGTTTCCAGTTTAGCACATCACGATTTGCCATTTACACAGTTCCTGTCACGGCCACAGCGTTGCCTTTCCATTCCCGCCTATTCAAATATACTCTATTTGTAATATGCGAAGAGAAGACAGAAGTCAAAGTTTGAAATCCTAAACGCAGCCCTTGAGGTAGCCTTCCCCGATACCGCTATTTCCGGCGCAGACATTGCGATTCAGCTCATGGAGAAAGCCCGCCTTGCCACGGCCAAGAAGCGACAGTATCTGGACATGACCGGAAACGACGAGCCTGATCCTACTCCTTCCAGAGTCTGCCGCAAGCTGTTCGAGCCCGTCGCGTCTTAATAGAGGAGGTGTTGAAACCTAAAAAACCTAACAGCCAAGGTAAGCACGTGACTATATATGAACTATTCAAGGTACCTAGTATAAGACCAACTAGAATCTACAACATTTTTCAAGCAAGTCTACGTGAGTTAGTTAGGTGTCTGTACTCGAGCCGTTCCTAGATCAAGAGGTGTCTGGTGATAGTAAGTTATGGTTTAGTAGTATATTAAGTATCAAGGGGGTGCATACATAGATACATAAAAAAACCAATACTTTTCTTTACTCCTCGTCCGTGTCGGAGGCATTCGAACGAGTACGTGAACGACGACGCCTAGAGGGTAGAAAGGTCAGGGTAGAAGCCTCAGAAATTTTGAAAGCAGCGGGATCGGAGAGTAAGAAGCTCTGAACAAGGTGGGATCATAGAGAGTGGTGGCCTCACCCATAATATCGATACGGAGGAAACGCAAGATAGGATGACAGCAACGGTAGCAATAAAAGGTAGGACAGTGTCTCGGCAGCAACCAACATGCTCTTACACCAAACATGCAAACACCCAGAGGCTCATTGAACAGGTAAACTCTCATTGTATTAAGTATATACGCCCCAACCTCCGCCACCAACATAAGAAAACCATTGACATTACACCCCGGTCTTCATCCAATTCCTACCCCATAAACTCGTTTCCGTTTCCATAAATCAATGATTGTAATATCTCGGCTCGTTGAACACGTGGTACCGGTGATCCCGCACGCCCTGGCCCCGGAACATGGCCGGGAACCGCCAGCCCTGCGGCACCTCCTCCTCCGTAACGCGCTTATTTCGCGTATTGTCGTCCACGGCCTCGACCTGCAGTGCCTCGTCCTTGGACTGCGGGACGACAAACTTGGCCATCTGCAGCTCCGTGTCGGTGATGGTGCTGCGGCTGACACGCGCGTAGCCAGTGCGCTTGAGGCCCTTGTAGAGGATATACTCGCACCAGCGGTCCCAGTCGGTCGGATCGACGTCGTGCATGCCGGATGTGCTGCTGACGTAGGTGTTGTAGTTACCTTGCAGGGGCTTGGTGACGAGGTAGGACAGCAGAACGGAGGGGTTCTTTGATTCGCCCATGAGCTTGGAGAGGTACTCGGTCTGCAGACGGCGATCTTCGGGGTCCTCTTCCTGTCCAGAGTGGAACACGAAGACGTCAACCTCTTGGCCGTAGACGTCGAGGGTGGCGGCGATGGCGGGTGCGAGTTCGCCTACAGGACTGGGGAGCAGGTGGTGCGTCGACTTGAGAATCGGGAACTTGGAGAGCAGCGCGGAGCCCCAGGTGTGCTTGTTGGGGCCTGGGCCGTAGTCGACGTACATTCCGAGGTCCTCGGCGAGGAACTGCGTGGTGTCGCGGTTGCCCATGATGATGCGCTGCAGGTCAGACTCGAGGAGACCCACGACGTCCAGTTCGAGCTCCTTGATGAGGTCGCGCATGCGGTACTCGGAAGACCACATGTCGTTGTCGAGGGAGAAGTGGATGGTCCAGATACCGGCCGTCATGATGCGATCTTCAGGGTGGTATGGCTTGTAGTCGTTGGTGGGAAAGCGCATGAAGGCTGCGGCAAGGAAGACGACGTTGACAAAGGCGGCTGCAATCGTGTTGTACTTCTTGTGCTGCGACGGGGACGCGCGGCGGGTATCGCGACGGCGGGCCTGCGAGGAGGTGAGGTCGAAGACACCGGCGCCGATGAGGATGAATGTGGTCATCATGACCCAGTCAGTGTGTTCCCGAACCAAGGGGCCACCAGGCACGAATGCATAGGCAACGACCCAGACGTGGAACAGAACCATAATGTTGTAAATGAAGAACCCGAGACCGAATGTTGTGCCAGGGCTTCTCTTGGCCGCGGTGGAAAGGAAGGGCACAGACAGACCCATCAGGTAGAAGGCTGTGGTGAGAGCACCATAGTAGCCGAACCAGTGGTGGTATGAGGTCAAGACGGCCGCACCAACGCAGCCAACACCGTAGGCGGTCCACGAGCTCATTACGGAGGGGCGGTATAGGCCGACCAGGAGACCAGCAGTCATTGCGACAATCGTCATCCAGCCGTAGGTGTTGGAGGTAGGTCCACGGATCGGGTAACCGTCCCAGACCCAAAGGATCATGGTGCTGGTATCAGAGAGCAGGGAGTGGATGCCGAAGAAAAGACCGCCAACGCCAAAGGCAGCGAGAACTGAAGAACCGCCCTTCTTGGAGTCTTCTGGGATATCGCCGCTAGTCAGGGGGGCCCTCCGCGTGAATCGCAAGGCAGCTACAACAGCGATGGCAAAACCAGTCGCATTCCAGCCTCCGTTGGCGGCGTGCATAACAGGCCACAGCGGGTTGTTGGTCCACCAGATGAACTTGGCTGTGGAAGAGGCGACAAGGCCAAGGGTCCAAGCCATGATTCGGGATTCGAGACGGCTCTGGTGGGCTCTCTCGGACCAGAACGCAGCAGTCCAGCCGAGGCAAGACGTGGCCACGGCGAAGCCAACGGTAAAGAGACGGTAGGCAGGGTCAAGAACCTGGTAAGCGAGCAGTCCGACCAGCGAGATGAGATGGATCGCACGCTGGTTGTTGACGACGAGGGAGCGAACGCTGCGAATGCCCAAGATTGCGGGCAAGATGGTTGACATGACAAAGGCCTCGTAGCCAGAGATGCCCATGTGCCAGAGGGGAAAGTACCACACCAAGACTCCCAAGCTGGTCAACATGGACCAAAAGATGAAGCCGTGGTAGACATCGGCGGCGGTGTCGAGGGCCTCGGCCCAGGTGAATCGGCCAGTCAATAGGTTTGCGCTCCCCTTTTCCTTTCTTGAAGCAAGTCAGTTGCTGCACATCTGATCACGAAATTCCACAGACTTACTGCTTTTCAAGCACGGCGGACGGAACGGATGACCGATTCTCACTATAGCAAGACTTAGATTGTGCTCTTCAACTGGATCTATTGCTTTGCCTGGTGTACAGTATGTACAAGACTATTTTGGGAGCCATTGGACGTACCCCTTGCTTGCTCCCTTGACATCCTTGATTACCACTTCGAAAGTGCTGAAGTCGAGAGCCGTAACAGCGTCAAAGGCAACGTCGAAGAGGATGAGGGCCCATTCGAAGAAGGCATAGATCGTGTAGGCTGTGCGCGGTTAGCTACCAGAGTCTTGCGCAACCCTCCGAGGCCGAAAAGCTTACCTCCCGCAACGCGGTGGACCTTGTGCTGAATGAAGAAGTAGATCAAGGGCACCAGGGTACCGAAGAACGAGCTGGCAATCAGCTTGCGGTACTTGATGGCCTGGGGGTTCGGCGGGCTCAGCATGACGCATCCAATAGTCCACGGGAGAGATGCGACAATGTAGGAGATCATAAAGATGTCGTGCCAGTCGTGGTCGTCGGTCGAGGTTACGTAGGTGAAGCCTCCGCACATGCACGTGCGCAAGATGCCCATCGCGAGAGTAAACTTTGGCAGCGTCTGTCCGGGTCTCCTCGTCAAGAGGTACCACAGGCCGACGAGTGCGAATCGCGGACCCGAGGTGATTGCGATGAAGAACATGAAGAAGGACCGCTCGGGGTATCGGTCGCCAATTGTCGCGGAAACGGAGGGGAACCACTCGTCGGGGTATCCGTACCACTCATTTTGGACAATCTTATGGTAATGCAGCGAGACGCCTACAATGAATGCGCTGATGAAGGCAGCTATCGTGAAAAGTCAGCTTTGGGGGCTTTCGGGATGGTCGTACGACCATGAAAAGTGCCCCGCGACAACATCGCGACCAACGGCGGCAGCAACCCCGGGCGCAAAGACTTACTGTAAGCTGTGGCAGTATGTAGGTAGCTGATCCACCGGCCATTGAAGACCAGCGCGACGCCGCTGTCCTTGTCTTTGTACCTTGACGCCATCGCGAACCTCTACTTGCTCTGAACCTCTCTCTTTCTCGGGGGAATGGATTCTCTCTCTCACTCTCTCAACTCGAACGAGAAAAAGAAAGAGAAAAGAAGCTCATCCGGGGGATCCGGGGAGGCAATGACACGAGCTGGCGAGGGGGGGGGAGAGAACTTAGAAGGATGAATGGAGGGGGAGGGCCGAGAGAAGGGCGGAAATAAGAAAGAATTGTGCTAGGCAGTTGCACAACTAATTAACCAGCATGCCTCGGCGGCCCGCGGATGGGGATCGATTGGATCGAAGGGAATCGCGTGGTTGGGTGTTGTGGGTGTGTCTGGTTCTTTTGCAACAGTGCGGCCCCTGACCGTGGAGCCTTTGGAGAAGAAGTTGCAAGGTTTCCGTGACCGTACGGAGTCTTTTGAGCTAAGGTTGTGGACATAAACAGTCACGACAGTTCAAGGTGTCTGGCGCCGACAGGGAAGATGACAGAAGCGGCACTCGTGGGACACGGCCGGGAGGTGACGGAGCTTTGAACTTGCCGCTGGTGCACTGGTGCACTGATGCAGCGATCCTGACGCTGAGGCCGACTCTCCACTGGGGCAGCTGGATGCTGGGTTGCTGATGCACGCAAGGGCAAGCTATTCGGGTCCAGTTCGGGGTTAAAGCTATCGGGGGTTAGTCCCAATTAGGACCAGGCGTGACAGGGGGGAGCTTGGCACAAGGCTGAAGTCCGTGACGTCCGTCTCTTCGGACTCTTCTCCTCAGCCACATCCTCACGGGCCACTTAGAGCCCACTCTGGATCGAGGGATCCACATCTGGGTAGATGCCCCGCTTAAAAGTTTGGTCGTATTTCTCAGCCTCGTCAACTTTTTTTTTTGGACCGTTTTTTCCTTCTCTCGATCTGCAGCGTCAGGCAGAGTATTCGCACTGCACATCTCAGCCAGGCGACTCGACAAAACTCGAAATCCGTGCTTGATACCACACATCCGCAATCATGTCGGTCGCCGAAAAAGCCCGATTCTACTTGGAGCGTTCTGTTCCCCAATTGCGGGAGTGGGAGGAGAAGGAGATCTTTACCAAGGTACGCCACCATCAACCCCCAGAACCCCTCCTCGACCACTGATCACTACCACCCTTCTAATACGGCATTGGCTAACAATCACCTTAGGATGAGATCCGTACAATCGTGCAGAAGCGCAGCGACTACGAGCACCGCATCCTCTCCCCCCGCTCCAACCCCGACGACTTCACCGCCTACGCAAAATGGGAGCAATCCCTCGAGTCCCTCCGCCAGAAACGCTGCAAGCGGATGAAGATTGGCCACGTCACGTCCCAGCACACCACCCAGTCGCGCGTCCTCGCCATCTACGACCGCGCCGTCAGCAGACACCCTGGTAGAAAGGACCTCTGGCTCGAGTACCTCAAATACACTGCCGACGTCAAGGCCACGAAGCGCTGGCGCCGGACCATGGCCAGCGCTCTCCGCATGATGCCCACCGACGCCGACCTGTGGATCTTTGCCGGCCGGCGCTCGGCGTCCAACGGAGACATGGGCGGCGCGAGAGGCTACTTCATGCGCGGGTGCCGCTTCTGCACGACCGAGGGCACGTTGTGGATCGAGTACGCGCGGTGCGAGATGGAGTGGCTGGCCAAGATGCAGGCCAAGAAGGGCGGCAGCAAGAAGAAGGCGGAGCAGGAGAACCCGTTGGCAGGCGAGAAGATGGACGATGATGACGAGATCAAGCTCATTGATGACGATGAGGACGACGACGAGAACGAGGATGTTCTGAGCCTCCCCGTGCCTGGCAAGGAGAAGAAGGCCATTGACGACGAGGAGAGCAAGGCGCTCAAGCACAACCCGGCCTTGGACGGTGCCATACCGACGGCCATTTTCGACATTTCGAGAAAACAGCCCTTCTTCAACCCCGAGGTCGCCGAGCGCTTCTTTGACATGTTTGCTTTCTTCACCAAGGTCTCGTCCGCGTCCAAGATTGTCCAGCACGTCGTCGACGCCATGAGGGAGCAGGACGCTACGCATCCGGCGACATGGAATTGCTACATCCGTCTACCGCTTATCGGCGTCAGCCCCGACACGCCCGAGTTCCCGCTCGGCCTTCGCGAGGTTCTGTCGCGTCTCGGCAAGGGCCTGGACGAGACGAGCGACAGGGCTGTGCTGGAGAGCAAGTCGCTGGTGTGGATCGAGCTGGTTCTCCTCTTCAAGGGTCTCGACGAGGGTATCAAGACGGTTTTGGAGCATACGAGGGATCAGTTGCAGTCATAGCCTGGCATTTGCTGTGGGCCATGTGGTTGTTGCTATAGATGGGTGTTGGTACAAAAAAGGTGGAAGAAAGAAGTATGGATATTATAAAAGTGTTTTCGACGCAACACATTGGGAAATAGAAGCGGCCCCCGGCGGGATGTATCCAGTATCCCAAGTCCTTGATACCACTTGCAGAGTCAGTCAGCCTAATTGAACAAAGTCACACAACATAACCTTTCTCCCGCTCCCTTCATGCAGCCGAATAGTTAGGAAACTTCTTCGACTCCTCGACAGTCTGATCCCACTCCTTGTCCTCGTCGAGCTCCTTCGCCATGCGGATGACTTCATCCCACTCCTCCCGCGTAACCTTGTTTACGCTGAGACGGGACTGCTTCAGCAGCTCCATGTTCTGCAGCGGGCCGTGACTCCGCGACTCCTTCAGGAGGCTCAGCGGCACGATGCGCGGGAACTTGTGCTCGATCTTGACGTGAACGAGGCTCCATTTGCTCCCGTCGTGCGGGGCGCTGTCGTCGTAGTACGGGTTGTCATTGATGCAGGCGTTCCCTGACAGCCATGTTAGTCATGCTACCTTGAAGAGCGGAAAGGGTGAAAACACACAGTCGGGCGAATGCTCCTTGGCTATACTCATGATACCAACAACACCAGGCTCTTTACAGTTCGAGTGATAGAAGAAAGCCTTGTCGCCCTTTCTCATACCTCGCAGGTTATTCCGCGCGACGTAATTCCGAATACCTGCGGCTTTCGTCAATCACTGCTTCATACTTACACAGAAGCCGCAGATGACGAGGCGTGGTGCATAACATACCCTCCCAGCCCTCGGGCGTCTTCTTGGCAGCCAAATCATCAACAGAGAACTTGATCTCATAACCGTCCTCGATGCGAACATCCGGCTCAGACTTCATGAGCCAGTACCGCGGGCCCGGCGGATCCCGTGGCTCCGCCTCGGAGTTGACGTCCGGGACAGGCGCATCGCGAAGGGCCTTGAGTTCGTCCTTTGTCTTTTTCGGCGGCGCTTCCTTCTTCCCTGCCGCTGGCTTCTAGTTCATGCATAAGTACTCCGTAAATGGGACGAAAAACTTAACGGAACATTGTATTGTGATAGTCGGTGGTAATTTCAGTTGGCTTACCTTGGCCTTCTTGGCGGGCTTCGGCTTGGGCTCGTCCTCGTCCTCGACAGCCTTGGCTTTGGTCTCTTCTTCCTTCTCAGCTCTTTCCTCGGCTGCCGCCGGTGCTTTTCTCTTGAGACTTGCAGCGGCCTTTGGCGGAGATGGAGATTGCGAAATTGGCTTCTTGGTCTTCTTTTCTGTCTTGGTGCTGGGCTTGGATTTTGCTGGCGATGGCTTCTTCTCATCCGCTGCTGGGGCTCTGTTCAGGCGCGTCGATGACCGCAGACTGCGGGTGACGGCAGGCATTGTGAGGACAGCCACGCACGGTTGAAAGGCAAGTTGATTAGCTACGGTTAGAGAGTAGTCAAATATGAACACGTTCAACGAACGATTTGGCCCGTAGATGAAGGTCGTCTGGCTTATGGTGCGTGCCAGTCGATGCAGCAAGCTCATCCTGGAGACGCGCAGCTGTGATGGGTCTCAGAAGCACAGTGCAGCATTGGGGCCGAAACCGTTAGACGCACGGATCTCAATCGGATCACGTAATCGCCGCCTCGACCACCGTCCCGCGGTGACCGGTCACATTTTCATCGCTTTGGCCTGGACGGTTCAGGGAGTTGCGAAATCTACTCAGCAACCCGCTCCGTCAAGGTATCCGTATTTAACTCTAAGTTTGGTTGATCGAGATCATAGAATTATCCATTGGTTTGCACAAGCTCTGGCATTAAGCGTCATTTTTGAACTACAGACTTGGTCCACACTTCTGCCCCAGATATATACGGAGTAGGAGTGGGCAGTCTTTAGGATGTGTTAACCTGATCAACACTTAGTCCGGTTGCCACCATTGTCTCCAAGGACCACAATTGCCTTTTGGGCCTTATCCCGACGTTATCTTGAGGCCTTTGGGACTATCAGAGCAATCATGAACGACTTACATCGATTTTCTTGTGCCAAGGCTATGTTGAGTCATTGCCTAGGTCTCTTAAATGTTTATCATGTTCCAAACGGCGTAGGGAGCACTTGACTGAGCATTGGACCGACCCACACGGCTGGAAGCTCAAGACCCCTCATCAAAGTAGAACCCCCAACGCCATCATCTTCATCCAAACCCGTACACGATAATATCGAGCATATACTCTGAAAGAAACCAAAGGTGTTAAAGGCGTCAAAAACAACACTCGCCGCAATTGGCAAAACAGCCCTCGTCCGTCTCCGCAATGTCGTCCCCAAAATCACGCAGAAGTCTACCTCTAGCTGGAGTGCACCAACCCAACAGGCTCTCACAAAGACCGCAGGGCCGCCGCCATCATCCAAGAGGCCGAGAAGAGGGGCACCCTCAAGCTGGGAATGAAGGCCGTCGAGGCCACCGGTGGGAGCACGGGGTTCTCGCTCGCCTTTGTCTGCGCGGTCAAGGGCTACAAGTTTCAACCGGCTAGCTCCAACGCTTTCGCGGTCGAGAAGCTCAAGACTATGGCGGCGTTTGGGGCCAAATTTGATATTGTCGATAGTCCGACGGGAAGGATTACGGCTGATTTGATTCCTTCTATGATTCGGCGCGCGAAGGAGGTTGCGGGGGAGGGGAATGTGTATTCGACGGATCAGTTCAATAACCGGGACGCGTTGGTCGGATACGAGGCTTTGGGTCGTGAGATCGTTGAGCAAGTTCCAGAGGGTGTCGACGTCTTTTGCGCTGCTGTTGGTACCACTGGGTTACCGATGGGCGTCTCGGCAGTCCTGAAGGCCGCCAGGTCAGAGACGCGGGTGGTCGTACTGGAGCCCGCGTCGACACCTGTCATAACAGGAGGTCAAGCTGGGTCTCATGGTGTCGAGGGAATTGGCATCGGCTTCGTCCCGCCGCTTTTGGATACGAAGCTGTATGATGAGGCGCGGGCTGTCTCGGACGACGAAGCGCGTGCCATGTGTCGGCGTCTAGCTAAAGATGAAGGCATTTTTTGCCGGTGTATCTACGGGACTGAATGTGGTTGCTGCGATTCGTTTGGCGGGGGAGATGGGGGCTGGCAAGAGGGTTGTTACAATCGCGTGTGACTCAGGTTTGAAGTACTTGAATGGGGACCTGTTCTCTACTCCCAAGTAGATCGTTTGCCATCCGGCAAATACGGGTTCTTGAGGGCTTTTGTCCGATCAGAGTCTGAACAGTTACAATGGTCTGCTAACTATCACAGGCATCGACAGTGTTTCCCAGGAGGCTTTCAGGGGTTCAGCTGGCTGGTAGCACGAAGCAGACAAACAATCTCATGTTCGGAGTGATCATAAGCGTTGTGAAGCAGGAGTTAGAAACAAAATGGAATTTTCGTTGTTGAAGACGGAGCTAGCTAGAATAAAGAAAACCTTCTGTGAGGCAATAGAACTGAAATCGTCCCCTTTTCAACATTTTCTTTTCAAAAGCCTCACCAACTTCCGCCAGACATAGCGAAAGGCTGACTTCTCGGATGATCACGGTCGCTGATTAGAGATACGCGAAGATGGACCTGTTTATCCTCTACTTCTGGAGCACGACAAGGTGAACAAGGTAGCCCTGAACAATGTTGGTGGTGTGGGCAGTAGGACCAGTGATGCCGTTGTAGTAGGTAGTAGTGAGGTTGATGAGCTGGGGGTTCTGATCCCCGGTGGGAATCTGGGCCCAGCGGAAAGTGTAGGTGACAACGCCGTTGCGAACGGTGGCGTTGACGAGTCTCAGAAGCTGCTCGTTGAAAGAGGGCACGACGGAAATCTGATAGTCGCCCTCGGGCTTGGGGATAACAGCGGTGAATGAGGTCTCGCCCTCGGCGAGGAGGGAGAGGTTGATGGGGGGCAGGACACTGCCGATGCTGGTGTTCTGGACTTTGAGATCCTTGGTCAAGTCGGCCGGGGCAGGGCCCACGAGACCAGTGTACTTGATATCGATGGTCTTGGGGCCTTCGGCGGTTTCAACAAGGACAGACTTATTGTTGAAGTGAGCCTGAGGAAGATGAATGGGGAAATTGGTAGTGACGGGCGTGATGTCCTCTTTTTTTTTGAACGGGGCCGGGCCGCCGATAATACCTTGCAGGGCGAACTTCAGGCCACCAACAAAGCCTTCGACAAGTGCGAACTTGGCGCCGATGATTTGACCGTTAGCCTGAGCCGTGAGGACGAGCTGTTGGTTGTTGGACTCGTAGACAGCGCCGATATCGTTTGCGGACAGGATAGAAGCCATTGTGAAGATTGGTCGTTCGTTAAAGGAGGAGAAAGTTGAACTGAGAAGTCGAGACTTAATGAAGATGAGGGAGAAGAGTGAGAATGTGGATGCTGATGCTGATGATGAGGAGGTCCAGATCATTAATTCTGCGAGAATATCGCTGCCTTTATACCACAAATCCTGAAGCGTAGGCATGATTGACCTTCCTGCTTCGTCACCTCACACTATGCAGCCGCTTCCCAACTTGGATTGGAACATGACAGAAGAACGACAAACATGCCAAAGCAGCAAATCACCATGTCCTGCGGCTGGAATGAATTCTTCTGTTGGTAACCTGGCCGGTGGATTCTCTAGCTGAAATTGGTAAACATGCTTCGGGAAAGGATGTTTTGGATATCGCCTCATTCTCCTTCCGAAAAGTATTCGTTATCTAATTAAAAAGTCCTAGGCTTTCCAGCCGTACTGTAAGAATCGCCGTGAGGTTCAATATGCTGCTTTCTTGATCTTATCTCGAGGTCCATCCCATGACAGTGCGTACTGGCGACTAACTCCTCATAAGTACTTTAGGTATATTGCTAAGTATGTGATACTGTCTACTTTTAACGGTTTGCTATTTTACCCTGCATTCTAACGAGTTACAAAGCCCAAAAGCTACAGTGATCGCAATGGCAGAAACGGTCTCTGGAGGCTGGCATCAAACAGACGTAGCAAAGGTAAGACGTAACGATGCCTGCCGATCACGACTTCTATACTTTCATCATAAACAATTCTGGAATTAGGTGGCTGGCTCAAAGATTGTAAAGGGAAGTCATATTTCGTTCAGCAGCCAATAGCCAGCAGACGTGGCTGAGCTGCAAACATGAAGCTGGAGCAATGGACAGGACTCCCAGAGCATTCCATCACGGCCCATCAATTGCAGCTAACAGAAATGGCGGCCCGAAGACTTCATCTCACTGGGAGGTGGGCGGCGGCGTTCAAAGCTACCATAACCCACGAAAGCCAAGACAGTCCACGATGGCGTTCCGAGGCGCCTCGCCTATGGCACGGCATTCCCCCAATTGTCGCCATTGGCCATACTTTCCCCCGCGCCCAAGGGCGGGCTACTAGGGCGGCCCGCCTTCAGCTGCCGCTCTTAGCGCATTGCTTCTCATGGCCATGGATGCAACCGTTCAGTCGAGAACATGTCGAAAGCTCCTGAACATGGTATAGTCTGTGTCACAGCATGTGGCCATGTGCGCCGGCAGAGGAATGGGGAAGGGTGCTCCCGCAGCAGCCCTCTGGCATGGTCCAGAATGAACGCCGCATGCGGACTATCAGGGTTTGAGACACTTGCGGCTGGCGCAATTCAGCCGCAAAATTCGCTCTCTGCCACGCGGGATGTGCAAAAACCTCATGATTGAGAGACATATCTGAAAGAAGAATAAGTTGCCCTCGTCGATTGTTGATACCGGCTGGGTGAGAATGTGAGGGGGCAGCTTCACACATGTCTACATCTTGAGACTTCGCCGTTTGTCACATCAGGCGACTGTGACTAGCCCTCTATAGGCCTCGTTATCGCTTAGGGTAGTATTTCTTTTACACAATTGGTAGTATATACTGGAACTCCAAGTCTTCCGACATTCAGATCAAATCATGGTGATTCTCTGTGTTGGTTCTTCTTCCGAGTTTCTGAACACTGCTGTGAAATTTGGCGGTCAATTTACGCATACTGAGTACAATTCAGCAAGCCGAACTTGCATGCAATGATATTTCCAAAACATGAGTACCATCTAGCAGGGTGCTCGAAGATGATTATCGGCTGGAAACATCCGACATATCCAAGGCATACTATCTAAGTAAGCAAATACTTGACGACATCAGCTACATCGAGACCCATGACACTTGAATCTCAATCTGCCCGTACTTTTCAAATGTCTAAAAGCATCGTTCTCAACAAATCATATCTTAATCTATGTGAGTTCCATGTCGGATTCTTGCCAACACGGCGTTGTTCCCGTATGTGCTACATTTATATCGCTGCCTACATACGTTTCATCTTGTAATTGCTGTCATACTGTTCCAGTATTTACATTCGCCACATCCATCAACATCTAACTATTGCATCCGACCTTTGCACTGGTCACTCAACTGTTCATACCCAATATCATGGTCTGACCACTTATCTTTAACCACCCATCTTCAACCAGCCGCATCCAATCATCTCATCCGGTATCACTTCTACTTCAATTTCTGCCATCACTCCTAGCGATATACATCACTCAGTGAGTATTCCCGATACCTGGCGGATGAAAACTCCCGTGCCAGGGACATCTAGGAGTAGAGCTTCTCGTTTCAAGTATGAAGTTCTTCGGTCAGCTTTCGGGCGGTATATGGGATTGATGACCATATAGCATGTAAACCGTGACTTAAGGCGAGGAATTCTTCAAATGACATCTAAAATACGATTTTTCGGGTTCATGTAGCGTTATGTTGCCTTCGCACTCTTCCATAGCATGGTTGCGTAAGTACCGAGGTTCGTGTCTAAAGTTCAGAATCATGTCTCCAGAAGACAACATTTCTCGTGAAAATACGCCGAGGCCTGTCTGGAGCTCGCGATGGCTGGGTGCAGCTGCACCGTTTTCGTAAGCGTTCCCTGAATACATGTATACATTCCAGCTTCGACCTTGAAAGCTGTTCCGGCTGTAAAGAGATAAGCAGCCGATTTATAGATGAACGACATAACTTCATGATCAAACCACCTTCAATCATATGCTTGGCAAGGAACTCGAGGATGTTGCACCGACCTTCGAACTTCAATCGAAAGACTTCCTCCACTCGGATGCACAATTGGTTCGGACTCGAGTGGATTTTGCCTGTAATGATTTCAACCGCAAAAAGTCAAGTCGTCACAGATTCATTTTTATCAAGCAAGCAACAAGCTTTGGAATCGAAGTACGGGAACGTTTTCTGCCCTCACACCAGAAGGAAAGATCTACAGAGGCCGTTCGACCCGAGCATCTGCGACTGCATGCCCGGGATCAGCCGCCCAAGAGCCGCAGGCTTTTGGGCGTCAGCCAAAAGACCTACCAACAACGATGACAGGAACATTTTGCATGGGTATTTGAGCAAGAGTCCTCGAGTCATGGCAGATCCAGAGGATTCAGGATACACCGTTGTGTCATCGAACGGCCACTGGGTGCCGTTGCACCATCTATATGACTGAGTATACCTGGCTGAGACACCGGGAAGCCATCTTTCTGCAAAGGCCTTCTCCTTCATTCAGTCTAACCCTTCCAAAGCACGAAGATTCGCATTGGTATCAAATCAAAGCGGAAAATGATGCCATCAAACTCGCGCATCCCCTTTCTTATGGCGCGGAGACTGCTAGCGGAGCGGAACACATTCTTTAGTTTCGTGATGGTTCATATTAACCGAGTAAGGACTGAAATCTTAATGTGTGTATGCAATGTCAGAGAGACAAAAAGCACTGAGAAATTTGGCTACTAGCTGCCGGTCTGCTTCACGTCCGGTTATACAAAACTTAAAGTGTGCACGCTGAGTATTTGCTTACACAAAGTTGGCGGCTATACTACTATTGTGGCGTTTAAAAGTTATTGTCGGATTGGAGGTCCAATTCGACCTCGAGGCAGGGGGCTGCGCAGGGACCACTTGCAACCCATATTTATGAGACTCGAGGGCTACCCAACCGACGGTTGAAACCTCCCTTTTACACCCTTACGCAGAAGTTGATATATTCCAGTTGATATCTTCGTCAACCCACCGTTCGAACCAACTACCCTGTGATAGGGATACCAACAGTTATTGACGGCAAATGTTGGGATTCGACATGACGCCGAAATTATTGCCTCGAAGTTGTAGACCTGCGAGCGTAAACGTAAGTATATGTTTACCTCACGAAAATGTGAAATGCACGATTTGACGGAGAGAGCCACATGAAAGGAAGTTTAATTGAATCAGTATTGCGTGAGAATGCGGCATAGCGTTCGAAGTCTCAACATCAACAACGGCAAGTCTTGTTTGCGTGCTCTTGTACCCGTAAAGCAATGAGTGCTCTCCCAGCAGAACTCCAACGAAGTAACCTAAGCCACGAAGACGCTCAGGACTTGTCCATCTTGTTCATTTCGATAGTAACGGTAAATGCATCTGTTCGTACGATCTTCCCATCAGAGCCATGCTGCTCGAGGATGCTCTCTTGACTTCCCCTTCCAACAACAGTTGTCTTGGCAATGCTGTTGAAACTATCTGCGTCGAAACCTTCTTGAGAAGTCTTCTTGACGGGGGTTCGGAAAAGTCCCTTGGTTGTCCCCAGTCTGCCACTGAGTCTCGATTTGGAGTTTCCAGACAAGTACTTGCCATTGCGCGAGGAGAAGATGCGTTTGCCAAAGAGAAGTTCGCCAAGGGGTTGCAGGACAGGGATGCATGCAGCTATGATGATGATACTGCCTTCCACACTATAGAGTCCAAGTTAGTTGCTGTAAATCTTGAGTATGGGGTTTCTTCGTCTTACACTGTCCAGATCACAAGCTCGACGGTGTCATCTGTATCATGAAGGGTTAGTTGCTGTTGTAAAACTGCTTGATCGAGATCAAGAACGTACATGTGTAATCCGAGCTTGTGAGGCTTGGGAGTTTGAGACACTTGTAGATGACTACAATTGCCGATCTGCTAGAATGTTAGTCAACTGTCTTGGGGATGCGACTCAAATATGAAGCCCTACAGCGACCCAAAACCGAGAGCTACGCTGAGCACAATTTTCTTTCTTCGATTCATTTGTAGTTTCGACAAAACAACGGCAGGGTAAACGGAGAGGTAGACGTCGGCAAAGGCACAGAACGCTGATTTCGTTAGCTGAAAGGTCGGTAGAGCTTTGGAATAAGCAACTTACCTCCTGAGTACGTCGCGAACGACACAAGGATCCACTTGCTCCAACATTTACCAGACACTGATGAGTCCCATTGAGAGCGTGCTGGTGAACATTGGGCGAAGATGATTGTGATAAAGCCAACCAAGTTGACCACACAGGTAATAGACAAGGCCCAAAGAAACCTCTTGTGCCATCTACTGGGGTTCAGAATTCGGGTGAGTAACGCGACAACAGCGAGTTTCGGAATGCCGAATGAAAGTAGTCCGGGCGGATAACCGGCGATGCTCCAAAGCATGGCACCCGACTTCTCGTCGATGGAAAGGGTATCGGCGTGGCGTCCATATCCATAAGACACAGCAACTGCTACAGTTGCTACGTTCATCCAACCACAAACCTAGAATTTTCACAGTCAGTTTAACAAGACTCTCCGATCTAACAGCTGAACCTCTAGAAATAAACCGTCATGACGGCATTTGCCCTTTGAAAACGCCGAAGTGGAAGGAGGAATGGCAGGGTGGATTGAGTCGCGTTTGGCATGGCCGGGCAACAGATGAAATGTTGTAGAACTGACCACAGACGCAACAATGAAGTAGTCATCCAGACTGATTTTTCCGAGAACCTTCCCCCTTGTGAAGAGTCTCGCCGCGGTAAAGACTGTGCTGAGAACTGATACACAAACGACGATTGCGAGAGCAGTTGGCCCCTTATTCTCGGCATCCCGAGCTGACGAAGTATCCGACGACATTGAGAAGAGGTCCAATGCGCCAAGAAGCGCACAAAGAGGTGCAAAAGAAACGAAGATCCAGACGGGGAGAAGCTATCCAACGAATAATGAAAGAATCGAACTTGATGACATGGGGAAGATATGACGGAACGGACAGACGGACAAAGGCCGGATGAGGGCCGCCAAGTGCCTCAGTCGCAGAACCGCGCGCATCTCAAGTTCCATCGCAGCAGTCATCAACTTACTCGGTCCATGCCTCGGGAAGGATGCGCACAGAAATTCAATTAGATTGATCAACAAGATTAAAAGGTCAAAATGGGATGAACGCAAGGATCATCGACGCCAAGTTAGGGTCGCAGCAACTGCGGTCCCTGGTTTAGCTTGGCCTGATTAGTAGTGGTGCAGGTGGAGGGACCACGGTTATGATTCAAGCATCGTGCTCTGTCCGCCTGCCAAGGGCCAGCAAAACAGGTGTTGGAACAACAACAGTTCTTCAACGAGACTCGGACTCGAGTCAAAGGCCATGTCAATGTCGGCTTCCGCGGCGGATGTCTGACGTTATCTCCCCACACACGTGGCCTTGAGTAAGATCTGCAGGCCTGCTTGTCTGACAGGTGTCGTTCGAGGCGCCTATCTCAGCCGTACGGTCTTTTTGGACTTTGTCGACCAGATAGAGACAATGTGGCTGGCTGCGAGATGTGTCGTACAGAGCACAGAACATGCTTCAAAGCCTGCATCGCTCTCTCGCTGGACGGTGGGATTTCTGGGTGACCCGACAGATATTCCACCCACTCCTCGTCGGTCTTTAAGACCAAGCTTTTTTGAACTTTGTTTAACATTCGAGACCTTGTTACATCGTCCATTCGTCATATGCTACCATTCCCCTTGGTTCCAAGTCAAACTTGCGAACTAGTAATTGGTAAAAATTCCCCGGAAGTTCCGCCCAGCGGCCGGCAAACGGACCGCGAGCGGCGCGGAGGAGATGAGCATGGGAAAACTATGATTTCCGCTCCTCACCGGGTTTCCGTAGTTCGTACTCCCCTTCTGACAGGCCGCTTTGGGCAGGTTTCGGCATAAAACGGATTTGAGCCAGTGCTCCGCGCTACAGGCGAGAAAAGCAAGCCGGTGGGCTGCTATGGATACGAAGCTCGCTTATTGAGTCGTGGCAGTAGTATTCGTTCCTCTTCGGACTCTGTAAGGTATCCGTAGACGACGATATGGCACATAGTGAAACTTGAAAGTGAAGGCCGCGTCTACCTCGGCTAATAAGTGTTGATGAGAAGCCGATAGCAGCAAGGATGAAGTACAATCCTTTACCAAAAAGGTCAAACGTTGGCGCTTCGTCGGATTGTGGACACCAAAGGACCTACCACTCAGCGAGTCGTTAGTCGCTCGTGGTGGCCTGACGTTGTCGAACAGCACGGTCAAAGCGCTCGAATAGATTAAGTCGTCCCGCGTGGCTTATTTCCAGCCGCAAGGAAAACCGGGAACAGCGATGCTCTTAGTGTAACTCTATTCCATGCTCAATAATCGGATTCGCACCCTATCGCCAAGGGGCGCTCTTCCCGAGGAATACGCCAGTATCCTGGGAGCCGGCAGCTTCCCCGGACCCGATGCCCCTTGTAATCTTGGAGGTTGTCAGCTGACAAAATTACAGGTCAGCGCTTATCGTAGACTCGGAGCACCAAGTGGTCCGCGGCGAACCTCGACTTCATGTATGCGATCAGCCCCAAACGTCTAAAAGGCATGGCACTCGATTTTGGAGGTTTCTTTAGACAACTTCCTATAGTGATCTATGGAGGATGAGGCGGTCGAGATCGCGCCGAGAAACCAAGCGCTGGGCCCGACCCAGTGATGTGGTCTAGCGATGCCGCGATCGACTTGTAGATTGACGAATGTCTTCTTCAGTGGGGATAGCTGAGCGCTGCCCACTGCATGCTCTCAGACTGCTGGACCAGTCTTAAACATGTAAAAAGCTTTGATTGCAACGAGCAAGCAGACTGTGAGAACCAACATACTTGTTCTGCTTTCCAATCACACCGGCGAAAGCCGCCCTGGGTTGTATCAATGGTTCCGTGGAAACTTTAGTTTAACGGTACGTACCTAACAACGCAACGTTAAGGTCCTGCTCTCAATGTCTTAGCACACTTGACAATGTCTTGTACGTCGGTGTGGTGGATGCATACCATTGAGCTCCAGCCTTTGTCGGCATAGGTAGGACAGCAGGTGAAGAGCTCGCAAACACCACGTCTTTGTACCCGCCCCCGTATGGTGCAATATAATGTTACTCATCGAGGTAGCGCAGCACTTTGTTTTCCGTACATGTTGTCCATCTGAAGTATTTACTCCAGGATCAACAGTCACTGTGACCGCTCCAGGGCTTTTTGCCGGCAAGAGCCTTCTGTTGCTATGTTGACATTCGATACATCACGTCGAGTCTTTCTCCGTTCCTGCCACAGATAGGTCTGTGTCTTCGAGGCTGAATCTAGAGTCGATTGCTTTGGCGACTCGCAAGAGCGGAGCACCCGGACCCGGATCCAATGCCTATGCTGTTGATGCAGTGACGTCTGCGCCCGCAGCACATATTGAGCAACTGTGATTTTGAAACAAGAAGATATTTCAACTGATCACTCTATGGCAAGTGTATTGGATCAACAGATCGATCTTTTTCAGGCAATTAGGTTTGCTTAGTATTTGAGGCAGTACTATGAATTAGGTGTACCACGAAGTGTCTAATGAGGCTCTTCCCATTCATGTTGATAGGGGGAAAAGTCTGCACCAGCGGTCTATGTGGACTTGGGAAGGATGGAGGCAGGACTCGAGCTCTCTGCGTCACTCTATTTAACTATTTCAAGAAGAAAAACCTGGGCAAGAGTGATCTAGCGAGGACTATGAGGTATGAGCAGAGCAGAGTTACTCTCCACGGGTGACAGATCCAAACGACCCGGCGAATCAGGCCGGCTCAATATGATGGCAATGTGTCCGTATCTTTGCTACTTGCATCGAAGCTTATATAGGACTATGGTTCAGAGGGTGGTCCATGTTTATTGTTAGTAAACTCTACTACTTCTAGGCTTGTTCTAACTTCATTTCGACATGGTTCCTAGCAGCATGCATCCCGATTGTTGCTGTTTCGATCACATACCAGACCCAAGGTTTCACAGGTCACCATGGCTTTGGGGTACAGGTCTCCTACTTAAAAATGCGAAGCCTTTCCAGCGACATGGTACCCGTAGCACTAATATCAGTCTGTATTGGCAGAAAGCCATGGGTAAGTACGACTGTTATAGCAGCCCTTATAAATATGCGCCGATAGCATCAGCACCCTAACACGTTGCATTTGGTGGTGTGAGCCCACTCTCACCACAGTTTCCAGCCAGACTAACCTGGTGACAAGTATCAATGCTGAGTTCCGATCATCGAATTGCTTTGAATTTGTCTTAAACCCACATCTATACAGTAAGTTGCGAAACTATAGTGAGGTGAAGGCATCTAGGAACTGACAACGTGACTATGAATTCTCTATGCAGAAGGTTTGAGAGCACTGGTCATCACCTGCCGTTCTTCACTGTAGGTTTCATAACTATATTTCACAATGAGCTCAGATCCGATGAACATGCAAGGAAAGGCAGAATACTTGAATCAAGTTGTCATAGTTTCGTTGCGTAACAAGTCCACTCCGCCGTGTCAGGTTCGAGCTCGACCACCATTGTGGTCTGGGTAGAAGGAAAATTTCATGTCTGAGGATCAGACGCGTGGAACGTGTTCGAGCCGCATCCCTGCTGACTGGATAGGCGTTTCACGACTCCGCATGCTCGATATTATAAGACGACAGTCCATCCAACTTTCTTTCAGACTTTCTGCTTCTCGGTCGAACAGAATCTGGCAAATAATCGCCATTCCAATGCATCGCCATATCCTTGCAGTCTCCTTGAGCAGTGCCCTGGTGGCATGGGCCAAGACGCCCGAGGGCTTCGAGCCCGCATCCAACGTCGATCTCATCGTCGCATACGGTGAGACGTCGGGTCTCAACGGCGTGGACCTGGCCAAGAGCCGTGAGTAATTATTCGCTGCGAGGAAAGACAAAAGGCTGATCCTCTACTCCAGTCACACAAACGGAGCCTACAGTCGGTACGACCGAGCCTTTGACCGGCAAGAGCTATGCTATCATCATGGTCGACATCGATATTCCTACGGCGAGCCCTCCGACTACCGGCACCTTCTTGCACTGGGCTCAGGCGGACCTGACGCCAGCCGCGCAGACTACCACAGTCAAGTTGAACGACGGCGAGCGTGTCATCCACACTCTGACAACCACCTCAAACGCGATCGCGGATTACAAGGGCCCCGCACCACCAGCAAGAGTTCCTCTTTCGCACCGGTATATCGAGCTGCTTGTTGACACCAGCGACATAACGGCGGACGGAACTGCTGCATTGCAGACGCTGTCAACTCGCGGGGGCGTTGATGTCAACGCTGTGCTCACCACGGCCGGACTGGCCAATAAGGTGGTGGCTGGTAACTTCTTTACTGTGACCAACCCCGGCCCTGCAGCGAACGCAAAGAAGAGCAACTCCACCACCACAGCTCCCACCGGTGCTGTGACACCGTCCAAGGTTCCTTCCGGCATCTCTTCAGGAATTAAGTCAACGAGTCTTTCAAACACTGTGTTGATGGGCGCAATGGCAGTTGGTTTTCTGGGCGCATTCGCTAGCTCATTCTGAGCAAGGGTTCGAGCCTCTCAACGACGTGTGTTGACAATTGCCATCCTCCGGAAGATTGACTCTTCTGACACCGGCTTCTCCATGATGAGAACGCGCGGCGCAGGATCCGCGTTTTGTTTCTGAACAGTTTGTCGTCTCAAGTAATCAATACAATAATACAAGCTCAGTTTCATCTCATCTTGAAGCACTCATCCCCTGTTTCACAACGGTCATGACATTGACACTGCGACCATGAGAGCACAGACGGCCGAAGTGGGGCCGGAAATGCCGGACGGACACGGCCCGATCACTGGTCTTAGGTTAATACCCTCACTGATCAACAAACTTCAGAGCCTTTTCTGCTTGTTGAAGCTCTTTAAACTTAGGCCTAGTTTTTGTGAGTCTTTCTGAGTGATTGGCACCCAACACGTACAAAGCTTATACCTTGGTCGTCAAGAGACTTGGCTTGTAATCATGGGATGCATGCCGCCTAAAACCGTTTTGAGTGAAATGAAGGAGATCAAATCAAACATACAGCATCCCTAAGCCCGCACTGCATGGAAAAAAGATACCTCAACCCAGTGGTGAGTCAAGAAACGAGTCACAAGGCACACAAACAGAGTCTTCCTGAGTCCTCGGTGCTGCACGTAGAGCTCAAAACGAGAGAGGTGGTGCTGTCGCCCCACTGTGACTGGCAGATTAATGCCAACAGGCAGGTTACTCGCACGAGTATTGTCACGGTCCATCGCCTGCATGATTTACTGGATCGTCTTTATCAATCAGTGTGCGACGTGGATGGCAAAGTATTATACCGGCAGACACAAAAGCAACTTCCCTTTCCTGTCACATCTACCTTCGTTACTGTCCCTTTCCTAGGCTGCTTAGAGTATATTATTACTTGGGAAAAGGTCAAGATACTAAAAGTAGCAACAGCAATAATAATGGTAATGGAAATGAAATCTAAAGGTACACTAGTGGTAAATTATTATGTCACCACTTGAATGCCGTATGCACATGAGGTTCTGCCCTGAGAAGGTCGCTTCGCTTATGATGCCTGAAGGGAAATTTCCTACAGCATATACGGGGTTTGCCTCCTCTCAGCGGAGCCAATGGAGTTGACAGCAATTACGGCGGCTGCAGTCAGCTTGACCATTCAAGAACCACCACACGTCACTTCTAGGTCGCCAGTATCTCGACCCAGCTGCGGTTCAGCGAATGCTTCCCTTCTAAGATACCCAAACACAGATAGTCGCTTGGATTGGATAGACGTGGCTTCCAAGACGTTGCATCAAAGCCCTTGGTAACAGTGACAAGGCAATAAGAGCCACATACTTTGAACCGCGTGGTTCACCTGCAGTGTGTTTTACTCCCTCGTTTCGTCATATCAAGTCAAATCGCAAAATTGGTGCGACCCTCACAACAGTTCAGGCTCTTTTCTCATCAAGCTGTCTCGAAACCACGTCAGCTTGCAGGAAGCACGTTGTGCAAGTGATCCATTATGGCGAACTTACACACCGAGCTCTGTCTATCCATTTCCATAACAGGTAAATCGGTAGCCACTTCAACAAAAAGCAGCAAGATGATATCCGATAGCCCACTTATACGTTTCTCGGCCCGGTGCCCGGCAGAGACCATCCAAAAACGACTTTTCTACGATTTAGTTGCCGAGCCTGGCAACATCCATTTGACTAAGGGAAACATGCAGTCAGTGTTGCACAATCACGTCAATCTATCTCCGCTATAGCAAGACAGCTGACGGGCCAAGACAAGGGACGGGACGGGACGCGATTGCAAGGGAACTATTTGTGCCCCACTCCTTGACAGGCATGCGCCAAGTAGGCTTCTTAGACCGAGCAAGGCAGATCTGATGTGCAAAGCCTGATGGAATGTCGGCAGTTGTTATCAGGCCTTGTGGATGAAGCTTCTGATTACACGTATTTGCCTCTCTCTAAAGGAAATATTTAAGGCTGAGATTAGATCCTCCGTGATCCTTCATCGTCGATTTTAATCAGTTCCTGCCAGAACACTCACCATGACCGTGACAACAATCGATCTGCCCGTGCTGGGTAGCTACCCATCACTCATTTGGATCGTTCCAGCGGTGTTCCTCGCATTCAAAATCCTCACCTTTGGTAGTAGAGAGAAACATCTTCCGCCCGGTCCACCAACTCTTCCCATCCTTGGAAATGCTCATCTGATTCCCTCGAAAGGCATGTACAGCAAGTAAGTAAATTGGCTCATGGGAATTATCGTTCTCGCTAACTCAAGACAGATTCAAAGAATGGGCCGATCAGTACGGATCGATCTATTCTCTCAAGGTCGGGCAAAGTACCATGATTGTGCTTAACGACAGACATGCCGTTCACGAACTCTTGACATCAAAAGGGGCTTATTACAACGACAGACCCATCGATCAGCAGTATGACCTCGCCATGCGTCAAGAGAACACTTCTTTGATGCATGATGGTCCTAAGTGGAGAGCACAGCGGAAGATTGCAGCCACATACTTCTCTCCAAAGAATCTCGACGGCGCACTGAGGGAAGTACAAGAGTCTGAGTAAGTTTCGGTCACAACTGCGAAACATTTGCACGTATCCTCTAGAATCATTGCGTCTAATGTAGGCAGGACTGCTGTCTTGATACACGATCTACTGAAGAGGCCTGATGGCTTTATGGAGAGTGTGAAACGTACCACTGCTTCTATCGCAACAGTCACAATTTTCGGCCAGCGTGCTCCCAGTTGGGAAAGCTTTTGGGCATATGCAAGTTATTCCAATTTGAATCAAGTATATCATCTTACAAGAGCTAATACAAACTAGGCGGTTTACATTGCCATGGATGGGGTAAGATCTGCACCATAGACTTATTTTTATGAAGCTTGAAAAGATTGAGCTGATCCTGTGAAGGTTTCGACCGTTCTCGAGCCCGGCTCTTACCTACCTGTGGAGCAGTTCCCAATTCTTAAATGGATTCCGGATCGCTTATCCAAGTCCAGGCAACAAGGGAAGGAATTATACCATACTATCACAAACATCTGGACCAAGGCTCGCCAAGACGTGGAAATGCGGCGTAGCAAGGGTATCAGGAGAGAATCTCTCATTGATAAACTGTTCGACGAGGAGATGAAGTGCGATGTGCCACTCAGTGACACAGAATTCAATAATTTCCTTGGGGGCCTACAGATGGCAGCTGCCGATACGACAGCTACGGCAACACTCACCAACATCATGCTCCTTGCGAAGCACCCCGAGGCCCAGGAGAAAGCAAGAGTCGAAATCGACAGAGTCTGTGGTGTGGAGAGGTTTCCCAATTGGACCGACTTCAAGGACTTGCCGTACATAAATTGTATTGTGAAAGAGGGGTTACGGCTGAAACCAGTGTAAGCAATCCGATCAAACTCTCCAGATATGGTGCTGATATTAGGCTGTGCACTCAGAGTACCTACCGGCATACCTCATGCAGCCAAGGAAGACCGATGGTACGGTGAAATGTTCATCCCAGCTGGCTCTTCCATCTTCATACCAGCATACGCACTTAACCATAATAGCGACTCGTCGCCGGACCCCTTTACATACAACCCAGACCGTTATATCCCAGTTGCCGATAAACTTGCACCTGAACTCGCCGCTTCACCCAAGTACGAAGAGCGTGATCACTACTCGTACGGTGCAGGGCGACGTATGTGCGTTGGTCTACATCTTGCCGAGAGATCCCAATGGCGCATGGTAGCTCAGATACTCTGGGCGTTCAAGATTGAGCCAGCAATTGGGACCGATGGAAAGGATATTGAACTAGATTCGAGCCCTGAAGGATACGTGGAGGGGCTCTTGCACACTCCTAAGAAATACAAGGTGAAGTTTGTGCCGAGAAGCAAGAAGCATGTCGAGGTCATCCAACAAAGTTTCGGTGCGGCTGCGGAGTTTTTGAAACAATGGGAGTAGGTACGGGGGGTCTGCACAATCATATCCTTGGTATGACTGAAGATCTTCGACACCGTACGGAGGCTTGATACAAGTCCGAATAAGGCCTGGCAGAGACTGTTGGTGACGGCAGCAAAGGCAGCAGCAAGTAGGAGTGATATTTGTGTTTTCAAAGACCATTTCCATCCTCATTACTCTTTTCTTCTTTTTCGTCGCCTGATGTCTTCTACTGCTTATTCTATACAATACAATGAATACCCTAGTGATTGCTTCAAATTTTCAGTTACCCTTTGGCTCCCGGTCGATGGGGATAGGCCTTTCCAGGTGTCTCAACCACTTCGGCCGCGTTCTTTTGAACGATGTACCAGACTGCAGTTGTAGATCCTCAATGGCACTGGCCCATCGCACAAGTTCTCCTTCAGCAAACGCAGTCTGCATGATTCCAAGCCCAAAGGGCATGCCAGTATCGGTATATATTCCTGCAGGAATCGTGATCATGGGATACCCAGCCTGCGCCGCGACCTGGTAAGTCTGGGCTACTGATACAGGCACAAGCAAGCCTGAAAGCCGGGTTCCATTGTAACTTAGTGCACCGTCGATTCCGACACGTGCAGTGGTCTGCATGTAGTCAAGAGCCTTCCAGTAAGTGTCATTCTGGATTCCTTGAGTCTCGTTAGACATTAGAAAGCCATCTTGACCGGTACGAAAAGCTGGAAGGCCATGGTAAACCCTATAGCGTCCAGGCATTGTGTAGTTTCCGTTGAAGGGATAGCCCCCTTCGATTCCGTCATTGTCATAATTGAACTTGATAATGTCTTCGAGTGATCGAATTTTCGTGTTTTGGAGTCCAGAGAGGTATTTCTTGATGTTGTTGTAGAAGTCGACCAAAATGACGGTATATTCTGACTTTTCAGGGTGACCTATCTTGCCTTGCCAATTCCAATCCCAGCCTGTTTTGTTCACGACATTCTCGTGATCGGTAATCTCAGTGAAGTTAACGACGGTGCCGCCATTTTCTTGGATCAGAGTTATCAGGCCGTCAAGCTGCGCCTTGGTTTCTGCATTTGAGATGTTCCAAAAGCTGTACCATGGAATACCGAATGTTGCCTTGTACAGACTAGTCTTGTTGGTGAGGAACTTCGAGTATCCTCCTGATGGTGGCGTCTTTCCGCGTTGGGCATCGGTGTAATTGTCTCTTGGATCGATACCGTAGATAGCATCCAGGGCGTAGACGGCGTCTCGGACAGTTCGGCCGAAAGTTCCAACCGTGTCTTGGTGTTCGCACTCTGGTATGACTCTATGTAAGATTTCACGTGTTAATCGAGTATTCTCCGCAAGTGAGCTTAGTTAGTCAGATGTGTGACCGACGTACCCGTCTCGTGAAGTCAGTCCGACAGTCGGCTTGATGCCTACTACGCCATTCTTATGAGCAGGGCTAATGACTGGCACCGAGTCAGCAGTGTCTATATGGTGTGAATGAAACAAAGTCTTACCACTGCCGTCCGTTTCTGTACCGAGAGAAAAGGCGATCGCATTGGCAGCTACTCCTACTGCACTCCCAGAGCTACTTCCCATGGGATTAAATACCAGATTGTAAGGACTTCGTGGCTGCCCGCCCCTTGGGGAGTAGCCCTCTGAGTATCCGGTACTTCGCATATCGGCCCACTCGCTCATCGTGGATTTTCCAAATAGCACAGCTCCTGCAGCCCTTAAACGAGCAACAACGAAGGCGTCGCGGGGGACAATACTTCCAAGCAGCGCATAACTCCCGGCAGTTGTTTCCATACTGTCCTTCGTCGCGATGTTGTCTTTGACAGTAAAGGGGATTCCATGGAGCGGACCGAGAACTTGGCCTGCCTTTCGTTGTTTGTCCCTCTCGGCCGCGATTGTCATGACGTCCGGATTCAATTGCATGACGGAACTGTTGGAGTAAAGGGTAAGTTAGTAAGCTTCATCTGGAGAGTCAGCACAATGGATAGAATCTCACCTGATGTACTCCTGGGTCTGGAAAGTCCGCTGCATGTAACACATGACCAATTGCTGAGAAGTCAAGATGCCATCCGTCATGGCCTTCTGCATCTGGTCGATGGTTGCTTCTTCTAACTTGAAGGTGCCCGCGCAAACCGGCATGGGAAAAAGTTCCGTGGTGTTTTCATTCTGCAGGAGTGGGAATAAAGGAGTCGCCAAGCTGTTGCTGGCCACAAGTTGGCTGATGGCCGGAGAAACAAAGTTTGCCAGCACCAACAACAATCTGAGATGATGCCAAGCTGGTAATCTCGAGGATGTTCCAGATAGATGCATCGTTTACCAAGGTTGGGCTGACAGGATAAGAGTTGACTAAAAGTTTGTTGAAGGGAAAGGGCCAAGTGCGAGAAAATCTCAATGGTTCTTGTGCGTGGAAACGGTGTTTTTGATAGCAAGGGTGGAAGGTGGAACCTCGAAATGCGTCGAGACTCGCAGTTTTATAAGACGAGTTGAAGCCAGAGGACCTTGGCTTCGGCCATTATGCGTGTTGACGGAGTCTCGATGACACTCTCAGTTGTCACCAAAGGCCCAGGCCCTTATTTTGGAACTTCTGTTTTCGGATCCATCACACTGTGGCTTTGACTCCTTATTGGAGAGTTTGCGATGTGTCAGTATGCCGCTTTTTCGCCAGCCGTTTCTCTTCAGCAACTATGATTCCTGAGACATACGTGCTTGTGGCTAGTCCTCGCTCAAAAGGGTGGGCTGATTCACGCGTTAGCTGCATTCGAGGAACCCTTGCGGGGCTGGCTGAATGACTGGGTCAGACTTGCTAGTCCACGGCTGTCTCACACAGTGGTTGTCTGCAGCCTAATTCATATTGTGTGTTACTTAGAATACATTGAATGCATCCGCTGGATCTTGAGGCCACTTCTGGTTCTTGATGAAGCTAAGTGTGTTGATTTCCAACAGTTTGTTTCCCTGATGACTCGTATGCACATTAACTTGTCAAATCTCATGCATCATAAATGTACTTATGAAAATTCATCGCGATGTAAGGCTGGGGCTGGTGCTTCCCGCGGATTAAATGTAGTGCCGGTCCTATGAGACTGGTGTCTCCAATAATTTCAAAGTAATTGACCATAATTCAAGTAACGTAACTCACAAGAGTTCAATCACAGACTCCAGTGCGCCCGGAAAGAATCTAGATATCAAGTTCCTGAATTTCATACATACCCACATATGCATGACTGGGGCCGTTCGTATGCTGATAATGCTTAGTGTATCCTCGATTATTCGACGCGGACTTATATTGCAACTTTCGGCTTGTCTGAAAGGCTCTTTCTAAAGTTGTGCTCAGTGCTCTAGTCTGCACTGGGCAACTGACGCTTGATCTCCATGTGGTTCTCCATAGGCTTGTCTACGGATCCACCGTCAGATAGGAAGGAATACTTATTCACTAGAAAACCTACCGCGAATCTATCGGCAGGTTTCCGCATCACCACTAATAAGGTACTTCAGTTTCATGTACCGCGTGGCCGTGCCACATCCAGAACTTGCCGGGAGACACTGTAATCGAGAAAGGTAATTGTAGTCCCGATTGCAATACTAGTCGCAGACAGAAAGAAGTTGACAGAATCCATTGAGCGGCAGACAACCCGTTCTTTCACCTACTTGATGGCTCCGTGGAATAAGTTGTATTGAAGTGGTTTAAGTCGCTCTGAAAAATCCCCCAAAAATGGTTGACGGGCATATCGAAGCCCCCATTCCATCCTAAGTTTGCCGATCATTTCCCGAATATTCTAAACGGTCAGCAGTTGATGGGACGTTGCACCACGAGCATCCTTGTCGTCAGCAACTCTAGTCTGAACTTAGCACGGCGAATTAGCGGTCAATCGACCTCTTAGAATCGGGAAACCGGACGATCCGCTTTATGCGCTCCATCAAGATTACAACCGACGCCGACGTCGCAAGTCTTCCACCTTACAGGTCCGCGATGCCCCGTCGGGTGCCACACCATCTTTTACGGTGCCCCGCAGCGGGCTCTAGACTGGAGACTGACCGTTGAAGGACAGCGTTGCTTTCCTTTTTTTCTTCTGATCTTCCTTTGTTTCTCCACGAGGCGTTACCGAGTACCCGGATCACCTTACACTCCCGACTCATAGTCATCAAAGCTTCTTCTTCTTTTGATCTGTTTCTTTAAGCTCTGTCATTACTCCCGACGAAAGGAAAATGGCGGAACCAACTCCGACTCCTGCCACTTCGACTCCGGCTAGCCCCCAGACTGGAGCCGTAGCTGAGCCCGAGCCCGAGCGGCCCGCTCCTGAAGTGGAGGTAGAAGTCGATCGGGAAGAAAATGACTCGTCTTGGGGCGGCGATGAGGCTTCTCGTGCCAGCACCTCGCTCAAGTCAGCCACGTCAACTTACGAATGGAAGCACGGTCGCCGGTACCATGGGTATCAATCTGGTTCCTACAATTTTCCCAACGACGAGGAGGAACAAGACCGGCTTGATATGATCCATCACGTTTTCTTCAGGCTGATGAATGATCGCTTGTACCTTGCGCCAATCAAGACCGAGGGGCTGAAGGTTCTCGACATCGGCACCGGCACAGGGATTTGGCCTATTCAATTTGGAGATGAGCACCCCGAGGCAGAGGTGATTGTTGGGAACGACCTCAGTCCCATCCAGCCGCAATGGGTGCCACCGAACGTCAAGTTCATCATCGACGACGTCGAGCTTGACTGGGCGGAGCCTGAGCAATACGACTACATTCACTGCCGCTACATGGCAGGTTCCATCAAGGACTGGCCTCGGCTGGTAAACCAGATCTACGAGAACCTGAAACCCGGAGGCTGGGTCGAGTTCCAGGAATCTGCAAACACTCTATACTCTGAGGATGGCTCGCTCAAGCCTGACAACGCTATGGTTCAAATGATGGACGGACTCATGGAGGCCTGTGAGAAGATCGGAAGAACAATGGACCCGGCACCATCCTTCAAGCGTTGGGCCGAACAGGCTGGCTTCCAGAAGGTGGGCGAGCAGAAATTCAAGCTGCCCATTGGCAGCTGGCCTAAAGACGCTAGGTTGAAGGAGGTCGGCACGCTTATGGGAGTAAATTTCCTGGAAGGAGTGGAGGCATTCACTGCTGCATTATTCAAGGACGTTTTGGGGTGGAGTCCGGAGGAAGTCACAGTTCTCAATGCTGGGGTTCGAGCGGCAGTACGGAAGAGAGACGTTCACCCCATCTTCGACTTCGTTGTCGTCACTGGGCAGAAGCCTTTTCAAGTTTTAGGGCAATGATCAACAATCTTTAGTCAGCTGGATGGTCTCTTTTCGGCATTTGCAGCTTTGGGTGGATTATCTCGAGTTATCATAGCAAAGCGCGTTATCTAAAGTTCCTCTTTCCGTGGCGTTGCCTCCATAACATCTTCGACATGATCCGAAGCCTCCTCGTAGGCATCCACGTGAGCCTTCGAGAAGTCTCTGGCCGGGATCTCTCTGGCAAACAGCATGTCCAGCTCCTCGTACGTACGGCCTTTACATTCAGGTAGGCGAAAGTATGACCAAACGAAGATGATCCCGGCAGTACCCGCCCAGAAGAAGCCGGCCTTGCCTCTTAGATTCCACTCCGTAGGGTTCCTTGACGTCGATAAGCATCTGTCTTCACAACATTTATCAGTTCCAAGAAGGTAGTGCTCACATCATGTAAGTCTGGAGGACTTGAGAGACTATATTGACAAGCTGGTAGGCATTTCGTGATAGCACGACTGTCAATGGGCGAAGCCGAACCGAGGAAGTCTCACTGATGACGCTGTACTGTTGCGTTTATTAGGACTTGTGTACCTGCAAAGCAACAGGCAAGATGACGGGGTTTAGAGACTTGAGTCCTGGTGACTTACAGTAATAGGTCCAATAGTGAGAGACTGAAAATGTCAGCTTCGCCCCTTGACTTTGGTATTTCAGATGCATTAGGAGTTTTCACTCACGTATATGAATAGCCAGAAGACACAAAGGCCACCAGAGGGCCAAAGGCCTTTCTCGCCAGCAGATACATCAAGAATGCCTATGATGAACAGGATGACGGTAAGAGCTCCAATCCCGGTAACGTATATGGCGCGACGACCCCAATTAGTAATGAGCCACCATGATCTTAATAGTTAAAGTCAGCTCGATCATCATCATTGAATGATTCAGACGGAAGGTTCTTACAAAACGGTTCCAATAAAGGCCATGCCCTTTGCTCCTAGACTCAGTTCGAACGCATTCGCTGTTCTCATTCCCGCGGTAGTAAAGAAGTATGTCGGGGTGTAAGCGAAGCTGCTGCCAGACATGACTTGCCCCGCAAACGCTATGCAGCAAATTTCCGTGCGTCGACGATCAATGCCCTTGAAACAATCAAGGTATGTCACACCGCTGGTCACTCCTGATTCGACTTTGGTTGTGTGAACCATCATTGCTAATTGAGCGTTGATTTGGTCTTGAGTCTTATTCCCGCTGAGTCTCTCGATGGACCGTCTAGCGTCTTCAAGACGATCTTTCCGGACTAGAAACCACGGACTTTCAGGGGCAAGATAGGAAACAACCATCAGAGGGACTGGCCAGAGCTTGTTCCACGTGTTCTGTTAGGTGATGCGGCTCAAAGTCTAGAAGATAGCCTGTCGGGGTAAACTTACCCATTGAATTGCGAAAGGGATCCGGTAGGCCATCTCGCCCTCAATGCTTAGACATCCGCGGAGAACACCAGCAGCAATAAGCTGGCCAGTTGCCCAGCAAAGATTCACCTGAGCCGGGTTAGTTGTAACACCTCATATTAGCCTGGAGACAACGCACATATGTAGTCATGTAACCGCGTAGATTGGTAGGACAGACCTCGGAGGCTATGGCATGACTAGTCAGTAGGGGGCAAGAAACCAAATATCTTAGATGAGATTCACCGTAGGCTGGACTGAGTGTCGCAAAAACACCCCAGGAAAGGCCGCAGAGAATTTGTCCAACTAGAAGCATGGCGGCAGAGTGCGCAAAGAACACGACGAAGATAAAGCAGTTCAGGAAGAACATGGCACCAATCATGACCCATCGATAGCCATATTTGGACGCGAAGTATCCGTTCATCAACCCGCCTGTTGATGTTAGTTGCTAGTTGATTTGGAAAGCCGAATGCATGCGCTTACCAAAGATGGCACCGACCGTGGAAGCCATCGTCAGGCCTGTTTGCCACGGCCCAGAGACCTGATAACCAATTTCTTCGCCGTACCAACTACCATACTTCTTTTGGAACTCCGGATAGGCAAAAAAGTTGTTAATCAGGATGACATCATATCTAGAGGGAATCATTGATTAGCACGTGCCTCGGGATAGTGAATAGTAAAGCAGGAAAGTTTTTACCCTTCCATCACAATGGACATGGAGATCATGATAGACCAAAAGACAGCCTTGCGGTTCTGGCTGAGTGCCTGACGAAGTGTCTGCGCATGTTCCTCGTCCGAAGCTTGCTTGGCTTCGTAAATGGCAGACTGCCCAAGCTTTTCTTCTACCTCATTCTCGGCCGCCTTACGCAGATGGCGGACCTCAAGATCGGCCTTAGAGGTCATTGTGACCGAAAGGTGTTTGGGTCTTATTTGAAATAATGCGATGGAATAATGCTCTGAGTGGCACAGTGGTCAGTTAGGGGTGTCGGATCTAGAACCGAAAAGGTTGCCGGCAGGTCTATATAGAGACACAGCAGGCTCACAGTCTAGGATTTCTTCAAACGACCGGCATGACATTGCATCCGAACCGTTTTCCTGGAAGGTCACCGGGCCGGTAGAAGTACTTTCATCCTAATTGATACATAACAGGGTTCTCGAGTCGCGCGAGTATCAAGAAACCTTCGCTCTTGATCCCCCACATGGTTGAGCCACCCCGCAACCCCAGACTAGAGTTGCGAAAGTCCGGGGCTGACAGTATGACTTGTAATTGGATGGCAATATGAATTCCCGTATTTGACATGCACAGAGATGTCACTGATGAGTGGAAGCACATGAATCTCAGGGATCTTCTTAGGCCCAACCTGGAGAAAGCTAGAAACAGCCGACAGCAATGTCTCACGGACTAGCGTTGGGACCAAGACTCTAGGATTGTTCAGGAAGAGGGGGAAGTACGCCAAGACCATCCGGGAGCTGTGGGGAAAGCGGCATTGGCGAGTTACGGTTGGTTGAGTGATTTGTGTGGTTGGAGTTTGCGGAGGATCTCCGCAAGTTGGAAACAGCTTTCCATGAAGAACTTGGGAGTGTTAAGTTGGGGCGTTGGGGTGAGAAAGAAATATCGCACGGGCGATGGAGGCAGCCTGCACGGAAAAGGAACATGGATGCAATTCCTGGACCGGATAAGCTCAGAACACCAGAATGCTTGTGTACCGAGCGCCTCCATTGACCCGGACTCATGCAAGCACAGCTTAGCCGAGCCTGTCTTGTCATATGACGTTCATTCAATGCGGCTTGATTTCAGACAGGCTTCCGGAGGTTGTCGCCATGATACGAGATGAGTTACGACGGCCTAAAAAGGCCAGACGCATTATAAAACAATGTCTCTTCCCAGTTTCCCAGCCCGGTTCACATCATCGTGTGAGACCAACAAGCTTGAGGTGTGTCAATAGGATTCATCAGAGACAACTTAACCCAGGTATACTTAAATGAAATCACCCGGCACTGACAGTTTCATTCAATCATTCAGCTGTCGAAGAGAAACTCCATAGGTAAAGTAAATAATTTTCTTCGCAAGGTCCTAGCTTTGCCTCGTTGCGGCTGCTTCATGCCTCCGATAAAGATAATCTTGGGGAAGACTGCTTTCGAACCTCTCCAGTAAGTCATCGTGTCCTTGCAGCAACGCCTTCACGGTCTCGTGAGTCTCAAAAAGCACCCCTTCAGAGTTTCCGGTATTGTTTTGTGTGGCAGTGTAGAATCTACTCAAGGCCTGAATAAAGGCCGCATAAACCTCTGGCTGAGTTGTCTCGAAGCGTCGCTGAGATGTTGGTCGGGGGAATCAGCACCATCCACATGACCGGCTTGGGTATTAATCAGTACAAGGCGATTACTAACCTTTACATCGTCAATAAAGCTCCAGTTTTCTTGGTACTCTGTGGATCCCGCCTGGTCCTGAGGGATGACGATCTCGGGGGTTTCTGACATGGAGTGCATTTTGAAAAAGGTCGTTTGTTTCTTATTAATTGTATGATGTCCAAAGTTTAGTCTTTAGTCCCGAAGAAAGATTATTTAAAAGCGTTTTTGAGGGGCTCGTTGGGATTTCCCCGACTTTATGTGAGTAACTCCGCTTTCCAAAGATCCTTCTGCTCCGGCCCGGAAATGATAGGTCGTGGCATCGGCCAATACGCGTGGTTTAAGATCGTGGTGACCAACAGGTTTCTTCAAATAGAGCTCTTCCTACCAAAAAATGATGTAATCGGCTGTGTGTAACTCGTTGGGGTAAGGTACGCAGCCCCGGGGCACAGCAAAGCGAGATCCACCTCGGTAGTTCTTGATTGAGGGGAACTTCCTAAATTCACGGGGTCCAGGATATTGGAAGCCGAAATGAGTATTATCAGGCTGTTGAACTATGATGTATTTACACGATGCTGCGTTCTCCTCGAGTCGTTCTCAGACAAGCACAAAGACTTCCTCCTCGCCAAACCTTGCTCTAATCTTGTCGTCGGCAGTCTCGGGCATGAGCGGATCGATAAAACAGTCGCCCAATAGCCACCATCCGTCGTCAATTTCTCTTAGAACGAACGGAACCGGCCCACCGTACAACATGACGACTACATCTCCTTCTCTTGCGCAAGCTGGTGCTAGCCCATAGAAGCCCTCTGCAGTCTTAATCACTCGTCGCTGGTCGCAAGCACGAGACGCTGCGATTCTGAACCGGGAGGCGTTTCCATCACTCAACGCTATGTTCAGAGGCTCGAAAGTTGGAGACTCTAGGCCAGAGACTTCAAGTAAGTTTTGTGTGTATGTCAGATAGTCTGCATGGAACTGCTCACGGTCGTCAGATGATTCGAGCTGATCGACGCGCTCGTATCCATCAGTAACCCCAGCAGTCAGAGTAAGGGCCATCATTAACACGGACATAAGCGAGTCTTCAAATTGAGACCCTGGATACGACTTGTTTGAAGACGCAAGATTCCAGAGATCTATCATTGGGTGAGGTGATACTGCAGTTCCCGTGGATCTTTCCCTGAAGTCTTGAACGTCGAGAGTGCGGGATATCCAACCAATGGTGTCGAATCTGACACCAGGCACGGATAGCTTGCCGTCCAATGATGCCGTGAAATCTTTCAGTCCTGGAAGACCGTGCTTGTCGCCCTCTTTCCAGGCTGTTAGGGATCGGCTATCAAGGATAGTTGAAATGTCACCACTTACATCCCATCTTGGTACCCAAGAAGGAATATCGATCCGGTTGTACTCGACACCATGTTGGACATAACACAAAGAAGCCAACGACGCGCTGTCTCTGACAGCAGTGATGACAACATCGGCGTAAACCTCCGCCACGCTCTTTCGGTAGTCTACGCTAGGGAAAAGCTCGAGATTTTCTGGGCGCATGAGTCCCAGCAGCCCGTAGACCTTGTCCCTCAAGTTTGTAGCATGGTGATCTCGAAACGCAATGAGTATTTCCAAAAATGTCGATTCTCGTATATCGCTTGTGTCGAACATTGCATGCGCATTGTCAAACGGCATACCTTCGATCTCAGGCGATACATCATAGTCGTTTGCGAGATGGTGCTCTCTTAGCCAGGCAGCTGTGACCCCCAACTTGACCCAATTTAGGGATACAGAGCCGACGTAAACTCTGGATGAACAGGCGAGAACAATCTCTTGCACGCACCAAACTCGGGTGAACCAAGGTCGAGACAGTAGCCAGCTGAGTGCTTCCCAATCTTCTGGCTCCGGATCCGGTTTGCCCAAACGCACGCCGACCGCGAAGATGTTCTCGATCGAGACCCCTGCAAGTCCCTCCAGCGCCTCTGTCGCCGGTGTAAAGTGAGCCATGCTCAAGAGCTCAATATTCTTAGCGAGTGCGTGATCGTCGCAAGCTTGATGGATAGTCTCAATCAAAGATATCGCACGGGGGGCCCGACCTTCGTCGTCGAGGCCTAGCCAGACCACCACCTTGTCGGCACGGGAATAGATCTCTCTCATAAGTTTTACCTGCTCAGCTCTCTCGTCCATGTCGTCTTGGTTGATGCATAGGGCATCTGCCCATATCAACAATGCTCGGTCTGGACGCCGAAAGTGCCGGAGAGCATCGTTAAGGTTCTCAGTAATTGAGACTGGTTGTCCCGAGCAGTCGACCTCTCGGCGCTGTGACGGATCTCCCCAGACATATGACAGGGCCTCGAAAGTCGGGGAATCGTCGATACTGACTTCTTGGAGTCCAATCTGGATCGGGTCAGTGTCAGGACCAGGCTGCAGAACCAAAATCCGGATACACCGGCTAGCCAGTCGACTCGAATAAATCGTAGCCAGTATCATGGCAGAGCTGAGAGATTGGGGGATGCAAAACTTGCTGAAATCTGCACAAAGTGATGAGGGCTTTGGCTGACGGAAGGGAGAGAGAGTTATGGATTTGTAGTCGATGGTGTCATGGGGTCACCTAAGTTAAAGTACTAAGCAATTTTACGTGGCACGCTTACCCCCGGCGAAGGATCAGTCTGTAAGCGAGCGCTGCAACTCCGCTCGAATAGCGCGCTTCAGTCCCGAGATCTCGTTTCCTGAATACTTACTTGTGTTCAAGCAAGTTACAGTTGGCAACAAGATCACGGCCATCCTGTATGTTAACCCCGTCCAATTCTCGGGTCCACTGGAAGTACCAGTCGATCGCTGTTGCACTGGCTACTTTGCGATTCGGGTATTCCATCTCCGTGTGAGCATCTCGGAGATTGGAATGGTGCTAGAAGTCTCTTATCTGTCCCACGAAAATGTGAGCAAAAAAATACTCCCTTGCCGTTCCTCAAATTCCACGAGCTTGACGTAGATGAGCAGCAGTGTGATAACCTGGTTGCTGGTCTTGGAAACGGCATAGTGCACTCCATAGCGAGTTTTCCTACGGCCACTCCGTCAGAATCCCTCCAACGTTGAAGGGTCGCTTGCGGTGGTTGTAAGGGAAGTTGGTGGTCGGGATTTATCTGGTTCTTCGAAATTCTTCCAATCGAGCGAGATGTTTGAAGTCTGCGCTTTTCCGTCCCTAATTGCGGCTGAGATGCTGTCTCATAAACAACTAATCACAGTTCGATAGTGCAGTGTCGATCAGCCAGTCAAGATGTTGTAATTCGCTTAGATCACGCCTCTCGAAGCCAACATGTGGACACAATTTCGGAGGGCTAGTCGGAGAGCAAGCACCGCTATCAGAGCTTTACCGCCCATCTGAGACACAACACCGGGACCAACTTCTAGCTGAACGGGATCGAATTTTCCCGAAAGCGGGATGGATGCCTTCTCACCAGCAGCGATATGTGATCGCTGTGAGAGCTATCTAGCTCTGAGCTGAAACTCTGTCGATCTAAAGCAAGTCCCCTAGTTAAGTAGTCTACATAGATCGTGAACAGTGGTTGCGGAGAGATGAAACAGCCGTACGTGAGCCAATGGCGGCAAAGGCCGTGCCGTCCCGCCCCCGCAACGTCACCGCCGTTTCCTGGCCGAGAACGCCACGCTAGATATCGTCCGCATGATGACTTCCACTTATGTCCATCCGCAGAGCATGCAATCCACGTGTAGCATGATGAGCTCGACGAATGATGCCACTTGTAGGCACATTCTGCGAGCCTGAGACAGTAGCAGAGCTGGCTTGTATGGGGTTCAGTTACCTCAAGTCAGTACGGTGGCAGGTGAGGGGTTCTTCAGTCCATGTGTCGGCCTGGGCAGAGACCCTCAAAGCACGTATATTTAGAGGCGTTATTCGCATCCAACGGAGGAGTTCTGGAAATTAAGAACACACCTTCTAAGTTCTCTTCAGAAACATCTCTTGTGTAACTGGAGTACAAGTATTGTATTTTGAAAATACTTCCAGTCAATTCACTTCCCAATATCACCATGTCCGACGACGAGCAAGCACCCCCTGATGCCGAGATCGGTTGGCAGGAGCTGGAAACTGATAACGGTGGCTCCTATCGCGTCAAAGCAGATGAATACGATATTTCGGATCCTGTTGAGGCGGACGAATGTGCGGCGAGCGGACCTCCCTTCAGCAATGTCCAAGCCAACTGGACTGTCGGCAGCGAAGGAGCCCCTCCCGATGATGTCCAGAACCAGACGGCAACCACCTGGTACAAGCTCAAACAAGCCCCGTGGTACAGCATCTACAAGTGGAGATTGACGATCAACGTCCAAGACACCTACGACTACAGCTTTACTGACAAGAGCGGTGACAGCTACAGGCTCAATGTTCTCACTCTGTCTGAGACCCACTACGTTGACTACGACTCCTCGGATCCAACCATTGTCAGCATCTCGGGTAAATGATTGGGCTGGGAAATCGTTCGTCAAAGAGCTCGTGCTCTCACCTCGGAGAGAATGGGGAAACGGATGAGTATGAGTGGCAGTTCGGCTTAACGACTTGAGATAAATCCATAAAAATTGGTTCCTCTCTGCCACCAATGCTAGCGCTCACTGGTCCACTGAACCCTCTCCACGATAAGTGGTACGGTGTCCGTTATAACCATTGGGATGTAAAGTTCTCGGCCGGGAAACGGCGATAATATTGAATGAAATGTTGCCCTTGGAACTTCGTATTTTTCCAGTAGTACAGCGCAGACTGGGACTTTGTAAGAATAGACACCTTGATATGTAAGAGCTTATAAACAAAAATAAAAAACAAAAAAAGAAGAAAAGAAGAAAAAAAGTCCCATCGACTCGATGCCTCGGAGGCACGGCCATCATGAACTTTTCCCAACGCCGACCCAGAACATGCATGTACACAGAACTTTAGACAACATAGTCCTTAGATAAACATATATGCTAGGCTGACTTTTAGTTGAGTGTTTCAAGGGTAGACGCGCAAAGTTAGACTTTAGAAGACTCACCTTTCAATTCCTCGTAACTTCAGTCGAGCAAGACGAATTACCGGGGGCAACAGCTCCAGTATCCGGTACACGGCGTACCCGCCGGTTTATCCTTGCACTGCGGCGAGTTGTCCAAGAACTTGACCCTCTGACCAACGGGGCATGACGCTGGCCAGTCGCAGGCCATGCGGTTGCTCGACATGACGCAGGTGGTCTTGGTGCCCTCCGACTTGCGGCAACCATCGCCTGCGGGGATAGCTGTGACGGTGATGGCGAGCATCAGCGTCGCGAAGATTGATGAGAATTGCATTTTGGCAGTGTGGGACAAAGCTCTTGATGGAAACTTCAACAGCAGAAATCCAGGATGGTGTTTGAGTACGTGATTTGAGAAGCGGCGGAAGACAAGTGCAGCAAGGTGTACTGAAGCCAAGAATTGACTGTTTATATACGAAAGATATCCTAGAGGCCCTTCTAATCATTTCCTCAGATTCCTGTCGCCAATTTGTTCGTGGATATGATGACCTGAAAAGGAAATGGAGCTCAGATAATCCGCAAATCCGCATGCGCGAAATGGCTGTAATTAATACGAAATTACTGGCTGCGTCAGGTTGAAGCTTAACATCCACCAGTTCTTTCAATAACCGTGCAAACACGACTGACTCATGGCAATTTTCTAATCATCGACATCGGGAAACTACACCTCGGCGAGTCTCAACCATTTAGAGCATGGTTAATACGCATTGCCACTTGGAAGAATCTGAAGCTATGGGACGAGTCAAAAACCTAATTAATTGCCAGGCACAACTACTACCCTCAGGCAACTCCAATACGGGCACGATCAACCCGAATCAAGTAATGAGCGGCATCAAATCAAAGCTGGTCCGAGCTTACAGTTGAGTCGAGTCCGAAACCGAGCTTCGTATAGGTACCGGGCAGTTGAAGCAGCAAATCCACGGCTTACTCCAAAGCTTGAAGATGAAGAACACGTCTCAAATCTGTGGCCAGTTAAACAAGCCCTCACAGAGTTGAGGAGGAGTGTTGAAGACTCTTGTAGAGTTTCTGCTTGTAGAACTTCCAGCGCCCGAGTTCGCTACCCAAGTCGTGTCCCATGGCGTCAAGGGCTGGCGAGCCGGGGCGAGGCTTAACTCTACGGAATCAACCCAGGCGAAACATTCACGAAGTTGACGGCTTCCAGTTTAAATCAATGTCTCAACCCTTTTTTCAGGCACTTAACGATGAGTTCATTCGACTATCATGGCCTTTAAGTTAGCTGTGTCACGCCTTCAGTGGTTTTCAGGAATAGGAACGGCTCTTGGGACGAAGTAGGCCCTCGATCGGCTCGGTGCTTGTTACTCTTTACAAGTTTTGGATTCTGTAGAATAGTTGGAGTATCTATTCAGTGCTTCCGCACCCTTGTGGAAAGTACCCTGACAAGAAGTCAGTACGCCCACAGGCCTTCTATTCTGCGTAAAGTATGTAGGCAGAAATATTGATAGTTCATTGCAAGCTAGGTAAACTAATTTTCTCTTCTCAAGGTAGTAGTCCATGAGAAACCTGCTACTCAAGCATCATCCTTAACCTTAGCCCCCAACCCGCGATCGACGACAACCGTAGTCTTCTGCAAACTCCTCTTCACCGGCTTCTCATCACTAAAAATCTCTTCCAACTCCTCCAACGTCCTCTCCTTGGTCTCAACACAAGACAAATACATCAAGCCCAGATGCACAAAATGCAACACCAAGAAAATCGTATACGTCTTCCACCCAATATGCTTAATCGACACAGACGTCCCATACGTATTAATAAAGCTCGCAACACCAGAAATGAACCCCTTAGCGCCCATCCCTTTGGCCCGAATCTCGTTGTTCAGAATCTCGGCCGGGTACAGCGCCTGCAGCGGCGTCCAGCAGAAGCCCCAGAAGATGCCGTACGAGAAGATCATGGCGATGAAGGCGTAGGCTTGGGCTTTGGGGACTGTTGTGCCTTCGTCGAGGTGGTGTTCTGCTTTTGCGGCGAGGATGTTGATGGGGATGTAGACGAGTCCCGTGAGGAGGGTGCCCCAAAGGAAGAGCGGTCTGCGGCCGACTTTGTCGACGAAGAAGGAGCCGAAGATGCCGCTGACGAAGGAGATGACGGTGTTGATTCCGTTGAGGAGGAGTTGTCGGCTTGAGTCCGTGATACCGACGCCTCGCACCATGCTGCAAATCCAATTAGTAATATTCTACTTAATGCTGGAAATGTGTTACTGACGCAGGTAGATAGTACGAAATCACGGAACCCCCAATAAACTGAGAAAAGACGGCGACAAGCATGATAAGCCACATGCGGTACCGATTAGGCCTGTTGTTCATAAGGATCTTATAGTTCCAGTTATTATTGCGAAGCTCCTGCTCGGCCTCCAACGACATCCGAATCTCATCGAGCTCGAGCTTGACAAGAGCCGAGTGCGGGTTCCCGTCGCCGTGGTACTTTGTTAAAATCTCCGTCGCGCGATCAGTCTGTCCCTGTGACCACAGCCAGCGCGGGCTCTCCGGTAGGAACCAGACGACCGAGATGACAATGGTGGCCGGGACGAGCTGAACGATGTAGGGGATACGCCACGCCCAGTCGTTGTGGATGAAGTTTGTGCCGTAGCATGTCCAAGCAGCCACTATCACCACCGGTCAGCTCCCCGTCTCAAACATCTAACCAAGTTACCCAAAGGAGAACAGACTTACTATTCGCACCAATATACCACCCCAAAACATTATACAACCCCCCCGCCAACCCCCTCCACGTAGGATACGCAATCTCGACCAAGAATACCGGCGCCGATGTCCCGCACATGGGCGTCCCCGTACCGACAATGAACCGCCCAATGAAAAATTGCGGCAGCTTGAAGCTGCTCGCCTGCAGCACGGAGCCGAGGACAATCATGGACGCGCCCGAGAACATGCAGGCGCGGCGGCCCCAGCGGTCCATAATGTACCCGCACAAGAGGCTGCCGATGATGCTGCCTACAGTGTAGATGGAGAAGACGGCGCCGTTGAGTTCGCCAGTGAGGCCGATTTCAAAGCGGGATTGGAAGGGGTCCATTGCGTTTATGGCGGACATTACGGAGCCGTCGTAGCCGTTCATTATGCCGTCTGTGGGGTTGGTTAGCTAGGGTAAAATTCTTGGTTTCACATATCTCATCTCGTTGGGAAGAGATGGAGGGTGTTTGGGATACGCACTTAGAACGCAGAGACACATCATAGCATAGAGCGTCATTTGCGACTTTGATTTATAGTCGGGTTTGTCTTTGGCAATGGCATCGGCGAGGGCGACGGACTGGACGTTGACTTCTTTGGCGTGGCGGTGGGTTAGGGCGTTATTCTTTTCGTCGTCCAAGGCGGAGGTCGTCGCCTCGACGCGGTGCTCTGTCGCTTCATCGTGTTTCGCCATCTTCAAAGTTTATACCATGTAAGGAGTCCCGTAAGCAGTCATGAGGCTCAACGGTATGGTCGTGGTCTCTTGCCGGGCAAGGCAGCGTCTAAGTGAGGTCCTCCCCCGTCGACTTTATATCAAAGACTCTACAGCAGGTGCAGTCATCTCTCAGCCGTCGCCGAGACGGCGTTTCCCCCAAATAGACCTTTTGGGAATATCGGGCAGTCCAACTGATCGGTTCGGAGTAATACGACACCCCCCACCCCCTGCTGCTTCATCCCTCACTCCAACAGCATCCCATGTGGCCGCATGCACCCCTCATTCTCACTGCGGGGTGACGATGCAGAGACCAACGGTATAGACAAGATGTACGAGAATCCCACGTTCACGCCAAGACGGCACTTCATATCACCGCGTCTTGCTAGAATACCAGGACCATCAAGTTGGTAGTGTTACTCGATATGTCGACATGCGCAGCTGACCATGGTATCATGCATTCATATCTTAGGTAGGATCCAAACAAACAGTTCAACAAACATAACCGCCAGACCTTCATTGGCGGGAAATACCTCGTCGAATTATGTTATGCGGATGGTAGCTTTTCCGTGCTTCGGCAGATGCATTGGCAAGATTTACGTGAACTTATTCTTTTCCTAGACCACTTGAAGTCTACCTTTTCCGGAGCCGCTTGGCGAAACCAAAGCTTGAATATCGAAGCAGGAAACGCACAAGTAGTGAATGGAGAAAAGCCAAGCAAACAGGCTGGTCCTAATTCACTTGCAGAAGGGAGAGTAATTATGCGGTCAAGATTGAAAATGAGAGCAATTTCCCCTATATTTGTAGCCCAGAATTTTTAATATGCAGCTTTGATCATTCTTTAAAACAAGAAAACGCCCGCGCCGCCGAGAATGCCATCCGCCTTACCCCCAAGATAAGTTCCCCATCTAATCAGACGCGCGTTCATTCATGAGTTGTTTTGGTTGGTTCATTTCTGGATAGCCCAATATAATCTCTAGTGGTTTGAGTAAAAGAAATCCCAACTGCCTTCTCGGATGCCTTGCCTGCCCATGTCATGTCTACCTTGGAATAAACATTTTTTATCGTGTATCCCGTCTTTCAATAATACTGGAAGAAAAATGCGAGAGAAAAAGGGACGAAATATTCTTAGACAACGTGCTTGACGCCATTGGTCTGCTTGGAGGCTGCGAGCTCCTCCTTGACCACGCGGTCGAGGCATCCCGCGCTGGCGGCGACGAAGCCGAGGTAGGGTCTCTGTCCTGCTTGTCAGCATTACGCGGGAAGAAGGGATGTGGGGGCAGACGTACGCTGGGGTTGAGGACCTTGGACTGGTACTCGGCGTGGAACTGGGTTCCGACGAAGTAGGGGTGATTCTGGAGCTCAAAGATCTCCATGCGCTCGCCAGTTTCATCCTTTCCGATGAAGTTCAACCCAGCCTCGGAGAGCTTCTCGACGTAGGCCGGGTTGGCCTCGTAACGGTGGCGGTGTCTCTCCTCCACCGACTCGGCCTCGCCGTACAGGGCGCGCAGCTTGGACCACTCGCTGCCGGGCTGGAACTCGGTCGGGCGGAGGCCGAGGCGCATGGTACCGCCGAGCTTGTCACGACTGATCTCAGGCATGTAAATGACGACCTTGTTCTCGGCCTGGGCGTCGAACTCCTCCGAGGTGGCGTTGGGGACGTTGAGAAAGTCGCGGGCGTACTGAATGATGGCGGTTTGGAAACCAAGGCAGACACCGAGGAACGGGGTGCCGTTCTCGCGCGCCCACTTGGAAACCTTCATCATACCCTCAGTACCTCTGGTACCGAAGCCACCGGGAACGATGATACCGGAGGCGGTGCAGACATCGTGCCACGCCTTGTGGTACTGGGCCTGGTCTGCAGACTTGGCCTGAATCTCGAGGTGCTCCGCATCAACCCAGCAGATGTTGAGCTTCTTGCGCAGGTGCATCGCCGAGTGCTCCAGAGACTTGACAACGGACAGGTAGGCGTCCTGGGACTTGACGTACTTGCCGACGAGGGCAATGTTGATCTCACCATCGTACGGGCGGCTGACAACGGAAGCCCATGTCTTCCACAGTGCCGCACCCTCGGCGATACGAGACTGGGGGATGGACAGGGCGTCCAGGTTGACGGCCTTGCGCAGCCAGGGGATGAGGTTCTGCTCCTCCAGGAGAAGGGGAACCTGGTAAATGGTGGGCATGTCGCGGACGACGAGGACCTGAGGAACATCGACCTGGCAGAGGAGGGCGATCTTCCTCACGGTAGCCTCCTCGAGAGGCTGCTCGCAGCGGCAGGCGATCTGGGTAGTTGTTAGCAGTAGGACGAACCATCAGAAGTATGCGTTCCTACCATATCAGGAACCAGGCCGTAACTGCGGACTGTCTTCACGGCATGCTGTGTGGGCTTCGTCTTCTGCTCGCCGTGGATGGTGGGCACGTAGGAGACGTGGATCTGAATGAAGTTGCCGCTTCCGGCTCTGTGGCGCACTATCAGGAGTCAGCAGTCGAACCAGCCCGGAGAAGCTTATGGCACAAACATTGAGTCAATGCCTCGACATAGGGCATCTAGATATGGTGTTAGATTACTTCAAGTGGAACGTCCTCTTTGTTGAGCACGTCTCTGGGAAAACGTACGCTCTCGATATCACCGACTGTGCCTCTGCAGTAGCATATTAGCATCTAAACCACTTGATATCCGCAACGACACGATCTTAGAACCCAAGAATCCGTGTGCGAAGCAGGTCGTTATGAGTTGCAAAGGGAACCCGTTGAGACGTACCCAAGCTCGATAATGCAGACATCGGGCTCCTCGCCAGAATCGTCTGTGGGAATCTTGGCAACACGCTCGATCCAGTCCTGAATCGCATCGGTAACGTGGGGCACGCTAGAATCTGTCAGCAAACTGAAAGATGCAGGTAGACCTATGGAGGCCAAACGTACACCTGAACCGTCTTTCCAAGGTAATCGCCGCGGCGCTCCTTGTCAATGACGTGTCTGTACACCTTGCCGGTGGTGATGTTGTGCTCGCCCGTCAGACGGATGTTAAGGTAGCGCTCGTAGTTGCCCAGGTCTATGTGCGAGCCTCTGTGTCAGAGAAATGCGATTGATGCGAATGGCGACGGCCTTTTCCCCGGGACGAAAAAGGGGGAAAAGCCATGATTCAGATGTCGTCCAGAGGTTCACCTACCGAGATCTACCTCCATGCCATCGTGCAACTGATGATGGTCAGCTTCTTCCGTCGAGTCATAACATCAAAGATTGCTCCGGGTATCACCAACGTCTCGTCATGATATACGAGACTTGGGTAGGGGCACTTGCCCCTATTCCTCCGGACCAGGAAGAGCATTTCAGGGTTCAAGGAGTACGAACCACAAAGCATTCGCCGTGCTCAGCGGGGGCCATAAGACCAGCATCGACCTGCATGTCATTGTCAGTCACTGGAACACATAGTCAAGAGAGGGGTTCAGAGGTAGTTTCACTCACCGACAGGTACGGGTCGATCTTAATGCTAGTGACGCGCAGTCCCAAGGTCTTGAGAAGCTATTCATTAAAACCTCAACCGTTAGCAATGATGCATCGTGAGCTTGACTGCATTGCATGCATGCATGATATGGCTGTGAGATCCCAAGGAGAAAACACCCTGCCATAACCCAATGGCTTGGTGGTGTGGCAGAGCTTCTCAGGTGTGAAGTCACAGCCCGCAGATAAGGAAATTTTAACAGGGGTTCGGATACACACCAGACCCGTGGAAGAGGCGATGATGCCCTTGCCCACTCCAGAGATGACACCGCCTGAGACGAGAACGTAACGCATGATGGCTGACTTTTGGCGACAGGACAACAAAAATCTTTCGTAAGGGGTATGGTATACGTTCAAGATGAGGGGGCGAGGCTGTCTGGTGGCGATCAACTCTTGTTTGGCAGAATGGAGGGGAGGGAAGAAAGAGAGTCAAGAGTGAAAGGCGGGACGCGACGCGGTCGGAAGTAAAGAAATTTTTGGTTATCGATAACGCATGATGGCCGGTGCAGCCTCTGAACCTGCCCGGTTATTTTCTGCGTGCGGCGTGCCTGCCCGCCTGCCCGCCTGCCTACGCCCTTCGGAACTTGACCTCAGGGGACCGGGGTCCTGCCGTCTGCGGCGTGCCTCGATCACAGCGGAGGGCAACGAGGAGCGGGCAGCGTAGCGGGGTGGGGTGGTCCGTGAGTCGTGTAAAGTGGATTTGAGCCACACCTTGATGAGAAACGAGGCTTGCTCACGTGCCACACACCGAGGTGATCTCTTCGCTCACCGAGTTCCTCCTCATGAGCCACATGTAAAACTGGTCATGAGAGGACACAGAGCCACAACAGGATGTAACATGCTATCCAAGATTTCAGATACATTTTGCAGGCGTTTATGATAAATATTGTGCTTGCAGTTTTCTCTTTTGCCTGAACTCACTATTGGTAAAGATTAAATCGTCGCATTTTGAGTAGTTTTGAAGTGAATAGCTTAACGCATTAGTACAACTGACAATTTCCTTGCATTACTAGGCAAACATAGGTTCCCCTTCTAAGTTCAGAGTAGCCATGATAACAAGCAATTGAATTACATCACACCGCCAACCAGTCATTTCAGTGAGTAATGAGTAGCATCTCATGACAGCTTCATTTCTGAGCGCTTCGACGCTTCTCCGGGCTCGTGTTCTGAAGGTTGTCCAATCAGTGGAAAAGTCAGACAGCAAGCTGAATTATACAAACAGAACTGAAAAGAAACTGTTTTCCATGCTTCAATTGAATACCGAGAAGTTGGTCGAAAAAGTACAACAGAAGACGGTCGTTTCCAGCGTGTGGTGAAGTCTAGTCTAGCTCACCTGTAACCTTATCTACCATGAGGCAGACCTCTAACAATCTATGACTTCAGTACTAAAAGATTGTGAGAAAGATGATCTATACATATTTGTCGATGTTAGATGCAGAGCCGGCTACTTGAGTATGAGTTTCAAGGCATATTCACATTTAGGAACCTTGATTAGCACTTGCTCTACTACACTATCACACCGCAGTTCTACCTATTGTTAACGTAACACCAGTTGCGGAAGTAGTGTTGGATGATATGAACCAGTACTTCCAACTCTTATGTTGTCTCACACAGCATAACAGTATCTACATAGTGAAAGGGCATCGGGATCCAGGGACGAGCAGCAGAACCAACAACAAGGATCGGGCATCCAGGTTGGCGGCGCCGTCGAAGGTCTGTGCTCCACAGAAGCAGTGGAGCCGACATTCACGCTAGACAAGTTCCGTTCGAACCAGCCCAGTGCAGATTGGTCACAGGGCGGATGGATGTGCAGGGCTGGGAAAGGGACGGTAACACTAGGGTGAGATGGCGGGGAGGGACGGTGGACTATCCGTGGACTGCAGAGGAAGAGGAGGACAGGATGCTCTTGACGAACTCTGCTCATCACTGTGTGGTGCCCATGCATGTGTTGCCAGAAACTCAGTTTCTCCCCCGGCTCGTCAAGAGGATGGTCATCTGTGATCTCGCACCGATGCCTTAGTCAAATACTGAACCCACCCCGTTAAGAGGGGAGGGAGGGAAACTGTATTGATCGCGCTTCATGACCAAGGCAGGCCTTCCAGTGCGTTCTTGTTCATGTAGTTTGTTGCGGATGCTGGCTTCGTCTCTATCGGGAGAGCGGCAAACCTGTCTACTCCTGGGGAAGTAAACCACCACAGTACAAACAGACCGTGGCATCATGGGTTTCCATCATGGAGAGGGGAGGTGGGCCAAGATTAAGGCTGCCGGGCGCGAAAGCTTTGGCGTTCGCTGGTCAGATTTAGGTGTCGATGAAGGGAGGATGATGAATGGTTGGAAGGTGCGCCTTTTCTTGGGTAGATCTGCACCCACCAGAACACGCCCGTGGTGGCGGTGGTTTGTTTCAGAATGTGCTCAAAAGCTTGAAGCTTTCCTTGCATTGTAATGGGAGCGAAATGAGAAGCTATCCCGATTCCCGCGACATTCTCAGCAGTCCCTGGGCTTTGGCATTGACTGCCTCAGAGTTGATGAGGGTGGCTTTGGCGAGATAGAGGGACGCTTTTGTATCCGTAAATGTGACTGGCGGGCCATCCATGCGGTCCGGCATCTTGGGTGCTTGGCCATGACAGCAAGGGTGTTCAAGAGTGGGGAGACATGGGAACCGTCGAGATGTGAGTCTGAATCGGTTCGAGCGGTGAAGCTAAGGGCAAGGAAATGCGAGCGAAATAGAGTAGCAATTGCACTGGCTTGGGTGGAATTGATACGTACTTGAAAGTTCTTCTTCCTGATGGAGGTTATACAGGATCGAACAGAGGCACAGCTGACAGGGATTCGTCCTGATCGAGCAAAGCTGGAGGGATGCGAAGCAAGCGCTGATGGTGGTTTTCTATCTCGTGTGGGTAGTGCAGTGTGCGCATCCACGTCTCGTCTCTCGTCCCATCATCTCCCGGATGGGGCCGATGCTGGGCTTGGTGACATCCATGAACTTTGGCCCTCCATCCCCATCCAATACCTACTCCGAACCCTGAGGCACTGAGGCACGGCAACACAAAGTGGAAAGATAGCCGAAGAGGGTTCAAGCCATGGGAATCCAGGCAGATGAAGGTGCTCTCGCGCGAAGCAACACATCCATTCCATGGGGCTGGCCGCAATGAGACAGGAAAAAGGGAACAAAAGGTTATTGGAAATAGAAAAGAGAAGAGGATCCGAAGCTACCATCCTTGATGAGCGGCGTGGCAGAGACAAGATGCGCCAGGCCGGGCCCAGCAGCCAACCAACCAGCTACCACACAGCCAGCGTGGCAAAGCCGCAAAGGCAAAGGGAAAGATGAAGCCGTGCGTTTGAACGGGGTTTAGATTGGACTGTGCTGTGGGTTGGAAAGGGCGCGAGATTGAGAGGAACGGCGGGGAAGCAAGGCCGGAGCAAGCGATGAGATAAGATGAGGCAGGAATTTGCATTTTGCTATTTGACAGGGCGTGTTTCTCGCAATAATGTAAATCGGAGAAAAGGGGGCACACGTGGATATGCAGAGCTGGTCCCCAATTGCTGCTGGATGATCTTGCTGAAAGTACACCAGAGTACAGAGTTTCCGTGGAGGCATAGGTCCGACGTAAAGAAAGATGGGAAACCCGATGGGATGATCGAGATGGCGTGAGCAAGGGAAGGATAGGAGGAGAAGGAAATAGACGGCTGAACAGGACCGGAATCCATTGACGGGTGCGTACAACTAAATAACACCGACAACGACTGACACGGACTAAATGAGGCGTCTATCAGAATGGGGGAGCACGGGAGGTGATGATGGCTGATTTCCGAGGCTTCCCTACCCCCCTCCCTTTCTCCCCCCCAAAAGCCCGACGTCAACTTCATTCCCATGGGAAAGAAAGGGAAAGAACGCGGCCAGAAAGGCGACCATAAGATGGATTTCCTTCTTTCTAATTGAAGGGCAATTTTCACTTTAGGATGGCACGGTATTTCCTGCTTTAACTTGCTGCGTTCTGTATCCTAGGGAAGCAACTTACCACCCGTTCTCGCCTCGCCTTGTAGCCAAGTTCTCTAGGGTGGGCAGGTACCTTCCTCGCCTTTGGGTCGGGTCACAAACGTTCCTTCCTCGTTCCCACCAGCACCCGCATGACACATGGGTGGCTGCAACTTCCTCAGCCCAAATTTGCACCTTCTTTCCATGAATTAAACTAGAGCTGGGATGCCACAAAAGCAGAGGAAAGAGTCAAAGGTGAAGTGAGGAAAGCAGGGCCCAGATATCCCCAAGGTTAGGAAGGCAGGAGATACCCAGCTCATCGGAGGGGCTACCTACCGTTTTGCAGCTGTCCGACACCGTGAAGCAGGGACGGGCAGGCACTGTAAAGTAATGGGACCGAACTGGGAGGAGCGCAGCACCAGCACCAGCACGGAGGTACATCCGCCATGTACTTTAATTCACATAAATCGCCCAACCTGCCCCCGTTCCCTTTCCTCCTCTTTTCCGACCTTTCCCTTACTTTTCTGCTGCTCCCCTTCATGCTGTCCATCGTTGGTTTCTGACGTTATTTTATTTGTCGGTATTCTGCGTTGCTGCTCTTTCGTGGCCCGTCACGTCGTTTACACCGGAATTTGCTGACCTGGAAACGGTAGCCCCTCACAAGGCCTCACTACCGTTTTCCTACCGTCGGGGTCTTGTAAGTTCTACCAGCTGGACCGAAAAACACCAACGACAGATCATTCGACCTCAAAAAAGACGGCCGTCGCTAGAAAACGAATTCGACAGAATGAGGGAAATTCGGGCAAACCTCGCTCTCGCCAGAAAGAAGCCGATTCAGCAGAGGACGCAGAGGGCAGACTCCCTCCCACAAAGGGTCGAAACAGTCATGGCCTGTCTGGGGCCACTCGACGGACGGGGTCGACCGGGGTGCTTGGCCGTATCTGGACCGAGTGGGCGACAGTCTCCAACCCAGCGACTGCGATGAATGGCCAGGCCTTCTGGCTTCATTCAGTGCGGTAGCCTTCGTCTCTCTACACATTTGACCGGCAGGCAAAAAACAACAAGCCAAAAGTGGCCAGGAAAAACCGGACAAGTTCGAGCCCAATCGACCCGAAAAACCCAAGCACCACTGCGACACAGCAACAGCAAACTATCGAGCGCAGGCACGAGTAGAAAGCCTTCTAGGACCAGCCATGCGGGCCATGACCGTGACGGGGCCGGCACCGGGCCAGGCCAAACTGCGCCAGACATGGGATCCCGCCAAAGAAATGACGAAACAACCCTGAGAGCAGCCTGGACCCTACCGCTACTGCTACAGTCTGCCTTACTGCTACTGCTACTGCGACCTACCTTACCGCGGCGCCTTGCCAGTAGAGAGACTCAAAACCTCTTGGTCCCGTCCATTTGCTATACGCCAATTCGGAGACCGCCGCAACTTTTCGACGCTTCTATTTCTTGCGTCTGCCGACGAGCCAACTAAAAAAACAGCAACGACCATGCCATCATCACCGTCACCAGGTAACGGTACCAGTCTTAGGATGGGCTGCCCGGACCCGACAACCACTGGCGCTGATGTTGGGCGATTCTGACGGGGATGGGGTGGCCGCTTCGACCTGAGCCATGTCACTGGAAAGCATGCACCTTAACCGCATTAGCTTCTTTGGGGCCTTCATTGGCGGGGCATCCTGCAGCAATTAACCATCAACAACGAACGACAGCGGCAGTCTCGAGATGCACCATTTATTACTCGAACGACGACGACGACAGCAACCAAGCCCGGCAATCCGTCTACTTCTCCGTTCCTCGACTTGTTTGCTTTCTTCAGTTTGCATATCATGCAGACGTCTGCGCCTCCGACATTTCTCTGATATCTGCACAAGGCAAGGCCTTCCCCACTTACACTAGACGCCGTGTTCTTACTCCCCCCCTGCAGATGGTGATAGGGAAACGCATAACCCGGCACGGTGATAGAGCGATGTGCGACGTACTACAGCTTGCTAAACTTGGCTGTCATGACTTTGGACCAAGTTGAGTCTGTCACATCACCATTTTCTCGCTCACATACCTACCTACACACTGGCCTTCTTCCAGCTCCTCGACCTGGTCCCCGTGATCTGGCATTGCTATCAGACGCGAGTATTGCCTAATGGCGTGAGCACAATTCCTCTCACGAGGCAGCTCGTCGCCTTACATCTTCCCATCCGGGCATCCGGCACTGCCTACTCTCTACGTTGAGGCCACGGACCGTTGTCGCCATCCTCCTTCGATTGGTAGGCTTCTTCTATTGTTACTCCTCTCTCATACTCCTTCACCTTGAGCAGACCGTCGGGTCAAAGAGAGCATCTCCTGGGGCAGCGATATCAGCTTTCGGGAGAACGTTTATCAGCCCATGGTGTTCTTTCATGATCATCACATGGACTCTCTCTCAAAGCGGAAACCATTGCACTTGACACGTTCTCTACGTCACTGTTATACTGGAGCCTACGCCAGCGATGGTCTGGCTGATTATCGCATGCCAAGGAGTCTTGGGCAAAGTCTCGGGAATTGTGCAGGAATGCCATGGAGGCAGGAAACTGTGAATTCTCTGAGCGGCATGTGGACACGAGAAATGATACTGGAAAGAGAGGGCAAGTTGAAGGATACTCCTGGCTCGACCAAGAGGAAGGAGAAGGATGGCCCGGCCATACGGCACTACCTCGGATCGATAGTCGACGGAGAGGGAGGTGGAAACGGTCACCGTGACTGTGAACTCGCGTTGATACCTATCACGACGAAGGAGGAGGAATCGACGACAACAATGGTAAGCTCCGTTCCACACGCCCGCCGCAGCATGGCCATGAGCAGCAAATCTGCTGGAGGGAAGAAGAGGAAAGTAATACGCGGACGATACTTGGTGGATACCAATCTGGTAGTGTCTGGTAGGATCTTGAACCAAAGTGCTAACAACAGTCACTGGTCTGGTATCTGGTCAGTAACAAAGATGTCTCATTGGCTCTTCGGTTCACTCCGGGCTATGGTCCCACCTCGTCCAAACAGCGCTAGTCCGTAGACGGAAGGGAAGCGCGTCTGGGAGCATTTACCGGGCGGTGGGCGGATGAAACCAATGGAGCAACAGCACAGCCCCCAAAGTCTCTGCTGATTTGTCGAGAGTTCGAAGAACCAGCAGGCAGGACTTGACAGACAGACACGACACAGCCAGGAAGGAGGACACTCACACACTCGCTCACTCAGTCAGGTCGCGTTCGAAGCCAGCTCAGTTCACAGTTCGCAGTTCATCCACCCTTCCTTTCTAATAATCTACGACTCTCAGCCCAGCTCGCTCATCAGTGTTCCAAGCTGCAGCAGTCTTACCTCTAATTCGGGACACCCGCCGCCAAACAAAGCTGCTTTGCTTTCTGTTGTTCATCGCTTTTGAGTAGCATTTCTTAGGTAAGACCAGGCACACCCTCTCTCTCTATCTCATTCTCTTCTCAGCCTTTCTGTGGCATTGCTTGCTGCCGGTCGCTTGCCCACCCCCATCGCTTTTGCTTTGAGGCTTTCTTCTTGTTCTGCTCTCTGTTCTGGGCCTGCCCCGACCCGAAGCTGTACTGCTTCCCTCCGCCGCCGCCCCGAAAGTCGTACCCTTTTTTTCCCTTCCCAATCCTCGCACCCCCATCCTGATCATCCCCGGGCCGCCGATAGAGTTGTAAGTGCTATTCCCATCATCTCGTGACCTCTATTTGATGCGATGATGTCTCCTTTTTGATGGTTGACACCTGTCGACCCGGTTGCTGATGCCTGTGGTTGCGCGAGTTCGCGATCCTGGGCGCTGCAGGCTTCACATCGCCTCTGGCCTCTCTTTGCCTTTTCCCCCTTTTGCTACTACCTTGCCTTATGTTCCTTGCGCACTTCCCAGCCCATATATGGCTAGTCACTTGAGAATAATCTAAGCTTACAAGACGGCTTCTGTTCGCCTGTCTCGTGAGTCTGATGATTGCCTTTTGGCTTGGCTGTGATGCGTTTCTCATTTCATGCTCCCTCTCTGCCTTGCCCAATTTTTTTTTTTCCCTTCCTACCCAGCCTCTCTCTCTCTCACTCTTTCCCTTCCCTGCGCGCCACAGCCTTCCTTCCCAGTACCCTCCCAGAAGAAACGGCCAGCTGCCAGAGTCACCTTCCCAGCCGATTCAGACAGTCAGACCCGACTGAGGAAAGGACCGGGCTGTTCCTCCCCCCAAAAGCGGCACCAGTCGTGCCCAGCCCAGCCCGGCGCACTTCATCCCCCAAAAGCGGCTGGCTCCACTGCTGATTTCCCACACACCTGCGACTCGTCCGCTCGCTCGTTCCCCCCAGCACCACGCACCACGCACCACGTCCAATCCACCACACACAACCGCGACGCGCGACAAGTCTGCATCGCGACAAGCCGCTGCCGTGTCACTCCCCATCTCATCCATTTACTGCTCCATCTCAATGGCCCTTGGCTCATTTCGTTGCAGTCGCTAATTTTCCCAGCAATCGCTCCATGGGTCGCGCCAGACGACCTCAACCATGAGCACCTGGATGAACGAAGCCGCGGTCCCCAACCATAATGGCAACGGCTTCCCACACATGAACGATCCTAACGCGGCCGGAGCCATGATGGATCCCTCCGCCTTCATGGGCAGCCCTGCCCATTTCAATCCCGCCCAGTTCGCCAATCCTCAACAGGCTCAGCAGGCACAGCAACAACAGGTTCAGCAACAGCAGCAGCAGCAGCAGATGGCTGCCATGCAAAATGGTCAAATGCGCAACGCCTCTCCGTCATCCTTTCAGAATCCCGCCTATCAAACAAACCCCGTTATTCCATCGAAACGACCTCGTCCTCGCGAAGATAGCCTCGCCGGCTCACCGCGACAAAATCCCGGCATGTTGCCAACGTCGCGCTCCGAAACGCCTCAGACCTTCCCCGGTTACCAGCCCGGTATGCCCCAACAGGCGCAAGGCCAACCTTCGCCGTATCCCCATCTCCAAGCCAACGGCTCTGCGAACGCGACACCCTCCCCCATCATGGCGAACCAGTTACGACCCGGAAGCGTGCCTCAGCGAGTTGCGACCGCGTCACCACATCCCTTCTCCCCCGGTGCGCAACAATTTGCGCCTCAAGCGTCACCGAATCCCTCCGAGCACAGCACACCGCAACCGAATCACTTCATGCAACAAAATATGCCCAACATGCCTCAAGGCTACAATCCGAACTTTAACCCCTCGCCTTCTCCTGCGCGACCCTCACCTAACCCGAATGCGATGGCGGGCTCTGGCATGATGCCTCAACAGATGGGACAAATGCCCCAGCAAATGGGCCAGATGCCGAACCAGATGTTACCCCCGAATATGCAACCGCGCAATGCCATGGAGCACCAACAAATGGCAGCTTACCAGGCACGGCTCCAGAAGCAGCTGCAACAAGGAACAATGCAGGGAATGCAAAACATGCAGAATATGCAGAACATGCAAAATATGCAGAATATGCAAATGGCAGCCCAAATGCAGGCTCAGAACATGGCGCAAGGCCGTGGGATGATGCCGAAGCAGCCCATGCAGATGCCCAACGGCCAAATGCCTTCAGGCGGCATGAGGCCTCAACCCCAGCAGCGACAGATGCCTCGAACCGATCCAGAGCAGTTTATGAAGAGTCTCACCACTTTCATGACTGCCAAGGGCCAACAGCTCGATGCTAACCCAGTCATCGGCAACCGGCCCGTCAATCTCTTGACGTTGTTCCAAGCCGTGCAGAGCAAGGGAGGGTACAAGCCTACGACTGCTGGGAATCAATGGCCTCATGTTTCCAACGGCATTGGATTTCACCCGGGCCAAATTCCCCAGGCGCCCCAGGTGTTGAAGGAGATATACGAGAGGAACCTCCTGAGATTTGAGGAGGCTTGGGTTGCACAGCAAAGTCGACAACGCATGATGGCGCAACAACAACAACAGCAGGCTATGCCAAACCAGCCAATGCCGCCAGGCGCGCAGTCCCAATCAACACCCACAAAGCAGATGTCTCCTCAAGGGCCGATGCCGCCTCAGCAGCAGCAAATGATGCAACCTGGTCAACCGCCAATGCCGCCTCAAGCTCAAACTCCTGTCAAGCAAGGGTCTTTCAGCAGTCAGCCTGCGTCTGTCAATGGTTTCCAAACTCCTCAAGCTCCGGGGCCACATACGCCAGCGAGTGCGCAGCAAGGCCATGCTCGGAATAGCTTGTCTCGCAGCGTAGAACCGACACCGGGCCACCCTCAAGGGTTCCCAGCAGCTTCTCCGGCGTCAGTTAAGGGCGGAGGATTGCCCATGCCTGCACCTCCTGGCTTGGATCAGAACCCCATGGCAGCCTCGATCAAGCCCCGTATGCTGCGGCTGGCTCAAGAATCAGACGAATACACGCCCAGTGCTCGCCCCCTGGAGACCTACGGTGGTATCAACATTCGTGCTTTCGACTTGAAAGGCTTGGAGCTTCAAGGCCTGAAGCCAGACATCCCGCCCCCATATGAACTTGGATACGTAGATTTGCACGCTCTTACACGAAGCTTGGAGTCTGGAATTCACGGCGAAGTACGACTTGCTCTTGATACCCTTGCCGCTGTCACATCTACCCAGCACCAGGCCCTGCATATTCATCTCAAGTACTGCGAAGAGCTCATCGAAGCATTATTGGAGTGTGCTGAGGACCAGCTCGATTTGCTTGTCGAAAACACCGAGGAAGCTTCCTCAGACATTCAATTGACTCCCTACGAGGACGTGGCTCGTGCCTGCTGGACCGATAAGATGGGCGTGAAGGAGCTGCCCAAGTTCGGATCTCCCGAGTACGAACTCGATCGTGCTGTTGACCGGTTCTCTTGCGTCATCACCATCTTACGCAACCTTTCCTTCCCCGAAGCTTCAAACGAAAACCATCTAGTCCTCGGTGACGAGCTAGTCATAAAGTTCCTCTGCGCCGTCATCAGATATCTTGGTACGAGGACCTTGTTGTTCCGAACGAATGCAAACACCCTCGAGTTCATGAAAGACGCCATCATTCTACTCTCCAACATCGCAGGCGCAGTCGAAATACCTGGCCGTGAGCAGGCCTTGTGTCTGTTGCACTTTTTGCTAGCTTTTGCACCAGCACCTGGACCGGCTGTGGTGGACAACAAGCTCTACTTTCCTCCTTATCAGCCTGGCGTTCACACCTACACTTTCCATGCCGTCGATGCGTTGGCTAGGTTCCTGGCTCGTGATGAACCGAACAGGACGCACTACAAGACACTCTTTGCCATGGAAGCCAACAGCAGCCCGCCATACGACTTGTTGACACGCTCGTTTGCTCTGGCTACAACGGTCATACCCATCCAGTCACCAGAATCCATCGTTGCACACATCGAGGCCCCGGAGAAGTTCTTCAGGCTTGTCGAAGACCGGAAGCCTTGGCTGATGCAAGGTCTATTGGCTACAGATATCATCGCATCCCTCGCACCCGGGTATGAGACAGGAATTGCTAAATCATGGCTTTCCAGTGGTAATGGCTTTGCTCAATCTCTGTATCACTTTGTGCAAGTGCTTGGAGCTCAATTTGAGCAGCCATGGCAAACACGGAGCGGCCAAGGAGACCCCGCAGGTAGAGATACCGGATTGGTCTACATTGCTACGTCCGGCATCTCGACCCTCCGCAGGTTAGCAGAGAAGGCGCGGGATCCCAATGACCCCAACTCATTAGTCCCCGCGGACTCACTACCGTCTGAAGAAAGCCTCTTCAAGATGATGATGATGCGATCACCTGAATGGACGAAAGACGGGGTGATGAGGAATCTTGCTGCCTACGCCTCGCTTGAGTCATAGGCATCATTACGACTTTGGCATGTATAGATTGAAGCAAAAGGATGGGGAAAAGCAAGCTCGGTGCAGGACTCTTCAGCAGATGGATTTGGTGGGCCGAAGAAAAGTTCGAGGCTCGGGACCTGTGCGTGCGCCCGAACAAGGCGTTTAGATGTATATGACGCGTCTTTGTATAAGTGTTGTAACCAAAAAAGACTTTTGGCGAGTTGACGGGAGTTTACTGGGAGCATGGAGCGAGGCTACTTGGTCCAAGGGCCGTCTTTCATAGGTGTATATATGACGCGGAAATGCAAGAATATCTTAAGGATCACATCCAAACACTAGTGGCACCAGTGATGGGATATGTGACGATAACGAGTTTGTGATAAGAGTTCAGGTATATAAGCATTGAGGGGACCATTCCAGTTTTCACAATGCCTCAGCTGTAACGCGTTGAGAAAGGAGCCTTCAGTCAAATGTGGCTCTCTTCAGAGCTAAATAGTACATCGCCATATGTCTATGTCAATGGCGCAGTATCGTACCAAACTTTTCAATCCATTACCTCAGCATAGAGCAACGACCAACTGGCCATTCTTGCTCCAGGTGGTATGATACAACTTGTGATTATACAACTCGGCCTCGCTGTATAGCGAACCGCACCCAATATTTCCCAAACATCTACGCCAACTTCGCAGGGTCCCCCAGTGCGGTGATTAGCCATTCCTTGACCTTTTCAACGTGGAAGCCCTATGTAACTGTTAGAATTTGGCCAAATACGGTTGCGGGTAGTTGAAGGTGGAAGAACTGTTTCATTCCCCATGCCACTCTCGAGCTACAGGGAAAGGGAAAGGAAGATTTTCGACGTACCTTGACCTGAACGTGTCCTGTGATAGGGTTCAGCTTAACCTCCTCCTCGGCGAAGCCGGCCTCGCGGGCGAGGTCCTGGGCAAACGCCTTCTTGTTTCCCTCAATCTTCTTGACAATGGTGAATTTGGACGAGCCGGCGGCCTTTGTGCGCGCATAGACGGGGAATTGGTTCGCCGGGGTGAGGCTGATGACGTATGGTCTCGCTGTGGTCTTGGGCGGCGTCGTTGTCGTTGTCTTGGCGGCAGAGGATGTGGAGGAGAAGCGTATTGAGGGGAGGAAGGCGGATGTTCTCGGGGTCAGGAGGGAGGTGACTTGAGGCCTGGCGAGGGCGGCGCTCCTGAGTGCTGAGCGCATTTTGAAGTACGTGGTTCGGAACTCTGGGTATCGTTTGAGGCGAAGGGAGAGCGAGGTTTCGGTATGGGGAGGGCTCTGGTGGGCGTTGGCTGGATCTTAGCTGTGACGGAGAGTTGGTACAGAGGTTTCTGGTGGTGAAGGGATTCGCGCCGGTTGAAGCTCGGATCAACTGGGAGCGTGTCGATGGACCGTGCACTAGACATTGAAATCACCGACTCCCCACAGCTTTCCAGAGGTGCAGATGTTCTTAGGTAAGCTGCCGTGGGCCACCAGGTAGCCAATGAACCACAAAACTGTCCTCCCAGTGGTTCAGCGTGTTAGGCGGGAGCGGGAAAACCCCGGCACAAAGCCCCCCACCAAACCTGCCCTTTGGCGAAAATGCCCAAAACTCTTTCTGCCCCTCAGCGGAAAGGAAAAGATTGAGCAAAAGACGATCGCGCAGACCCCGAACCGGACGGCCGACGACACCACACCCCCCCTCCTCCTCCTCCTCCCCTCAGGCGACGACTCCATACCTCGATTTTCACGAATCCGGTATTTTCCAACACTGAAGGAAACCAAAGGTCCAACGTCCTCCGACCGACAACACAAAAATCCCACCCATTCACCACCCGAAAAACACATCTCGCCCATCATGGAGGAAGTCTACGCCGCCCTCGGCGAGGAGAGCATCCTGCCCAAGCTCGCGTCGCAGCTGTCCCGCCACCTTGTCTTCCCTTTGATCGAATTCGAGGCTGGCCGTGCCGAGGATAAGGGTGACGATGCCGGTGCCCGCAAGATCCTGGCCGGCAAGATCAAGCTTCTCGAGGAGACCAACATGGCCGACTACGTCGCCCAGCTGTACCAGGACCTCAACGGCGGCGCCGAGGCGCCTGCCGAGTACGCCAAGAAGCGCAACGAGGTTATTGCGCAGCTTGAGAAGTACGAGCAGGACACGGCCAAGATTTCGGAGCTGTTGACGCGCGAGGACGTCGTTGGCGCCCTCCGCAGCGACAAGGTTGCCAACTTGGAGTTCTTGAAGAAGGATCACGATGTGAGTGGCCTTGTGTCCTTCATACTTTTCCAAAGCTTCACACGCGGGCGCATGTGCTGACTTTAATCCTACCAAACAGGTTACCATCGAGATGGTCAACGCCCTGTACGAGTTTGGCCAGTTCCAGTTTCGCTGCGGCAACTACGGCGCGGCAGCCGAGCTGCTGTACCAGTTCCGTGTCTTGTCCACCGACAACGACCGCGTCGCCTCTGCCACCTGGGGTAAGCTCGCCTCCGAGATCCTCACCACCAACTGGGACTCCGCCGTCGAGGAGATTATGAAGGTCAAGGAGAGCATCGACAGCAAGCTCTTCAACAACCCGCGTGCGCAGCTCGACCACCGCACCATGCTGGTCCACTGGGCCCTCTTCCCCCTCTTCAACCACGAGGCTGCCCGCGAGCCCATCCTGGACCTCTTCTTCTCCGCCGCCTACATCAACACCATCCAGACCGCCTGCCCGTGGGTCCTGCGCTACCTTATCGCCGCCGTCATCACCGGCCGCTCCCGCTCCCGCAGCTCCTCCCTGCAGGCCAAGCAGATGAAGGACATCATCCGCTACGTCCGCCAGGAGGCCTACGAGTACGCCGACCCCGTCACCGAGTTCGTCTCGGCCCTGTACGTCGCCCACGACTTCAACGCCGCCCGCGAGGCCCTCCGCAAGGCCGAGGAGGTCTGCCGCGCCGACTTCTTCCTCATGTCGTCGTCCGACGCCTTCGTCGACGCCGCGCGACACCTCATCTGCGAGAGCTACTGCAAGATCTTCTCCCGCATGAACATCCGCGACCTCTCCGCCAAGCTCGGCCTCAACCCCGACGACGGCGAGAAGTGGATCGTCAACCTCATCCGCGAGACCCGCCTCGACGCGAAGATTGACAGCCAGGAGGGCACCGTCATCATGAACCACCCGCCCAACAATGTCTACCAGCAGGTTATCGAGAAGACAAAGGGCGGCTTCTTCCGCACGCAGGTGCTCACCGCCGCCGTCTCCAAGTAGGATTTGGCTTCGTCGACGCGGGGGCAGCAGCAGTTGCAGCAGCAGAAGCAGCACAAGCAGAAGCAGCAGCAGATGCCTTGGGATTTCTGAGAAGGGCAAGCAGAAGAAGACGCTAGCTTAATGGCCACAACGAATCACATATGAAAAAAAACGATTACCGCACAAAAAGATGGGGAAATTTTGGTGATTCAAAGAAGAAGAAGGGAAGAAACCCGGGTTTCTTTTGCATGACACGATAGACCTACACCGCCAAATCTACGACATCCATGAAGCTTCTCATCTCTCTGGGTGATGAAGCTCTCTTGGCAACGATATTTGGTGGAAAAGGGATGGTGTGGCGGTTTTCGGAAAATAATCGAGGATCCCGGTCATATCACACACACATTACACACAGAGAGAGGAATCCCCGAGGCTTCTTTTTGCATTGGCACGGCGTTCAGGGCAAAAACCGGGGGGGGAACACCCCCCAAAAGGGCTAGTGAAGACGGGTGAAGGCTCGAGACGCGGAAAGAGAGAGAGCCTGAGATAGGGGATGAAAGTAGATTCACCGCACTTATTGAAATGTTACCAGTTTGAAAAAGGAATTACTCTTCCTAGTCGTGGGTGATTGTGATGATGATGGGTAGTGATTGCAGTGGGTTCACTGAGACGCAAAGTTATTAAATGTGGTCTGTATTTGTGATGGAATACGCGTGACGATGTGAAGCTACGTGCGAAAAGGACGCCGTATCCTCAACAGTTTCATATAATCACAACATTAGATAGCCGAGATCTAGCCTCACCAAGCACTTCCCGCGCGGTCCTGCGACTCTAACTTCTTGTGGCTATGAAGCCTCTCACCATGGGACGAATACGCATGGACCAACATCGAGGTCAACAATGGGTGCGAGGGAAGACCCTTTTCGAAAAACATAATCTCATAGGAGGAGAGGATAACAGGATAAACTCCTCTTCATAAGACGTTTCTTCATAACGATAATTTAAACCTCATCCTCTTTCTCCCTTCCCTTCTACTTTGTCCATACACAACCTCAAATACTCCTAAGACTCTGCCCGACCCCGTCCTCCCGACCAGCCATAAACACCCGCCCCTTGAGCTCCTCAACAACACTATCACGCATCCACCACTCCTGATTCTTCTCCCCTTCTGCACCTCCACCTCCCCCACCAACACCGCCGCTAGCCCTGGCAGCCTTGCCCTTAGCCCAAGCACCCCCATCAAGCTGCGCACGTCGATCCGCCCACTCAAACAGCATCTTCAGCCCGAGGAGCCTCTCCCGCGAAGACCCGTCCATACTCCGCTCCAGCACAAGACGAGCGTCAACGGCGGACCCTGAAGTCTCGCTAGCAGCGCCCTCGGAGCTCGTGCTACGGTCCAGAACGGTGGCGCGCTCGGCGTAGGTGAGGTCGCGAAGGGCATCGAGGCCAAATATCCATTCTACCGGATCGCGCGTGCCGTTGTCTGTAACGTCGGCCAACGCATCCCGTCCGAGGGCGCGGAGCGTCGACGTGAAGGGTGCTTCTTGCGCGGGGCGCCGGCGGAGGTAGAGGCTCTGATTCTCCTTGAAGGCGTCAACGAGTGAGGGGTTCTTTTCAAAATCGATTTCGAGGTCCCAAAAGGCTGGGCCTGCGTCGGTGCGGATGCTGGCAATGTCGGCCAGGGGAGGTAGGAGGCAGGGCGTGTTGCGGATGACGGCAACGTCCTCTGCATCATGAGCCCCGTTCATTTTCCTGCGGATCTCGATGGGGGCAGATATTGGTTGGCCTGTTGCGACGTCCTTTGCTACCAGGCAGCGAGGATCGGTGGCCAGGACCCAGAAGTGGCGGAAGGCTTGGAGGTGAGAGCGGTTGTCCATAACCGACGTGGGAAAGATGGGATAAAACGCGATGAGGAGACTGGCGATGGCCATGTTGCTCGTGCCAAAGGTGGCTGTTCCACATCCAAGGAACAAAGACCCAATGGCGAGATGGGCAGCCAAGTGCGAGCCGTACGGAGTATCGGGATCGTCGCGGCCGTGTAGTAGACGAAGACGACGCAGCACAACAAGGTCGCCGGTGCCGGCCATGACAATGGCGGCGGAGAGCGCGAGAACGTCCTGACACATGCGCGCATTGGATCGGGCGAGCTCTTCGTCGTACATGGGATAGTCGTGCGGAGGTGGCCGTGGCGTGGCGGGTATCCGAGAGATACGGATAAACTGGTCGAGATAGTGTATCAAGAGGTCTCGTACCCTCGCTGACGCGCTGCCCGCATAACGCAGCGCGATAGAGAAGCAGATTCCAGTAACGATGCTAAAGAATGGTAGGTCGGTACTCTTTAGCTTGGTGGTATTGACCAGCTTGTACCGGCCACGGTACGCCTTGGGAAGGCTTTCCAAGATCCATTCAAACTTTGGTTCGATTTCGTTCCACATGATTAGGTTCTTGGCGACTGTACGTAGCAGCAAGATATCAGGCCGGATGTAGTCGAACTGGACGATTGACTCTGGCACGTCAATCTTCCTGGCTACGATGTGGTCCTCTGATTTCATGAAAATCAAGGCGAGTGCCATGACTGCACCCGCTGCTGCTCGGTCAAGAACGTGTACCATTTCGACCTTCTTCGTCGCCGTGGCAATAGTGATAAGGCTCTCGGTGAGCCTCAGGTCGTGAAGCCCACGGAGGTCGTTGCCTTTGCCGAGATTGATGAGGCCAAGGGAGAAGCCGGCGGCGAGACGGTAACACTCGCTTCGAAGGGGCTCGTCTTCGTCTTCCTCATCCATATGCTCGATCTCTGACATCATGATCTCACTCATGCGTCTGTGTTGACTGTTGCAATAGAGGAGACCAATTCCCATGACACCTGTAGTTTGGGTCAAGGGAGACAGGTTCAGCTCTGCAGCACCCCTAGGCAGCATGCGAGTAACATGGACCGAGAGAAGACGAGTGATGAGAGAATCCATGGTGCCCTTATAGGATGCGGCAAGCCCCAATAAGAGACCAACCGAGGTCATGGTGTGCTTTGGAGTGAGGTACTTGAAAGCAACCCATTTCGCAATTCCCTTGAGGTGTCCGTTTAGACCCAAAGCAAGTAGAAAGCCCGCGTGTCGATTGCTCAGATCGTGACCAGGCTTATTGTACAAGATCCAAGAGGTGTCGATACCTTTGGCCTCTGGGGAAATGGCAAGCCCGGCCGCCACGCCCTGGTGGAAGAAACCCCAGCAGACCTTTTCTTCCGTGAAAAGTGCCTTGTCGACGCCGACGGTGACGTTTGTTGGACGAACGACGCAATTGAGGTTGAACCCGGCCACGTGAAATTTTTGCGTCAAGAGCGGGTATCGTAAGCTGTAATACAGGAGCGCTCGACCTGCAGGGATGGCCAGAGTGCCCGTAGCAATTCTGGATACGAGTTCCTTCTGTCTTTCGAGATATTCACTCTCTGACCACGCTGCATCGGCTTCCAGACGGACAACACGAGCTCTGTGAGTGGAGAGGAGATTCTGGGCTTCATTGAGGCGACGGTCTTCTTTGAACAATGCTCGGATGACAGCCTGTCGCTCGGTTCCCTGCCCTTCGTCGTACCCATTATTGTTGTACTCATCGACGCTGTGACAGATAGTTCGGTAGTCCCATGACGCATTATGCGTGGGCGTCTGTGACTTGTTAGTAAAGAGTGTCAGAGAGGCCGAAATCATAGAATACTGACAAGAATGTTGGCGCCGCTCTTCTGCAACTTCTTGATCGGCGCCAGCACCATGCTGATATCACCACGGTTGACGAGCTCCAACAGGTCCTTCGGCCATGAAGCAGGTGGCCGAGCTTGACATCTAGCAATTGAGTCTTTGAGCGGTGCAAGCACAGCCTCCGGAAGGGTTTCGAGCACTCGACTGCTGATGCCCGCAGAGTGCATGACTTCGACCATGTTAGCAGCACTGCTGTTTGGTGTGAGCTTTTCGAAGAGCCGCTTGAACATCAGTGTCCTTGGCGTGATAGAAGCCCATCTGGAATCCTTGAGATGCTCTTGATCCGCCTTCATATTTTGTGAGTGATAAAGATTCGCCAGTGTGAGGTAAGGGTGGTATTGGCCGGCGGCAAGACATGTCTGTATCCAGTGGAAGATGTCAAAGTCAACGCCAGACGGTTGCGTAAGGGGGACTTCGAGGCGAAGTTCTGTTTTGGTCAGTATCTCTCCAGGTCCTCTCATACGAACTGCTAACCTGTATCGTAGCGAGACTCCCATTCTTCCTGAATTCCCAGCTCGTACACTGCGACGAAGTCGTGCCATCCCAACCAACGGGCGATTTGACACATGACCACCCGAAGTGGCGCCGTGCCCGGAGAAGCATATTCGGGTGTCATGATCTCCAACTTTTGTTCCTCGAGCAGAAGATGGAGAGCGACGAATACGTTCCAGGCAGCATTGCCACGGTTCTCTGCACTACGTTGTTGTCCAGTCGGCAGGTATCCATTGGCGCCGACGGCCTTCTCGCCAAGCGGGGATGCCAAGTAGCCCTTGGCGTACTGGATGTGAGTAGACATGAACTTGGTGTCTCTAAGACCAGGATTGGGCGAACTGGCAAAATCGTCGCTGCCGTCTTCACCGAGAGTCCAATCCCAGCCTCTTGTTTGCTGCCAGCTGGGGCAGCCCAAAGCATTAGGGGTTTCGTATAAATGCAGAGTGGTCCAGTCCTCAATGTCTTGGATTGACCCGAATGAGCCAGATTGAGGTCTTCGTTTGCCCCTCGAAGGCTTTGTGAGAGATTCTTGTGCGGCATTGGCCTTGCCTAGCGCGAGATAGATGGCTAGAAGCTGAATGACCAGCGCTGACCACTCAGCATCAGCGGCTTCGATCTCCTCGCTCTTCAACCATATCATGATATGCCACCAGCCAGGGAACATCTTCTCTGCGTGAGAAGCAGGGAGAATGCTCCGACAAGCGTCGAGCACTCTTCGCACCTGGTGATTGCGAGGCTGAAGCTGGATTTGAATTTGATGGTACCTGCCATCACCATCAACCATGTCAACGATGCCCCTCGCCTTGGAGTATTTGAGAGCTCCGACATTTCCGTTTGCGACCTCAATGTTTTCAGATTGGCGATGCCGGACATCTCTGTCGACAGCCCGGCCGCGGTAATGCAAACTTCTCACGTTCTCCAATGACATTGGGGGAAGGTTGATGGGTGTGATTTGACTCCATGGCGCCTGTATGCTGAGCTCCCTGCGACCCTCGTGCCCTTCAGATAGAATGAGTATAACCGAAATGTCGCCGTCAGTCACTTTGCATGAGTCCACAACGTGGTGAGCCCGCCGAAGAGCGCCGCAAGCTAACCTCACTGGATCTTCTGACGAGGTTGAGCTTTTGCCCGGCTTGGGTGGAACAAGAAAACGTGGCCCTCGTTGGAGGTCGATTGTCAGGAGTTGAAGTCTCTTATCGAGGGAGTCTTGGATCCCTATGAGCAGCTCACCGCGGAGGGGGTCGTCTACGGCGAATTGTGGTGCTGTCAAGATGAAGACCTTGCAATGCTCACGAGCAGGCTGCCTGGTTAAGGAATATCGCACGTTGGAATTATCCAGAGAAATGGACTGGATCTTTGTAAACATCATTTCCTGCGATAACCCATCGAAGACGTGGTCGTCAAGGCCCATGGTGTGGAAGCCCTCAAAGTCACCGCCGGCTCGAAGTTCTTCCAAAACACCGTCGATGGGAGCCTCGAGTAAGCTGCCAAGACTTGGATGAATGGTCTGATTGTGGTTGAAGGAGCTGTAGCCACCACTAAGTCTAGGCCCCTGACTACCATAAGACTCGATTCGTTTGGGTCCACCGTGTGCTGGGCCAGCCAAGGGTTGCTCAGAGAAGACGGAGCGTTCTTGGGAAGCAGAGAGATCGGCGCGAGCCAGCATAGAGCTCACTCGCCGTGACTGCCTCCGGTTGGCACCGGATTCCTTGTCCAGATCGAAAGACGACACCAAGTCCAGCGGCTTCTCAACTCTGTCCGGCTTTTCGATCTTTTCACTCTTTCTGGATCGCTTTCCCGGCAATGGTGCACCAAAGCTCTCCCGAAAGTTTGTCTGAACTGGCGTCGAGGCACCACTGGCGGCGAAGTGCGGCTGCATGGAGCTACGGCGCCGCTCTGCCCTGCTCTTGTCCTTCTTAAGGCGGCCGATGAAGGGGTCCTCGTTCTTGACATATGTCACTCTCCACACTGCGTATGTACTGGCTTCTCGATTAATGGTGACGGCGAGAATGAGTGGCTCGGCGTTCTTGGTATTGGGTGCACCGGGATGCTTGATTTCCTCCACGTGCAATATCTCTTCTGCTGGATCTAGAAAGCACGGCGCTTTTGCCGTACTCTTCCTCCTCTTCTCTCGAGCGGCACCATCCGGACGAGCAACGATGAGCCCCAACTCTTGCAAAGGATCCAACAAGCAAACCAGACGGGGCCAATGTGAGTCTGGTTGTTCCAATGGTCCCTCCCACATGTTTCCGAGCGTCGAGCTTAGCCTCAAGGGTAACGACTTGGGCTTGTTTAGACCCTCTACGGAGAAAACCGTATGTTGTGAGCTTCGTGGGGAAGTGACGGTGATTTGCGAAGAGACGAAGGAGTTGGGCGGCACTTTCGGAAACTTGAGGGAGACAGGCGCAGTGGTATCTCCTCGCTGCTTGCGCTGGATGATGACACCCTGGGGTGCTGCGCAGGCTGCCTCGACCTCAAAAGGCATGTGAACAACATGGCTCGTGCCGGAGAGGAAGTAAACGTGTGCTTGTGTGCGTAGAAAGACGACTAAGGCTCGGGATAGACGACGGGGTTCGGTCGGTGTTTCTGGAGATTTGCTCTTCGGGGTATGCTGCGGCGTCTTTTTGCTGTAGTCGGAAGTGGGAAAGGAAGCGAGTAGGGCCTGAGTGACGGGCTCTTTTTCTAGGTCGAATTTGTAGGATTTGCGAAAGACGCCCCCGCGGCTCCAAACGACGCAGTTCTTGGTGACCAGTAGCTCATCTTCGACCTCGGTGGTATCGTCGTATTCGTTATGATCGGGATCGGTTGATATCTCCCATGCGTAGGTCGACGGCGGGGCATCTTCGTGAGCTGTGTGTTGGAGGCCGCTAGGCTGGTGCAGGCCTAGAGACTTGATGGACGCCATTGTGATCCCCCATGTGAGTTGTGAGGAGAGTCGGAGGTCTAATCAGAGCATTCCGAGAGGTGGAGTTCTTGAATAGGGCGGGTTGGCCATCACAGCCTTGGCAACCGGTGTGAAGTTTGCTGTGCTGGAAGTTCGCGACAAGACGGTGGTGGTGGTGATGCTTCCACTCTTTTTTCTGTTGGAGTCGCGTCCCAGTAGCCCAAGAACGCGAATCAAAGCTTCCGGCACTGCAGCCAGCGACCACAGGTTCAACGGGCAGGCTCAATCCACTATATTTTGGGTTGACGGGTGGGGGAGGGGCATCCCTACAGCGGTGTCTACGCGATTGGAGGAGAAGCTCACAGAGGGCCCACCAAGATACCAGGTACTTCTTCAGGTACCTTTCGTCAGGAACAAGCTCTCCGCCGTGCCTCAGGCGCAGGTGCACCGCAGCGCAGTTCTTTCCAGGGTACCTGCACTGCTGTGGAAGCTCCCACCGCTGTGGTAGCTCTTCGGGTACGTACCGAGCACGCCTCGTGACGTAGCGGACTTGCGCGACAACTCATTCGAAGAGCAGCTAAGCTCCCCATCCTCTCGACCTCACCAGACCGACACAGCCCAAGGAGCTTGTCGAACCCGATCCGAAGCTCAGGGTAGCTCCCACCTTTGCGCCAAATCCCTCCATTGCATCTTTCGCTTCTCCAGGCCGAACCCGCCACCTCTCTCTCCTACTCATCGACCACACGACAATGCCAATGCGAGCTTCGAGTTGACGGTACATCCAGCACAATGACGGACGCTTCCGATCCCGATCGCGATGGTCCTACCACTGCACAGAAAGGCAAAGGGCCTGAGACGGCCGAGGCTGTGACTGCGCCGGGGGAATTGGTCGCGAACAAGTCCGGGAAGGCGTTGAAGGATGGTGATGGCACGGACGACAAAGAGGAGGAAGAGGATGAAGAAGAAGAAGAAGACGAGGACGATGATGATGACGAAGAAGACGATGACGACGACGATGAAGACGACGAAGATGAAGACGATGACGAGGAGCCCCGGCTGAAGTACGCCAGGCTCACTCAACACCTGGGGCCCATTTACCGCAATGGTGATGCGACCAGCGCGTTCCTCGTCGCGGGTGACAAGATGGTAAGGTCGCACGTCAGGTGCAACTCCAAACGGAAACTGACTGCCAATAGATCATAGGAACGCATAACGGCAACATCCATGTCATCCAACTGCCCATGTTCCAATCTCTTCGCGTATACCATGCCCATTCCGCCTCCATCACCAGCATCTCCATTTCCCCGAATCCGCCTCCCTTACCGACAGCAAGATCGGAAGCAGTGCAAAGACTCGCTGCAGAAGCTGCCGAAAGTGTCGCAAAACAACGACCACCCTCCCGCCAGTCGGGCGCTTCCCCTGCCGCAGCCTCGAGAAGGCCTAAGGATCCTTCTCCCGTCTCAAATACACCCTCTAATAACGTCCACATCGCTACATCGTCTATGGACGGCAATGTCTGCGTCTTTTCCCTCGTAGATACAAAGGACGTTCAGCTGCGAAATTTTGCGCGCCCTGTACAAGCCGTGGCACTCTCCCCTGATTACAAAAATGATCGGACTTACCTCTCGGGTGGTCTCGCTGGACAACTTATCCTAACATCCGGCGGTCAGCCGGGTCGAAGTACCTCAACGACCGTGGGAACGGCAGCTGCCACCGCTTCTGGCTGGCTTGGTAGCATGGGCCTGGGTACCAACACGGGCAAGGACACAATTTTGCACTCTGGCGAAGGCACAATCAATAATATCAAATGGTCACTCTCCGGCAAGTACGTAGTCTGGCTAAACGAACACGGCGTCAAAATCATGCGGTCAAAGTTGCACTTGGAGAGTGCCGACGCTGACGATGCCTGGAAACGCATCGGTCACGTAGATCGCCCTCAAACAGATGAGTGGGAGACCATGGCAAGCGTCTGGAAAGGACGTGTCGAGTGGATTGACGAGCAAGCTGTCGAGACCGAAGATGGGGAAGCCGGGCGCAAAGACGTTGGCGCAACGCTAGCATCCGAGGGCTCAACGCAACAAGGAACCTCGAGTACCAAGAAGATCGAAAGGCTCCTGGTTGGCTGGGGAGGCACGATCTGGATCATCCATGTCCACCCTGGCAGTGTCGGTACAGGTAAGCATGGCGAAAAGTCGATCGGACGCGCCGAAATCGCCAAACAGTACGTACACTCTCCATGCGCTGCGTAGAGACTCGTAGCTAACACCTATGCAGCCTTCGTATGGATTGCATCATTTCTGGAATTTCGTTATATACCCAAAATCTTCTCCTTGTACTCGCATATGTATTACCAGACGACGACGAAGACGACGAGGATGAGAAAGCTACCAAGGGCCACAAGTCGAAACTCTCAACGACATCCGCGAGCAGCGAGCCATCTGGTGGGATACGGCGCCGCCAGAACAATCTACCGCCAGAACTTCGATTGATCGACCTGAGCTCCCAAGCCGAAGTCGATAAAGATGGCCTTAGTGTGAGCAGATATGAGAGGCTTTCATCAGGTGACTATCATCTCGGAGTTCTCCCTGCACAAAATGCAGCCTCGGCGGTGGCTTCTTCCCGGGGTGCTTTGGAAGCAATCACTGGATTTGGCTCAGATATGTGGAATGCGGCCATCAACCCTAGGACATTATTTAGCTCTGGTGCCAGCATCAGGAGTGGACACAGCGGAGATGGCGTCTCGAGCACGCAAGTCCCAAGTTCGGTTGGTGGCCCTCGAAGGTCAGGAACGCCTACAATCCATCCCAACCTCATCAAGCCTGGTGTCAAGATCTTCATTCACAGCCCGTTCGATTTCATTCTCGGAACGAAGAGAGACCTCGGCGACCACTTGGGCTGGCTGCTGGAGCACCAGGATTATCAGAAAGCATGGGAGTTACTTGACGAGCATCCCGAGATCATGGCTGCACCACCAGAGAACCTTCACGAACTTGTCCCAACAACGCCAGACAGAAAGCACAGTAGCCAGGAGGACTTTGACGACGCCTCGTCAGTCATGGGATCTACGGGCCTGGCAAGACACCCTAATTCCTCGGCGCAGAGGGAGAAGAGACGCATTGGCGAGCTCTGGATCCGAGAGTTAATCGAGGCAGGTAGTTGGGCCGAAGCCGGTAAAATCTGCAGCAGAGTCCTCGGCTCCCCCGATAGATGGGAGAAATGGGTTTGGACATTTGCTGGCGCGGACAAGTTTGATGAAATCACGGACTACATCCCTTCGGAGCCGATGTACCCGCCGATTCCAGGCACAATTTACGAAGTCGTTTTGAATCACTACATTCAGGCAGACAAACTGAGATTCAGAGAACTGCTAGACCGCTGGTCGCCCGATCTCTTCGACATCAAGACGGTTACCACAGCCTTGGACAATCAGCTCAAGTACCGCGATGTGCGAGAAGACAGCGTTGAGGGGGGCGAGAAGGGTCGCGACTGGAAGATCGTGATGGAATCCTTGGCACGTTTGCACGAGGCCAATGGACGCTTCCGGGAATCGCTCAAATGCCACATCAAGCTTCAAGATGCAGACTCTGCATTCCGCCTGATTCGCGATAACCATCTCGCCGAAGCAGTGACTGACGACATTCCCGGCTTCATCGGATTGCGCGTGCCGAATAAAAAGCTTGGTACCATGGGACCAGATGAGCTCGAAGCCGCCACCTCGGAGGCCATCACTCTCCTCGTTGACGAAGCACAGCATGGTCTTGTCAAGCCTTCTGTGGTTGTATCGCAGCTTGAAGAGAAGGAACTCAATCTCTACCTCTTCTTCTACCTGCGCGGTTTGTACAAGGGTGAGGGCATTGAAGAGCATTCCGGGGAGACTCGCGACAGGCTATTGATGGACAGCCAATCCCAAGTTAACGAATTCGCGGACCTGGCCGTTCAACTGTTCGCCAAGTACGATCGGGGCCTTCTGATGAGCTTCTTGAAATCGTCGACATCATACAAATTCGAGAAGGTGAGTGATCATTGTTGATCATTATTGATGGCGATGCACTGGCATTACCGAGGTCCAGTTTGTAGACTAACGACCGCAGGCTGTTCAAGAGTGCGAGAAGTACAGGTACGACGACGAGCTAGTACATTTGTACTCAAAGACGGGCGAGATGAAGCGAGCCCTCTATCTCATCATTGATCGCCTGAAGGATGTCAAGAAAGCCATCGACTTCGCGAAGCAACAAGACGATCCTGATCTCTGGGATGACTTGTTGAACTACAGCATGGACAAGCCGAGCTTCATCCGCGGTCTTCTCGAAGAGGTCGGAACGGCCATTAATCCCATCAAGCTTGTGAGGCGTATCCCCGAAGGACTCGAAATCGAAGGCCTAAGAGAGGGCTTGAAACACATCATGAAGGAACACGAGATTCAATACAGTATCAGCTCGGGTGTTGCGCGAGTGCTCCGAAGCGAGGTCGCGGCTGCCCAGAATGACCTGCGCAGTGGGCAGCGAAAGGGAATCAAGTTTGAAGTCGTGGTTCAATCAACGGATCATGTCGACGTCAAGGTGAGAGATGTCGTACATCCGCCAGTCAGTGCGGAGGAGGTGGAAGAGAGTTTCTTCAAAGCACCAGAGGCTGTGGAACAACCGGGCCACACACATCAGCCTCCGAAGCCAGGCCACTGCGCTCAGTGCCTCGAGTCTTTTACAGAGTACGAGATGGAAACTTTGGTCGGTTTTGCCTGCGGGCATGTCTTCCACCAGTCCCATCTAATGGAGATGCTTTACCCCGGCAAGCGACAAGAGGCCGATTTTGGGATGGCTAGCGAGGAGTCGATCCGGAGCGGGTACCGCGTTGGCTCAAAGGTTACGCATGCGCGCTTGCTCAAGGACCGAGTGCGGGAAGGTTGTCCTGTCTGTACGCATGGGGCGGAATTACCGGTGTAGAGGAGGTCGTGATATCCAGCGATGAAATGCATTTGGTGACGGCGGTGTAAGTTAGGTCACTTTCCACTTCTGAACAACCTGGGCCGACTTTAATAGTACGTTTCCTGCGTAAGCTTTTTCTCGTCTAATTCTTGATTATCTAAGTGCTAATGATCTTCGTGCTACTGAGTAGCTCTGGCAGAAGGAGATCACAAGCAAGGGAATATCAGGCTGTGTAACTGAAGAAACAGTTACTGTCCTGTAGAAATAATCGGGGCGCAACCCGGGCTTCACCTATCCAGGATCCTGATCAATCAGACATGCAGATGAGACGCCTCCGATATCCAAAGTGCCCGTTCCACGTGTTGTGACCACAACCAATGATTTTACCGCTGCGGTTACTACGCCGCAGTTCATCGCGACGACGATTGCTCCTCTCCACACCTCGCCTTCAATTTTCCCCTTACAGGAAAACTTCTCATACCGCTCAGCCAGGCCAGCCCTCAACTCTTCCGTCTATAGTGGTCACTAGGCTTCATCCGCATCTCGATTGATATCTATCCGCATCTCACATCGGCTTATATCGATTCGGACTCATTATATCGGGGGTCGAAGCACGACGGCACATTTGAATGGGTATTCGAAGGGCTGGATTCTAGTGAATACTCAACTTCTGACTCTGGGCCCCACGACTATAGGGACTTTGAGACCACTAGCGATATAAATGATCCTGAATACATGTCTTGGCCGAGGTGCCAGAGACGCGAGAAAGTCGCAGAAGCCAGGCGAAATCAAAAAAACGCCGATCTGCTAGGATGGCTCTAGGGACATAGATCTGGCAGGTTCTGGATTAGTGGGAAACCCGGATCTAGGAAGAGCACATTTATCAAGTCTATAATGTCCGATAAGCGAACATTGATTTCTTTAAGTGACTAGCGTCCAAGACCGGAGATAATTACGTATTTCTTCTAGAAGCCTGGGATACTCCTTTAACAGAACTTTTAAAGTTTACTCTACTCCTTACCCCACCAAGTTCTAAATATAAACGTCGATATTTATGCCCAGCTTCTCCGCAAGACGCCTAAACTGAGGCGTAAATATAATGAGACTAACTAGGATACAGAGGAATTAAAACGACTTCTTCTCATAACGCTTGGCTCCAGTAATCGCTCCTACCTCATTATCTTAGATGGACTGGACGAGATAGCTAAACCACACCGAGGACTAAAAGAGCTTTTCGACTTCCTAAGTAAATTGATGAAATACGAGCGGGTAAAAGTCTGCCTATTAAGTCGTCCCGAAAGAATTTTCCTGACAAAGTTCTCTTCTTATCAACGCCTACAAATATACGATATGAACTTCGAAGATATTTACGATTTCACTATGAAATCCCTTAATGACCTAGGCCTTATACCTTATGATAGAATGCAGCATTTGATCGCATATTAAATCTTAGATAAGGTAGATAGCGTCTTCTTTTAGGTCCATCTAGCGCTTCAAAACGTCAGAAACGGAGTTGTAGAGCTTGACGAAGACTGGGATGATGTTTACCAACGTATCCTTGAGCTACCGCCGGAACTCACGGAGCTGTACAAAGACATGTGGTCAAGGTTAGATCAAAGGAAGGAAAACTATGTCGAAATGGCAGCTCTTTACTTCAACATTACGCGTTGGGGAGGATCCGGATTGACGCTTGCCCATCTTGCCGTAGCCACGGACAACGCCAGCCTGGAGAGCTTCACGGAACGGGATGAGTTGCCTACGCCAATGGATCTAGTAAAGAGATGCAACCACATGCATAGGACTCTTTTTTCGATTTGTGCTGGAATGTTGGAGACCCAAAGCTCTTTCTCAGATTTGTTTCCACACCAAAGCAAATTGGGCAATCGCGACGATCGGGGCAATTTGAGTCTCCTTCAAACAAACGACGTCAGCGATCTGTATCTTGCAATGGAAAGATGGGACTCCAAGGCGTCAATTGTCACATTTACACACAGAACTGCGATGGACTTTCTTGACAGCGTCGAAGGACAGAAGCTATTCGGAAAATACACGAAAAGCGATGGCACAATTCACTCGAGAATCATCAATGCCGCTATCATCCTTGGATGCACGCCCTACCATCGTGTATACCCGTTCTCCGGGATCCATAGAGTCCTGGATGGGCTTGGGGGTTGGTCGCAGCGTTCGAATCGAGTTTATGATTTGTTTTGTCGCGCTCATCAACACGCTGACATAATTGACGACTTCTCAACGGGACCTCCATCTTTCAGCAGTCATGACTATTTCATACTCCTCGCTTCAAGTCGTATGTATTATAAATACGTTACGCAAGTCCTTCGGCTTGAGGGAGACGACTGTGCTACGACGACGGCTACCGCTCTGGCGGGGGCAAGCTGCTGTGTCTATATGCATGAAGACGACGAGCATGAATCTGAAAGGTATCGTTTCATGCGAATGTGCATAGACTACCTCTACTTAGGACAAGTCGTGTTGAAGATGGACTTGGACGATTCCAGTCAACTTCTTATCGCATGGCGTTGTTTTCTACTGAGCAATTTGGAAGATGCGATTGACAAGGGTGTAAAAAGGGAAGAAGACATATTGGCGGTAATAGAGTCTTTTATAACAGCTGGTGTTCTACAGCGACAGCCACCGCCGAGGTACCTGGTCCTGGTTGAAAATTATTACATGTGGAGGATACCAAGTCTTCGCCAAGTCGCTGAATTTGGGCCTGGCAACTTCACCGAAATTGACATGCCTGACAAAGCGAAACTGTTTCTTGAAGTTGACGACACTTTCATCTTGTAGCAGCTGTGCAATCGGATGTCTAGGCCGTCAGAATTCATCATCTCCCTTCTGCAGGGCGTGGAGCATGCCATGGTGCGCCCAATTTTGGCACGGAATGAAAGCTCCGGGGGGCTAACCCCAGACTTTTTCACTTGCACCCTAAGGAATCAAGCGGATGAGGAAGACTTTGTGAACTGGATCCTTGAAGAGTTCTCAGCAGGGGGGCGAGTCACAAGATTTCCAGAAGGTGGACCTGATTGCTTGGAATTGGTAAATCGAGGAGTATATGGGGACTATTTCGAGGCTCTGGAAGATGTTGGATATCCGATACCGGATGTTAATCGAAAATACGTGTGGTGGGATATCCATTATTAGGTGTTAACTAGGAGTTCTGGCCACAGTGGCGAAGCCCGAGTGTAGCTGCAGAAGCTGCCCATTGTGTACGATAGGGGCCTGACGCCTAACTCTACGTGTTTGACGTTAGAATTCAAAGAAACTCCCATCCTTCAATGGGCGACTCATATATAACCCTGTCGTTGTCCGCCATTTGTCAATAACCTTGGTGCTTAGGTTGGCGGAAAGGGAGCACGGGCCGGTCGGGAGATCATCTACTTAGGTGTCTCGCTCTCCCCCGACCCCCACGCCGTTCCAGGAACCCCACGTCCCCATTTCCCCCTGGTGCTGCCGCCACAACACGTCACGCCTCCAACCTCGGCTTGGAGAGTGTGTTGCGTTAACCTCTCCTCCCCCAACTCATGCATTCCACGACGTATGCAAAGGGGAAACGATATGGCGTACTGGGATACCTACCGGAGCCGGGCTCAACAGAGGCTGAGTTGTGAGTTGCCCTTGCCCCCCGTCCCCTACAATGCCATGCCTTCAGGGGACAGGAGAATGACAAGTTCAACCAAAGACGAACGCTAACTGAGCTTTTGGAATAGATGGGAGCTAAATAGAAAACAATCTCCCCTCCTGCGCCTCCCCCCAGAGATACGCAACAAAATTTACCGTCTCCTCCTCTCCAACATGGGCATCCACGTCCTCCACGATCCGAAAACAGGATCCTTCCACTGCCTCTCCCTCCGAGCCGGCGCGAATCCCTGGACTTGTGTCCCCACGACCACGTCCCCGACGAGGCAGATACTAGAACCAGAAAGAAAAAGCCCCAAGACCAAGAAGAAGAGATCACGATCGGTCCTCGGACGAGGTCTGACGCTTCTGGTCCTAGTCTGCAGACAACTCTACCACGAGACGGAACTTATACCCTACCGCGAGTGCGCGTGGAGTTGGGCTACGCCTGGGTTGATGGAGCGGCATTTGCTTGTGGAGAGGCGGATGGGAATTGCGCAGAGGAGGGTGTTGAGGGAGGTTTGTGTTCGGGGGATCCAAGGGTTTGGGAATTGTAGTCGGAAGGTTAGGGGGTCTTTGGTGGGGTTGGAGGTCATTTGGTTTTGGGAGGGGACGGGTGGCGGCGGTAGCACGGGGGAAGGGAAGGGGAGAGAGAGGGGGTGTGGAGGGTGGGTTTGTGAGATTGTTGAGAGGGGGAGGGTTGAGGTTGGTGTTGGGAGGCCGAACTGAGGGTCTTGACGATGGTGATGGCGGCGCTTGGTGGTTTGGGAGGGGTTGTTTGAGGCGAGGATTTGAGGGCATCGTGAGCTTGTGCTCTGCGGCGTCTATGAGACATGAGGCTATGAGGCTGATGATATTGGGCACACAAGAGGGCACCATACTTTCACGATACATGGGGTAGACTACGAGTATGAATTTCGAGCCTTCAAAGTGTCTGTCCCCTTACTACGGGAACGACATTAAACCAACTTGATGCCCCCCTACCTCTGTCGCTAAGCGCCGACAATCGCCTCTACCATCTCCACGAAGCCTGACTCTGTCCATCTCGGCGCTTCTGACCTGCGATTCATAGAATGATAAATAACCCCCAAAAGCGCAACAAGATTTGACACAACTAGAACAGGCAGGAACCTTCCGGGCCAACTCCGGCCACTTTCGGAGCGACATGCCGGTGGTGCACCGTAGTTTTCGGGGCTCTCGGCCCCGTGGACCCACACCGGGCCAACCACAGTTGAACGACACACCAAGCTCAGCACACCACAAGGGAATCCATCGCCTTGGGAACGAAGGTATTTTCACATGGAGAGAAAGTGGAAGGAGCGAGATCACGGTGGGTTGTTCTAGGTGCTTTGGTAGGTGCTTTGGTAGGTGCTCCCGGGGGTGCTTTAGGGAGCTTGAATAAGGGGGCGGAATAAGGGTTCCTTTGGTGTTCTTGGCCCGCGGTGGGCGATGGGGGATGTTTTGGTGATGTTGCGATGTCGAAATAGCTCTCTATGCAGATAAGACGTTGATTTGATTACTCTGTGAAAGGACGGTTCATTGATGACGATGTTGATTGAACCTCTATCCGCCGTTTACACGAAAGCTTAATTTTGGCGGCTGGCTCTATGTGATGAGGGCAGTAGCAGACCGAGTGGATGTCACAACGAGAGGCTTCCTTGGTGTTCTGATGCGCGGTCAGCGCTGGGTTCTACCCCAGTGGCACTGCGATTCCGTAATTCTCTTCAATGTAGATACGTGATGATGGAAGCTTAGAGACAACAGTTCTTTGGTCAATGATAAAATTCTCTGGTGATGATAATGGCGATGGCGATTCCAACCGCCGTCCGCGCGGGGACGATCTTCTGGCTGTTGGTTCTGCATGATGGGCGTAGCTTGTATGGGGATCCCACCAAGGGCGTCTTTGGTGTTTTGACGCGCGGTGAGCGCTGTTTTCGTGTCCCTTCGACGGCTGTGGATAATTGGAAGTGATACTGGAGCCTTTTAATATTAAGCCATGGGTCTCTCCATTTACGACTTCCTTTTTTGCCTGAAGCTCTAGAGTGGTTATACTTTTTCTCACGAGTCCTGCGTGAAAACCGCAATAGCTCTGTTGGATTTAGAGGATGCTGAAGTTCTGCGGTATTGATCGTTGGATATCTTCATTCAAGGTATTCTTGGTGTATGGTGTTGAGTCTCAATAACGGCGATGGTCCTGCTTGTGACTCCAGCCTCAAGGCCGCAAGCTGTACTGAGAGGCGTTTCATTCTCATCGCTTTCGATACGTCGAGGCGAGGCTGCCTTTGACGATACATCATAGGATTAACCGAGCGAAGTACAATCACTTAGGGGAGCCCTTGAATGATGGCGACGTACTGCGAATCCAGAAGCGCGTTACATCGTAGCAACGGCGTGACGGCGTCATCTCTGCCTTCAGGAAAAACACCATAACAACACTCGAACTAGCATCGCGATGGCGGGTTACAGTCACCTCACGTTTTAAGAGAATGAGATACATCAAGAGCAAGACATCAAGCGCATTGCAGAGTACAGTCACAGAATGAGAAAACAGAGAGAAGTTGGTGACGAGGTAATGTCAATTTTCTGTACTGAGTCCTGGGTCAAGTGAATGCTAGCTGATGCATCCGAAACCTTGTGCCTTGAAGAACCTGAAACCCTTGTAGTCCTTGATGAAGTTCCAATTCCTTAGCCATACCAATTCCCTAAGCCATCCATCCCATTCCGGCTATTTCAAGTGAAGAACTGCCAGTGACCGAATAGCTAGACTTGATTTCCTTAAAGGAAATACATGAGAATGGCTCCGGCGATGGCGCACACAACCACAACCTCAGTCTTAGAAGCCTTGGAGGAAGGGGTGGGAGTGGCGACAGTCTGAGTCGCGGTGCCAGTGGTGGAGGTCTCCTTTCCAGTGGAGGAGACAGAGGTCTCAGTCTTGGTGGAAGACTCCTTGGTGGAGGAGGTAGTTCCAGTCTCAGAGACGACGGACGAGGTCTCCATGGCAGTGGTGATAACCGGGATAGAGACGGCGAAGGTCTCGGTGATGTACACGGCCTGGCACACCTCGGAGGTGACCTGCGAGCAGATCGAAGAGGTGCCAACTGTAAGAAACAAACGCATTAGAAAATTGCGAATTCAAAGCAGAACTGTAAATGAAACTTGCTGGAGACGGAGGGCTCGATGATGCCGGTAGGGTGACCCTTGCTGGGATCCTCACTCAGGGTGACGAGCTCATAGGAGCCAGTGTCTGGATATGTGTGTGAGCCTTGAGACCATGCTGCGCGAAACACGAGATTGGGAAACTTACTGGAAGCATCGCCATCATGGCCTCCGATGATAGGCTCAGGAGTGAAGGTAGGGCTGGTGCCCAGGTAAAAGGTGTAGCCCTTAGCGATAGTAGAGGGACGCATGGTTGCGATTGGATGAGTTGATTGGGGAAGTGTGTGTGTTTGTATTGATGAATCTGTTGATACAGAAAGCAAGAATGAAAGATGCTGATGAGCAAGGAAGTGTGTGTGTGGGTAGCGAAGTGGGAAGTGTGTGTGTGGAAGAGAGGAAGTTTGGAAGAGGGAGAGCAGGGAAAAGACGTTTTTATAGAGGGCAGTCTGGAAGGGAAAGCGAATAGATCACCCAAGGCAGCCTGGGTGGTTGAACCACCCTTCTCGATACCTTAGGCCGTGTGAACCATGAGGCCATCGAGGAGGAAGTTCGTGATAGTAGGAGGTACGTACGTACCCCTGGGTCAACCTGTGATTGGCCGATTGGGGTGGTTTTGCGGGTTGATCATCTTCTTTTTGAAGGCGAGAGCTATGGACGGGGTGTGATAAATGGAAAGAGTGCTTTGCAATATTCTCATTGACCGATTAATTGCTAATTGCTCAAGTCACACATTCAAGATGTGAAAAGCGGATTTAGTGAGTCTGGAGGCGGGTGAGGCAGATCTCAGAAAAAGGCGAGAGCCAGGGGATACAGAAGTTTACAAACAAGGCGAGAGCCAGCGGGTCAAGAGTAACACAAAGGGCGAGAGCAGACAAACTGGAGCACATGCCCATGAGATTGGTGATGTGTACAGCTTGCTTTAAAGCTTGGGACAGTAGATCACAGAAAAGGCGTGAGCCAAGGGGTTAGAGGTTCTCCAACCTCCATATGGGCTAGAGTAGAGGACATGGATTGATTGAATGGTTGTGGTACATGTTGTGGAATTAGTGAAAGGGATAAGCCAAAAAGAGAGCACATCAGCTCACAAACAAGACGAGAACCAAGGGGTCAGAGGCAATCTTGAAAGGTGAGAGCAGACCACTTGGAATCCATGATAATGGAATTGTTGATGGGGATTACCCAAGAACAGGGCACAGAAGCTCACAAATAAGGTGAGAGCCAGCGAGTCAGAGCGAGCTTCAAAGGGCGAGGGTAGGCAATGTGGGCTACATGATCATCATACTATGGCTGTAGAAATCTTGCTTGAGTGAGCCAAGAGGTAGACTGAGCAATTCACAAGTAAGGCGAGAGCTGAGGGCATCGGAGGTCAGCACCTAAACTCTGCAATCCTCAAAGAACGATAGCAAAGGACCATGGGCGAGGAAGACCTCCCAAAGAGGCGAGAGCAGAAGTACTGGTTCACAATGGTAATTTTGCAAGGTAGGGCAGACTTGCTCTCGCCTTTTTGAGATGGTCACAGCAGCAGCTAGCTCACAGAACAGGCGAGAACTAAGGAGAATGAAGGCGGGCCTCAAAAGGCGAGTGCAGTTGGTTATGAGCGGCATTTTCGTCTCAAAGGGGCGAGAGCAGATCAAGAATCCCCAGCCCGAATGTCAATGAGGGGATTTGCTTCAGTGAGTCTGGACATGGGCGAGCTAGCCCATTGAGGGGATTTTGGGCAACGCAGGATTAAAGAGGCGAGAACAGACGAAAAGGTGAAAGCAGATGGAGAGGGATGGCAGTTTCGTTGGAAAGAAAGCAGTGGATGAGGAATTTAATAAGGTGAGAGCAGACGGTTATGGGGAGATGAACTGCCTCATATTCTGAAAAGGCGAAAGCAGAAAGCATTAAATGGCTGTTCCTCGGTTGGTAAGAGTACTCAGTGACATGTTTCCTGGACTGCTTGCCTCAGCTTATTTCTTATGAAGACAGAAAACATGGAGAGATTGGTGGGCTGACTAGGTTGCCTAGGCCTGTGTTTTTCTAAATAGACAGAAGGAATCCTCTGATGACTTCTTCACTCCAAGATGGGACATTGTATGGCCTAAGCTTTGGACGAAGCTCAACTAGAGGCGTGTTTGGATGGAATGCTTCATTGGATGTTTAGTCAGATGTGATAAGAATATCTCACATGAGAAAGAGCAGTAGAAACAGACGAAATACAGGAAATACAGCTGTGGAAGGTTGGGTGAATGCTTGATCAATGAAGGAATTTGGGTACAGAAATATTACGGAAAGCTAGGCTTGGGGGTGGCCACAGTCATGAATGGGTGCATTTGATCAAATTGTTATGGTATCTTCTTATGGCATTGTGCAATGCTTCTCTAATAGGCAGTGTTCAGGGCGATGGTGGGTTCTGCAGTTTCGTTAGCTCATATTCTGGGTGAACGCAGTTGTGCGGAGACGGGAGCTATCAAAGAGGTCACAAAACTCCCCTTCAGCGCCGACAACTCAACTTCAGCGCAGGAAACTCCAGAAGACTACAGAAGCTTCTGGGATTAATTGAGACCATTTGGAAATCTTTTCGAGGGTAGAAGTATCTCATTTGTTGTGATGGCTTCAATATTGAGAGCATTTCTATAATCGTGTAAAGCCAACTCAGCGGTGTCCCATTGCTTTCTGGTGCGACTGTGGAATTGAATGCCGTGCGAATAAGCAGAAAGTTTTTGATAATGTCAAACTAGCGTCTAGGCCCTCTATGGTAGAGAAGTGTTGAGTTATCCCTCAAACTTGAGAAAACATGAGCGAAGTGGCGGTATGTAAGAAAGCGAAGGAAGCCTTCAGCAGATGGACGTTTTGCTTGGGCATCACTGTGGTTGGCAATATGGTCAACAAGGCTGATTGTTTGAGCCTGAGGAATCCATCCATCTCATAAGAGCATCAAGCTGTTGTGGTTTGATATGCCGCGTTGTGGAAATGCGTGTTTCTTCTCTCGGTCTAATTTGAGAAAAAAAGCTTTAGTTCAACCTCAAGCTAGAAAGTTGGAAATAAACATAAATGCCATCAATCTTCAATAAGCATCATGCTATTCTACCAGAGGAGTATTGACTTGTTGATTTCCACACTCTTGAGACCTGTATATAAAGAAAAGACACAAGGTGAGGTAATGGTCCCACCATAGTTTTCATACATTTCCATCTATAACGCAGAGTCCCCAAGGCCAGAAGTTCTCGATGACGGCTGCGTCTCTGTCTATGATCTTCAGCGCAACGAAACGACTTTGAAGGCCCTGTATGTGTATGCTGTTGTCCGAGCCCATGAGGTAAACTACACACTAGATTGCCTGCGAGTGCAGACCTCAGGGGGAGGAAGTAGACGAGATAACATCATGCCGCAATTGACGAGGATAGTACTTATTGGAAAGAATGCTACGAGTTACTGGAGTTGAATCGTCTTCCTCGGCGAACTTAAATGTGTAGATGCGATGATTGAAAAGGGAAATGCTTGTGTAGTTTCAGAAATGTGGAGTCACGATAACACCAATGAATCAGAAGAAACCGGTGGTTCGGAAGCAGAAACACATGATCATCAACTTAGTATACACGTTCAAGAGTTGTGTGATGGTTCCAGCAATACAAGTCGTCATCGTGAAGTCATTCAGGCAACATAGATGAGGTCAGAGAGAAGCGATATCGACTTATAAGGGGGTATCATTCATCATTAACATCATAATTACCACAAAACCGATCAGACAACACCACCCCAACTTCTCCCTTCACCCAAAAATCCCAGCAACAACAGCCATAACACCAACATAAACCCCCGAAGCCAACATCCCCTCCGTAGCAGCCACCCTCGCAGGACGATCCGCCCCAAGACTACTAAACAACCCCGCCTGTGCCACACCAGCAGCAACGCCAACAGCAACAAGCAGCACAACAGCCATCCGCCCCACGAAGCCCGGGATCACAGCAAACGCTAGTATCGGCAGCAAAAACGCCGCAGCGAACGCGATGGCGAGGGTAGGGAGGTACCCCGTCAGAGCAGAGATTAATAAGCGGCGGACACGCTCTGCTCTATCTGCGCTCTGATTTTCTGGGGTTAGAGGGGAGGACGGCGAAGGTAGGTTTGCGTTGCGCGGTTGAGGGGTGCGGAGATCGTCGCTTGAGAAGCTGGAGTTTGAGGTGGTGGAGGAGGAGGAGGAGGTTGGGCGGGCGAGGGAGACGAGGTCGTCTTGGGGATCGAGGAACCGTGTTTCGATTTCGGCTATGGGGTTGTGGTTTGCGAGGTAGGCGCGGTAGAAGTCTACGTCCTGGGGGTCTGGGTTGGGGAGGTGCTGGGTTTCTTTGAAAGATGAGAGGACGTGGTCTGCGGCGTGTTAGCGACGAGACCGGAACATGTGAGGTGAGGTAGATGAGGGGACTTACTGTACTGACTAAGTTTGTAGCCAACCTTGCCTAGGATATCCGTCTTATGCCACTGCAGCTCGCCCGCGGTGAGTGAATCCTGCCTCCTGGACGCTGGTAGGAAGCAATTCTGCATCCGGCGCGTCTGCGTGTCAGCCGTGTCGAGGCGGTGAAGCTGCTCCTCCAACTCGGCGAGCTCGTCCTGCAGGTGGAGCAGCAGACGGTGGTTGAGCGCCTCAAACCGCCGGTAGATGGGCTTGATGCTCGACCTCTCTGTGTCGTCGCCGGCGCACAGCTTGGAGGCAATCAGCTCGTACCCCGTGAGCGGGAGCTTCTCCGCCCTGGGTAGGTGCTTCGGGTGGCCGTGGTGCGTGCCGGGGAGACGGGGCTGGAGTGCGTTGGGCGGTAGGTGAGGCAGGTTTGCGGTTCCGCGCGGCATCTCGGGGGTGCCGTAGTGGCGGTAGTCGCGCTGCCGTTGACCGTGTCCGTGTCCGGGGGGCATGGGGACCTCGAATTTGCCAGGCATGGAAGGTGAGTCGCCGTAGGCACTGTGATCCGGGCTGCTGCTCCTGTCGGTCTCGTGATCGGCGGTACCCATCTCGGAGAAGACATCGCTCTGGAAGCTGCTTGAGGCTGTCGAGGTTGTGCTCCGCGTCGAGGGCGACTGGTAGCTTGTGGCGGCGGGGTCGGGCATCCTCCAGTAGGACGACTGCTCGACGGAGCGCTGGATGGCTTCCGGGGTTATGTTGGGTGAGTCTGGTTCGAGGTAGCTCAAAACGTTTGAAGAGGACAGCTGCTGCTGGGTCTTGGGTGAGCGGCTTTGGCGACGGCTTTTGAGGTATGACTTGTCGTGGGCTCGCGACTTTTCACTTCCTCTGCGCCTAGGCCACGATGCTTGAGTGATGGTCGAGCCGCTGCCGCTGGAGCTGCCGGAGCCGTGAGTTCTTTCACTGAGAGCTGTGAAGCTGGTGAGGGTAGACTCTGTAGGTGACACTGGGCGGACTGATGCTTCTTCGTCTTGCTCTTTCTCGGCAGGGACCACAGTTTCATCTGAGGAAGATTCTTGATCCGCGGTGGTGATGAGTTGATCGGAGACAGATCGTGCAGGTTCCATGCCAAAGATGCGACGTCGCGTCGGCGAGTCTGGGCTGGGGGCGGGCATGGACGAGTGCCTCCGGACAGTTGCGCTCCTGGGGCGCGATCGCGGGAGTCCAACTGGCGTTGACGTGTCGTCGGCCGGCATGTGATGGTCTGGATGGTCTCTAGGCGCAACAGTTTTATCGCTGGTGGCCTGGGCAAACGGCGACGAGGGGGCCGGCGTCGGGACGGCGTCGACGACGCGCATGAGTCCGTCGACCGGGTCTGATGCTAGCCACCCTTGATCTGTGGCGTCGCAGTCGTCCATGGTGGTGACAGGGACGTCGGCCACCGAAGGAGGGTGATAAGCCGTCGACATTTTGGTGTTCGAGGGTACGGCCTGGATTAAGTGATGGACGTTGGGATCAGGAGTTGGGTGAGTATGCTGTCTCCCTTGAGTTAAGCTTAACGGGACGCCGATCCGAAGTCGGGGTGTCCCTCGCGTTGAGTATCTTGCTTGCTTGAGTAGGTATAGCAAAGTACGGATATTCGGAATGACACGAGCTGTAATGTGGCCCGTTGTATGGCGAAGAATGTCTCAGATTAGTAGATCTAGGGCTACTGCGAGTCGCACACGAGGCAGCGATAGCTTAATACACATTACTAGAAGGTCGTAGGGTCGGCAGTGAAGGTGGGAAGCGCACAAGGGAGTGTCGGGCTCCAGCAGAAGATGAAAATAAAAGGAGAGTCGAAGAATGGGTGTGCCCTCAAACGCTTGCTCGGAAGTTTGGGAGGGACGGGATCGGGCTGGGGAACTCCCGGGATGTTCAGTTCAGATTCTGGGGGAGCGGCTTCAGGATGACAGCGGCAGCGGCAGCGGCAGCAGTAGCATCGCGGTGAGGAAAGCGGGCATCGAATCTGTGTGGCGTGGTGTGGCGACGGCGACTGGCATCTGAAGGATCATTTCCCGAAGAGCGGAATGGGAGGGAGGGAGGGCACATGGAGGGATGGGAATGTCATCGTTGGAGGGGCTGCTTCTCTTAGGGGGTAGGTACTGTAAGGGAAGGGAGGCAAGGAAAGAGAACTGTAAGGAAACATCGAAGAACAGCGCCGTATGATCGGGTGAAGAGTGTGTCAGCCGTTGACGGATTTGTTTCAGATGACCAGGAAGACTGGACCAGCGAGCACCAAGGTCCAAGGAGTGGTGTGTGACGGACGGGCACCGGCGTTGGGCTGAGCTGAAAGATGTGGTGGCATTCGAGTGGTGGGATGGGAAAGTTGGGGTACTCCATATTGACTGAACTTGTATGGAGATGAGATGCGATCAAATCGAATTACCTGATACCACGAGATAGGACAATTTGACTACCGTAAGGTAAAGGCGAAAAGGAGCAACTTGTACGTAAATCTCCAAGTACCAAAGTAGACAGAAGACATGAAATTGGAAGAGCAAACGGCGGCCAAAACGATCCCAGTGCCGCGGGACGTTTCCACAACGGACGGGCACCCGTTAGCTGCATGGCGGACTGCGTGGCACTCCACTGATTTCCAGCGCATGTGCGCCATTCTTGCCTTGCCTTAGGGGATGCAATGCACCATTATGTCAGCCTCATCCCCAAGAACCTGGCACTTCCGTTGCGGGACGGACCAGTGGACCGAAGACGCCCGGAAGCCCATGCGGCCCGAGAAAACAGGTACGTATCTCTGGTAGCTTCCATTTTTCGATGCGACGGGAGTTACCTTGCCCATGAAGCTATCCACAGCTATCCCAAAGATCAGTCTGGGAAACACATACAATACGACTACCATCTAAGCCACCGAAGATTCAATATGCAAACCTGTAATGGTCAGATAGTGGCGTAATCCAATCAGTCTGAACCTCCTGCTCGCCCGACCCTACCCCTCCAATCACGCCAACCTACAGTAGCTTCGTAGCCACTGGTTGACAGACACGAATCTTTCGTTGGAGGGTGTGCAACATACAAGTCAAGGAACCAGACTTTGCCCAACTCCTATCACATTGAATTGTCGACCGACCAATCCCACGAAAGCGCAAAGCCTGCTAGTTCCCGAATAGACCTGCAAAAGACAGTCACCACCACCGACAACACCTCACACAAGATCCTCCTCCACGACATGGCGCGCGTACCGACCCGCGAGCTGGCCCGCTACCTCTTCAATGGCCAGCTCTCCCGCCAAGGCTGCTTGGCCTCGACCCGACGACCATACACCCGCCTACCGGCCCGCTCCGCCCCAGCCCTGCCGTCCGCTCCCCGGCTTGGACAATCGAGGGCGACATACGCGACAGCTCAGCCCGCAACAGCAGCATCGCATGAAGCGCCGCCGGTACCCTTAAGAAAGAAACTCAAGGAAGAGAAGAAACAACTGAAAAAGGAAACAAGAGGCCAAAAGCCCAAGGGAAGCAACCAGACAGTCGACGGCTGGGAATTGACCGTCGGCATCGAGATCCACGCCCAACTCAACACGGCACGAAAGCTCTTCTCGCCTGCCGCGACATCCTTCAATGATGACCCAAACTCCCACGTAGCGCTCTTTGATGTCGCTATGCCGGGCTCTCAGCCGAGGTTCCAAAAGGAAACCCTCATACCGGCCTTGCGCGCGGCGTGTGCTCTCAACTGCGATATCCAACCCGTCAGCCGGTTCGACAGGAAACATTACTTTTGGTGGGATCAGCCGTCGGGGTATCAGATCACGCAGTACTACGAGCCCTTTGCCCGCAACGGCGAAATCGAGCTCACTGCGCGGGACGGCATCGCTGCCGAAGACGGGGAGAGCATCACGATCGGCATCCAGCAGATACAGATGGAGCAGGATACCGCCAAGACGCTGGCGCAGCCTAATGACGTCTCTTGGCTCGACTTTAATCGCGTCGGCATGCCTCTGATTGAAATCATCACGAGGCCGGAGCTTCATCACCCTCGTACTGCTGCCGTGTTCGTCCGCAAGATCCAGATGCTGCTTAACGCTGTCGATGCCTGTGTATCTGGGATGGAGACGGGCGGTATGCGTGCCGATGTCAACGTCTCGGTGCGGAGGACAGGTGATCCGAATACCCCGCTCGGCACGCGGACGGAGATCAAGAACTTGAGCACTATCAAGGCTGTCGAGGACGCCATCATTGCAGAGCGTGACAGGCAGATCAAGGCTCTTGATGCGGGTGAGACGATTGCCAGCGAGACGAGAGGTTGGACTCTGGGGTCCAAGCATACCCGCCGTCTGCGAGGCAAGGAAGGCGAGGTGGACTACCGCTATATGCCGGACCCCGACCTGGGACCTCTCGTGATCGGCCAAGATCTCGTGGACCATATCAGGGCCTCCGTCAAGGAGCTACCTGACATTGAGCTAACGGAGCTGGTTGAAAACTACGGCTTGACGGCCAAGGATGCGGTCTCTCTCATGGCACTCGACGACGGCGGCAGGCTAGAGTTCTTTTACAAGGTCATCGATGAGCTCCGGGGTCAATTGGAAAGTGCGGGGCTGGAGACCAAGCTACACGACTACGCTTCCCTCGCCGGCAACTGGATCCTCCATGAGCTAGGTCGCTTGACGACGGACAAGGCCGATCCGGAAGCCGCTCAGCGGACATTAGAGATTTCCCCAGACGGCTCCTGCGAAACAGTCCCGCACTCCGCACTAGCTGGCATCCTCTTCCACCTCCAGAAGCGGGACATCACAGGCAAAGTCGCCAAGGAGCTCCTAGTAGCCCAGTACCTCGGCAACCTCGACGAATTCGATTCCGTCACGGACGCCATCACGACACACGGGTTGTGGTTCAAGGAAATGTCGGACGCGGAGTACCGACAGCTCGCAGAAGAGGTCGTTGAAGGAGAGGACAAGGTCTTGAGGGAATTCATGGACAAGAAGAAGTATCCCCAGGGCAAGCTCATGTACCTCGTTGGTAAGATGATGCGCATCGGCGAGACGGAGCGGATCGACCCCTCGGGCGCCGAAGAGGTCATGCGTCAGCTCATCACGGAGCGGACGGGCGCGCATCAGGACTGATTTCCTCTCTCTTTTGGTTTTCTTCTTCTCTCCCTGCCAGGAGGGGGCTATATGAACCCGTGTACGTGCATCTAGGCACGCTGTATTGTACAATGTATCATAACATCATAAGTAAAACTCGATAACACGAGTGCAAGATAGCATGGCATTCCCAACGTTCCTGTTTCCCAGTCCCAAGAAACTTTACTTTGGACTCGTCGACGCCGCCGGTCGAACATCTAGTTTACTCGGCATGAACCCAAAATTAATATTCTCCCGTTCCCTCACAAACCGCTCAATACGCTCCTCCCGCCCCTTACCAGCCACAGCCTGGCCCTGCCGCCTCAGCGTCTCGCTGATGTTGGCCTCGTGCGCATTCTTCTTCTCGAGGAACGTCGCCGTGCTACTATCCATTCTCGTCGTCTGTGCCACTGTGCCCACCGCCAACGCAGCAAGGACCAGCGCCGCGAAGCTGGCGTTGGACATGTACATTGGCTTTTGTTTCTCGTTCCCGCCATTGGCTTGCCGTTCGTGCCAGCGTTCCCAGTCTTCCCATGTCGCATTCATGGCGGGGGAATCACCTCCCCGCCCTCCGCCGGCGGCACCGTAGCCGTGGCGCCATGCTTTATCGGCGCGGCGGTAGACTTCGTTGATGTCTTCTGCGGCTTCCTTGCCGGTGCCGGGGACGTGCCAGCCGAAGCCCCAGGCGTCGTAGGCGCGGCGTTTATCCGGGGAGCTGAGGATTTCGTTTGCGAGGACGATAAGGCGGTAGCGTTCTAGGCGGGTTGCGGCGGGGAGGGAGTCCAGGGCTGTGGCGTGGTGTTTGTCTGGGTGGTATTGTTTTACGAGCTCGGCGAAGCGGGATTTGGTGTAGGGTGCTGTTTTGTGTATTGCGAAGATGTCGTAGGGGGTTGGATTTGTGCAGGTTGGCCAGAGCCTATTGCCAGGGTTGGTTTTTGGGCCATTGCTTACTGTTGCGTAGGATCGTGAGGTTGAGGGTTGTTTGTGTTGTGATGCGGGGTGGTCAGAGGAGGAGGGTCGTCGTGTGGGTGGTGACGTTATTGATGTGTGGTGTGCGGGGACGGCGAGGAGGTTAAGGACGTTGTTGGATGAGCAGATGACGAATGCTGAGGATGTCTTGAGGACCATGGCTGCGGTTTAATTGTGTAGTTCGTGTGGGACGAGAATCTCAAGGAGGTTGAGGGAGAGGATCGAGGACGAGCATCTTTTGAAGTGTCGTCGTCGGGGTTTGTTTAAAGTAGACGGGCGAGTGCTCGGCGATGTAAGTGGCCTGGGAGTGAGAGAGTTTGGACGCCGGTGGTTCGACTTGCACCTGCCAGTGGCTAAGGCACCAGTGACTCGTCCAATTGACGCATTCGTGCTCAGTGCTCCTGCTCAGTGCTCAGGCTCCCAGCTGGTCCTCCTCCCGTGCTCCCTCCCCAAGCCGATCCGATAGCTCCGCTGCAGGAAACGAGTGGAGCGGGGACGGAAGAAAGGGATTGAATCAGACCAATCGGCTGATGGAGAGCTAACCGGGGTGAGCTCGGTAAAGAACGAATGAGAAGAGGCGAGGAGCTCTCGGTGAGCAGGTTCAGGCCAATGTCACCACCCATGATCCAAGACCTACCCTGACACTTTCAGCACCATGATCATTGCGTTGAGAGACATGTAGCATATTAAGCTTATTTTGCATGTTTCTCCTTAGACGTGATCTCGTGATTTTCTATGAAATGCTAGCAAGAGCTTCTCTTGGGCTCTTGCTTACCTTAACTCACAAGTTACCTCCCTTACTTGCCTAAGTGAGGGAGGTACTTCCTCTAGGGAGAGGTCACGTGTCCCCACCTACACCACTAGACCAGGAAGGCAAGGGGTCCCGCCCCGACGACACAGCTGATGCGCACCGAACGCACTGGGACGGGGATTCACCACCACAAACTTGCTTGCATGTCCCGGGCAGACAACTCTTCCTCCACACTCACACACACAACCACACTCCTCTCAACCATACGCAAACCCAACCATCCCACAATCATCTTCGCGCTGCATCTCGTGGACGAAACACATTTTACGCTGTTTCAGTAGCCCGAGTCATCAACAAACGACCTGAAATTTACGCAATCGCGCAAAACCCACGAACGCACCACAACCACAATCCACCTCCACCCACCAACCACATCCCTCGACTTTCTTGCACCGAAACTCTGCCCGAGTCTCGGTCATCCACGCTTCCACTCCGCTATCCTCCGGCCACGGAACCAACGACGAACCACGCGACGCTCCTGCTCGCCCCCAAGTGACAATCCCGCAAATATCAAATATTCCTCAACGACAATTGCCCTTTTTTGTTGTCGTCGACTCCCGCTTTACCTGTCTGCTTCCTAATACCTACCGAGCACGACTCGCCCCTCGATTCACATCGCGAAGTGGGGAAAGCAAAGCCCTTTCGCGCAACACCCCTCAACGACTGCATCGCACCCTCTTCCTCTGCCATAAGGCACATACTCTATAAACACACATTCAAATGGCGGAAGCACTCGCAGACAAGCTCAGGGCGACAAACTTGAGGTTTGCCTCCCTCACTGCCCTCCTAGGAACCCATGTTTGAAGGCTCGGTAGACTGACTTTCGCAGCGATGGCGCCGCATCAGAGGACTGGAAGAAGAGCTTGAACCTGCCTGCTAGGGACAACAGACACCAGACTGAGGTATGTTACCGGCAAGACCAACCTCCCCCTCTCATCTGTTCTGCCCACCGTCTCACAAGCTTGCTCCCAGGATGTCACAAACACCAAGGGTCTGGAGTTTGAAAATTTCCAATTGAAGAGAGACTTGTTGATGGGCATCTTCGAGGCTGGCTTCGAGAAGCCGTCGCCCATCCAAGAAGAAGCCATCCCCGTCGCCCTCACCGGTCGTGATATCCTCGCCCGCGCCAAGAACGGTACCGGAAAGACTGCCGCCTTCGTCATCCCCGCCCTCGAAAAGATCAACCCCAAGGTCTCCAAAATCCAAGCCCTCATCCTCGTCCCCACTCGCGAACTCGCCATGCAAACATCACAAGTCTGCAAGACCCTCGGCAAGCACCTTGGAATCAACGTCATGGTCACTACCGGAGGTACTGGTCTCCGAGACGATATCATCCGCCTCCAGGACCCCGTTCATATTGTGGTCGGTACCCCTGGCAGAATCCTCGATCTCGCGGGCAAGAACGTCGCCGACCTCAGCGAATGCCCCATGTTCATCATGGATGAGGCCGACAAGCTTCTCTCCATCGAATTCACTCCTGTCATTGAGCAGCTTCTCCAGTTCCACCCCAAGGATCGCCAGGTCATGCTCTTCTCCGCCACTTTCCCCCTCTCTGTCAAGGACTTCTCCGACAAGAACATGGTCAGCCCGTACGAGATCAACCTCATGGACGAGCTCACCCTGCGCGGTATCACCCAGTACTACGCCTTTGTCGAAGAGAAGCAAAAGGTCCACTGCCTCAACACCCTCTTCTCCAAGCTTCAAATCAACCAGTCCATCATCTTCTGCAACTCGACCAATCGCGTCGAGCTGCTGGCCAAGAAGATCACTGAACTGGGCTACTCATGCTTCTATAGTCACGCCAAGATGGCCCAACAAGCACGAAACCGCGTCTTCCACGACTTCCGCAACGGCGTGTGCCGTAACCTTGTCTGCTCCGATCTTCTCACCCGTGGTATCGATATTCAGGCTGTGAATGTCGTCATCAACTTTGATTTCCCCAAGAACGCCGAGACCTACCTGCATCGCATTGGTCGCTCTGGTCGTTATGGCCACTTGGGTCTGGCTATCAACCTCATCAACTGGGATGACAGGTTCAACCTCTACAACATTGAGAAGGACCTTGGAACCGAGATCCAGCCCATCCCCGCCAGTATCGACAAGTCCCTCTACGTTTACGAGAACCCCGAGTCCATCCCGAGACCCATTTCCAACTTCCGCACCGGCCAGCCTGGTCAAGGCCAGCAGCAGCAGCATCAGCTTGGTCAGATCCAGGGCCAGCAATTGCCTCTGCAGGGTGGCCCCGCACCGGGCAACTGGCAGACTCAGCAGCCCCAGCAAGGCCAGCAGAATGGATACCAGGGCGGCGGCAGAGGCCGTGGCCGTGGCCGTGGTGGCTACCGTGGTCAGAACCGTGGCGGCTATGGCGGCCGGGGACGTGGTCAAGGCCAAGGCCAGGGCCACCCCCAACCCCAAGGACAAACGTCCTAGGGTTCCACCTATTTCTTCTCTTTAGAAAGGCGTTACGGCGTATGCGGTCGCGACGGAACACGCGACTGCGTCTTGTTTGGATTGTACATAGTTCCTCTTCTTCTTTTTTCTCCTGATTTTGGAGGCGACACGGCACGATTAGACTGGGTCGGGCATCTCATCCATGCTCAACATGAGCTTTTAGGTCCCCCTCACCACTCACGATCACGAAACACGAAAAACACACTCGATCAGACCTATACAGCTCGTTGCCAAGAAACAAAAGCTTCGTCACATATTCGCAAACTTTTGGCCTGTACCATACCCCCAACGGATCTTACTGGTCTTTTGTTTGGCTTCTTTTCTTTTTCCTTCGGCCTTCTGATGACGGGCACTTTCTACCCGTAATGGAAATGCATGCTGTCTGGAGACGACAGAACGAGCAAGACGACAGGCTGAGCCATTGAAAAAAACAATATCATCAACCATGGGACGTGACGTCTGATCCTGGACGATTCACCACACCCCGGGCATGGAAATAACCCGCTCCCACCGTATCATGTCACGTGCTTCTTTAACGACGGCGTTTGGAGGGGTCAACAAGCGGCTGAGCGGTATCAGCCCGGAACGGCGTTCGCATGGATGGCGGGCCACATTTGATTTCTGGTGGACAAAAGGGGAGTTGGCCCTCGTGGTCGAGGGCGGCAATACTACGGGATGAGGGCGGTTCGGTAGCTCATCTCTGGTTTATGCGCCGCGGTGTCTTTTGAGTATTAATCAATTGATCGCGGAGACGACTGATGTTGGGATATGACACGGAGGGCGACGGGGCGGCTGGCATCCAACGGCGTCTGTCGGAGCACGATATTCATCATCGTGCAATTTCTTTGGCAGGGGAAGATATGGTTGGAGGCCCTCCGTCCGGGGTAGGAGGAGGAGCGTTTGTCGTCGGTCGACTGACAAAGCCAAGATATTGCTTCTTGGCGCCCGAACTCAAAACGGAGGTTTCGACATGATCCGTTACGCATTCTACGCCTATGCCCTGCTTCTTGCGAGAAGTCAGGCTCGACGAACGACCGCAGAAATACCCGAGTATCATTATGCTTGTATCGGCTCTCTTGGAACCATCTTGGCCCAGCTTTTTGTGTGTCTCGTCTGCCTTGAGCGTGGACATAGGCCTCAAGGGTGTGTTGGCTCAGTTTGGTGTTGCCGGGAGAGCGAGCGGCCTCTTTTGGTACTCACATCAACAAGAAAATAACGCAAAAAAACCGTTTTGGGAGAGAATCGCTGGATGGGCTAGAAGGCTTTCGGACCGGTGTGGTCTTTGGCATGACCCAGCTCAGCTGATGGGCAGGGTGTCATGGACCAGAACTGGTGGGCTAGATAGTTGTCTGAGCATTTGGAGTGGCAATCAAGACACAATTCTCTCTCATAACCATTTCTTCTGTGATCTCCTATGCGTTGCTTGACGTTGTTCTGGTTGTGCGTGTAGCTCGTGATTCCATTTCATATGATTACGGCTACGAAGCCTAAGTATCATGTCTCCGGCGACCCAGGCTGTCAGTTAACTTGTGTGATGGCGATGGGGGTTGCCACAGCTGAGCATCGGGGCTTTCAAGTCACCAGTCTCATCACTTGAGAGCTGTTGATTACTCCTGGAGAGAAAGTTCACGGCTGCGGCCTAAGATGAAGCCCCAAGGCATGAAGAAACGCTTATATCGATGGTGCATAGGTCCTACGTCCCACACAAGGAGGCGATCTCGGGAGGGCTTCTTCCATCGATAGTGTCAAGAGAGGGGGCCTGCCTGATGTAGCTGGGGCCCGTGTCTCGAGCGCTGGCGGTTGGTATATAATGGCACCATTCGTGCCATTAATGATGAGGCTGCCAGGATCAAAGCAAAGTAAGCTCCCGGTGATCGTTTGGTATTGTCGCTAGACACCATTGTCGAGTGCAAGTCAACGTCCACGGGAGAGGCAATCCGCGCCAGTATTCAGGTATGAGTCTCATTTCCCGATTCGGTGCGTTCTTTGGTTCCGGTCGTCTTCTTGAGCTTAATTGAGGTAGTATATGCATAAGTTGATGGGCCTGGTTGGGGTTGGATCTGAGGATTAAGAGTTGCTCTTTTTAGAGCACCTCACTAGAAATGTGATGTCGTATCCGGGTGTGGCGTGACAAGCCGAAGGATGCTTGTAGCCAGCTCATTCCCGACCAAGTTGATATCGATCCATGGCGCGGTGCCTTGGCTTCTTTGGTTTCCTAGCTGGTGGCGGTTCGTTTACAGCTAGCTACCTGATCTTTGGTCTGTATGGCTGCGACGCCGGGATGGTCCGCCCGATGTTCCTGCCGTGCCGTCCTCGGCCGCTGCAGGGCCGAGACAAGCCACGGCGCCGGGTAGATGGTACGTGGTAAGGTACGTAGTGTCAGCAACTCCAAGCACCGTTGGGCTGGAAGCGCCGATGGAGGCATGGTTAAGTCGACTTCACAGTCGAAAGACCAGTTGAAGACGCATTCTTGGGGCAGGCGGTAAGACTCATGGATGGCAACGAAAGGCAAACAAAAGTATTCACTCCCAGTCTAGGGATCCAGGTCTCAAGACTGCGTGGATAGCGTCATCCTCCAACACTATAATCAGGCACCCTCCTCCCCATGAATACAAGAGAGGCGAAACGATTGAATCAGAGCATAGTCAATACATGTACGCGCCGCTACCTAGATCTCCTACACAAAAAAACACCAAACTCAAGAAAGAGCCGCAGTGTTCGAAAGCAAAAGATCTAGTTTTAAAAGCGCGCGGCGTGTGTACGCACGTATTTCGGGTAGAAATATGTGTGTTTTGCACGCCGTTTTTGTCAATCTCCGGACCCTGTGAAAGCCAAATAACCATTTGAGAGGTCAAAGTGGCACAAAAAAGTCCGGGTTTGGGAGGTCACGGTAGTCACAATCATGGTCTCGGTCACGGTGGAAGACTGGTGTAGATGATGGCTTGGCGCTGTTGGCGAGCGCGAGCGACTTACCTCTGATGCGCTCGACGGAACTTTCTTCGGATTTTCCGTGTGCTCGTAGAGCGGGAGATCTTGGTGTTCTTCCTTGAACACGGTCTTTGCGCGAAGGAAAAAATTGAAGACGGGAAGAAGCTTGGGGACCCGTTGCGATATTTATTCGCCTGAAAATTTGGTATCCATAGCTTATCTGTATATGCATCTATCCGGTTAATCCGCACTGGCAATTCTAGGAGGCGATGCAATTGATCCTGATTCCCGTACCGGTTAGCCTCGCTCTTTTCCCGACGTCTTTGAATCCACTGCATTTGTCAAGCTCCGCATCATTGGCCTCGCTATCAGCGGTACGTCTGTCTGAGGAGGGTAGAAAAGAAAGGTATTAATGGTCAATGTATCTGTATCTCGCTGGCTGGATAGTTCGGTTTCGATATGTTTAACCGCCTCTATCGTCGCCCGCAGTCATCTGAAGAGCGATTTTGAAGTTCCCGAGCCGATTCTCCATGTATCTCAACAATCACGATACGCGCTCTTTTCACCATGATATAGGCCAAGGTGTAATGTTGCCACCGAAGCTAGAGCCGCGGATAGAAAGGATGGCTGTCTCACGGCCGTTCTGCGATGGGCTGTGGAAGCACTGATCTGCTTCCATGTTGTAGGTATTACTGCGCCAATCTGAGGTCTTGCTTGGCAAAACGGCGTGAGAAGATTGCTAGGACGTGCTCCATGTGTGGAAGACCACAGGCGACGGGCAGATCTTGCCATGGTGTCGCGTTATGCTGGGCAACCAGGCTTTCTTTTCTTGTTGATCTGCAGCTGTGATTCGCTGGGCGAGAAGTATGCCTTGTGCGCCTCATGAATGCTTCTCTAGCCGCCAAGGGCCCAACCGAAGTGCGGTCCAACCGAGCGAAAGGTGCCCAACTCTCTCATTGCTTCTGGTCAAACTTTCCTCTCTGATGAAAAACAACAGAAAACACAACGAGTGTCAGTGACAGCAAGGGATATGTGAAGTACCCGTTCACCGAAAAAGGGCCTAGGCACGACTTCAGTTCGCGCGACTGCAGACTCACATATGGAAATAGGCAGACGCGATTGGAACTGCCGCGAGCGTTGTCGGCCTTGTTGGTGCACTGCTGAAAACCGTTCAAGAGGTTCGAAAAGCCCGAGAGCGGGTGAAGAACGCGCCCAAAAGACTCGATGACATCTCATCGGTGCTCGAAACCACGTTGAAGACAGCTAGCCAGGTCGGAGAGGAGCCCAGGTTACAGGCACCTGCGGTTGTTGATCAGCTCGAGATATTGAAAGCAATCGTGGGAGAGCTCGATCAGCTTTTCAAAAACCTGCAGGAGAAGAGCCGGAGACGCAAGTTTCCGAGGTTTACAAAAGCCTTGGTGACCCAAGATGCGGACGAGACTGAGGTGGCTTACATTTCGAACCGATTAGCCAATGCTACAGCGGAGCTAGACACTCGAATTAATGTCATCCAAGTAGGTTTGACGGGGAAAGCAGTCAAGCTCCTTGAGGGCATCGACTCAAAACTGCACCAAGACAGTACGCACGAATTCTGGTTGCGAAACACGTTTTGGCTGGAGCTGACATGCTGACTTCAACGAATATAGCGAGCTTGTCGGAGTTCACTAACCTCGAGTTCCTCTACAACCTATCTTCCATCCATCCTGATTTAGACGCAGCACATTATCGCCTGTTTGGATGCCAGACCTCGGCAAGCCTTTTTGATTGTCGGCAACTTGCCAGGGATCTGAAAGATCGAGAAGGAAACCCATTTATATTCGTTGACGATGAGACTGGACTGGGCCATTCCGTGTTCACGTTGTCGATGGTCAATCGTCTTACATTCAATGACGGATACTGCGCCACGGCTTACTTCTTTTGTAAAGACACTGGAGGAGATCCAAGACCACTCGTCACAACGTCTACCATCCTCGGCGGATTGGCCCGTGTCCTGCTTAGGCTGCTTTGGCGCTTTGACTCGAGCTTCCTTACGCAACAGAATCGGACCTTTGGGCACGAGCTCAAAACATACAGAGACGAAATAGACCGAGCCGGCTTATTTCATCGCATCCTAGATGAAATTTTTCGACGTTTTGCTGAGATACGAGAAACCCCTCTTGTGATCGCAATCGACGGGATAGACTTCGAAGGCACCGAGGGGGATCATACGGACTCAAGTAATGCGTCTCACCTTATACGGCACATCCAGAAGCTTCAACGTGAACACCCGAAAACCCGTACGAAATGGGTCTTGACGGGAAAACTTTCAAATTCCTTAGGGGAGCGACTCAAGGGTTTAGGAAGAGAAGCGGATACGACTGAAATTATCCTGAAAGCCAGTGATGTCGCAGCAGCTTTCGGACTCCAAGAAGCCATTCCGAGAATAATGAAGACAGCAGCAGTGTGGAGAAAGTTTATGGAACATGGCGTGATGGCTCAAGCACATTTTGTCAATAACGACTTATCGTGGTTTCGCTATTGCAAGCCAGCACAGTCATGGTACGCAAGGCCAACAGATAGTCAACATGATTCAAGAATTTTATGGCTTCGGAAAGGCCCTCTTTCATCCTTGGCAGCAAATGCTATTGGATTTGAAGTTGCTTCAGGCATGCTCCTCGACAAGGAAGAGTCACCGATTGTGGCGTTTTTCTCCTTTGAGACATTCGAGGCTGGCGAGAATCAGTCCCCAACATCTCGTCAAGACTTCCATGAGCAAACATTTCAAGCGCAAGTTGCTTGGTGCATCGTCGCTCAGCTCCTTCGACGGCAATATGGGCCCGAGTCTTCACTCGCTGAGACTCTTTTACGGCTTCCTCCAATGGCAAGAGAGGCTCTTATTTCAACCTGCTCAGCAATCGGGGAGTCGAAGTGTCCCTTCACGCCTACTACCCCTGATGGCAATGATCCTGCTTCGCTATTGTGGGGATCCGTCACTTCCTGGTATCATGAGACCAGAGGTCTCGATTGGAGCCATATATCAGAGCTTACTACTGTCATGAGCGCTTGTCTCGAGGATATTACGCAAGATGGCAAATGTGTTGTGCTGGTTTTCGACGGTCTAGAGCATCAAGATCAAAGCGCTTGCGCGAAGCTGGTCACTTGGATCGACAAGCTTGGCCATGGAGTCAGAGCCCTCCTTTGTATTGATGACACCCGTGAATTTACCACCGGCGGCCAACCGAGGTGGTCAGAGGTCATGTTGAATGCTCCCATTGTGGACGAAACTACGGAGTGGCGAGGTAGGCATTCTGGGTATTTAAGTGTTACAAAAGAACTTAGAGCACTAACAACATACAAAGTGCATTGAAAGCCTGAAATTCGATGGCATGCAAACAAGGCGAGATCAAATCGTAGATCCGCTGCCTGCCACCAACCAGTGGCTCTCGGAGACTGAAGAGTTCCAACAATGGGAATCTTCTGGCAAGGTCTTGTGGATAACGGGCAGAGCGGGAAGCGGCAAGTCGGTTCTAGCGAAGAACATCCAGCAACAATTTCAAAGGAAGGTTTCAAACGGCGATCCCAGTGACGATCTCTTCGTTTGTGACTGGTTCTACTCGGCCCGAGGGCCTACCTTTGGCGCAAAAGATGCTTCAATGCTTCGCGCCCTGACTCTCAGCATCCTCAGCTCAGGCAAGAAAACGTTTGAGCCTGCAAGAGCTATCTATCGCGCACGATTTGATGCTGGGCGGCAGAACGACGACTGGGTGCTGTCGGAGCTGTCAGATCTTTTCACAGCACTCGCACTCAGTGCTTCAACGCCTCGAACACTCGCAGTGGTAGACGCGTTGGACGAGTCAGAGAGCGTGACGCAATTATCAAGTCTGAAGTCGACGCATGAAAATTTCGACTTGCTTGAAATGTTTACCGAAGTTGGCGGTTCTCTGAACAGCCGCGTCCGCTTCGTCTTGCTAAGCAGGCCTGAGTTTGTCATCTCCAAGACCCTCAGTCACTGCTCACAGATCAGAATGGAGCAGTACAATGACCGGGATATTTCTATCGTGATTGAGGGCGGTATCGAGAAACTTCGCGTGGCTTGGCGGGGTGCCTCTGACACCGGTCCGACGAATTTCTCCAAGGACTCAAACGCATCAACTAACGCACATTCCCGTGAGAATCCGTCCTCCAATAATGATCTCGAGACACAGGAGAAAACGCTGGGCGAGATACGCGCGCACTTGGAAACTCACGCAAAAGGTGTGATACTCTGGGTCATCCGGATTATTCAACAACTTTTGCTCATAATCGAAAATGAGATAGGGTTTTCAACCCAGGATCTGATGGACTCACTTATTGCATCACCACCAGAGGTTGAAGAACTCTACATCAAGTTCCTTGAGAGTCTTAGAGGTTCCAGGTCGACCAAAGAACTAGCAAAGACCAAGAGAATTTTGGAATGGATCGTCGGGTCTCAGAGGAGGTCATCCCTGCGATTAATAGAGTTACGGGAGATAATTGCGATATCCGACCAGCTGGAGATGGGAAAACATGGAGAATTCAGCCATGATTCCTTGGAACCGCACAGGATGGTAGTTCTAGAGAACTGTTGGCCCAAGTTCTTTCGCAGCATAGAGCTGTACTGTGGTCCGTTCATTGAGATCTTGGATGATCAGCAAAGGTTCAGACTGGACTCACGGCATGAGATCGGCTACGCGAAACAAGATTGGACGATTCAGCTGTCTCATCAAACAGCCAATTCATTCTTACAGACTCCAGGCCGCAGTGGAGAATTTTACATTGACCCAGCAAGCGCCGAAAGAATGGTCACAACCCAAAGCTGCCGTTACCTTGGCATCCGAGCCTCATCACCTGGGCAAATATGCTACCGAAGCACTGCAGAAGGTAAGGGGGACCCAATTCTAGCACTGAAAGTGGCTTTGACACCTTTGCTTCGAGATTCGAGCTTGCTGGCCACTAAGCAATACGTAGAGTCAACGAAGCGGCCGCTTGCGAAGTTTGCCCTAGATGTCATCCTGAAGTCTTGTCCAGATAACGAGGCCATCTTTGGAGCACTGATGATGGCCGACTTAGAGGGTTTGGCACCAAGAGACTGGGTAGCCGTTCATTGGCTCGCAGACATGTGTTTTACCCCGACCTTGGCGGGTACGAGCCTAGAACCGTTCATCTTCTTCTGTTGCGTACACGGGCAAACGGAAGCTCTGAAGACTTTCTCAAGACTGAAGGATGAATACTCTGGAGAGTACAAAACAAGACTCATGGCGGTTGGAAGAAACTATCAAATCATCTGCGGCGCTGCCGAGGCTTTCATCAAAATTCGAGAAGATAATGACACTTGTCTCGCCGCCAGAACATTGGAGGCACTGCATACTCTCTGCAAGGAGAAACTCCGACAGATGCTGCGGTACTGCAGTACTCGCGTCGCATCAAACCTTTCGAGAGGTGAAACAGATTATCAGGGCGAGTCTGAGAGACTAGAGAACTTGGAGAGCCGTCTGTCGGAACAAAGACATCAACCACGGAAGTTTACCCAGAATCTTTGTAGTTCCAAAAGGAAGCTGTCCTCTTCTGATAGGATCGTTGGCTGCAGAGATGTCAACGAGGTGTTTCAGGAAGTTGACAGGTGGATGAAGTCAGATCTGACTCTTGAAATGGAGAGTGACGCGAATAAACCAAGGCATAACTATGAGCCAGTGTCGGAAAAGGATAGACATAGTGTACTGGCTGATATCGAGCGATTCTTTCCGCTGAACACAGAAAGTCAATCAAATATACAGACACCTCCTAGACGGGAATAAAAACATGTTCTTGACATGGAGTCTTGACTGCATTTGCAAAGCGATAGCCACATGCATACGACGTATCACAACAACCTGGATGATGAAGTCATATACAATGAGAGGTTCCCTCTTGGGAATTCATAACTCTTTGCCTCTGTCGAAATATTAGTATATGATGTTGAGTACATGTAGGTCTCGGTAACCTCGATGATGGTATCAGGCGCAGGAATTTCTCCTAGAAGCTTCAGAGTTCTCCACCTCGAGTGATCATAACTATCAAAGACTTAATATGATAGCTTGTCAACATTCAAAGGCCGCTGAGACACTCTTCGATGAAGACTTGGCCAACGGGCATTGCAACCGCAGGACAACGCCAGTTTGAGAAATGGCAAGAGACCTCTCAAGGCAAATACACATCATGGTCACTCTAACATGTGATTGGTACGAGACAAGCAGATCTCATCCAGGGCTTGAGATTGATTGTTGCTTCGATGAAGGCCTAGCTTCATCTTACATTTACGGTTCGACCCACCGTCCAGAGTGAAACTTGTAACAGACCGATTTAGTGTTCTTCAGAACAGGCATCTTCAAGAATCGAAAGACAGGTCTAATGCCATTGAAACAGGTTGGTGAATGGAACAGTCTATCATCAGCAGCCATTGGCGTCTTTCTTAGGTACGCTGTGAACTTGATGAACCTGGCTCCAGTGACTGAATAACAAAACTAGCCTTGAGTTGCTCTTGTTGGACTGCATAAACCCTTAAGGCTCTGTCAATCAAAGAGCCATAGTTTACACTTGAAATTATTGGGTGAAATCTGCCCTGAGAACAAATGATCATATCCTGTGAGGCTTCAAATATCGGTTCCCCTTTGTTTTCGTCTAAAATCTTTGACAACTCATCCTGCTTCTCAAAGACCCGACACTTCTACCTTCCAGGCTGCCACATAGAGCTTTGGATTTCCAGCCCTTGTGATGCCTTGATAGTTGTATCCACCTTGTAAAGTCTTCCAAATGCTCAAAAGCTCGTAACAGTCCTGCCGCCACTGAATCTGCAACTTCCCTTACTTAAATTCGCCTCATGAACCTCCAACAACTATACTTGCTCTATACATCAGCACCTAAATTGCGTCACTGTATTGATTTTTAGCCTTTTACTAACGTTTCTCTATTTCGGGATCATTAATCAGTGAATATGAGGGAAATAGAGCCGATAAGAGAATGAATGAACGTAGTGATAAATGATGTAGTAGTTGATAAGACAAAGTCTTGAAAGTTATACTCTTGTGAAACTTCCTTATCTATACTTGCCTCTTGAAAGGACCAAGAAGACTCAGTAACCATGAATTTCTCTACCCTACAAAATCTTGATAGTCCTTCCCGCCTCGCAAAGGCATCCTGACCGCACCCTTCCTTCGTAGTTCCAAAGATGCTTCTGCCTTAAAAGTCTTAACAGTTGTCCTCGCTTTGTTTGTAAACTTTGTATAGTTGCACTCGCCTCTTCGAATATTGAGGGTTGCACCCGCCTTTTTCAATTTTTCACAGCTGCACTCGCCTTATTTGTAAACTCCATGTTTGGATAGTTGCACCCGCCTCATGGAGTCTCCAAGATTGCACTCGCCTTGTGAAATCTCACCAGTCCTACCCGCCTTATGAGAATTTAAGAGATCGACCCGGCCTCTTGAAGCCCATAAACCCCCAATGGATCCTTTTTTCCCCTCCTCCAGATTCCCTTCCCTTAGACTTTTCTCTTCATACAACTTCTTCCACCAGACATCTTTTTGGTAGACATTCTTCAGTCGTCTTCCGCAATATTCAAAACTCAAAACCATCGCCTAGGTAAGTAAACTCATCTCTCCCATATCCCATATCACCACGATACGATTCAGAGTCTCTCCCTCTTCTGCTCCCAAAACTTTCATCTCCTCCCTGTCGGCGCCCTCGCGTTGGGCGGAGGTCAAAAACCACGAACTGGTCTGCAAAAACCAGTCGTCCGCCGGTGCTTGAGCCGCTTGACTGCAAATATTGACTAACTATTTTACAGACGACAGAAATCTTGGCAGAAACTTCGCAAACGATACACAGTGATCACAACAGTAAGTCGGCTGCTTTATTTTTCTTCACTCATATCAGCTTTCTTCTCGATTTGCAAATGTCGGCTCTTCTGGTCTGCTTTCGCGAGACGATACCGCTCTTTCTCCCCGACTATCGACATCGGGCTTCCCGATCCGAGGCAGCGAGCGACACAAGTGTTTTCTGACTCTTGCCATCTTTCTCTCCTTGAACTTCCCTAAAATTCCCTCATTTCTTCTCAGTTTTTCGGATAGCAGCTGTCATTTACGCCTTCTATCTCAGTCTCCAAACGAAAGTATGCAGAGAGAAAGCAAATAGTGCCAGAAAGACAAGCCCTCTGTACAGCTCTCCTCTAGTGTCTCACTCAATCTCAGTTTTACTCTTACTTTTCAGATATCATCTCTTGCCTGCATCTCCGCTAACCATCATCAATATTCTGCTAGACCTCTTGCCATAAGCATCCATGACCATGGCTCCTCAGGTTATCTTCAAGCCGGCCATGGGTCCAGCTCGCTGCACTCACCTCCAGAGCCAGACTCTCATAGACGATTCCGGTGCCGCCACTACTGTCGGAAAGATGACCGACCCCGCTATCCCTACCACCAAGGGATCGAACAGCTTGACCACCGGACCCAAAGTTGAGGAGATCAAGAAGGCCGAGAAGGCCGAGCAGGTTGAGAAGGGCAAGGAGAAGGAGGATCCTCGCTTCGACACCTTCCACCCTTTCCCCCGTCTCCCCAATGAGATCAAGGCTATGGTACTGTCCGAGTATATCGACTTTGAGCCTTCCATTATCTACGCAAGCTGCAAGGCGAACAAGAAAGTCCCGGGCCTCATCGACGTCAACACTGGCAAGGACGGCGCTCTCTCTAAGTTCAAGTGCCTTGCCCAGCTCATGAAGGGCATCCCCGGCTTCAAGGCCTACGTCAAGCGCACGATTGGCGTCTCGTTCCACGACTTGTCCTATCACCCCGAGAAAGGCGTCCGCAAGGGCAAGGATCTCATGGTTCTTGTCTTCGATAACAAGATGGACCGACACCTCAACTGGTACGGCGCTACTCAGCGTAAGCATAACCGCGAGTACTTCGTTCCGGATATCGAGGACATTGGCGTCATGTACGATCGTGACCGCCTCTACGGCCTGGGCTTGGGCGCTGGTCTTCAGTCATCCTCCATTCACCCTTGCTCCTCCCAGGATCTCAGCATGTTAGTCACCAACCTCGGTGCCGTCAAGAACTTCTACCTTCTCGTCAAGTTGCACGGCAGTCAAGCTGAGCAGAAGAAGTGGATGAAGATTCATCTTGGTATGTACTACGGCAGCTCCGTAGAGGATATGCTGGTCAGCCCATTATAACTTTCATTTGTACTAACAACAGGAATACAGCAATTGCGAAGCTTTGCAGCAAGGATCTCATGGTCTTTGAGGACAAGGATCGAACCTGGGTGGAGATCACTCAGAACAAGGCTAGACGACAGTACGGCACCCCCGTGCAAGCTGCCGGCGACCTTCTCCGACGGACCGACAAATTGTACCATGCAATTGGCACCATGTGCGGTGGATCCCCCAAGGTTCATTTCCGCATTCTTGTGGCTTCGCGCTTCAAGAACAAGACGCTGGGACTCTGGGACTAAACCCCGTCACGTGCGCAAACAAGCTTGCATTAAAGGTTTTGAGGCAGTGCAGTGTTTGCCAAGGGGGCAGTCAAGGAGGAACACGGCGGTAGGGTCATGGCTTTCATGAGAATCGGCTTCATAAATGAATAATGCAGTTCATAAACAAGGCCTCAGCTCATGTGCGTTCGGTTTTGAGAAAGGGTAGGAGGCAGGAAGTGCAATTACCTTAGCTCAGAAATCCGTATCATTGCAATTCGAGGAACTCACAGTATTCATGATGCGGTCAGTGACATGGTGCCATTGATCGTCGTTTCGACATGTACATATCGCTGCGATTGAACCCTTTTGGTTCTTATGCATGGTATTACCTAAGTCGCATTCGCCATTGCTGTTGCCAGGCGGTGATACGATCCACTTACTGCTGTGCATTTGAACGTGCATGATATGAGACCTCATGAAAGCTTCACATTGACTTAGTAAACTATCGTGGTGTGAGAATATTGAACGAAGGATCAGAGAACTCAGTGAAAGCTGAGGATGAATCAGTTCCAAAAGCAAAGTGGACCGTCGTCATGTCATTCGGGTGAGATCCGCCCGCTCGGCTCGGCTTCCGATCGGCGGACCCTCGAAAAACGTCTTATCACGAGCAAATCCCACCGCCGGAAACGAAAAGATTTCGGCGCCGAATGCTGGTCCCGGTGGCTTCGATTTCCGGTTCAAAGCCTTGCCTTAATTGTCTTGGGGCGGCATCGGAGCATTTCGCTGGGGAAAAAGCGACTAGGGGGACTGACTAATTTCAACGGCGATATCGTTCGACGCGAACAGCGATTACTTGACGGCCAAGAACTTTATTCCTCTCGCTCATGTTGCGCACTTCACCTCGCGCGAATCTTCTTCTCTGTAAGATAGACTCTTGATTGAGCATATGAGCTTCGTTCGGAACTGAATTGGCTTGCAAAATTGAAGCCGCCTGCTCTATATAATGAGATTCGACCTAAGACAGAGCAACGATGACGACTTCGAACAAACGCCCAAGTAGCGAGCCGCAATGGCTCAAGACATCTATCGATGTTCTCCAGGCGATAAAGCTGGTAAGCTCATTCCCAGGGTCCACCCTTCTTTTGTGAAGAGAACTTACCAAGTCAATACAGGCTGGGTCTCAATCGGCCCCGAAACTCCTCAACTCATGGCTCTACGTGCCCGCGGGCATCATGGTCATGCTGGCCGCCTGCTTCGGTGTCAGTGTCTTCTTCGACGCCGTCGGTGTCTCATTCCCTGCCTCTGTGGCCTGTTTGATTCTGCTCTTCTTCGGCCTCTTGCTGTCGGAGCTGGTACTGGGAAACCACAA